TAAAACAAATATAGAAGCCTTGACTGTGCTCTGTTCTGTTGTAAAGCACTAGGGAAGTGGCCAGAGCACTCAAGAAGTTGGGAATACTTGACTACGTCTCGTGTTTCTCCCTACACTTCTTTCATGCTCTGACCGCTTCAAGGCTTCTCTATTTGTTCATTGGAAACGCGGCAAAGAGTTCTCCATTGCTTTTGTAAAGTATATTTCTTAAAAATACAAGCGTGTTTGGAACGTCAAAACCGTGTTTAGACTATAAACATAGACGCTCATTTAAACAGTTTTGTTGATCACGCACTTCAATTCTTTAAAACTGCAGGAGTCTTGCTGCTGTTTGCATTTCAATCCGAAACGAAGACATCATAAACCCAGTTGCCTATAAAAAGAAGCCTATGAAAGGAACGTTTCTTGAAGCCTTTCTTGTGAAATAAACGGCGAGATTTTAATTTCGAATTCGGCAAGATAATTTGCTCTTTTTAAAAACATTGATATTCTTTGCACTGAAGTAGCTGATCCAATACACTGAACTATAAGACTCGTAAATTGACGGCTTTGCAAGAAATTCCTCATTTGAACCAATCAGCCTTTTTGAAACTTAAGGCTCCCAATTTGTATGTGGTTGCAATGGCTAAATTTTTTGCCTCCTTTAATGATTTTGGAATAAAACCCGCTTTAAAAATAACCGTGACCTAAAAACCGCCGTAATATTCCAACAGTTTATGTTTTGGATGAGATATTTGCTTCGTTTTACGCTACTTCTGAGTTAACCCACGGTGATGGATCTATTTTGGTAAAGTGAATGAATTTTTTATGAAAACTTGCAGTCTTTAAAATTTCACACTACATGTAAACAAACTAAACGTCATTTTGAATGTTCACTTCGTCGCGCAAACGGAAGTGCAACAGCTGCCATATCGCTAAGTTCTTTGTTTACCTCATTGTTATGGATACTAGCGATGCATTTATTATTGAGCTAACAACAGACTGGATAATTAATCCGCAGCGATGTTAAGGCATTTTACTCTTACTGATAACGTTGAAATAGTACCGTAATCTTCATTTTGCACGATTCATTGTCTTTCATTGTTAATCAAATATTTCATCACGTGATCTACGTGAAATTAGTGGTGGTTCAAAAGTTGAATTTAAAGGCGATTAAAGCCGGAATAAAGTTTCTTACTTAACCATTTCACTCCCAAAAGTGATCAACATGAAACTTCCCCCTATAATATCCCTACATTATCCAGCAAACAGGTAATGAATATATTCAAACTTACCAGGTAGAAGTTGGTAACTTGATCTACCACAAAATTCTCAGAACTAAATTTACAAGGAAATGGGTAACAGGTAGAAGGGAGAATTAACAATCAGATCGGGGAGTTAAAGGGTTAAAAAGAAGATCGCGAGTGTTAAGATACCTGAATTTCTTCTTTTCTTTTTTTCATCTGTTTTTTTGTTTGCTTTTTTTCGTTTTTATGAAGTCTCCACGTATGGGTGGATCACTAATAAAACAAAAATATTATAACATAGTGCGTGTGCTTGCGCTATGTAAGTCCTACTGAGCCGCTATGAACAAAATCTTTATTTACGCACGCCCGTGCGTAAATAAGATGACGTGCGCACTTTTTTACCTGGCTTCAGGGTTTTCGTCCAGTTAAGCTGCAGATTATTTATGACATATTTCCGTCCATATTTGGTTCAGTTTTGCTCATCTCACCGAAGATAGAATTTGCAAACCAATCTTATGAATATTTTGAACTTACCTCACTGATAACGAAAGTGTTTCTATCCTCTAGCGAACTGAGTTATTCAAATGCAGAAAGGGCGGTTTTCAAATAGAAAAGAAAGCAGCATGCATGAGGAAGAGGGCAATGCAAACTTAACTTATTATTATTAGAACTCCAATTTAGTTTTCCCGAATGATTGACAGATAATAGCAGAAAGGAGAGCGGCATTTTTAGTGCAGCTAAACAAGAATTACAGATAAAAGCATCCGCCTACACTCCGCGATTGTTAGTGTGATTAAAGTCCTGCACCGTCGTAAATTCACCCACAAAACAAATGAATATGGAGAATCAACATAAGCAAATCAAACGAGTGGAAATAAATTGTTTCTAAAATCCTTGAATGGAGGTTTGAAAGCTTTTGGTTTTTATGGGAGAAATTATATCATTGAAGCAGAAGTAAGGGAGGTAATTAGAGCGTGTCACTGATAACGAAAGTGTTTCTATTCTATAACGATGAGTTTAATTCAAATGTAGAAACGGCGGTTTCCAAATAGAAAAGAAAGCAGCATGCTGAGGAAGAATGTAATGCAGACTAAACTTATCACAATTAGAACTCCAATTGGTTTTTCTGAATGATTGACAGATAATAGCTGAAAGGAGAGCGGCAGTTTTAGTGCAGCTAAACAAGAATTACAGATAAAAGCATCCGCCTACACTCCGCAATTTTTAGTGTGATTAAAGTCCTGCATGCATCGTCGTAAATTCACCCACAAAACAAATGAATATAGAAAATCAACATAAGCACATCAAACGAGTGGAAATAAATAGTTTCTAAAATTCTTGAATGGAGGTTTGAAAGCTTTTGGTTTTTATGGGAGAAATTATATTATTGAAGTAGAAGTAATGGAGGTAATTAGAGCGTGTTAATGTGAGAGCAGCTGAACCGAAATTTTGGATAAAAGCAAACACCTGTATTGCCTTAATTTGAACTAATTCCAGTTCCAGTTCTAGTTCCACTCAAAGAGAAGGAAAACTGACCAGAAGCTCACTAATCGTTGCACTTGTATCGTTGCTTAGTTTCCTAGAAGCAAAAAAATGCATTCCTTTTCATTTTAATCATTTAGATATTTGTACCGTTTCTATCCTTTGTCAACTCTTATATGAGTCTTCTCGTCTACGCTCAGCCAGGATTCAATTCAGAGACAGGAGTGTATCGCGTAACCATTTTGCAAGACCCTAGATCATAAAATCCAAAGTCAACCCGCGATATTCAAAGCATAGGGTTTTAAGGTGTTTTGGTACCTATATAGTCTTTGTTTTGTTTGAAAAGATTTTTTCCTGGAGTTTTTTTGTTCGTTTACATAAATTACATGAACGAATCCAAACTTTTGAACGCTGTATTTTAAACGTATGGAAATGTATACATAATGAAGCAAATCAAGCGAAGACTTATAATTCTGACTACACTCAGGCGAGATATTCAATGTGAAAGTTTATTTAGGATGAGTCAGCCAGTCTTGTAATCTACACATCCTGCTACAATCTACAATGTACTGCAAGTATTCACTGAAACAGAAGGGTTATACTAAAATAGGCTGCACTACGCCAGATACGAAAAACCACTAAAAAACCACTCTTCAGAAGTGGCCAAAAAATATGTGGAAACGTATTCCTCATCTAATGCAGCAGCACTATACCCCGAGGAAAGGGTAACTAAAATAAACCTAGTTACACTACTAATCACACAGAAAATACAATTAAAGCAGTGATATTTTACAGAGAGTTGTAAAAAAATTACATTAAATAAAAAAAAAAGAAAGTGGTCAAACCTAAGACTGACCGACGTAGAATGACCTAATTTCCCCGTGAAACGCTTTAATAATCCGAAACTACCGTGTTGCCACGCGAATCTCTTCAACGTGCCGTCAGAATATCAATTTCTGACTAATTCGTTCCCATGCCACTCAAACGTCAGAAATTACATTTTCCGTACTTGCCCTCGAAGGGGGTTGGCTGTGAGGGAGCATGATAAGAGGAGTTATTTAATCTGGAAATGCAGAACTTTGGAGTACTCTCTCAATGCACGATTATTCACTCTAACCGGTTTCGATGAACTTGTAGAAACTCGGTAAAAAGTCCTCCATTGCTTCGTAAAGTATATTTCTCAAAAATATGGCCGTCTTTCCATGCTTCTGATGGGAAAGTTACCCTGAAAACAAGTGACAGAGCAGTTTTGAAAGCTACCTGAACATTCATTTGATCCGAAGGGAAAATATTTAGTGCATGATTAAAATTCTATTTTTATTTTCCAATGTGTGGGTGTTTCGGGGATTTAATTATCGTCCATTTCTCCCGTCCATTGCCAAAAATAAAAAGACACCTTCCTAGAGCTTATCGAAAAGCACGCAATCGCGATTGTTAAATGCACGATGGACCCACGTGCTCCCCACAACCCTGAAAAATGTGTATTTGTTTAGTATGATCAATATTATTTATTAATTTTCTTAAAATTTTTTTTGACGTTGATCCTCTTCCATTTCGTCACTTGTCCGAGCTTGAGTTTCAATTATTTAGTGATTTTGCGAGGTGAAAGTCTGGGCAACGGAAAAAGTACGGAGCGGTTCTTCGAAAAAATTGATAAAAACTCAATATTACTCTTTATTCGATCCTTTTCAAGTACACATCACACTTGTCTGAACTGGAATTTTCCTTTCTGTGTGACTGTACAAACCAAAAGCGGAAAACTATTGAGCGGCGCGTGAAAGAAAGGTTAGAACAGGTTGTCCGAGTTCAGTTATGGCGGGATTTTAGAACAAGAGAGTGCTCTCGTGTCATAATTGAATTGTTCCATGCTAATTATCTTGCACATTTGAAAGATTAGAAGAGATTAACCTTCCGTTGGATGTGAGATTAGATCTTTCCCAACCAAAGGATAGAAACCTGCTATTGTGTGATGAGAAGAGGTATGCCCGAAAGGTGAACGAAACAGAAAGTGTAATGTATACGCAAACCTCGCTCTCCTGAAAGGTTTTTACGACCAATTTCTAAACTCGATTTTAAGGTATGACTCCAAAAATGCCTAATGTTCATCGTAGTCACCATGGAAGGGCTAAAGCAACCCAACAACCCCAAATTTTGAGGCGTTGTATTCAAACATATCATGAATAAACAACAGTTGTGAAGTTTTTCGTCGGACGCCGAAGGTTGACTGATGTTCGTGTGGATCGTGTGACTCGCTCCCACGCTTGCGTGACACTGGTGCCAATATATTCACAACAAAACAGCTGAGTTCTGATCGCCTCGCGTATCAAAGAAATAGGTATCTTTTTGTCGTTCGCCAAGTCATTATTAAACTCGCGACAAAAATTCCAGTTTCTGATTCTCTAGAGGCCCTTGCCATGAGGCAAGAAGCCCAGAGGTTCGAGTCAGTCAGCCCAAATATTCAATCTCTGTACGACCTCTTAGAGAGAATCGACAACGTCCCTCTAAAACGGAAAATTCGAGAGCTCGTCAATCGTATAGAGGGTAAGTAGAGAACTTCAAGTTTTTATGCCTCGAAAATACATTGCAACGTTCGAGAAATTCCTTGAAAATCTTGGTTCTCCCGTTTTACATCTTTGTCGCTTACCACAACGAATCTTCCCGCTAACTAATATTCGAAACAAAAAACAAACTAAGTTCATTCAGCGAAGTTTTAACAGGCTCGGAAAGTGTCGTCGCTGCTCAATATCACCACACGACGAGTTACAGACGAGAAATTCACCGCTCGGTTCCTGGATGAGGTGGTTGTATTAATATTACGAGTGTGCACGTGAGTGTTTAAGTTCCCCGGTAAAACACTCCCGTCCGTATAATAACTGTGGTTACTAAAGAGGTTGTAAATACGATTTTGACTTTTTAATTCGCGCAGATTTTTGCACTACTTTCCTTTGTGCATAGTGCTTTTCAATAAAGCAATAGAAGGCTTTTTCCGTGTTCACACGGCCTCATTTACATATATGGGTGAGGGAGGGGTGGGAGAGTCCCTCTAAGTTATTCATCCCGGGTTTGTTAAAAGTCGCATTTATTTTGCTTCAAGTCAAGCTGTTATGCAAATGATCACAACTTCAGGCTTATAAAAAGTTGAGTAAACTGTTTTTATTAAAGGCAGAACTATACTGTATCAATTATCTGTGCATATACCACTAGCGTATTTTTTTTTACAAATGTGAAGATTTTAATGGGAACCAAAAAATAAAACGGAAATGCATGTTACGAAGTGGCAGGTTTGCTGGGGCGTTGGAAAGGTCTGGGACCCTAAACGTAATAAACATTTTCTGAACCCTGGCATCCGAAGAGCGTAAATTATAGAATTTACTAGTGAGTTAGCTAAGAACATAGATTCATGTCCGAAAATTTAATCATTCAGCCTATTCCTTTTCTTTTTTCCTTCCATAAAGGCGAATCTAATAAAATAGAACTTTTTCGACGTTCACTGAATAAACGGAATGCTTTGTCACTAGTGATCTTTATTGCTTGAAGGAAATTTATGGCCTCCAAAAAAAAAAAAATTAAACCGATCTACGAGAAATACAGTAGAGAGACCTGCTCCTCTTGTCGGAGCTGTTATTAGAAATACGGTTGTTGTTGTTGTTTCCGCTCTTAAAATTTCAAAGACACATCTCTTTTTTTTATTTTCCACACCCAGAAGTTTAATCATTGTCTTTTCTCGTTTGGGAGAAATTTCTTCCTTTTTCAATATCTTTTTCGTCGCGTTACCATTATCATAAGATTATCAGTGACATATTTCTGTCCATATTGATTCAATTTGCCTCATCTCATCGAAGGCAGAATTTGCAAACGAATTTTTTGAACTTACCTCACTGATAACGAAAGTGTTTCTATTCTTTAACAAATAGAGTTTAAGTCAAATGCAGAAAGGGCGGTTTTCAAATAGAAAAGAAAGCAGCATGCTGAGGAAGAGTGCAATGCAGACTAAACCTATCATTATAAGAACTCCAATTTAGTTTTTCCGAATGATTGACAGATAATAGCTGAAAGGAGAACGACATTTTTAGTGCAGCTGAATAAGACTTACAGACAGAAGCATCCGCCTAAACTCCGCAATTGTTAGTGTAATTAAAGTCCCTGTATCGTCGTAAATCCACCTTCAAAACAGCCGAATGTAGAGAATCATCATAAGCACTCCAAACGAGTGGAAATAAATAGTTTGTAAAATCCTTCAATGGAGGTTTGCAAGCTTTTGGTTTTTTCGGGAGAAATTATATCATTGAAGCTTACTGACTTTGAATGAGTTTTTTAGAAATAAGAGGTGCATTTCTAATTTGTTTTTCCTTTTTAAAGGAGTTTGGGTAAACTCGAGAAGTCAAACTATGTAATGGCGGCTCTTGCGGCAAGATGTAACTTGATTGGCACTGCGAAAGTCAGATAGAGAAATAGAGTTGAGAATTTTATCCGATTAATCACAAATTCAGATTGTCGGTAACCATAGCAACAGAATTATATTTGCTACCTTTCTTTTGTACTTTGACTCATTTTCAATCGGTGTAATTGGTGTAATACATATCCAGAAGTTTGATGATTCAGCCTCTCTCTCCCTTTTTCGAACAAATTTCTTCTTTTCTGATTTATTAACTTTTCTTTGTGTGTTACCTCGCTACTCGCTGGCCTGACCAATTTGGTATTAAGGTAAGGTTGTATGTCTGATAATTTCCGTCTAGAGCTATATGATGACGTGCGATAAATCTCGCTGCTTAATAACGTTTGAGCGGGAAAATTTTCCGATTAAAACGGTTTGAACATCATCATTTAATGATTTGTTGTAGTTTGTACCGTTTCTATCCTTAATCAACTCTCATACCACTAAAAAATAAAATGGAAATGCATGTTGCTCAACTGAGAAGTTAAAGTTATTTAAAAGAAAAACTTCATCAATAGTTTTGCTACCATTTATCTACGCTCTTTAAAGGTTACGAAGAGACAGGTTTGCTGGGGCGATACGAATAAGGTCTAGGACCCTGTAAACTAGCTGTAATAAACCCTCTCTAAATCCAGGCATCCGAAGAGCGTAAATTATAGGATTTACAAGTGAGTTAGCTAAAAAAATAGAACCAGCACAGACATCTGAATATAAACATTCATAAAACAAGTGGAGAAAAGGAGGAGATATGCTCCACATATCATCGCTGGTAGAAGCAAAGTAACGATACAAGTGAGACGATAAGCGCAGTATCTGTCAGTTTGCTTTCTCTTTTGTACCTAGATTGGAATTGGGGATGACAACTACATCGTACTTTGATAATAATGAGGGTGCAAGATACACAGATAACAAAAAGAGAAACTGCATAAAATAGGAGATACAAGAAGGCATTAATTACCACCAGATCAGAAATTTCCCATAAGAAAATATGAGCGACTTCTCTAACAATAGCTATTAACCAAATGACAATAATTATGGCTCTATGAACCCATTTCCTCACAAAGCGATGTCTGAATGGACAAAATGTTGCGTCTAAACGTTCTAAGGAAATAGCAATAAGATTTGTAAGGGAAGCGAAAGTGTAACTTGATTCGCAATGCGAAAGTCAGATATAGAAATAGAGTTGACAATTTTATCGTGATTAAGCACCAATTAAGATTGTCGAGGACGATAGCAACAGAATTATATTTGCTACCTGTCTTTCGTGCTTTGACTCATTTTCACTTTCCTTTTTTTAAGTGTGTAATACATATCCAGAAGTTTGATGATTCAGTCTCTCTCTCTTTTTGGAGCAAATTTCTTCTTTTTACAACAATACGACATTCTTTTGACATACTCTGAATAAGCAAAATCTTTTGTACAAGAGATCTCAATTGCCTTAAGGTTACTTCCCACCTTTGCGGGTGTCCTTTGACAAAAAAATCGTAGGCGCGCTAGTTTCACTGACATGCCTTGCAAGCTATATATCAGAAGAAAGCTTGATAACTGCAGTATACGATTAAAATATATAATAAAAGCTAGTTTTTCCCTTAGGAAGTGTCAGGAGCCGGTAAAGCATGAAACGACCGATGGTTCTTCCGTTGAATTTATTGGGCAGCACGAGCAAAATGGGATATTTGAGCTCATTAAGGTTCGCAAACGACTCGCGCCACGCCAGGAGATTATCTCGCCTCCTGAAAACGCAAACCAATGGGACAACGAGACCTTCTGGTGTCAATGACAATGGATCAAGATTTTCCGGAAAGGTTACCTATGGCAGACACGCTTTTTTATGTCCATCGCTCACAAAAAGGGGCAAAGAAAAACCCGCGGTAAAAATGGAAAAACCGAAAAATGTGCTGAGAAGTAAGACAACGAATCGACATACAGCTTTCAAATGTACGATTCGGGGCGATTGTTAATGTTTTTGTATCAAGGCTGGTACTTGCATGAAAATAAAAGGAAAACTCGTTTTTAACTTTTTGTATGACAAGTTTTGGTTTGACGGCGACTACTATGTTCTCCACCTTGGAGTCCGCCAGCACTAGTCGACAGAATGGTACTCTTTCTTTATTTCTTGTTTAGGCCCGTTTTTTTCTTTTTCTTTTTCTTTTCTTATCAAGGACTTTCTTCTGATTTTAATTTTTTCATGAGCAAAGATTTTTCCATAGGCAAAGAGCTTCCACGTAAGAAGTTCGACAAGTGCGTGACGTAAACAAAATTATGCAAATAACATGAAACAGCGAGCTTCAAGATGAGTGGTTGCCGCAAATATTTCCCAAGGCATGACACTTTCCTGACTTATTAACTTTTCTTTGGAAATACGAGTTTTCTTTGAAAATCGGGTACTTTTGAGATTTCAATTTTTTTTCTTTGGAAACGTTAGGTAAAATTTTTTAATTAAGTTTAGTCAAATAATTAAGTTTAGTCAGCATGGAGGCCCTTGACGCTCTCGGCAAGGACTTTGTTTTCGAGAGAGATTTCGACTGCATTATACTCTGAAGATACAAGAGTATCATTTAATGCTTGAAACGATTGAATAGATATTTTGATAATACATTTCTGGCGTCTCAACTAAGGAGCTCCTTCGATATGAAATATCATTTCAGTAAGTCCTAAACATCAGGTGAGTGTGGGAACTTATCTAGTGAAATTTCTGTGCGAGGGTACGATTTGTATTCGGCGTTATTTGCGAAAAGGGAAAGAAATTCTACTCGCTGGCCTGACCAATTTGGTGTTAAGGTAATGTTGTATGTCTGATAATTTCCGTCTAGAGCTATATGATGATGTGCGATAAATCTCGCTGCTTGATAGCGTTTGAGCGAAACATTTTTCCGATTAAAGCGATTTGAGCATTATCATTTAATGAAATTCTAAGAAAACAGGCTATTCATTGGCATTTCCTGGTGCAGGATAACATGCGATGAACTTCGTGTCTTTCTTGAGTTAACTGAGGGTGAACAGTGAATTTGCCATCCGTTTTCAGATATCAGAAAACGTTAGTGTAATGTTGAATTTTTCAGTCTTTCACCATTTCGGAAAATTAACGGTGAGCGAGGGTTTTTTTGCCGTGCTTGCTGTTGTTTGCGGTGTTATTTTCCGGAGTGGACATACCATTACAACATTTTCGTTGGCCTTTAGAAATCGAAAATACATGGTTTTGGTGAAAAACTTCATCCTTTTTAACTCTTAACCACTGTTGAGTCGTGTGTATTTATAGAGTGGGTCAGCAAATCTGCACTGTATGTCGCGCGAGGGGCAAGAGAAAATGGTTGACTCCCCGCGAGTGAAGCCGACGCTCTAGGTCGGTGTCGATCCTTTATTATCCTTTGTAAACAAAATTTCGATCATTGAGTTAAATTATAAAAATTTCTTTGGCTTACATTGTGCGCTTTTAAGTTAACATGAGTTGTTAGTTCCACGCGAGGGTCTCACCTTGAAAAATGCAAGCACGCTAGTGAAGCTGACATTAACGCCTGTCCCTATCTGGAATACATTCGTATTATGACAAGAAAGGTCTGATTAAAGGTTTTCGGTTACTCTGTACATGCAATTTGGACGCCAAAAAGTGCCAAAAAAGTAATTACCGAAAGTTCATCCGAATCGCATTTATCGTACTATGGGCGCGAACTCAGTTCTTCTCTTCCGCCTCAGCCTAATTTGAATAAATATTTTTGGTGGGCAAAACTCGTCATGAACAGGAACAATAGGCAAGCTATACTACACCTGTCAGTCGTTAATTCAAAGAAAGGTCCGGATCTAAGTGAACCCAAATGGCCGGCAAAACAGCTTCGTTTGGAGAACTAATACCTGAATATTAAATAAATGGAGAGGAATAGTTTCTAGACACCTTGAATGGAGTGTTGAAAACTTTTGTTGTTAACAGGAGAAGTTACATCACTGAAGAAGGCAATTTAACTGCCTGAGAAAACATTTCAAAATTGAAATACGAGGCATTTTCTCGTGTTAGTATTTATGAATGGTCCACAAAATTCTCTCTTTTCCTATAAAAAACTTCTCTGGTCGATTTTATATTTCTTATGCCTGTTTATCAAAAATAAACTTCTCCTGTAAACTTGGTTCCTTGTTATATTCAGTTCAAGAAATCGCCTAACTTAACTCAGGTTATTAATTACAGCTGTGGATGTTATTTCCAATTAAGTATTCGCAAGATACATGGGTAGAAGTTTTACGAACAGAAATCTTTAAAGCGGTGATAAAGACAGTGCATCTTATAATATGGAGTTACATAAAAATTGCGTTGTTGAAAGTTGGTAATAATTTCTTAATTAAAGACTTTATTTTCTTACAAGGTAGGTCATAAGTAAAGCAAACATACTGGACAAGACTTCAAAGTTTAATCATAAATTAGACAGTCTTATTGTTTTAAAACTAATACAGTTGTAATCTCATATCTTAAATTAAAAATACTTTCATAAGTAAGACATTTATTGACAGTCTTGCCTGTCACTGTCCCACAGGCGGGATCGTAATTAAAGCATGTTAAGTTGAGTACAGCTGAACCGAAATTTGGATGGAAGCGTACACTTGCTGTATTGAGTTAATTTGGACGAAGCTCTCTACTTTATCGTACTTAAACTGCATAATACAATCGAAGATGAGCTATTTCCTAGATCCCAGAGTTGAATTTTTAAAAGCTGTCGGTTAGTACCTGAAAATATATAATATTAAAGGAGAAAAGTGACTCAGCCGACAAAACGTTCGAAAATAGAACAACACGGTGACATTTATTTCTTTAGATCTATCGGTGCATTTTTACTTAATTTAAGAGTAACTCCAATGGGAAAATAAAGTATTCTCTCTTCATAATGATTCCGATTTTTTTTATACTGGCTATTTGAAGATTCCTCGATGATTTTTCCGTTCCACTCAAAGAAAAACCTAACTAACCGGAAGCTCACTAACCGTTGCACTTATATCATTGTTTAGTTTTCTAGGTGCGTCACTTTTAATTTTAATCATTTCGATGTTTGTACCGTTTCTATCCTTAGTCTACTCTCATATCACCAAAAAATGAGATGGAAATGCATGTTGCTCGGCTAAGAAGTTAGAGTTATTTAAAAGAAAAATTTTATATATAGTTTTCCTACCATCAATCTACGCTTTCCTAAGGTTGCGTATTGGCAGGTTTGCCGGGGCGATACGAGAAAGGTCTGGGACCCTGTACACTAGTTGTAATAAACCTTCTCTAAATCCTGGCATCCGAAGAGCGTAAATTATAGGATTTACAAGTGAATTACCTAAAAATAAAACTAACATAACCATTTCAATATGAACATTCATAAAATAAGTGAAGAGAAGGTTAAGACATGCTATATATATTGTCCCTGGTAGAAGACAAAGTAAAGATACAAGTGAGACGATAAGTGCAGCACCCGTCAGTTTGCTTTCTCTTCTGGACCTAGAATGGATTTGAGGATGACGACTACATCGTACTTTGATAACAATGAGGATGTAAGATACACAGATAACAAATAGGAAAACTGCATAAAATAGGATATAGAAGTAAGTATTAATTACCTCAAAATAACCAATTTCCAATAAGAAAATTTGAGCGACCTCTCTAACAATAGCTATTAACCAAATGACAATAATTATGGCTCTATAAACCCATTTCCTCACAAAGCGATGCCTGAATGGACAAAATGTTGCGTGTAGCCGTTCTAAGGAAATGGCAATAAGATTTGTAAGGGAAGCGAACGAGAATAAATGCAAAAATGTAAAAGATAAACGAGAAGACCAAAGAGTATCTCGTCTGTACTTCCACAGCGAACAGTACCCCGCCATTTTGTATTCAATCTGTAGCAGGCCAGAGACTGCGCCCACTAAGAGATCGACTATCGCCAGATGGATGATCAAATATGTACTACGCCGCTGTAGCTGCCGCATCTTCTTCACAAATACCACAATAGTGATGATATTGAGGATGAAAATGGCCAGACATTCGATGATGAGGACCACAAGCCATGGAATGCACTCTGAAGCTAAGGCGAAAGGGTACATTTTCTCTGAGCTCTGTTAACTGCTATGAAAATAACAGAAAACAGTGCAGTTAGAGATAAAATGGAATATGAAATCAATATTCTCAATAACGAAATATGTCAAATATTGTTTTTCATGTTTTTTAACGTGTTTTGACCAACTAAGTTTCGACCGTCGACTTAAATTGATCCTCATGTTTCTTTATGCGAGATTCATATCCGGAAATTTAATCATGATCAGCCTGTTCCTTTTTTTTTTTTTTTTTTTTTTTTTGATAAAAACGAATTACTTCCTCAGAAGAAAACTTATAGTCTCTAAAAAAAGATGACAACAAAATAATTTTCAAATCTTCCGGAAATACAGTGAATGACCTGCTCCTCTCCTCAGAGCTGCTATTAGAAATACGGTTGTTGTTGATGCCGCCTTAAAAAATTAACTGTAGGTACGGTGAAATATAAATAACATTTTTAACAGCAAAAACATCTCTTATGTTTTATTTGCCACACTCAGAAGTTTAATCATTGTCCTTTCTCGCTTTGGATAAATTTCTTCCTTTGTCAATATCATAAGCAACAAGCGTGAGAAAGATATCTTTCTCGTCCCGTTACGATTATAAAGATTATCAATGACATATTTCCGTCCATATTGATTCAGTTTTGCTCATCTCACCGAAGGTAGAATTTGCAAACCAATCTTAGGAATATTTTGAACGTGCCTCACTGATAACGAAAGTGTTTCTATCCTTTAACGAATTGAGTTAAAGTCAAATGCAGAAAGGGCGGTTTTCAAATAGAAAAGAAAGCAGCATGCTGAGGAAGAGTGCAATGCAGACTAAACTTATCATTATTAGAACTCCAATTTAGTTTTTGCGAATGATTGACAGATAATAGCTGAAAGGAAAACGACGTTTTCAGAGCAACTAAACAAGCATTACAGATAAAAGCATCCACCTGAACTTCGCGATTTTTAGTGTGTTTAAAGTCCTGTATCGTCGTAAATCCACCTACAAAACAGCTGAATATAGAAAATCAACATAAGCACATCAAACGAGTGGAAATAAATAGTTTCTAAAATCCTTGAATAATGGTTTGAAAGCTTTTGGTTTTTACGGGAAAAACTATGTCATTGAAGCGGAAGTAAGGGAGGTAAGCATCATCATTTATAGGCATCAAAAGAAACAATCCAACATTTTAAAAACTTTTCCACATGCTGTAATACGATAACAAAGATGGCAAGAGGAGATCAAGTCCTCTCTTCAACATGATAAATATTGTACTCAGTAATGAAACAGGAAGATCTTTTAATCGTCTCGTCACGAACGTGTAACGAAGGAACAAGCTTTTCGCAAGGTCTCAAAATCCTCAACCGTTTCATAGGCATTAAAAGAAGGAAACAAAACCAAAATTCTAAAATTTTCCACAGGCTTACAGAGGATTTCCAATAACCTCTCTCCACCCATTTTAACTCGCTTTACCTCCTCTCCCCAAAACCAGAGTTTGTAAACGAATTAAATTTTACTAACATACCTCACTGATAACGAAGTACCTCGATCCTCTAAAAAATAAGTTCGGGTCAAATTTGACCAAAGGCGGTTTTCAGAATGAATAAGAAAACAACAAGCCTCGGAATAGAGATAGAGAATAAACACACCACTATCAAGACTCGAAATTAGCTTTCAAAATGTTTGACATATGACATCTAGATGTCGTACGACGTTTTGACTGCAGCTGAACAGGAACAACAAGTAAGCTACACTACACCTGTGGGTCGTTAATTCAAAGAAAGTTCCGTATCTATGTGAACCCAAATCGCCGGCAAAACAACTTCGTCTGGAGAATCAATATCTGAATATCAAATAAATGACAACGGGATTGTTTCCAGAAACCTTGAATGCAGTTTTGAAAGCTTTTGATGTTTACAGGAGAAGTTATATCACTGAAGAAGGCAATTTAACTGGCATAGAAAACATTTCAAAATCGAAATACGAGGCATCTTTTTTAATGTTTTTAATTTTGGTTCACAAAATTTTCTATTTTCCTTAAAAAACTGCTTTAGTCGATGTTTCATTTAATAAATTTTTTTCTTTGATTTTAAGTTGAAAAGTTATGGCAGCATGATCTAAGGTGTTAAGACTAGAACTAACGGTGATATCAAAAAAATAAACTTCTCTTGAAAGCTTGGCTCCTTATTATATTCAGTTCAAGGAATTGCTTATCGTAACTCAAGTTATTAATGACAGCTTTGGATTATATTTCCAATGAAGTATTCGCAAGATAACTGCGTAGAAGTTTTATGAACAGAAATCTTTATAGCGATAATAAAGACTGCATCTTTTCACATGTAGTTACATAAAGACTGCGTTGTTGAAAGTTGGTGATAATTTATTAATTAAAGACTTCATTTTCTTACAAGGTAGGTCATAAGTAAAGCAAACATACTGGACAGGACCTCAAAAGAATAATCATAAATTAGACAGTCTTATTTTTTGTTGTAATATCATAGCTTAAATTAAAAACTATTTTAATAAATAAGACATTATGAAGACATGCGTTTCATTGTCTCACACGTGGGATCGTAAAGGAGGTAATAAGAGCATGTTAATTTGAGTGCAGCTGAACCAAAATTTTGGGCAGAAGCATAAACCTGTATTGCGTTAATTTGGACTAAGTCCTTTACTTTATCATAGTCAAACTGCAAAATACTATCGGATATGAGCTATTTCCTAGATCATAGAGTTGAATTTTTTAAAAACTGTCGGTTAGTAACTGAGAATATGTAACATTAAAGGAGAAAAACGATAGGTTAATTCAGTCGTCATCGTCGATTATTTTCCATTCCACTACAAGAGAAAGAAAACCCTCCGGAAGCCCATTATTAATCGTTGCACTTGTATCGTTGTTTAGTTTTCTATGAGCAACAAAATGCATTGCTTTTCATTTTAATCATTTACATGTTTGTACCGTTTTTATTCTCAGTTAACCCTTATGTGAGTCTTCTCGTCTAAGTAAAGCAAACATACTGGACAGGACCTCGAAAGAATAATCATAAATTAGACAGTCTTATTTTTTGTTGTAATATCATAGCTTAAATGAAAAACTATTTTAATGAATAAGACATTATGAAGACATGCGTTTCATTGTCTCACACGCGGAATCGTAAAGGAGGTAATAAGAGCATGTTATGGGATATTGATCAAATGAAGCCTTTAAGTGCTACTGTGGTTCCTTCTTTCTTTATTCACTCCGAGCTTTCGCCGTTCTACGGCATCATCAGGGAGGACGATAAAATATTTGCGCTATGTACACCACCACAAATATTTGCGCTATGTACACCACCACAGACCAAACTGCCCCATCGCAGACACCAATTTATGCCTACAGAGAAACACCGTTTATCAGCTCACGTGCAAAGCTTGTGGCGAATATTACATTGGAAGCACGACACGATTCCTACATGATCGAACAAAAGAACACTTGACCAACGACAACTCGTCGGTAAAAAAACATCTCACAACACACCATCGCAACAACGGCCATAACATTGAAGTCAAAGTAATCACGCGTCAATCTGCGATTGTACGAAGCGTATTACATCAGAAAGCACAAGCCGGGACTGAACTCCCGTGAGGAATGCACTGAACTTAACGATCTTCTATTTTAATGATATATTTTAATGAGCTATTTTAATTAACGGTTTTAACACATATTTTAGAACATTTTATCACGCCATTAGTTTTCATGCGTCCTACTGGCTAGTTTTACACTATGCTAATTTACAGTGGCACCTCCAACGTTTAAAACTATAGCGCAAATATTGATGATGCCGTAGAACGGCGAAAGCTCGGAGTGAATAAAGAAAGAAGGAACCACAGTAGTTCTTAAAGGCTTCATTTGATCAATATCCCACATCATTACGACATGCTACTAAAGGACACGTTCAAACGTTAAGAGCATGTTAATTTGAGTGCAAATGAACCGAAATTTTGGATAGAAGCGTACACCTGTATTTCGTTAATTTGGACCAAGTTTTTTACTTTCTCATAGTCAAACTGCAAAATGCTATCGGAGATAAGCTATTTCCTAGATCCTAGAGTTAAATTTTTCTAAAAACTGTCGTCTAGTAACTGAGAATATATAACATTATAGTGGAAAAATTATAGGTTAATCCAGTCGTCATCGTCGATTATTTTCCATTCCACTACAAGAGAAAGAAAACCCTCCGGAAGCCCATTATTCATCGTTGCACTTGTATCGTTGTTTAGTTTTCTATGAGCAACAAAATGCATTGCTTTTCATTTTAATCATTTACATGTTTGTACCGTTTTTATTCTCAGTTAACCCTCATGAGTCTTCTCGTCTACGCTCGGCTAGAATTTCGATGCCAGGATTCAAAGACTAGATTGTATCACGTAACCATATTGCAAATCCCAGATCATACAATATCCAAAGACAATACGCGATATTTAAAGCGTAGTGTTTTAAGGTGTTTTTGGCTCCTGTAGTCTTTGTTTTGTTTGAGACGATTTTGTTTATGCGTTTATTCGCATAATTTACATATACGAATCTAAACTTTTGAAGACTGTATTTTGAACGTATGGAAATGTATACATAATGAGGCAATTCAAGTGAGGAGTTATTATCATATTGCTGTACTACGAATGGGGTGGGGAGTGGGGGTGTGTGATAAAAGGAGTTTTTTAAACCGGAAATGCAGAACTTTGGAGTACTTGCTCAATGCACGATTAAACACCCTGACCAGTTTCGGTGAACTTGTGGAAACTCGGGAAAAAGTTTTACATTGCTTTTGTAAAGTATATTTCTCAAAAATACATACGTGTTTAGAACGTAATAAATATAGACTCTCATCTAAACACTTTTATGGATCACGTACGTTAACTCTATAAAACTGCAGGAGTCTTACTTCTGTTTGCCAACCAATCCGAAACCTAGATATTATAAAGCCAGTAGTCCATAAAACGAAGCCTGGTTTACTGCGGTAATAAGTTTTCAGTAAGAAAAACAATTTGATAGGAGGTCGTCCATGCAGGATAACTCGAATAGCCTCGGAATAAAACCTACTTTAAAAGTAAAGATGAAAAACGGTACAGTTTTGCAAGAATATCGTAACCCGTAACTGCCAAAAAGTTGAAGGTAGGAGCAATTTTTTAACCGTTGGATAAGGACTCTTTTTCTCCCTAAGAGGCGGGGCTGCAGGGGGCTGTGTCAACTTCAGAGGTCATTAGTTATGGCGGCTCTAGCGGCAAGGTGTCTCTTGATTCGGATTGGGTTAGTCAGCTGATATCAGAATTGAAATTTTTATCACAACCAATTACCAGGATTGTTAGTGACGATAACAAAAGAATTCAGTTTCCTCGGCCTGAATGAAATAACAGGGTATCGATTTATGTAAGCTGAACCTTGATGTTGCCGCTATGGCAAAATGAAGCCTAGCTCTTTTCCTCGTTTCAGTTATCCGTCCACAGTTATAATTTGAAAGAACGCAAAAACTGATGGTACAAAGTCTTTTTTAGTGAAACAAACACTCGCTGTCTGAACACATCAAATTCAAATATCCCTCGTACTTTCCAACCATTGTGAACCACCCCAACGCAAGTGAAAATGCAAACGCAAGCGTCAACGCAAGGAATAAACAAATTTTCACTCTTGAGTGCATTTGCGTTCGCTTCCCACACGTGTGAATCGGTGAAAGCTCAATCATTGTCGGCCATCTTGTAAAGATACTTCTACTGCGCTTGCGTATCTCTCTTTCCTTGTGTTTGCTTTGGACCTGGACAATGTTTCTTTTATGTTGAGCCGTTCTGTTTTCATTTCACGACGTTCTACCCTTCTCCATAAAAAAAAATGATAAATAGAATAAAAGGTCTGCGTTTTGGACTCTTTTGTTCGACTGGTCGAAAAATTAGGGATATTACACGGTGGCGAGAGTTTATAAATTTTTTGTTCGAGTGGCAAGAACAATATCTAACGAGTGAGCGCAGCAAACGAGCAAGATATTAATAATATCACGAGAACATCTTATTCACTTTCATTTTATTATGTGGACAATAAATACACGTGGTTGAGATTGTAAACCTGGCTTTAATATTAATACTGGGCCTTAACAGAAACAAAATTCCCGGTGTCTGATTATAAAAAGATTTTAAAATATGTGGAGTCTAGTTATAAAAAGGTCTAAAAAGGTTTTCGAGTGGCAAAAACAATATCTAACTAGTGAGCGCAGCAAACGAGTGAGATATTACTCATATCACGAAAACATCAAATTCATATCTTTGAACCTATAATTTTAATTTTATTATATGGACAACAAATATACGTGGTTGAGATTGTAAAACATGGCTTTATCTTTAATACTGGGTATAAATAGAAACAAAACTCCTGGTGTCTAAATATAAAAAAGTTTGAAAATAACACCGTCAGTTAGGCCAAGATGCATGTAAGCTGGTTTTATAAGCTTAATTAAAATTCGATAACCGACTCTGACTAAAATCATTAGATACTTTTATTTTCAGCCTCTCTTCACTACAAACCTTTGAAGGCTGTTCAATACGGAGAGATAAAAATTGACCTATGTTTAGTCGCAGCTTTCGGAAAATTCCCTGAAAATCTTAGTTTTCTCGTTACCTTGTTGTTCGAGAAATGCATTTACATCTTCGTCGCTTACCACAACGAATCTTGCCGTCAGTTAATATTCCAAACGACAAACAAACAAAATTCACTCAGCAAAGTTTAAAGAGACTCAAATCCTGACATCGTTGTTCAATATCACCACACCACTTGTTACATACGAAAAATATGCCACTCGGTTCCGGGATGTGGTGGTCGTACTGAGATTACGAGTGTGCACGTGAGTGTTTCAGTTCCCGTTAAAACACTCCTGTCCATATGATAGCTGTGGTCATTCAAGAGGTTGTAGATACGATTTTTACTTTTTCACTCGCGCACATTTTTGTATCGCTTTGCTTTGCGCAAAGTGCTTTTCAATTAGGCAATAGAGGACTTATTTAATGTTCACGCAGCCTCCTTAACATTTGAGGCATTTCCCGGGCTTGTTGAAAGTCGCATTTATTTTGGTTCAAGTCAAGCTGTCATGCTAATGATCACAACGTCGAGTAAGTTGAGTATACTGTTTTTATTAAAAGGCAAAATTATGGTGTATCAATTATCTGTTACCTGCGTAGTTTTTCTTATTGTTAAGATTTTAATGGGAACCAAAAAATAAGATGGAAATGCATGATGCTCGACTAAGAAGTTAAAGTTTTTTAGAAACAAACTTCATCAATAGTTTTCCTACCATTTATCTACGCTCTCCTAAGGTTACGAAGTAGCAAGTTTGCTGGGCCATCAGAAAGGTCTGGGACCCTGTAAACTAGCTGTAATAAAGATTTTCTGAATCCTGGCATCCGAAGAGCGAAGAGCCATAGTATTTTCTTTGTTAGAGATGACTTTGTCCTAGAGTTTTTGCGTTCATTCACATAATTTACGTAGACGAATCCAAACTTTTGAAGACTTTATTTTAAACGTATGGAAATATATACATATACGTATGGAAATATATACATAATGAGGCAATTCAAGTGAGGAGTTATTATTATATTGCCATACTTTCTCTCGAATGGGGTGGGGGAGCATGATAAAAGGAGTTATTTAAACCCGAAAAGCAGAACTTTGGAGTACTTGCTCAGTGCACGATTATTCACCCTGGCCAGTTTCGGTGAACTTGTGGGAACTCGGGAAAAGGTTATCCATTGCTTTTGTAAAGTATATTTCTCAAAACTACACACGTGTTTGGAACGTCATAACGATAGACTCTCATCTAAACACTTTATGGATCACGTACTTCAACTCTTTAAAACTGCAGGAGTCTTACTACTGTTTGCCAATCAATCCATAACCTAGATATGATAAACCCAGTTGTAAAACGAAGCCTGGATGGAATGTTTCTTGATGCCTTTCTTATGAAATGTACAGTAAGATTTTAATTTCGGCAAGATAATTTGCTCTTTTATCAACATTAATATTCTTTGCACTGAAGTAGCTGGTCTAATACACTGAACTATAAGACTCGTATATTGATGGCTTTGTTGAAAATTCCTTTTTTGAACTAATCAGCCTTTTTGAAACATAGGAATCCCAATTTATATGTGGTTGCAGTGGCTAAGTTTTCTGGCTCAATATCATCACATCACGGGTTACATAAGAAAAATACGCCACTCGGTTTAGGGATGTGGTGATCGTATTGATATTACGAGTGTGCACATTTTTGCATCGCTTTGCTTTGCCTAAAGTGCTTTTCAATTAGGCAATAGAACACTTTTAGTATTTACGCAGCCTCGTTAACATATGACAGTCCCTCAGTTCCCGTTAAAACACTCCCGTCCATATGATAGCTGTGGTTATTCAAGGGGCTGTAAATACGATTTTGACTTTTTCACTCGCGCACATTTTTGCTTTGCTTTGCCTTGAGCAAAGTGCTTTTCAATTAGACAGTAGAAGCCTCGTTAACATATGGGGGTTGGGGAGGGGCTGGGAGTGGGGTGGTAAAGTACCTCTAAGTTATTCATCTCAGGCTTGTTAAAAGTCGCATTTATTTTGGTTCAGGTCAAGCTGTCATGCAAATGATCACAACGTCGAATAAGTTGAGTATACTGCTTTTATTAAAAGGCAAAACTATATTGTATCAATTATTTGTTCGTATGTCACCTGCGTAGTTTTTCTTACTCATGTTAAGATTTTAAAGCGAACCAAAAAATAGGATGAAAACGCATGTTGCTCGACTAAGAAGTTAAAGTTATTTAGAAACAGACTTTATCTATCTATGCTCTCCTAAGGTTACGAAGTGGCAGGTTTGCTGGGGCGTTAGAAAGGTCTGGGACCCTCTAAACTAGCTGTAATAAACCTTCTCTGAATCCTGGCATCCGAAGAGCGTAAATTATAGGATTTACAAGTGAGTTAGCTCAAAATAGAACTACCACAGCCATATCAATATGAATATTTGTGGAACAAGTGAAGGAAAAGCGATGACATGCTAAATATATTATCGCTGGTAGAAAACAAAGTAACGATACAAGTGAGACGATAAGCGCAGTACCCGTCAGTTTTCTTTCTCTTTTGGACCTAGAATAAAATTGCGGATGACCACTACATCGTACCTTAATAGTAATGAGGATGTAAGATACACAGATAACAAATAGAGAAACTGCATAAAATAGGATGTACAAGTAAGTATCAATTACAACCTTACTAGCAATTCCCTCTAAGGAAATTTGAGCGACCTCTCTAACAATAGGTATTAACCAAATGACAATAACTATGGCTCTATGAACCCATTTCTTCACAAAGCGATGCCTGAATGAAAAAAAATTTGGATGTAACCGTTCTAAGGAAATAGCCATAAGATTTGTTAGGGAAGTGAACGAGAATAAATGTAAAAATGCAAAAGATAAATAAAAAGACCAACTAGTCCTTTGTCTGTAATTCCCTAGAGGACAGAACTGCAACAGTCTTCTTTCAATCTGCAGCGGTCCAAAGACTGCACCCGCTAGGAGATCGACCATCATCAGGTGGATGATCAAACATAAACTCCGCCGCTGTAGTTGACGCTTCTTCTTCATAAAAAAAACAATGGTGATGATATTTAGGATGACTGTGGCCAGACATTCGATGATGAGGACCACAAGCCATGGAATACACTGCGAAGCTGAGAAAGGCTGCATTTTCTCTGAGCTCTGTTAGCTGCTATGAAAATAACAGAAAACAATGCAATTTGAGATAAAATGAAATATGATTTCAATATTCTCAATAAAGATACATGTCAAATATTGCTTTTCACGTTTTTTTTTTATGTGCTTTGACTAAGTTTCGTCTGTTAACTTAAACTGATCCTCGAGTTTTTTTTATGCGGATATGAATGTATATCATAGCCTATTCCTTTTTTTCTTTCAATAAAGACGAATTTAATAATAATTATAGAACTTTTTCGATGTTCACTGAATTAGCGGAAAGCTTTGCCACTAGTGATCTCAATTGCTTGAAGGAAATTTATAGCCTCCAAAAGCAGATGGCAACAACAGAGATCTTCCGGTCGGTCGACATCATTTAAATAGGCACAAATACGAGGAAAAGAAATAATGAGTCTAGATATCCATTTAGCTCTGAGTTTTCCTCAATTTGTACTCGTGTTATTTTTTTTTTTCTGAGTCAGTAAAACTATGATGTTTGTTGACTTTTCTATTTAAAAGCGAGACAATTAATTAAACTAACAAAACTTAATAAACATTGCTCCATTCGATTTTTTTCACGTGAAACTAAAAATTATTTCCCGCCCCCTTAAATCGGAAGTCTCGCTTGTGAATGAAATGGAAGCTTCTTGCTCATTAGAACCTCTCCTTTTTTTAATTTGGTTCTATCTCTCTTAGGGTGTTGGTTCATTTTAGACTATGCGTTTTTATCTTATGACAAACTAATTTTGAGTATGAATCGCGACATAATTAGATTTACTTGTCTTGATCGTTCATATTTTTTCCTTTGCAGATTTAATATAGCGTAAAACATGTAAAATCGTGATGAAAAAGCCATGTTTGTTTCATTAGAAAAATTAGTTCTCTTCTTGAGATGACCAACTAACATGAACTGAATCATTTATAGTAAGTGCACGTTCCGTTGACTGGTAATTTTCCGTCGATGTTGTGTTTGCCTTGGTGGTGTCTGCTCTCAAATCCCGTGGATGTTTCATTAAAAAAAAGCTTTTGGTGTTTACAGGAGAGGTTATATCACAGAACAAGGCAATTTAAATGGCTGAGAAAACATTTCAAAACTGAAATACGAGGCATTTTTTAGTGTTCGTACTTATGAATGGTCCGAAAAATTCTCTCTGTTCTTTTAAAAAAACTTCTCTGATCGATTTTATTTTCTTATATCTGCACTGAACTAGTCATTTTCTTTTATTGAAAATAAACTTCTCCTGTAGACTTGGTTCCTTATTATATTCAGTTCAAGAAATCGCCTAACTTAACTCAGGTTATTAATTACAGCTGTGGATGTTATTTCCAATTAAGTATTCGCAAGATAAATGGGTAGAAGTTTTACGAACGGAAATCTTTAAAGCGGTGATAAAGACCGTGCATCCTATAATATGGAGTTACATAAAAATTGCGTTGCTGAAAGTTGGTAATAATTTCTAATTAATGACTTAAATTTCTTACAAGGTAGGTCATAAGTAACGCAAACATACTGGACAAGACTTCAAAAGTATAATCATAAATTAGACAGTCTTACTGTTTTAAAACTAATACAGTTGTAATCTCACATCTTAAATTAAAAATACTTTCATAAGTGAGACATTTATTGACAGACTTGCGTTTCACTGTCCCACAGGCGGGATCGTAATTAGAGCATGTTAAGTTGAGTGCAGCTAAACCGAGATTTTGGATGGAAGCATACACTTGCTGTATTGAGTTAATTTGGACGAAGTCCTCTACTTTATCGTAATTAAACTGCAAAATACTATCAGAGATGAGCCATTTCCTAGATCCTAAAGTTGAATTTTTAAAAGCTGTCGGTTAATACCTGAGAATATGTAATATTACAGAGGAAAAGTGACGCAGCCGACAAAACTTTTGAAAATAGAATAACACGGTGACATTTATTTCTTTAGATCTATCGGTGCATCTTTACTTAATTTAAGAGTAACTCCAATGGGAAAATAAAGTATTCTCTCTTCATAATGATTTCAATTTTTTTATATTTGAAGACTCCTCGATGATTTTTTCGTTCCACTCAAAGAAAAACCTAACTTATATCTTTGTTTAGTTTTCTAGGTGCATCACTTTTCATTTTAATCATTTAGATGTTTGTACCGTTTCTATCCTTAGTCTACTCTCATATCACCAAAAAATGAAATGGAAATGCATGTTGCTCGGCTAAGAAGTTAAAGTTATTTAAAAGAAAAATTTCATACATAGTTTTCCTACCATCCATCTACGCTCTCAAAAGGTTGCGAAGTGGCAGGTTTGCTAGGGCGATACGAGGAAGGTCTGGGACTCTGTAAACTAGCTGTAATAAACCTTCCCTGAATCCTGGCATCCGAAGGGCGTAAATTATAGGATTTACAAGTGAGTTAGCTAAGAATAGAACTACCACAGCCATCTTAATATGAAAATACATCATAAAACAAGAAGAGGAAAGGTGAATACATGCTACATATATTGTCCCTGGTAGAAGACAAAGTAAAGATACAAGTGAGACGATAAGCGCAGTACCCGTCAGTTTTCTTTCTCTTTTGGACCTAGAATGGAATTGGGGATGACGACTACATCGCACTTTGATAACAATGAGGATGTAAGATACACAGATAACGAATAGAGAAACTGCATAAAATGGGAGATACAAGTAAGCATTAATTACCTCGAAATAACCTATTTCCCATAAGAAAATTTGGGCGACTTCTCTAACAATAGCTATTAGCCAAATGACAATAATCATGGCTCTATAAACCCATTTCCTTACAAAGCGATGCCTGAATGGACAAAATGTTGCGTGTAGCCGTTCTAAGGAAATGGCAATGAGATTTGTAATGGAAGTGAAATAGAATAAATGTAGAAATAAAAAAGATAAACGATGAGACCAAAGAGTATTTCGTCTGTAATTCCATAGAGGACAGAGCCACTCCATTTTTATTTCAATCTGCAGCGGCCCAGAGACTGCGCCCACCAAGACATCGACTATCGCCAGATGGATGATCAAATATGTACTCCGCCGCTGAAGCTGACGCTTCTTCTTCACAAAAACAGCAATGGTGATGATATTAAGGATGACAATGGCCAGACATTCGATGATGAGGACCACAAGCCATGGAATGCACTCTGAAGCTGAGGAGAAAGGCTCCATTTTCTCCGAGCTCTGTTAGCTGCCATAAAAATAACAGAAGACAGTTCAATTAGAGATAAAATGAAATACAAATTCAATTTTCTCAATAAAGAAATATGTCAAATATTGCTTTTTACGCTTCTTTAACGTGTTTTGAAAAACTTAGTTTCGTCCATTAACTTAAACTGATCCTCATGTTTCTTTATGCGAGATTCATATTCGGAAATTTAATCATTTAGCCCTTTCCTGCTTTTTAGTTCGATAAAGGCGCATTTAATAATACAAAAATTTTTCGATATTCACTGAATAAGCGGAAAGCTTTGCCACTAGTGATCTCAATTGCTTGAACGAAATTTAAAGCCTCCAAAAACAGACGGCGACAAAAATTTAAAGATCTTCTGGAAATACAGTAGAAAGACTGAGTAGAAAGACCTGCTCCTCTTCTCGGTGCCGCTTTTAGAAATACGGTTGTTGTTTTTATCGCCTTGAAAATTTCAAAGACAAATTAACTGTAGATGGGTTGAAATATTTATAACATTTTTAAAAGGAAAAACATCTCTTATATTTTATTTTCGACACCCATAAAGTTTAATCATTGTCTATTCTCACTTCCGATAAATTTCTTCCTTTGTCAATATCATGAGCAACAAACTAGAGAAAGTGGTCTTTTTCTTAGCGTTACGATCGTTATGATAATCAATGACATATTCCATCCATATTGATTCAGTTTTCCTCATCACATCGAAGGCAGAATTTGCGAACGAATCTTAAGAATATTTTGAACTTACCACACTGATAACGAAAGTGTTTCTATCCTTCAAAGAATTGAGTTTAAGTCAAATGCGAAAAGGGTGGTTTTCACGAAGAAAAGAAAGCAGCATGCTGAGGAAGAGGGCAATGCTGAGTAAACTTATCAGTTTTTCCGAATTACCATAGCAACAGAATTAAATTTGCTACCTTCTTTTGTGCTTTGACTCAATTTCATGTTCCTATTTTTTGGTGCAATACATATCCGGAAGTTTGAAATACTTTGAGTAAGCAAAAGCCGTTATACAATAGATCTCAGTTGCCTTAATCGTTTTATAAGCATAATTAGAAACAAACTAAAATGTTCCACATTGTAAAAGATTGTCGATGTGCGTAAATATGATAACAAAGATGGCAAGAGGGGATCAAGTCCTCTCTTTAACATGGCAAATGTTGTACTCGGTAATGAAACTAAGAAAGATCTATTCATCGTCTCGTCACGAACGAGTAACGAAGGCTGAGAAGCAACAGGCTTTTCACAAGAGGTCACAAATTCATCAACTGTTTCATAAGCAATAAAAGAAGAAAAAATAGCTAAAATTCTAAAATTTTTCACTGGCTGACAAAGGATTTTCCATAACTTCTCTCCACCCATTTTACCTGGTTATACCTCATCTCACCGATGTCAGAGTTTATAAACAATTGAAATCTTATGAACATACCTCCGACATATAATATCTAAATTTATAAAATAATTCAAATAGTACGCGCGCTCTGATTGGCCATAAAACCATTTTACATGAACTTATGTAAACACGGTTTTCATTCCTCTTTCATCAGTTATTTTATAAAAGAAATGTAAAATGGTTTCCGTGTTTACATAGCCTGATGTAAACACGCGAGAGGTTGGGAGAACACTCGATAAGCTGGAAACCACTCCGCTTGGCTTGGTGGTTTCCTACGCTTATCTCGTGTTCTCCCAACCTCCCGCCTGTTTACTCAGGCTATGTAAACACGGAAACCATTTTACATTTCTTCAGTCGGAAGACGTTTTGAGTGCAGGTGAACAGGAACAACAGATAGCTATACTACACCTGTTCGTCGTTATTTCAAACAAGGTTCTGTATCTAAGTGAATCCAAACCGCCTACAAAACAGCCTCCTCTGGGGAATCAATACCTGAATACCAAATGAAGAAGAATAGTTTCTAGAAACCTTGAATGGAGTTTTGAAAGCTTTGAAAGCTTTAAGTGTTTACAGGCCTAGGAGAAGTTATATCAAAGAGGAAGCAATCATCTTCTTCAGTCGATTTTTCATTTCCTATGTCTGCACTGAACTGGTCATTTTCTTTTGTTAAAAATAAACTTCTCTTGAAAACTTGGTTCCTTATTATATTCAGTTCAAGGAATTGCCTATCTTAACTCAAGTTATTAATTACAGGTTTGGATTATATTTCCAATGAAGTATTCGCAAGATAACAGCGTAGAAGTTTAATGAACAGAAATCTTTAAGGCGATGGTGAAGACCGTGCATCTTTTACATGTAGTTATATAGAGGCTGCGTTGTTGAAAGTTGGTAAGAATTTTTTAATTAAAGACTTTATTTTCTGTACCTCAAAAGAATAATCATAAAGTAGACAGTCTGATTTTTTGTTGTAATATCACATCTTAAATTAAAAACTATTTCCATGAAAAAAAAAAATTAATCAACAGCCTTGTGTTTCACTGTCTCACAGGCGGGATCATAAAGGAGGTGATAAAGGGGAAAATGATAGGTTAATTCAGTCATCATCGTCGACTATTTTCCGTTCCACTCAAAGCGAAAGAAAATCCTTCCGAAGCCCATTAATCGTTGCGCTTGTATCGTTGCTTAGTTTTCTTTAAGCGACAAAATGCATTGCTTTTCATTTTAATCATTAAGATATTTGTACCGTTTCTATCTTTAGTCAACTCTTATATGAGTCTTCTCGTCTACGCTCAGCCAGGATTCACAGGCAGGAGTGTATCGCGTAACCAATTTGCAGATCCCAGATATAAGAGGGCCTCAATGCGGTTAACCGTGAGCCGTAAGACGGCCAAAGCATTTAGCCTTTAGGCGAGAAAATTGACAAATTTTAACCGTTAGTCGTAAAAAGAGTTAGCCGTAAAAAAAATTTTTCTGGTGAAAACAATGAAAGGTGTTAACTGTTAGCCGTAAATTGGCCAAAAATTTTAACCGTTAGCCGTAAAAGCCATCACCTCATTGAAACCCTCGTATAAAAACTTAAAGTCAACATGCAATATTCAAAGCGACGGGTTTTAAGGTGTTTTCGCACCTACAGTCTCTTTTATTTGAGACGACTTTGTCCCGGAGTTTTTGCGTTCATTTACATAGTTTACATAAACGAATCCAAACTCTTGAAAGCTGTATTTTAGACGTTTGGAAATATATACATAATGAAGCAATTCAAGTGAGAGTTAATATTATATTGCCGTACTTTCTCTCGAATCGGGGTGGGGAAGCTTGATAAAAAGAGTTATTTAAACCAGAAATGCCGAAGTTTGGAGTACTCTCAATGCACGATCATTCACCCTGGGTTTCGATGAACTTGTGGACACTCGGGAAAAAATCTTCCATTGCTTTTGTAAAGTATATTTCCCAGAAGATACACGCGTGTTTGGAACGTCACAACCGTAGTTAGACTGTAAACATAGACTCTCATCTAAACACTTCTAATGATCACGCACTTCAATTCTTGAAAACTGCAGGAGTCTTACATCTGTTTGCCAATCAATCCGAAACGTAGACATCATAAACCTAGTTGCCCATAAAACGAAACCTATGGACAGAATGTTTCTTGAATCCTTTCTTGTGAAATATACAGTAAGATTTTTATTTCGGCAAGATAATTTGCTCTTTTTAAAAACATTGATCTTCCTTGCACTGAAGTAGCTGATCTAATACACTGAACTATAAGACTCGTATTTTGATGGCTTTGTTAGAAATTCCTCATTTAAACAAATCAGCCATTTTGAAACTTAAGACTCCCAATTTGTATTTGGTTGCGATGGCTAAATGTTCTGCCTCGTTTAATGATTTTTCCCTCTTGTTTTCTGCCAAACGCAATAAAACGCAACGATAAAGTGGTCGAAAAATCTCTTGACATCAAGAGATGAAAAACGGTCGCAAATTACAAACTAAAAAAATATCGTTTTACTGCGGTAGTTAGTTGTTCGTAATAAAATAATTTGAGAAGAGGTCGTCTGCCCATGCAGGATAACTCGAATTGCATCGGCATTAAACCTGTTTTTAAAAAAATCGTAATATAAAAACCGCAGTCAATATTATACCGAAAGCAAACTCAAATATTTACCGGCTTAGAACCTTAATAGCGAGTCTATAATAATTTTACTAGTAGTTTCGCCATCCGTCTTTTTCTTTATTTTGTCCTCTCATGCTTTTGCGAAGCTAGACCCCGATGTTCTAGATCCCTAATGTAACTTAGAGAGGCCTGCCCCAACGCAAATGCAAATGCAAACGCAAGCGTCAATGCAAGAAATAAAATAGAGAATAACACATGATAATACATGGGTGCGCTTAGATATGGAATTTCTCTTCGAGTGTTTACAAAATGAATTGGTCCTTACCGGCGGAAGAAATCATTCAGGTAAACGGCCATAATCGGCTATGGCAAATCTTCCAGTTGTCGATTTTCTTTCTCAGCCGCGAGAAATGCCATTACTAAAGCCACTAAATACGTAACTTTCAGTTTTTCATTTCGTATTCTGATATTTTTCCTTTCTAAGAAAGTTTCAACGTCACTGTCTGTAAGCGTCGATACGGATATTTCAGTTTTCCTGCAGCCATAATTGGAAAATATTCCGACAAACGACCTTGGATTGAGAATGGTGAAGGCTTTGCCGTTCTTTCATCAACCTGACCGAGCGGCGCGAAAGGCGTGTAACGTGTCAGCAGCTGATTAGCGATATCAAACACACTTTCCTCAGGGCTGGAAATCTTTGTATAACACAGTAGTTTGTATGATGAAACATTTTCATTTTCTGGAGTTTGTATTTGCGTTCGCTTCCCACACGTGTGAATCGGCAGAAGCTCAATCATTGTCGGCCATCTTGGAAAAATACTTCTTGCGCTTGCGTATCTCTCTTTCCTTGCGTTTGCGTTGAACGTGTGAACTCGTTTGTATTTCCATTTGCGTTTGCGTTTGCATTTCCATTTGCGTTTGCATTTGCATCGCACGTGTGAACCAGTCTTCAGATCCTTAGATAGAACGACATACTTATAATTATAAAGCTGAATGCGTTTTCAATCTGACAATTGGCAATGTTTCTTTTATGTTGAGCCGTTCTGTTTTCATTTCACGACGTTCTACCTTCTCCATAGAGAATTATAATTACAAATAAAAGGTCTGCGTTTTGGACTCTTTTGCAAACAAAAAAATGGCCCCTAGCGAGGGTTTACGTGTTCATAAACAGACACGCCTGCTGTAAGTACCCTCTGGTCAATATATAGAGGATATTACACGGTGAAGAGAAGAGATGAATTGTATGTTCGAGTGGCCAGATCAGTATCAAACGAGTGAGCGCAGCAAACGAGTGAGGTATTAATCATATGACCATAGGGGGTAACTTTCTAAAGAAACTATGGTGCTGCGTCGGTGGGAGAGTATAACAGGGTAATTAAGTGTCATCAACTGAGTTGAAAACGTAAATTGGCCACCGTAAAGAGATTAAGGGCTGACGTTTCGAGCGTTAGTCCTTTGTCATAGCGATTGAAGGAATTGTGGGTTTTGTGCGGGTTCATATGCAGAAAATGGAGCAACGCTATTGGTGAGAATATGGTGACGAGAAAACAAGAATAGATTAGTTGAATGAAAAGCGCTAGCACTTGTTGATACCATGACGATTAAGAATGCCGATTTGGAAGATAAATTTTTGTTCTAGAGTTTTGTGGCTTTCCGAAATGCCTAGATGTAGGGAAAGACCGCAAACTGTCATGTGCTGTTTAGAATGATTAGGGAGACTGAAGTGTATTGCGACTGGTTTGGATGCGTCCTTGTCATTTCAATCTACGTCGCGAAGGTGTTCTCGGAATTGGTCACCTAATGTATAACTTTTTGTAATGAGTGCAAGTTATGCAGTAAATGACATTGACTGAGGTGTACATAAGAGATCTTAATGGATCTCTTGGGTCCCGAAATTTTACCTACGTTATGAATGAAAGGACAAGTTTTGCATCGTGAGCGAGCGCATTTGAAATTTGCAGGTTGGTCATTGGTTTGAAATGAACTTCAGACCGAAAAGTTTCCAATGTTTTTTTCACATTTGAATGAAATTAGTGGAGGTTGTGACAAGATATTAACAATCTCTGAATCGTTTTGGAGTAATTTAAAGCTCATAAGATCACTCATCACTGATCATTACAAACCTTTGAAGGCCGTTCAGCACGGACAGATGAAAAATTGACCTGTGTTTAGTCGCAACTTTCGATAAATTCCTTGAAAATCTTGGTTTTCTCGTTCTTTTGTTGTTCGAGAAATGCTGATTCACATCTTCATCGCTTACCACAACAAATCTTGCTGCCAATTAATATTCGAAACAACAGACAAACCAGTATTTTAAGTCAAATGCAGAAAGGACGGTTTTCAAATAGAAAAGAAGTAGCATGCTGAGGAAGAATGTAATGCAGACTAAACTTATCACTATTGGAACTTCAATTTGGTTTTTCGGAATGATTGACAGATAATAGCTGAAAGGAGAACGGCATTTTTAGTGCAGCTAAACAAGAATTACAGATAAAAGCATCCGCCTAAACTCCGCGATTCTTCGTGTGATTAAAGTCCTGCATCGTCGAAAATTCACCCACAAAACAAAGGAATATAGAGAATCAGCATAAACTTTTTGTTTTTACGGGAGAAATTATATCATTGAAGCAGAAGTAATGGAGGTAATTAGAACGTGTTAATTTGAGAGCAGCTGAACCGAAATTTTGGATAGAAGCATACACCTGTATTGCCTTAATTTGAACGAATTTCAAACTGCAAAATACTCTCGGAGATGAGCTATTTCCCAGATCACAGAGTTGAACTTTTTAAAAGCTGTCGGTTAGTGATTGAGAATATATGACATTAAGGGAAAAAATGATACAGTCGACAAAATGTTACAAAATAAAATTACACGGTGACATTTAACTCTTTTGATCTGCCGGTGCATTTGTATTTAACTTAACTCTAACTCCAGTGAAAAAGGGTAGTATTTTCTCCTTATGATTCCGGTTTTTTTTTTATACTCGCCATTTGAAAACTCGACGTTCTGCCTTTCCCCGCAGCAATAAAAACACCAAATATTTATCATTTGGTTATAGGCTACACAAATTGGTGGTTCTAATGCCTCTAATGGCAAGAAGCAGCAGTTATGATTTTATTTATTATTTCATTCTATCTAATTTCTCTCTGAGTTATCTGTGCAGTTGCTGGTTAGGTTAATTCAGTCATCTTCCTGGATTATTTTTGGTTCCACTCAAAAGAGAAGGAAAACTGAGCGGAAGCTCACTAATCGTTGCACTTGTATCGTTGCTTAGTTTTCTAGAAGCGAAAAAATGCATTTCTTGTCATTTTAATCATTTAGATATTTGTACCGTTTCTATCTTTAGTCAACTCTCATATGAGTCTTCTCGTCTACGCTAAGTCAGGATTCAATTCAGAGACTGGAGCGCATCGCGTAACCATTTTGCAAGACCCTAGATCATATAAATCCAAAGTCAACCCGCGATATTCAAAGCATAGGGTTTTAAGGTGTTCGGTACCTATATAGTCTTTGTTTTGTTTGAGACGATTTTGTCCCGGAGTTTTTGTGTTCATTTACATAATTTACATGGGCGAATCTAAAGTTTTGAAGGCTGTATTTTAAACGTATGGAAATGTATACATGGTGAGGCAATTCAAGTGAGGACTTATATTTTCGTACTTGCTCTCGAGGAGGCTAGGGACAGGGGAGCATTAAAGAAGGAGTTGTTTTAAACCGGAAATGCAGAACTATGGAGTACTCTCTCAGTGCACGATTATTCACCCTAGTCGGTTTCGACGAACTTGTGGAAACTCATTTATCTATTTTTTGTTTGTTGTTGTTTTCTTGTTTTTATTAAGTCTCCATTAATGGGTGGATCGTTAATAAAGTGAATATTTCAACCCAAATCAATAAACGCAGCTTTGGAAAAAATACGCTTTACCAGTATTTTTCTCCCTGGGAGGCGGGGTTGCAGTGGGCTGTGTGTCAACCTCAGAAGTCATTAACTATATGGGCTCTAGCAGGAAGGTGTCACTTGATTCGGATTAGGCTAGTTAACTTATATCAGAATTGCAATTTTTATCACAACCAGTTACCAGGATTCCTCAGAGACGATAACAACAGAATTTAGTCTCTTCGGTCTGAATGAAAAGCTGAACCTCTATTTCGCTCCCATTGCAAAAAAAAGAGCGCGGCTATTTTCCTCATTTTAGTTATCCGTCCCTAATTATACTTTGAAAGAAAGCAAAAAACTGATGGCACAAAATCTTTTTTAGCAATACAAATACTCGCTGTCTGAACACATCAAATTCAAGCGTCCTACGAACTTTCCAACCATATATCCGAGATGTTCTTAAGTTCCAAAGTGGCACATTGACTTGGGTTATTACACGATTTGAAGTACGTATAATATTTCTATTGTGCTGCCTCTAAAAAGTTTAATTAATTTCCTAAGAGAGTAATAGGATTAGTACCCACACCTCCCTCTGTCAATCAATCACACCAGGAGACCTCAGCAAAACGCAATTGCAAATGCAAGGAATTGATCGTGTGAACCACCCAACGCAAATGCAAACGCAAACGCAAGCGTCAACCCAAGTAATAAAAACATTTTCATCTTCTTAAGCCAGTATTTGTGTTCGCTTCTCACACGTGTGAATCGGCAAAAGCGCAATCATTGTCGGCCATCTTGGAAAAATATTTTTACTGTGCTTGCGTATTTCTCTTTCCTCGCGTTTACGTTGGACGTGTGAACTCGCTTCCATTTCCATTTGCGTTTGCGTTTCCATTTGTGTCGCACGTGTGAACCAGTCTTCAGACCCTTCCGTGGAATGACATACTTATAATTACAGAGCTGAATACGTTTTCAGCTGAAAATTGGCAATGTTTTTTATATGATGAGCCGTTTTGTCTTCATTTCATAAAAAAATGATAAATAAAATAGAAGGTCGACGTTTTGGGACTCTTTTGCTCTCACTGGTAGATAAGCTTAGAATTTTACTCGGTGGCGAGAAGATATCTAGGTTTTCTCGTTCTCATGTTGTTCGGGAAATGCCGATTTACATCTTCGTCGCTTACCTCAATGAATCTTGCTGCCAATCAATATTCCAAACAACAAACAAACCAAGTTCATTCAGCAAAGTTTAAACAGGCCCGAATCGTGTCGTCGTTGCTCAATATCACCACGCCACGTGTTACATACGAAAAATACGCCTCTTGGTTCCTGGATGTGGTGATCGTATTGATACTACGAGTGTGGACGTCAGTGTTTTATTTCCCGGTAAAACACTCCCGTCCATATAAAAACTGTGGTTATTCCAGAGGTTGTAAATACGATTTTTACTTTTTATTCACACATTTTTGAATTGCTTTCCTTTGCGCATAGTGCTCTTCAATAAAACCAAAAAAAATTGTTTTCCGTGTTCACACAATCAATGTGGGTGGGGGAGGGGATGGGTGGAGGAGGGGTGGGAGAGTCCCTCTGAGTTATTCATCTCGGATTTGTTAAAAGTCACATTTATTTTGGTTCAAGTCAAGCTCTTATGCTAATGATCACAATCTTGGGCCTATAAAAAGTTGATTAAACTGTTTCTATTTAAAGGCAAAACTATACTGTATCAATTACCTGTTCCTATACCTCCTCCTCCTCCTCCTCTTTTTTACAAGTGTTAAGATTTCAATAGAAATCAAAACATAAAATGGAAATGCTGGTAGTTTTCTTACCTTTAATCTACGCTCTCCTAAGGTTACGAAGTGGCAGATTTGCTGAGGCGATACGAGAAAGGTCTGGGACCCTGTAAAATAGCTGTAATAAACCTTCTCTGAATCCTGGCATCCGAAGAGCGTAAATTATAGGATTTACAAGTGAGTTAGCTAAGAATAGAACTAGCACAGCCAGAGAAATGTGAGCATTCTGGCAATAATTTAAGGAAAGGCCACAACATGCTGTATATATTATCGCTGGTAGAAAACAAAGTAACGATACAAGTGAGACGATAAGCGCAGTACCCGTCAGTTTTCTTTCTCTTTTGTACCTAGAATGGAATTGAAGATGACGACTACATCGTACTTTGATAACAACGAGGATGTAAGATACACAGATAACAAATAGAGAAACTACGTAAAATAGGAGAAACAAGTAAGCATTAACTACGTCGAAATAATCAATTTTCAACAAGAAAATTATAGCGGCTATTCTAACAATAGGTATTAACCAAATGACAATAATTATGGCTCTATGAACCCATTTCCTCACAAAGCGATGCCTGAATGGACAAAATGTTGCGTGTAGCCGTTCTAAGGAAATAGCCATAAGATTTACAAGGGAGGTGAACGGGAATAGCTGTATAAATACAATAAATAGATAAGACCAAAGAGTCATTAGTCTGTACTTCCATAGCGGACAAAACAACGTTATAACGTTTTCAATCATTAGCGGCCCAGAGACTGTGCCCGCTAAGAGATCGACTATCGCCAGATGGATGATCAAATATGTCCTCCGCCGCTGTAGCTGACGCCTCTTCTCCACAAAAACCACAATGGTGATGATATTAAGGATGACTATGGCCAGACATTCGATGATGAGGACCACAAACCATGGAATGCACTCTGAAGCTGAGCCGAAAGGCTGCATTTTCTCTGAGCTCTGTTCGCTGCTATAAAAATAACAGAAAACAGTTCAATTACAGATAAAATGAAATACGAACTCAACATTCTCAATAAAGAAATATGTCAATTACTGCTTTTTATGTTTTTTTAAACGTGTTTTGACCAACTAAGTTTCGTCTGTTAACCAAAACTGATCCTCGTGTTTCTTTATATCACATTCATACCCGGAAATTTAATCATTCAGCCTATTCATTTTTTTTTCTTTCGAAAAAGACGAATATAATAATATGAACTTTTTTGATGTTCACTGAATAAGCGGAAAGCTTTGCCACCAGTGATCTCAGTTGCTTGAATGAAATTTATAGCCTCCAAAGACAGATGGCAACAAACAATTTCAAAGACAGATGGCAACAAACAATTTAGAGATCTTCCGGAAATATAGTAGAAAGGCTGAGTATAGAAAGACCTACTTCTCTTCTCGGTGCCGCTATTCGAAATACGGTTGTTGTTGTTACCGCCTCGAAAACTTCAAAGACAAATTAATTGTAGGTACGGTGAAACATAACGAACATTTTTAAAAGCAAAAGCATCTCTTGCGTTTTATTTTCTACACCCAGAAGTTTAGTAATAGTCTTTTCTCGCTTCGGATAAATTTCTTCCTTTGTCAATATCATAAGCAACAAGCTGGAGAAAGATATCTTTTTCGACGCGTTACGATTATTAAGATTATCAATAACACATTTCCGTCCATATTGATTCAGTTTTCCTCATCTTATCGAATGCAGAATTTGCAAACGAATCTTAAGAATATTTTGAACTTAACTCAATGATAACGAAAGTGTTTTTATCCTCTTAACGAATTGAGTTTGAATCGAATGCGGAAAGGGCGGTTTTCAAATAAAAAAGAAAGTAGCAGGCTGAGGAAGAGTGCAATGCAGACTAAACTTATAACTCCAATTTAGTTTTTCCAAATGATTGACAGATAATAGCTGAAAGGAAAACGACATTTTTAGTGCAGCTAAACAAGAATTACAGATAGAGACATCCGCCTAAACTCCTCGATTGTTATTGTGATTAACGTCCCGTATGGTGGTAAATCCACCCACAAAACAGCTGAATAGAGAATTAACATTAGCACATTAAACGAGTGGAAAGAAAGAGTTCGTAAAATCCTTGAATGGAGCTTTGAAAGCTTTTGGTTTTAGCGGGAGAAATTTATCATTGAAGCAGGCAAGTTAACTGGCTTTGAACGATTTGTTAGAAATATGAGGTCCATTTGTAATTTGTTTTTTTCTTTTTAAAGGAGTTTGGGTAAACTCGAGAAGTCATAAACTATGGCGGCTCTCGCGGCTAGGTGTAACTTTATCGCGCTTAATCGCCAATTAAGATTGTCGGTGACCATAACAACAGAATTATATTTGCTACCTTTCTTTTGTATTTTGACTCATGTTCATGTTTCGGTTTTTTTGGTGCAATATACATATCCAGAAGTTTGATAATTCAGTCCCTCTCTCATTTTGGAACAAATTTTCTCTTTTTTTAACAATACACCATTCCTTCAATATGCTCTGAATAATCAAAAGCCTTTATAAAAGAGATCTCAATTGCCTTAATCGTATTATAAGAATCAAAAGAAGCTAAAATTATAAAATTTCCACATACTTGTAAAAGATTGTCGATGTGTGTAAATATGATAACAAAGATGGCAAGAGGGAATCAAGTTGGAAAAGGTTGTACTCAGTAATGAAACAAAGAAAGATCTTTTCATCGTCTCGTCGCGAACGTGTAATGAAGGCTGAGAAGGAACAGGCTTTTCACAAGAGGTCTCCAATTCATCAACAGTTTCATGAGCATCAGAAGGAGGAAATAAGAGTACAATTCCAGAATTTTCCACAGGCTTCCAAAGGGTTTTCCATAAACTCTCTCCACCCACTTTAACTCGGCTTACTTCATCTCACCAAAACTAGAGTTTGTAAACGAATGAAATCTTACGAACCTACCTCACTGATAACAAAGTACTTCGTATCCCCTAAAAACTGAGTTAGAGTCAAATTTGACCAAAGGCGGTTTTCCGAATGAATGAGAAACAGCACGCCACGGAATAGTGATAGAGAATAGACACACCACTATCACGACTCGAATTTAACTTTCCAAATGTCTGACATATGATATCTAGATGTCGTAAGACGTTCTGAGTGCAGCTGAACAGGAACAACAGGTAAACTGTTCTAAACCTGTACGTCGTTAATTCAAAGAAAGTTCCGTATCTATGTGAACCCAAACCGCCGGCACAACAGCTTCGTCTGGAGAATCAATACTTGAATATCAAATAAATGAAGATGAATAGTTTTTAGAAACCTTGAATACAGTTTTGAAAGCTTTTGATGTTTACAGGAGAAGTTATATCACAGAAGAAGGCGATTTAACTGGCTGAGAAAACATTTCAAAATTAAAATACGAGGCATATTTCTTAATGTTTTTATTTTGGTTCAAAAAATTTTCTTTTTTCCTTAAAAAACTTCTTTAGTCGATTTTTCACTTGATAATAATTTTTCCTTTGATTTTGAGTTGAAAAGTTGTGGTAGCGTGATCTAAGATGTTACAATACTCATCAGAAAAAAGAGTGCGACATTGTGGAGAATTGTATAAATGTCTGAAAATTTGAGAATGCAATCAATGATCAATTGCAAGTGCCCACCTACGCGTGTGGATAAATGTTGAGGGGTTTCGCAGACATAGCAGGCATTAGAGTCCGAATGAGACGCAGTTTGTAGGGATAAGGTATAAAGCTAAAATAATTAGTCATCAGTCAACATCACCAACTTTATCATATGAATGTAATAATTTCTATATTTAAGACTTTATTTTCTTGCAAGGTAGGTCATAAGTAAAGCAAACCTACTGAACACAACTTCAAGAGTATCGTCATAAATTCGACGGTGTAATTTTTTGAAACTAATACAGTTGTAATCTCATATCTTAAGTTAAAAATATTCTCATGAATAAGACATTTATTGACAGCCTCACGTTCACTGTCTCACAGGCGGGATCATAAAGGAAGTAATTAGGGTATGTTAATTTGAGTGCGGCTGAACCGAATTTTGGATTGAAGCATACACCTGATTTGCATTAATTTGGACTAAATCCGTTACTTTATCGTTGTCAAACTGCAAAATACTATCAGAGATGAGCTATTTCCTTGATCATAGAGTTTAATTTTTTAAAAGCTGTTGCTTAGTACCTAAGAATATATAATATTAGACGGGAAAAATGATCCAGCCGACAAAACCTTGGAAAATAAAATAACACGGTGACGTTTATTTCTTCTGATCTACCGCTGCATTTGTATTTAATTTAACTCTAACTCCGAGGATGAAGATAGTATTCTCTCCTCGTGAAGATTCCGATTTTTTGATACTTGCCATTTGAAAACTCGACGTTCTGCCTTTCCCTGTAGCAATAAAACCAACAAATATTAATAATTTGGTTATCGGCTACATTCGAAGTGGTGGTTCTGATACCTCTGATTGCAAGCAGCTGTAGTTATGTGTTTATTTTTGAGACCCCATCATGTGTTCCCCATTCTATCTAATTTCTCTCTTAGCTATCTGTGCAGTTGCTAGTTAGGCTATCTCAGTCATCATCCTCGATTATGAGCATGATAAATAGAGAATAATACATGGGCGCGCGTAGATATGAAATTTCTATTCGAGTTGAGCACGAGGAGAAAAATTCCATATCTACAAGCAACCATGTATTATTTTGTGTATAACAAATAGCCATTTACTGGGAAGAAAAGCCGACTTCATTAATGAATGAAAATAAATGAATCGACAATCCTCGAATAACAATCGTAGAGTGCGTTGGCGCTGACTCTTAAGATGGAAAAATGCGTTGAATCGGTCGTAATTTTCAATTTAAAAAATTCTCATTTATTGACATTCTCCTTTCCGACGGAAGAAGTCTTTCAGGTAAACGGCCAAAATCGACCAGTGTCGATTTTCATTCTCAGGCGAGAGAAATGCTGACACCAAAGCTGCTGAATACGCAACTTTCGGTTCTTCTTTTAGTATACTGGTTTTCTTCCCCTTCTAGGAAAGTTTGTACCTCATTGTCTGTCAGCGATACGGATTTTTTAGTGTTTTAGCCACCATAATTCAAGAAAGCTCTGACAAACAACTTGTAATGAGAATTGTGAAGGCTATGCCGTTCATTCATCAACCTGACTGAGTGGCGCCAAAGGCGAGTGACGTATAAGCAGCTGATTGGCTATATCAACATACGTGAAAAAATACGATATTTCTTCACGTGTGTTGTTACGGCTTTTCTCAGGGCCGGAAATCCCTCTATAACACTGCAGTTTATGTGATAAAAGGAGTTATTCAAGCCGGAAATGTAGAACTTTGGAGTACTCTCTCAATGCAAGATCACTCACCCTGGCCGGTTTCGATGAACTTGTGGAAACTTGGGAAAAAGTCCTCCATTGCTTTTGTAAAGTATATTTGTTAACAATACACACGTGTATATAACAACACAACCGTGTTTACGCTACAAATATAGACTCTCATCTAAACACTTTTTGGATCAATATCAGTATCTGGGCCGAAGGCGCTATGTAACAGAGCCATTTAAATTTACGAAAAAACAGCTTATATAAAACAGTACCAGTAAACAACCCTTATGTAATTCAGGTCAAATGAATAGCCTTATGTAATAAATGTTTTTAAAATGTACGACCTTAAAGTTTGTAAAAAGCACCCGTTAAATGTTCATAAAATGCGACTGTTAAATGTTCGTAAAATGCGGCTGTTAAATGTTCGTAAAATGCGACTGTTAAATGCTCGTAAAATGCGACTGTTAAGTGTTCGTAAAAATACTTTAAATGCTCGTAAAATGCAACTAAATGTTCGTAAAATGCGACCGTTAAATGTTCGTAAAATGCGACTCTTAAATGTTCGTAAAATGCGACTCTTAAATGTTCGTAAAATGCGACTTTTAAATGTTCGTAAAATGCGACTCTTAAATGTTCGTAAAATGCGACTCTTAAATGTTCGTAAAATGCGACTAAATGTTCGTAAAATGCGACTCTTAAATGTTCGTAAAATGCGACTCTTAAATGTTCGTAAAATGCGACTCTTAAATGTTCATAAAATGCGACCGTTAAATGTTCGTAAAATGCGACTCTTAAATGTTCGTAAAATGCGACTCTTAAATGTTCGTAAAAATACGTTAAATGTTTGTAAAATGCGACTAAATGGGATCAATATCAGTATCTGGGCCGAAGGCGCTATGTAACAGAGCCATTTTAATTTACGAAAAAACGGCTTATATAAAACAGTACCAGTAAACAACCCTTATGTAATAATGGTCAAATGAATGGCCTTATGTAATAAATGCTTTTAAAATGTACGACCTCAAAGTTCGTAAAAAGCGCCCGTTAAATGTTCGTAAAATGCGACTCTTAAATGTTCGTAAAAAGCGACTCTTAAATGTTCGTAAAATGCGACTCTTAAATGTTCGTAAAAATACGTGAAATGTTCGTAAAATGCGACTAAATGTTCGTAAAATGCGACTAAATGTTCGTAAAATGCGACTGTTAAATGTTAGTAAAATGCGACAGTTAAATGTTCGTAAAAATACGTTAAATGTTCGTAAAATGGGATCAATATCAGTATCTGGGCCGAAGGCGCTATGTAACAGAGCCATTTAAATTTACGACAAAACGGCTTATATAAAACAGTACCAGTAAACAACCCTTGATCACGCACTTCAATTCTTTAAAAATGCAAGAGTTTTACTTCTGTTTGCCAATCAATCCGAAACGTAGACATCATAAACCCAGTTGTCTATAAAACGAAGCCTATGGACGGAATGTTAAATATATATATACAATTGCCAACTATATAATACATTAATGAAAAGAAGAAAAGGAGACTCGAAAGCGAAAGACTCACGAGGAAATGTCTGCACTGGTTTTAAATTTACGTCGTTGATGTTCTTGACCAACAGAATATGCACTAACTAAATGAACATAATTATAAACTTCTATCGAGTGTAGACCTTAGGTCATACCCTTACGATAAGAATATCAGGGCCGATATCAGAGAGCTGCGCACTAATATCTCAAATCTCTCTTCCACTTAATATAATATGTTACAAATGGTCTGTAAGTTGAGTGCTTCATCAAACTTTCCTGATGGACCGATGCTGTCTTTTGTTACCAATCTTCCTCGGAGTGTCTTGACATTGTGCGGAAGATACTATGTTGATGTTGTTGAATCTGAGTGGTTAAGGAGATGAATTGTTTACTCATACACCGTTGTAGAAGACGACTTTTCCCAGGTAAATATAATCATAACTGGGTTGATGTTCGTTCAATAATTTCTCTTACTGTTCATGTTGAGGACTAGCAAAAACCTCGATCAGAAATCCAATTCTAAGAGAAGCAACGAGGGTGTTTGCCACTACAAGTAATTTCTTTCGTTCTTGCCTTCCAATAGTTTATGTTTTGGATGAGATAGAGAAAATGTCGGGACCCAAGAGATCCATTAAGATCACTGATCACTTTACGTGCAACTCCGCCAATTAATTAAGCAATGTCATTTACTGCATAATTTGAACTTGTTGCAAAAAGTTATACATTTGTGAAACAGGAAGAAGACTAGCTGACCGATTCCGAGAACACCTTCGCCACGTAGAAAGAAATGACAAGGACGCATTCAAACCAGTCGCGAGACACTTTAATCCCCCAAATCATTCTGAACAGCATATGGCGGTTTGCGGCCTCTTCCTATATCTGGGCAGTTCGGAAAGCCGCAAAACTCTGGAGCAAAAATTTATCTTCTAAATCGGCACCCTTAATCCCCACGGTATCAACAAACGCTTTTCATTCAACTAATTCATTCTTCCCACCAATAGCGTAGCTCCATTTTCTGCATATAAACTCACACAAAACCCAAAATTCCTCCCATCGCTCTAACGAAGTGCTAACGCTCGAAACGTCAGCCTTTAAACTCTTTACGGTGGCCAAGTTACGTTTTCAACTCAGTCGATAACACTAAATTACCCTGTTATACTCTCCCATCGACGCAGCACCACAGTTTCTTTATAAACTAACCCTCTTTATTCATTTATCTTATATATATTGCGGGAGGCTGTGTGTCAACTTGAGACGTCATTAATCATGGCAGCTCTTGTGGCAAGGTGTTACTTGATTCGGATTGGGCTAGTCAGCTTAGATAAGAATTGCAACTTTTATCACAACCAGTTACCAGGATTGTCAGGGACGATAACAACATAGTTCAGTTTCTTCGGTCTGAATGAAATAACAGGGTATTGCTTAATGTAACTTGAACCTTAATGTCGCCGCTTTTACAAAAAGAAGCTCGGCTCTTTGCCTCATCTCAGCTATCCGTCCCTAGTTATACTATGGAAGAACGCAAGAAACTGATGGCACACATCAAAAGTGGAATTAATTACCTAAGAGGGTAAAAGGATTAGTACCCACACCTCCCTCGGTCAATCAACGACACAAGGAGAACCTCAGCGAACGCAAACGCAAATGCAAATGCAAATGCAAGGAATTGCTCATGTGAACCACCCCAACGCAAATGCACATGCAAACGCAAGCGTCAACGCAAGGAACAAACAAATTTCCATTTTCTCGAGCTTGCATTTGTGTTTGCTTCCCACACGTGAATCGGCAAAAGATCAATCATTGTCGACCATCTTGGAAAAATACTTCTACTACGCTTGCGTATCTCTCTTTCCTTGCGTTTGCGTTGGACGTGTGAACTCGCTTGCATTTCTATTTGCGTTTGCTTTAGCGTTTGCATTTGCAACGCACGTGTGAACCAGTCTTCAGAACCTTCCATGGAACGGCTCTTTTCCTCATTTCAGTTCTCCGTCCCTAAGTATACTTTGAAAGAACGCAAAAACTGATGGCACAAAACCTTTTTTAGCGATACAAATACTCGCTGCCTGAACACATCAAATTCAAGCATCCTTTCCAACCATTTATCCGAGTTATTCTTAAGTTCCAAAGTGGCACATCTTCTTGAGCCAGTATTTGCGTTCGCTTCCCACACGTGTGAATCGGCAAAAGCTCAATCCTTGTCGGCCATCTTCGAAAAATACTTTTACTGCGCTTGTGTATCTCTCTTTCCTTGCATTACGTTGGACGTGTCAACTCGCTTCCATTTCCATTTGCGTTTGCGTTTGCATTTGCATCGCACGTGTGAACCAGTCTTCAGAACCTTCCATGGAATGACATACTTACAATTACAGAACTGAATACGTTTTCAACTGAAAATTGGCAATGTTTTTTATATGATAAGCCGTTTTGTCTTCATTTCATAAAAAAGGATAAATAAAATAAAATTTCGGCGTTTTGGGACTCTTTTGTTCTCACTGGTAGATAAACTGAGAATATTACTCGGTGGCGAGAAGATATCTTGGTTTTCTCGTTCTCATGTTGTTGGAGAAATGCCGATTTACATCTTCGTCGCTTACCATAATGAATCTTGCTGCCAATTAATATTCCAAACCACAAACAAACCAAGTTCATTCAGCAAAGTTTAAACAGGCCCGAATCGTGTGGTCGTTGCTCAATATCACCACACCACGTGTTACAAAATGAAAATGATTATGCCTCTCGATTCCTGGATGTGGTGGTCGTACTAATACCATTAGTGTGGGCGTCAGTGTTTTATTTCCCGGTAAAACACTCCCGTCCATATGAAAACTGTGGTTATTCCAGAGGTTGTAAATACGATTTTGAATTTTTTTACTCACACATTTTTGCATTGCTTTCCTTTGCGCATAGTGCTTTTCAATAAAACAAACAAAAAATTTTTTTCCATGTTCACACAGCCTCCTCAGTATATGTGGGTGAGGGAGGGGGTGGGCGAGTCCCTCTAAGTTATTCATCTCGGATTTGTTAAAATTTCATATTTATTTTGATTCAAGTCAAGCTGTTATGCCAATGATCACAATGTTGGGCCTATAAAAAGTTGATTAAACTGTTTCTATTTAAAGGCAAAACTATACTGTATCAAAGACCTGTTCGTATGCCACCAGCGTATTTTTTTACAAGTGATAAGATTTTAATGGAAACCAAAACAAAAAATGGAAATGCTAGTAGTTTTCTTACCTTTAATCTACACTCTTCTAAGGTTACGAAGTGGTAGGTTTGCTGGGGCGTTAGAAATGTCTGGGTTCCTGTAAACTAGCTGTAATAAACCTTCTCTGAATCCTGGCATCCGAAGAGCGTAAATTATAGGATTTACAAGTGAGTTAGCTAGAAATAGAACTAACATAACCAGATAAATATGAAAATTCGCGAAAGAAGAAAAGGAAAGGCCAACACATGCTAAATATATTATCAATGGTAGAAAACAAAGTAACGATACAAGTGAGACGGTAAGCGCAGTACCCGTCAGTTTTCTTTCTCTTTTGGACCTGGAACGGAATTGAGGATGACGACTACATCGTACTTTGATGGTAATGAGGATGTATGATACACAGATAACAAATAACGAAACTGCATAAAATAGGATATACAAGTAAGTATGAATTACCTCAAAATAACCAATTTCCCATAAGAAAATTTGAGCGACCTCTCTAACAATAGCTATTAACCAAATGACAATAATTATGGCTCTATAAACTCATTTCCTCATAGAGCGATGCCTGAATGGACAGAATGTTGCGTGTAGCCGTTCTAAGGAAACGGCAATAAGATTTGTAAGGGAAGTGAACGAGAATAAATTTACAAATGCAAAAGATAAATGATAAGACCAACTAGTCATTCGTCTGATCTTCCATAGAGGACAGAACCACGCTATCCTTTCTTCAATGTTTAGTGGCCCAGAGACTGCGCCTACTAAGAGATCGACTATCGCCAGATGGATGATCAAATATGTACTCCGCCGCTGTAGCCGACACTTCTTCTTCACAAAAACAACAATGGTGATGATATTGAGGATGACAATGGCCAGACATTCGATGATGAGGACCACAAGCCATGGAATGCACTCTGAAGCTGAGCAGAAAGGCTGCATTTTCTCTGAGCTCTGTTAGCTGCTTTAAAAATAACAGAAAACACTGCAATTGGAGATAAAATGAAATAAGAATTCAATATTCTCGAAAAAGAAATATGTAAATTATTGCTTTTTATGTTTTTTTAACATGTTTTGACCAACTGAGCTTCGTCTGTTACTAAAACTGATCCTCGTATTTCTTTTTGCGACATTCATATCCGGAAATTTAATCATTCGGCTTATTCATTTTTTTTCTTTCGAAAAAGACGAATATAATAATATAGAACTTTTTCGATGTTCACTGAATAAGCTAAAAACTTTGCCATTAATGATCTCAATTGTTTAAAGGAAATTCATAGCCTCCAAAGACAGATGGCAACAAAAAATTAACAGATCTTCCGGAAATATAGTAGAAACACCTGCTCCTCTTCTCGGTGCCGCTATTTGAAATACGGTTATTGTTACTACCGCCTTGAAAATTTCAAAGACAAATTAACCATAGGTACGGTGAAATATAACGAACATTTTTAAAACCAAAAACATCTCTTATGTTTTATTTTCTACCCCCAGAAGTTTAGTCATAGTCTTTTCTCGCTTCGGATAAATGTCTTCCCTTGTCAATATCATAAGCAACGAGCTTTAGAAAGATATCTTTTTCGTCGCGTTACGATTATTAAGATTATCAATGACTCATTTCTCTCCATATTGATTCAGTTTTCCTCATCTCATCGAAGGCAGAATTTGCAAACGAATCTTAAGAATATTTTGAACTTACCTCACTGATAACGAAAGTGTTTCTATCCTTTTAACGAGCTGAGCTTAAGTCAAATGCGGAAAGGGCGTTTTTCAAATAGAAAAGAAAGCAGCATGCTGAGGAAGAATGCAACGCAGACTAAACTTATCATTATTATAACTCCAATTTTCTTTTTCTGCATGATTGACAGATAACAGCTGAAAGGTAAACGACATTTTTAGTGCAGCAAAACAAGAATCACAGATAGAAGCGTCCGCCTAAACTCCGCGATTGTTAGTGTGATTTAAGCCCTGTATCGTAGCAAATCCACAAACAATACAGCTGAAAATAGAGAATCAACATAAGCAGAGATGAATAGTTTGTAAAATCCTTGAGTGGAGGTTTTTAAGCTTTTGGTTTTTACGGGAAAAGTTATATCATTGAAGCAGGCAAGTTTACTGCCTTTGAACAATTTGCTAGAAATAAGAGGTCCATTTGTTATTTGTTTTTTCCTTTCAAATGAGTTTGAAAACTTGGCTCCACTCTCATGTTAACAAAGTGATGATAAGACACGTTGATTGTCCTACTGGCGTCTTATTATCTTATGAGGCAAATAAAGTGAATTTGGATTGAACTTTATAGCTTTTAAGAAAAATTTTAATTGCAAGGATGACTGCCTATAATTGTTAGGACCTGAAATTTCCATGACAATGGAAATAATAATTAAATATACGAGAAGTTTATTGCAGGTTAGTCTTTAATTAGCTCAGTTGGAGTACTGCATATCCCCTGACAGTTCCACTGATAATTGAGACGTTTTTGGCTCCGGTGACGTCCTGTTACCTCACAGAAGGATCGCTAGGATAACATACTCGTTTTCCTCCTTTCTTTCTATTTTTAATTCTCATTTGTAGTTGTCTAGGTTTGTTTATTCTTTGTTTCTGTTTTGTTTTGTTGTGCTTTTTTTTCTGTCTTCATAAGTTGGTGGATCGCTGATGAAACGAAGTGAATATATCAGTGAGTCAATAAACACAGGAAATTGAAAAGGTCACTCATAGGAACTCTTAAGACCTGTAATTTTCAAAATGAATAGGGAAACTTCAGTTAATTATGGTCCACAAAATTTTCCCTTTTTCCTTTAAAAACTACTTTGGTCGATTTTACTTATTTTATGTTTGCACTGAACTGGTCATTTTCTTTAAAAATAATCTTTTCTTGAAAACCCAATTCCTTATTATATTCAGTTCAAGGAATTGCCCATCCTAATTCAAGTTATTAATTACAGCTTTGGATTATATTTCCAATCAAGTATTCGTAAGATAACTGCGTAAAAGTTTTATCAACAGAAATCTTTAAAGCGATGGTAAAGACCGTGCATCTTTTAACATTTAGTTATATAAAGACTGCGTTGTTGAAAGTTGGTAATAATTTCTTAATTAAAGACTTTATTTTCTTACAAGGTAGGCCATAAGTAGAGCAAACATACTGAACAAGATCTCAAAAGAATAATCATAAATTAATCAGTCTTATTTTTTTTATGTTATATCATATTTTAAGTTAAAAACTATTTTCATAAATAAGACATTAATTGGCAGCCTTGCGTTTCACCGTCTCACAGGCGGGATCGTAAAGGATGTAATTGGAGCATGTTAAGTTGAGTGCAACTGAAACGAAATTTTGGATAGAAGCATACACCTGTATTGCGTTAATTTGGACTAAGTCCTTTACTTTGTTATAGTCAAACTGCAAAATGCTATCGGAGATGAGCTATTTCCTAGATAATAGAGTTGAATTTTTTAAAAGGTGTCGGTTAGTAACTGAGAATATAAAACATTAAAGGGGAAAATGATAGGTTAATTTAGCCATCATCGTCGATTATTTTCCGTTCCACTCTAAGCCCATTAACCGAAGCAACTGTATCTTTGTTTAGTTTCTAGAAGCGACAAAATGCATTAATTTCCATTTTAATCATTTAGATGTTTGTACCGTTTCTATTCTCAGTCAACTCTCATATGAGTCTCCTCGTCTACACTCGGCCAGAATTTCGATGCCAGGATTCAAAGACTGGTCAGAGTGTATCAAGTGACCTATCTGCATATCCAGATCATATAATATCCAAAGTCAACACGCGTTATTCAAAGCATAGGGTTTTTAGGGGTTTTTGGCTCCCATAGTCTTTGTTTTGTTTGAGAATATTTTGTCCTGGAGTTTTTGCGTTCATTAACATAATTTACATAGACGAATCCAAACTTTTGAAGACTGTATTTTCAACGTATGGAAATATATACATAGGGGGGAGCATGATAAAAGGAGTTATTTAAACTGGAGGTACTGTTTTAGGAGCACCTCTATTAAAGGATGAAAGAATTGAACAAACAGGCAAAGGTAAACAGGTGGTGGATCCAGATCCTCACAAAATATACAGCCGTGGGAAGGAAAGGCAAGGGACGAGTTCTGAGCCTGACACTGACAGTAATGAATCAGCACAGTTTCCCAGCTCTGGATGGAAAACTGTGGGGAAAATGTTGTCTTTATCGCAATGCCCAATTTATAGTTCCATCAATCTAGGGAGAGAAGAGATTTATTTGTAGGCAACTCATGGATTAAATAATTAATTCATACCACACTTGAATGTGATCGTCACATTAATATCATGTCAGCCACATCTGGTTTACAATTCCCATTCGATGTAGTGGAACAGCTCTTTACCACATGTGTAAATTCTTAATCTTGTGGATGGCACGTTCAACATGTATCCAAAAGCTTGCGATTTCCTATGTTTTTCTACATCTACACCCATCTGTGTGGAAGATGCTCCAAGAAAGGGTGGCAAATTTAAATTAACTCTCAAAGGCAACAAATCCTGAATTGTGAATCCTTTATTTGCCATAATGCAGTCTTGGTCATCAAATGGTAGATTTAAAAATCCACTCCTTTTGACAATTTCTCGATCAGAGATAGAACCTGTATAAAGTTCACTAGTAAATGTCACTGCTCCACCTGGAGAAATACCAACCAGACCTTTCAAAGTTGTGTGATTTTTGTAGGTACTGAAAAGTTCTCCATTCAACTGCAAGCTGCTTGGCATTTAACATCCAACCTTAACACGGTCAATATAATGACTCGAGTAGATTTGTACTTTCCTTTAAAATATTTGGGCATTGTATTATCGATTACTTTTCTGCTGGGCCAATTGTTTATTTGTCCAAACTTAAAGATCATAAAATTGGCCCATGCAACAAATATTCTTCTAACTGTGGATGCTAATACATGAAACAATGGAGCTAGATGGTTCTCCAGGAATCCTTGCCTTGGTCTACACATGACCATAAAAATTCATCGAGGGGCCTTAAAGATCTAGCTTTCCCCTTTTTTTTCAATAGTTCGTCCTCACTGTAATCAGACTTATTGTTGTTCTCAGTTTTTGAACGCCAATAGTAAATGTTCTTAACCTGTTTCCCCAGGATCAATATGCTTAAAAACAGACATTAAAGTGTCCTAGCTTTGAAAGCCAATACAAAAAGCAGCATTGAAATCTTTTGACTTACAGTTTCAAAACAATCTTTTATCAGGAGCATCACTTTGCCGCTGGGTATCTTGCAGTTGGCGTTAAAGTTCCTCAATTTGCTGTTCGAGTCTATAAATCTTCTTGTTATTGTTGTCAATAATTTCCCTCGAGTCAGGTAGGCCTCCTGGTCGGTTAAAAGGGTTTGTGTTTCGTCTTCGACTTATAAGCTACAATCTGGTAGATCTGGGACCATTTCGTTTAATTATTCGTTTGATGATTCTTCAACAACAACGGCTGAAGACGATTTCCGTGATGCACTTTGTGAGACTTTCTTTTGCGAGGTGATGTTCGAGTCCATGGAAACACAGAAGGGACAACTTCATTTCTTAATTCATTCTTGTCAACGAGACATTTTTTAATGTCACCTTCCCTGAAATGCTGGGAGCATATCTTTGTATTTTCAGTTACCTTGAAGTGCTTTCCTTCGTCTCTTCATATCGCGCAAAGATATTTCTTCCTCATCGGATTCTCGGTCTAAAATTTAAAATAAGACACTTTTGTCCCATCGTCTTTACGGTATCCTTTCTTCGCACATTCTGGAACACGACAGTGAGTACACATTTCCTCTTCTTGAAAATAATTCGGCCGAATCGAGTCAAAATGGATGACCTACCCAACTTAAATTGATCTTTTGTTAACAGCTGTTATCCTTAAGCATAGCCTTTCTGACCTCGATTTCATATTTAAGGTATACCAGTCCCGCGCACCGTCAGCCATTATGAAAGTCGTGTATAGGTTTAAAAAGGTTTCCGAATGGCAAGAACAATATCTAATGAGTGAGCGCAGCAAACGAGTGAGATATTACTCAAATCACGAGAACATCAAATTCATATCTTTGAACATGTAATTTTCATTTTATCATATGAACAATAAATATATACGTGGTTGAGATTGTAAACCTGGCTTTAATACTAATACTGGGTATAAGTAGAAACAAACTTTCCCGTGTCTAATTATAAAAAGGTTTCAAAATAACACTTTCAGTTAGGCCAAAATACATGTGAGCTGGTTTTATAAGCTTAATTAAAATTCCATCACTGACTCTGAATAAAATCATCAGATACTTCTATTTTCAGCCTCTCCTCACTACAAACCTTTGAAGGCTGTTCAGTACGGACAGATGAAAGATTGACCTTTGATTAGTGGCGGCTTTCGGAAAATTCAAATCTTGGCTTTCTCGTTCCCTTGTTGTTCGAGAAATGCGTTTACATCTTCGTCGCTTACCACAACGAATCTTGCCGCCAATTAATATTCCGAACGACAAACAAACAATATTCACTCCGCAAAGTTCAAAGAGACTCAAATCCTGACATCGTTGTTCAATATCACCAGGCCACGTATTACATACAAAAAGTACGCCACTCGGTTCCGGATGTAGGGGTCGTATTGATATTAGAGTGTACACGCTAGTGTTTCAGTTGCCGTTAAAACACTCCCGTCCATATGATAGCTGTGGTTACCCAAGAGGTTATAAATACGATTTCGACTTTTTTACTCGCGCACATTTTTGCATTGCCTTGCTTTGCGCAAAGTGCTTTTCACGTAGGCAGTAGAAGACTGTTTAATGTTCACGCAGCCTCCTTAACATTTGGGGGTGGGGGAGGAGGTGGAAGAGTCCCTCTAAGTTACTCATCCCGGGCTTGTTAAGAGTCGCATTTATTTTGGTTCAGGTCAAGCTGTCATGCAAATGTATCCTGTTTTTATTCAAAGGAAAAACTATACTGAATCAATTATCTGCTCGTATATCACCTGTGTAGTTTTTCTTATTCATGTTAAGATTTTAATAGGAACCATAACATACGATGGAAATGCATATTTCTCGACTAAGAAACTAAAGTTATTTAGAAGCAAACTTCATCAACAGTTTTCCTACCATTTATCTACGCTCTCCCAAGGTTACGAAGTAGCAGGTTTGCTGGGGCGTCAGAAAGGTCTTGGACCCTGTAAAATAGCTGTAATAAACCTTCTCTGAGTCCTGGCATGCGAAGAGCGTAAATTATAAGATTTACAAGTGAATTAGCTAAAAAGAGAACTAACACAGCTATTTAAATATGAAAATTTCTGAAACAAGTGAAGGAAACGCAAAAGACATCAGACATCATGGTAGAAAACAAAGTAACGATATAGGTGAGGCGATAAGCGCAGTACCCGTCAGTTTTCTTTCTCTTTTGGATCTAGAATGGAATTGATGATGACGACTACATCGTACTTTGATGGTAATGAGGATGTAAGATACACAGATAATAAATAGAGAAACGGCATAAAATAGGATATACAAGTAAGTATCAATTACAGCTCGATCTGCAATTCCCTTTAAGAAAATTTGAGCGACCTCTCTAACAATAGCTATTAACCAAATGACAGCAATTATGGCTCTATGAACCATTCCCTCTCAAAGCGATGCCTGAATAGACAAAATGTTGCGCGTAGCCGTTCAAAGGAAATAGCCATAAGATTTGTTAGGGAAGTGAACGAGAAAAAATATACAAATGCAAAAGATAAATGCTGAGACGAAATAGTCTTTTGTCTGTAATTCCATAGAGTACAGAACTGCAACATTTCTATTTAAATCTGTAGCGGCCCAGAGACTACGCCCACTAAGAGATCGAATATCGCCAGATGGATGATCAAATATGTGCTCTGCCACCATAGCTGACGCTTCCTCTTCACAAAAACAACAATGGTGATGATATTAAGGATGACTATGGCCAGACACTCGATAATGAGGACCACAAGCCATGGGATACACTGCGAAGCTGAGTAGAGATGCTGCATTTTCTCTGAGCTCTGTTGGCTGCTATGAAAGTAATAGAAAACAGTTCAATTAGAGATAAAATGAAATATGGATTCAATTTTCTCAATAAAGATATATGTCAAATATTGCTTTTTACATTTTTTCAATGTGTTTTGACCAACTAAGTTTCGTCCATTGACTTAAACTGATCCTCGTGTTTCTTTATGCGAGATTTATGTCTAAAAATTTAATCATTCAGCCTTCAATAAAGGTGAATTTAATAATATAGAACTTTTTCGGAGTTCACTGAATAAGTGGAAAGCTTTGTCACTAGTGATCTTAATTGCTTGAAGGAAATGTATGGCCTTCAAAACAAGATAGCAACAAAAAATTCTGAAACTGATCTGCCAGAATACAGTAGATAGAGCTGCTCCTCTTCTCGGAGCTGTTATTAGAAATACGGTAGATGTTGTTTCCGCTTTGAAAATTTCAAACACAAATTAACTGTTGGTAAGGTGAAACATGACTAACATTTTAAAAAAAAAACATCTCTTATGTTTTATTTCCACACCCAGAAGTTTAATCATTGTCCTTTCTCGCTTCGGATAAATTTCTTCCTTTGTCAGTATCATAAGCATCAAACTAGAGAAAGATATCTTTTTAGTCGCGTATCGATTATTAAGATTATCAATGACATATTTCTGTCCATATTGATTCAGTTTTGCTCATCTCACCAAAGGTAGAATTTGCAAACATATCTTAAGAATATTTTGAACTTACCTCACTGATAACGAAAGTGTTTCTATCCCTTCACGAATTGAGTTTGAGTCAAAAGCTGAAAGGGCGGTTTTCAAATAGAAAAGAAAGCAGCATGCTGAGGAAGAGTGCAATGCAGACTAAACTTATCACTTTTAGAACTCCAATTTAGTTTTCCAAATGATTGACAAATAGTAGCTTAAAGGAAAACGACATTTTTAGTGCAGCTACACAAGAATTACAGATAAAAGCTTCTGCCTAAACTCCGCCACTGCCAGTGTGATTAAGGTCCTGTATCGTCGTAAGTTCACCCACTAAACAGCTGAATATAGAGAATAAACATAGGCACATCAAACTAAAGAAAAGGAATAGTTTCTAAAACCCCCGAATGGAGGTTTGAAAGTTTTTAGTTTTCCTGGGAGAAGTTGCATCATTGAACCAAGCAAGTTAACTGGCTTTGTTAGAAAGAAGAGATCCATCTAAATTGGCAATTTTATTTTCTTTTCATAGGAGTTTAGGGAAACTCGAGAGAAGTCATAAACTATGGTGGCTCTTGTGGCAAGGTGTGTAACTTGATTCGCACTGCGAAAGTCAGATATAGAAATAGAGGTGACAATTTTATTGCGATTAATCACCAATTAAGATAGTCGGTGACCATAGCAACAGAATTATATTTTCTACCTTTTTCTTGTGCTTTGATTCATTTTCACGTTCCTTTTTTTGGTGTAATACATATCCATAAGTTTAATAATTCAGTCTCCCTCTTTCTTTTTGTAACAAATTTCTCCTTTTTCTCACAGTAAAACATTCTTTTCATATACTCTGAATAACCAAAAGCCTTCATACAAGAGATCTCAATGCTTAAAGGAACATACTAAAATTCCGAAATTTTCCACATCCATGTAAAAGATTGTAGATGGGCGTGAATATGATAACTAAGATGGCGAGTGGGGATCTCAGGCTTACAAAGGATTTCCATAACTTCTCTCCACCCATTTTAACTCGCTTTACCTCATCTTACCCAAGTTAGAGTTTGTAAGCGAATCAAATCTTACGGCCATACCTCAATGATAACAAAGAACTTCGTATCCTCTAAAAAACAATCTAAAGTCAAATTTGACGAAAGGTGTTTTTTCGAATGAATAAGAAAACAATAAGCCAACGAATAGAGGAAGAGAATAAACACAGCACTATCAAGACTCGAAATTAGTTTTCCAAATGTCTGACGTATGATATCTAAATGTCGAAAGACGTAAGCTTCGTCTGGGGAATCAATATAATATCAATATAATATCAAATAAATGGAGATGAATAGTTTCTAGAAACCTGAAATGGAGTTTTAAAAGCTTTTGACGTGTACAGGAGAAGTAACATCACTGAAGAAGGCAATTTAACTCGCCGAGAAACCATTTCAAAATTGAAATACGAGACATTTATTTAATGCTGTTTATTACGATGCACATTTTTTTTCCTTAAAAAAAATGTTCTTTAGTCAATTTTAATGATATAATGATAATATGTCTGCACTGAACTAGTAATTTTCTTTTAAAGGTCCTATGAACAGAAATCTTTGTAGCGATGGTAAATACTGTGCATCTTTTAACGTGTAGTTATATAGAGATTGCGTCGTTAAAAGTTGGCAATAATTTTTTAATTAAAGACTTTATTTTCTTACAAGGTAGGTCATAAGTAAAGCAAACGTACGGGACAGGGCCTCAAAAGAATAATCATAAATTAGACAGTCTTATTTTTTGTTGTAATAGCATATCTTAAATTAAAAACTATTTTCATGAATAAGGCATTATGAAGACATGCGTTTCACTGTCCTACAGGCGGGATTGTAAAGGAGGTAATTGGAGCATGTTAAGTTGAGTGCAACTGAAACGAAATTTTGGATAGAAGCATACACCTGCATTGCGTTAATTTGGACTAATTCCTTTACTTTATCATAATAAAACAGTAAAATGCTATCGGAGATGAGCTATTTCCTAGATCATAGAGTTGAATTTTTTAAAAACTGTCGGTCAGAGAATATCTAACATCAAAGGGGAAAAATTATAGGTTAATTCAGTCACCATCTCCGATTTTTTTTTGTTCCACTACAAGAGAAATAAAACCCTTTGGGAGCCCATTAACTGTCGCACTTGTATCGTTGGTTAGATTCTATAAGCGACAAAATGTATTGCTTTTCATTTTAGTCGCTTGCATGTTTGTGCCGTTTCTATTCTTAGTCAACTCTCATATGAGTCATCTCGTCCACGCTCGGTCAGGATTCAATTCAGGGACTGGAGCGTATCGCGTAACCATTTTGCATATCCCAGATCAAATAAAAAACTTACAGTCAACATGCGATATTCAAAGCATAGGGTTTAAAGATGTTTTTGGCTCCTACAGTCTTTGTTTAAGACCATTTTGTCGCAGAGTTTTTTGCGTTCATTTACATAATTTATATAAACGAATCAAAACTTTTGAAGGCTGTATTTTAAACGTGTGGAAATGTATACATAAGGAGGCAATTCAAGTGAAGAATTATTTTCAAATCGCGTTACTTGCACTCGAATGGGGTGGGGGTCAATGAGAATCTTCCATACACAATGTTGTCACATGATACTACGATAGTTTTGAGAGTCACACATTTAACTCACATTCACTCTGCAATCAGCTGATTTAATTATTTCGTGTTGTGTTTCTGTTGTTTTAAAATACAAAATCAATACTCGACAAAAAAATTACCTTGGCTTCTCGCTCTCTAAACCATTCCAGTATTCTTTGATCGAGCTCCGGATACTTCGACGTAAAGCATCCCATCGTCTTCCGTTTCGCTGACAATTTAATCTCGTCATTAAAAAGGTTCGCTTGATCTTTCCTCCAGCGACGGACCATGGACTCACTGATGCCATACTCTCTGGTGATTTCAGAGTTATTTTGAAATGTTTCTGCTTCGACGACTATTTTAAGTTAACACGAGGTTGTATGACGTGCGACAAGCCTTGGGCATGATGACAGCTTAACTTGAAATAAACGATTGCAAACACAAGATTGTTTGATAGACACTACGGAAGTTAGGTACAAGTGATGCCGTTCAACAACACAGTTAGTTTTAAATTGATATTTTGGATCACATTACTTCATCCGAGTTACGATTCGTTACTTTTCAATTGAATAGTTAGTTACGGGTAATATTTATTAATTCGCGTGTGTTTTCTGAGAGAGACGTTTTTCTGTCCTTTGCATATTAAATCACCATTGTATCCCTTGTACACGCGCGTGTGTGTTATCGTCTAGGTTTCATTTATGACCATGAATGTAATTTTTTCTAAGAAAATGTTAAGTTTTCCCGTAGTTAACAATTCAGTCTTGTAATGATGAATGCGTCTCGGCTTATGGCCGGGTGTTTTCGATTTATTTTTGGTTGTCGTTATGCTGAGTCTTCACGCGTACAAAGTTTGGGGTCTGGGCTTATAGTAGAATAAATACGGTGTGTGGACCTCGGGAAAAAGTCCCTTGTTGCTTTTGTAAAGTATATTTCTCAAAAATACACGCGTGTTGGGAACGTCACAACCGTGTTTAGATTGTAAACATAGACTCTCATCTAAACACTTTTATTGATCACGCACTTCAATCTGAAATATTCTTACTTCTGTTTGCCAACTAGTCCGAAATGTAGACATCATAAACCCAATTGTCCATGAAACGAAGCCTGGACGGAATTTTTCTTGAAGCCTTTCTTGTGAAATGTACAGAAAGACTTTAATTTCGGCAAGAAAATTTGCTCTTTTTATCAACATTGCTTTTCTTTACTCTCTCAGTGTTCATATCGAGGACTAGCGAAAACCTGGATCAGAAATCTAATAATAAGGGAAGCAACAAAGGTGTTTGCCACTACAAGTAATTCTTTCACTTTTGCCCTCCAACAGTTTATGTTTTGAATGAGATATTTGCTTCGTTTTACGCTGCTTGTGATTCAGCGTACGGTGAGGGATTTATTTAACTTTATAAGCAAACAAACTAAACGTTATATTAAATGTTTCGCTTCGTCGCGCAAATGAAACTGCTACGGATGCTACATCGCTAAGTTTTTAATTCGATTCATCGTTATGGATACTAGTGATGTATCTCATCTATATTTCAGGAGTTTGTGCGTCAACTTCAGAAGTTATTTATTATGGCGGCTTTTGCGGTCAGGTGTTACTTGATTCGGATTGGGCTAGTCAGCTTAGATCAGTATTGCAATTTTTGTCACAAGCACTTAGTACCAGGATTGTCAGTGGCGATAACAACAGAGTTCAGTTTCCTCGGTTTGAATAAAGTAACAGGGTATTGTTTTATGTAAGCTGAACCTTTTTGTTGCTGTTATTGCGAAAAAGAAGCTTGGCCCTTTTCCTAGTTTCAGCTATTCGTTCCTTGTTATGATTTAAAAGAACGCAAAATCTGATGGCACAAGCTCTTTTTTAGCAAATTAAATACTCGCTCCCTGAACGTATTCAAATTCAAGCTTCCTTCCTACTTTACAACCATTTATCCGAGATGTTCTTAAGTTCCAAAGTGGCACATCGACTTAGGCTATTACACGATTTGAAGTACGTGTAATGTTTGTAGTAGGCCGACTTTGAAAAGTCGACTATAATTCCCTAAGAGTGTAATAAGATTAGTACCCACACCTCCCTCGGTCAATCAATAACACAAGGAGAACCTCAGCAAACGCAAACGCAAATGCAAATGCAAAGAATTGCACGTGTGAACCACCCCAACGCTAATGCAAATGCAAACGCAAGCTTGAACGCTGGTAATGAACAACTCTTCATTTTCTTGAGCTTGCATTTGCGTTTGCTTCCTACACGTGTGAATCGGCAAAAGCTCAATCGTTGTCGGCCATCTTGAAAAAATACTTCGACTGCGCTTCCGTATCTCTCTTTCTTTGCGTTTGCGTTGGACGTGTGAACTCGCTTGCATTTCCATTTGCGTTTGCGTTTGCATTTGCATTGCATGTATGAACCATGGAATGACATGATTGTAATTACAGAGCTGAATACGTTTTCAATCTGACAGTTGGCAATATTTCTTCTTTGTTGAGCCGTTCCGTTTTCATTTTACGACATTCTACCATTCTCCATAAAAAATGGTAAGTAGAATAAAAGGTCTGCATTTTGGACTCTTTTGCTAACAAAAAAATACCTTACCGAGAGTTTGCGACTATGCTACGTGTTTCTCCCAACACTTCTTTCGTGCTCTAGCCGCTTCCTGCATGCTTTACAACAGAACTGAGAACAGTCAGTTCTCTATTTGTTACGTGGTTGAGATTGTAAACCTGAGTATTAATAGAAACAAAATTTCTGATGCTTAAATTATAAAAAGGCTCAACAATAACACCTTCAGTTAAACCAAGATGTATGTTCACTAGTCTTATAAGCTTAATGAAACTTCGATTACTAACTCTGACTAAAATCATCCGATACTTTTATTTTCAGCCTCTTTTTATTACGAACCTTTGAAGGCTGTTCAGCAAGGACACATGAAAAGTTGACCTTCGTTTAGTAGCAACTTTCGACAAATTCCTTGAAAATCTTGGTTTTCTCGTTGCTCCATATCACCATACCACGTGTTACATACAAGAAATACGCCACTCGGCTCCTGGACGTGGTAATCGTATTGATACTACGAGTGTGTGCGTGACAGTTTAAGTTCCCGGTAAAACGCTCCCGTCCATATACCAGCTGTGGTTGTTCAAGCGGTTTAATTCGCGCACATTTTTGCTTTGCTTTGCGCATAACGCTTTTCCATAAAGCAATAGAAAACTTTTTCCATCTTCACGCAGTCTCATCAACATATGGGGTGTTGAGGCAGGGGTAAGAAAGTCACTCTAAGTTATTCATCCAGGGTTTGTTAAAACTCGCGTTTATTTTGGTAAAGTCAAGCTGTCATGAAAATGATCACAACGTAGAGTAAGTTGAGTAAACTTTTTTTATTCACAGGCAAAACTATACTGTATCGATTATCTGTTCGTATATCACCAGCGTATTTTTTCGGACTCATGTTAAGAATTTAATGGAAACCAAAAAATGAAATAGAAATGCATGTTACTCGGTTAAGAAGTTAAAGTTATTTAAAGGACAAACTTCATCAATAGTTTTGCATTTGTCTACGCTCTCTAAAGGTTACGAAGAGGCAGGTTTGTTGGGGCGATACGAGAAAGGTTAGGGACCCTGTAAACTAGTTGTAATAAACCTTCTCTGAATCCTGGCATCCGAAGAGAGTAAATTATAGGATTTACAAGTGAATTGCCTAAAAATAAAACTAACACAGCCATATAAATATGAAAATTCATAAAACGAGTGAAGGAAAGGTGAAGACACGCTAGATATATCATTGCTGGTAGAAAACAAAGTAAAGATACAAGTGAGACGATAAGCGCAGTAACCGTCAGTTTTCTTTCTCTTTTGGACCTAGAATGGAATTGAGGATGACGACTACATCGTACTTTGATAACAATGAGAATGTAAGATACACAGATAACAATTAGAGAAACTGCATAAAACAGGATATACAAGTAAATATCAATTACCATTAGATCAACAATTTCCAATAAGAAAATTTGAGCGGTTTCTCTAACAATAGCTATTAACCAAATGAAAATAATTATGGCTCTATAAGCCCATTTACTCACAAAGCGATGCCTGAATGGACAAAATGTTGCGTGTAGCCGTTCTATGGAAATAGCCATCAGATTTGTAAGGGAAGTGAACAAGAATAAATGTGAAAATGCAAAAGATAATCTATGAGACCAAATAGTCTTTCGTCTGTATTTCCATAGAGAACAGAACCTCCCAATTACGAATTCAATCCGTAGTGGCCCAGACACTACGCCCACTAAGAGATCCACTATCGCCAGATGGACGATCAAATATGTACTCCGCCGCTGTAGCTGACGCTTCTCCTTCACAAATACAACAATGGTGATGATATTAAAGATGACAATGGCCAGACATTCGATAATGAAGACCACAAGCCATGGAATACACTGCGAAGCTGAGTAGAAAGGCTGCATTTTCTCTGAGCTCTGTTAGCTGCTATGAAAATAACAGAAAACATTTCACTTAGAGATAAAATGAAATATGAAATCAATATCCTCAATAAGATATATGTCAAATATTGCTTTTTACATTTTTCAAAGTGTTTTGACCGACTAAGTTCTATTCGTCCACTTAAACTGATCCTCTTGTTTCATGCGAGATTCATATCCGGAAATTTAATCATTCCGTTTATTCCTTATTTTTTCTTTCGATTAAGACGAATCTAATAATATTGAACTTTTTCGATGTTCACTGAATAAGCGGAAAGCTTTGCCACTAGTGATCTCAATTGCTTGAAGGAAATTTATAGACTCCAAAGACAGATGGCAACAAAAAATTTGGAGATCTTCCGGAAATATAGTAGAAAGACTGAGTATAGAAAGACCTGCTCTTCTTCTCGGTGTCGCTATTAGAAATACGGTTGTTGCTGTTACCGCCTTAAAAATTTCAAAGACAAATTAACTGTAGGCATGGTGAGATATAACTAACATTTTTAAAAGGAAAAAAATATCTTATGTTTTATATTCTACACCCAGAAGTTTAGTCATAGTTTTTACTCGCTTCGGATAAATTTCTTCCTTTGTCAGGCAACAAGTTAGAGTAAAATACATTAATACATTAAAAGTTCACACGGTAACCAGGTGGACAATCAGACATGGTTTGATGCTTCACTGGTTTACAGATTGGGCCTAACGTTTCGACACTCCTGTCTAGTGCCTTCATCAGAGGTGATCTAAACGCTGCAACAAGAGGCCCTTTTATATGATCGCTAATTAGCTGTCTTTTTTCTGACGAGGTGTAAATAGGCGTCAGGAAGCAAGCCGCCATCGTCACGATTTAAAGGAGCGTGGGCGGAGTTGATATGCCAAGCCTCCAAACAAAGTAACGCCGATTAGTAGCGTCGGTTTGTTGTCCTTTCGTGACAGGATCCTTTGGTTTGGGGAAATATGCCCCGAAGTCTCTTACGCATCTTTCGTACTCTCCAAACTTCCCGCGTGCTTCATATCTCGATCAACGCACAGCGGACGTATGAACCAATTGTTTTATAACATTTTCAACCAGATGGAAAATATTTTTTCTCGAGGGATTTGTTTGCTGACGTCATGAGCGTGCGCAATAGGAATATGAAGCACGATCGCGCCATTGAATTTGATTAGACAAAGTTACTAGCTATGTTATAATCCTTATTAATTCAGTCTTCCTCATCCCATCGAAGGCAGAATTTTCAAGCGAATCTTAAGAATATTTTGAACTTACCTCACCGATTACGAAAGTGTTTCTATCCTTTCAACGAATTAAGTTTGAGTCAAATGCGGAAGGGCAGTTTTCAAATTGAAAGGAAAGTAGCATGCTGAGGAAGAGTGCAAACTTCTCTCCACCCATTTTAACTCACTTTACCACATCTCACCAAAACTAGAGTTTGTAAACGAATGAAATCTTACGAACATACCTCACTGATAAGGAAGTACTTCGTATCCTCTAAAAAATATAAGTCAAGTTGGGGGTTTTCTTAATGATAGCGAATTAACACACCACTATCAAGACTCGAAATTAGTTTTGCAAATGTCTGACATATGATATCTAGATGTCGGATGGCGTTCTGAAGCTGAACAGGAACAATAGGCAAGCTGTTCTACACCTGTATGTCGTTAATTCAAAGAAAGTTCCGTATCTACGTGTAAACAAAAGGCCGGCGATTAAGTTTGAGTCAAATGCGGAAAGGGCGGTTTTCAAATAGAAAAGAAAGTAGCCTGCTGAGGAAGAGTGCAAATTTCTCTCCACCCATTTCAACTCGCTTTACCTCATCTCACCAAAACTAGAGTTTATAAACGAATGAAATCCTACGAACATACCTCACTGATAACGAAGTACTTCGTATCCTCTAAAAAAGTGAAGTCGAATTTGACCAAAGGTGGTTTTCCGAATGAACCGAACCGAAATTATGGATGGAAGCAAACACCTGAATTGCGTTAATTTGGACTAAGTCCTTTACTTTATCATATTCAAACTGCAAAATGCTACCAGAGATGAGCTATTTCCCAGATCAAAGAGTTGAATTTTTAAAAGCTGTTGGTTAGTACTATATAAGAATATATAGTACTATATAGAATATATAATATTAAACGGGAAAAAATGATCCAGCCGAGAAAACAAAATAAAATAAAATAACACGATGACATTTATTTCTTTAGATCTGCCGCTGTGTTTGTATTTAATTTAACTCTAACTCTGGTGGAAAAAGGTAGTCTTCTCTCCTCATGATGATTCCGGTTTCTTTGATACTTGCCATTTGAAAACTCGACGTTCTGCCTTTCCCCGTAGTAATAAAAACAACAAATATTTATAATTTGGTTATCGGCTACATTCAAAGTGGTGATTCTAATACCTCTGATGGTAAGCAGCTGCAGTTATTTTTTTATTTTTGAGACCCTATCATGTGTTCCCCATTCTATCCAATTTCTCTCTTAGTTATCTGTGCAGTTGCTGACGTTAGAGATCGATAAAAGGAGTTATTTAAAACGGAAATACAGAACTTTGGAGTACTCTCTCAGTGCACGATCATTCAACCTGGCCGGTTTCTATGAATTTTTACAATAAAGTTCGGATATAATATCTGCTGTCATTGGTTAAAAGAGCGTGCTCAATGAGAGTATAGAGCATAGAACTGAGCTAAAGCTGTCACGCCATCTGCCAAATTGTACTATGTCCGACGTTTTCCAGGACTTCTTTCTAGCTTTTCTCTCGTTAATTGAAAGTGAAATTTCGGAACAAGCGAGCAAAGGTTTGCAAAAACGCCAAGCGCAATAATTTACGAAACGTAGTACGTTACTTTAACGTGAGCAGAGACAAAAATCCTCAAAGATGAAACAAAATGGACAGTCCGAGTTTTAAAGGTTTTCACGCTCAGTTAGATTGCAAGTGTACGTACGGTAATAAAAATCAAACACAGCTAACACTTGTATAGTATATAAAGTTTAGTGTTTGAAAAAAAAACAGAAAAAAAACAGGAATGATGAAAAATATAACCTGGCATAGCTGTTAAAATTCATGACGGTGTTATCATGCTAAGGTCTATCGCGGTTAGCTCATCATGGCGATCTTCGGTCACCGCAGTGGAGTAAGCCTCATGAACTAAATCGACTACCCTTCGAGTGGAAAAATAAGAGCTTGCTCTAATAACCTTTCCAATGCGTTGAGTGCAAGGCCACATCAGTCACTGCAGCCGAGTTTTACGGCGCTGTCATTCCGAGCGATCTTCATGTCCTGGTGAATTCGGCTGTCGTTCACCCATAAAACGCTCGCCTTGAACAGTTTGTTTTCGTCTTTTCATATGAATTAACTTGCGTATTTTTGTGAGCCACAATTGGGCCTAATTTCACTGAACATTCCACTTTCAGATTCTGTATTAGAAACTAAAAAACTTCGGGCAAAAGTGTTAAATTCGACATGCCGAATTATTTTAGTTTGTTAAATATTGCAGAATATGAACTTCGATGGTTTTTGAACTTTGATGGTTTGAAATTTTTGACAGCTTTAGTCTTGTACAACCAATCAGATTATTTGAACCATTCTAACAGGAATTCTGATTGGCTTATTGTAGCATGCTTTATGAGAGTATAGAACATGCTGACGATATTGTTGTTCGCTTTGGAAATAAAGTTTGTTTTGAAAATTGAAAATAATTCTTGGGGAATTTAACTGATTCTTTATTATAAAACAAATAGAGAAGCCTTGACTGTGCTCTGTTCTGTTGTAAAGCACTTAGGAAGCGGCTAGAGCACTCAAGAAGTAGGGACTACTTGACTACGTCTCGTGTTTCTCCCTACACTTCTTTCATGCTCTAACCGCTTCCTGCGTGCTTTGAAACGCGGCAAAGAGTTCTCCATTGCTTTTGTAAAGTATATTTCTTAAAAATACAAGCGTGTTTGGAACGTCAAAACCGTGTTTAGACTATAAACATAGACGCTCATTTAAACAGTTTTGTTGATCACGCACTTCAATTCTTTAAAACTGCAGGAGTCTTGCTGCTGTTTGCCATTCAATCCGAAACGAAGACATCATAAACCCAGTTGCCCATAAAAAGAAGCCTATGGAAGGAACGTTTCTTGAAGCCTTTCTTGTGAAATGAACGGCGAGATTTTAATTTCGAATTCGGCAAGATAATTTGCTCTTTTTAAAAACATTTATATTCTTTGCACTGAAGTAGCTGATCCAATACACTGAACTATAAGACTCGTACATTGATGGCTTTGCAAGAAATTCCTCATTTGAACCAATCAGCCTTTTTGAAACTTAAGGCTCCCAATTTGTGTGTAGTTGCAATGGCTAAATTTTTTGCCTCCTTTAATGATTTTTCCCTCTTGTTTTCTGCCAAACGCAATAAAACCCAACGATAAAGTGGTCGAGGAAATTTTTTGACATAAAAAGAGGAAAAACAGTTGTTAAATGCAAACTTTAAAATCATCGTTTTGCTGCGGAAATTAGTTGTCAGTAAGAAACACAATTTGGTAAGAGGTCGTTTGCTCATGCAGGATAACTCGAATAGCTGTGGAATAAAACCTGCTTTAAAAATAACCGTGACCTAAAAACCGCCGTAAATATTCCAACAGTTTATGTTTTGGATGAGATATTTGCTTCGTTTTAAACTACTTGTGAGTTAACCCACGGTGATGGATTTATTTTGGTAAAGCGAATGAATTTTTTATGAAAACTAGCAGTCTTTAAAATTTCACACTACATGTAAACAAACTAAACGTAATTTTGAATGTTTTACTTCGTCGCGCAAACGGAAGTGCAACAGCTGCCATATCGCTAAGTTCTTTGTTCACCTCATTGTTATGGATACTAGCGATGCATTTATTATTGAGCTAACAACAGACTGGATAACTAATCCGCAGCGATGTTAAGGCATTTTACTCTTACTGATAACGTTGAAATAGTCAAACCAAACTATAAAATGTGGCATGTTTTTGACCAGGCAATAGGGACGTTTGTTTACTTTTTTTTGTGCGTAGTGAGAATTTCTAATAACATATCAAACTCATGGGGTACAAATAGTCTTAACATGAATGTAGTGACCACGCCCACTTCAACACCCCACTCAAATCGAGTGTAATTTTCGAATGTTTTACCATCGTGCGGATTCTCTACGGAAAAAGCACTCAATGTACCTCTGAAATATTAAACTATAATATTGCGGCTTTCTATTTCGCTAATTTTCTAACTTGAAGGTAAAGTTTTTCCCTCGTCATTTTTACCTTTTCTCCGAGCGGTTGCGTGAAATTAACAAGGCGTTTTTGATCAAAACACGACCGAGCGAAGGGTCTCGGGCGATATCTCTTTTACGCAGGCGCAAATTAAAAATGTACCGCCAGAACCAAAAAGAGGAACAAATTTCCTTTGTTTTGATATGTAAAGTGTTGAACAAAAAGCAGATTTACCTTCGTCAAATGGCGTTTCAAAACAGCTGTATCTTCCTCCTTTTGATTTTTCCTGTTTTGTAAGCGTGAAAGCAGTAGGAGAGGGATCGGGAAACTCAGAAAGCGCTTCGGGAATTAATCTGCCATCGTTTACTTACAAGATAAACAAGTAAGATTTGTGAAGTTCGTTGAAGTATGAAGTCTAAATAAATGCCTTTTTAAAGCTTGTTTGCTGGATTTTTGTAAACTTCCCTGATTAATTTTTCGTTTCAGCTTACTAGTCTATACTATTTACTATTTCAAAGAAATGTCAAGACGAAGACGGAGAACCATGAGTCGGTCCTTTCAACAATCGTAGACAAAGTGTTTGAGCAATCAGGTATACGAGGTGTAATAATCAATAACCGCATATCAGAAGTCTTCATAAAGAAAGTATTCTGTCTTCAGAAAGCTGTCAAGAAAGCTAATAATCGTGGCGGAAGGCAATTAAACGGGCCCTCGGTATCGATTTAATATCATATTGATCTCAATATCATACAGTTTTGTATCTTTCTTCCGTGGATTCGCCTTTCTAACGAGGGTATATGTTGAGAATTCATTGCAAAATCGCTTTGTTTTTTTAATTTCCCTCTTTGACCTGTCCGCCATTTTGAAAATTCGTAACGGAGAGCATGCGCATTACGTGGGGTTAGTGGTTGCGTACACCTGGAACCGAGAAAAACAAATGTTCGTCGCACTGGGGAAAGAGTTTGATATGCATACCCGGAAATTTAATCATTCAGCCTATTCATTTTTTTTTTCTTTCGAAAAAGACAAATATAATAATATGAACTTTTTGGATGTTCACTGAATAAGCGGAAAGCTTTGCCACCAGTGATCTCAGTTGCTTGAATGAAATTTATAGCCTCCAAAGACAGATGGCAACAAACAATTTAGAGATCTTCCGGAAATATAAAAGAAAGGCTGAGTATAGAAAGACCTACTCCTCTTCTCGGTGCCGCTATTCGAAATACGGTTGTTGTTGTTACCGCCTCGAAAACTTCAAAGACAAATTAATTGTAGGTAAGGTGAAACATAACGAACATTCTTAAAAGCAAAAGCATCTCTTATGTTTTATTTTCTACACCCAGAAGTTTAGTAATAGTCTTTTCTCGCTTCGGATAAATTTCTTCCTTTGTCAATATCATAAGCAACAAGCTGGAGAAAGATATCTTTTTCGACGCGTTACGATTATTAAGATTATCAATAACACATTTCCGTCCATATTGATTCAGTTTTCCTCATCTCACCGAAGGTAGAATTTGCAAACCAATCTTAAGAATATTTTGAACGTGCCTCACTGATAACGAAAGTGTTTCTATCCTTTAACGAATTGAGTTAAAGTCAAATGCAGAAAGGGCGGTTTTCACAAAGAAAAGAAAGCAGCATGCTGAGGAAGAGTGCAATGCAGACTAAACTTATCACTATTAGAACTCCAATTTAGTTTTTCCGAATGATTGACAGATAATAGCTGAAAGGAAAACGACGTTTTTAGAGCAGCTAAACAGGCATTACAGATAAAAGTATCCGCCTGAACTTCGCGATTTTTAGTGTGTTTAAAGTCCTGTATCGTCGTAAATCCACCTACAAAACAGCTAAATATAGAGAATCAACATAAGCACATCAAACGAGTGGAAATAAATAGTTTCCAAAATCCTTGAATGATGGTTTGAAAGCTTTTGGTTTTTACGGGAAAAATTATGTCATTGAAGCAGAAGTAAGGGAGGTAAGCATCATCATTTATAGGCATCAAAAGAAACAATCTAACATTCTAAAAACTTTTCAAATTTGTTTTACGATAACTTTTTAGAGGGGATCAAGTCCTCTCTTCAACATGATAAATGTTATACTCGGTAATGAAACAGGAAGATCTTTTCATCGTCTCGTCATGAACGTGTAACAAAGGAACAAGCTTTTCGCAAGGTCTGAAAATCCTCAACCGTTTCATAAGCATTAAAAGAAGGAAACAAAACCAAAATTCTAAAATTTTCCACAGGCTTACAGAGGATTTTCCATAACTTCCCTCCACCCATTTTAACTCGCTTTACCTCCTCTTCCGAAAACAAAAGTTTGTAAACGAATTAAATTTTATTAACATACCTCACTAATAACGAAGTACCTCGATCCTCTAAAAATTTGACCAAAGGCGCTTTTCAGAATGAATAAGAAAACAACAAGCCAAGGAATAGAGATAGAGAATAAACACACCACTATCAAGACTCGAAATTAGCTTTCCAAATGTGTGACATATGATATCTGTAGATGTCGTAAGACGTTTTGACTGCAACTGAACAGGAACAACAAGTAAGCTACACTACACCTGTACGTCGTTAATTCAAAGAAAGTTCCGTATCTATGTGAACCCAAATCGCCGGCAAAACAGCTTCTTCTGGAGAATCAATATCTGAATATCAAATAAATGAAGATGAATAGTTTCTAGAAACCTTGAATGCAGTTTTGAAAGCTTTTGGTGTTTATAGGAGAAGTTATATCACTAAAGAAGGAAATTTAACTGGCTTAGAAAACATTTCAAAATTGAAATACGAGGCATATTTTAAATTTTTTTTAATTTCGGTTCACAATATTTTCTTTTTTTCCTTAAAAAACTTCTTGAGTCGATTTTTCATTTGGTGATAATTTTTTCTTTGATTTTAAGTTGAAAAGTTGTGGCAGCGTGATCTAAGGTGTTAAGACACTCATCAGAACAAAGAGTGCGACATTGTGGAGAATCATGTAAATGTCTGAAATGTGAGAGGTCCTATCAAGTGCTCTTGTACGCGTGTGGATAAATGTCGAGGGGTTTCGCCGACATATCAGGCGTTAGAGCCCTCACATAAAAACTTGTAAACCACACACGTACGGAGCCCACGAGGGATAGGGTCTTTCACCCCAAACATATCGCCTATTTTAAAAGATGAAAAAGCTAACTTTACATCGATGTTGTTACAATAACACTTAGCAAATTGGCGAACCCTTTTTTGCGTGACAAAAGAAAAAGAGCCAATGTAAGGTAATTTAAAATAAAAGTTTGTAGTAGCGTCTGAAACGGAGACCGAGGAATCGCACTCATCACGGTGAGCGTGAGGTGTCGATTGACAACCCTTGAACCAGATTGGCTGGAAAAAAATTCTTTTTTAGGGATTTCAGTGAGTTTCTAGATGTCTTCGTGGAAACCCAACCATGTGTTGTTGATCTTGTAGGCTCTATCAACAAGAGTGCGAATGAGACCCAGTTTGTAGGGATAAGGTATAAAGCTAAAATAATTAGTCAACAGGCCCGTAAAGGTTTTCTTACAGTCAACACTTAATCACCAACTTTATCATGTTAATGAAATAATTTCTTAATTATTAAATTAATTAAATTAAATTAATCTCATATCTTAAGTTAAAAATATTCTCATGAATAAGACATTTATTGACAGCCTCACGTTCACTGTCTCACAGGCGGGATCATAAAGGAAGTAATTAGGGTATGTTAATTTGACTGCAGCTAAGCCGAATTTTGTATGGAAGCATACACCTGATTTGCGTTAATTTGGACCAAGTCCGTTACTCTATCGTGGTCAAACTGCAAAATACTATCAGAGATGAGCTATATCCTTGATCATAGAGTTTAATTTTTTAAAAGCTGTTGCTTAGTACCTAAGAATATATAATATTAAACGGGAAAAATGATCCAGCCGACAAAACTTTAGAAAATAAAATAACACGGCGACGTTTATTTCTTTTGATCTACCGCTGCATTTGTATTTAATTTAACTCCAACTCCGGTTGATAAAGGTAGTCTTCTCTCCTCATGATGATTCCGATTTTTGATACTTGCCATTTGAAAAGTCGACATTCTGCCTTTCCCTGTAGCAATAAAACCCACCAATATTTATAATTTGGTTATCGACTACATTCAAAGTGGTGGTTCTTATACCTCTGATGGCAAGCAGCTGCAGTTATGTGTTTATTTTTGAGACCCTATAGAGTGTTCCCCATTCTATCTAATTTCCCTCTTAGTGATCTGTGCAGTTGCTGGTTAGGGTATCTCAGTCATCATCCTCGATTATTTTTTTTTTTCACTCAGAGAGAAAGTAAACTGAATGGAAGCTCGCTAAGCGTTGCACCTGTATCGCTATTGAGTTTTCTAAAAGCGACAAAATGCATTGCTTTTCATTCTAGTCGTTTAGATGTTTCTACCGTTTCTATCGTTAGTCAATTGCAACTCTTATATGAGTCTACTCGTCTACGTTCAGCCAGAACTCGATTCGGAGACTGGAGCGTATCGCCTAACCATATTGCAGATCCCAGATCATATAAAATCCAAAGACAGTACGCGATATTCAAAGCGTAGTGCCTGGAGGTGTTTTTGGCTCCTACAGTCTTTGTTTTGTTTGTTCCGGAGTTTTTGTGTTTATTTACATAATTTACATAAACGAATCCAAACTTTTGAAGGCTGTATTTTAAACGTATGGAAATATATATATAATGAGGCAATTCAAGTGAGGAATTATGATTATATTGCCTTACTTTCTCTAGAATGGGGGTGGGGGAGCATGATAAATAGAGAATAATACATGGGGTGGGGGGTTGGGAGCACAATAAATAGAGAATAATACATGGGCGCGCGTAGATATGGAATTTCTCTTCGAGTTGAAGAGAAATTCCATATTTACAAGCAACCATGTTTTATTTTGTTTATCATATAAACACAATAGCTCTTTACTAGGAAGAAAAGCCGACTTCATTAATGAATGAAAATAAGTGAATCAACAATCCTCGAATAACAATCGTAGAGTGCGTTGGCGCTAACTCTTAACATGGAAAAATGCAATGAATCATGATTTCAAAAACAACAATGGTCGTAATTTTCAATTTACAAAATTCTCATATATTGACTTTCTCCGACAGAAGAAGTCTTTCAGGTAAACGGCCAAAATCGGCCAGTGGCAAATCTTCCAGTTGTCGATTTTCATTCTCAGCCGAGAGAAATGCTGACACCAAAGCCACTGAATACGCAACTTTCGGTTTTTCTTTTAGTGTATTGGTTTTCTTCCCCTTCTAGGAAAGTTTGAACCTCATTGTCTGTCAGCGATACGGATTTTTTAGTGTTTTAGCCACCATAAAGGAGTTATTTAAGCCGGAAATGCAGAACTTTGGAGTACTCTCTCAATGCACGATCGCTCACCCTGGCCGGTTTCGATGAACTTGTGGAAACCTAGGAAAAAGTCCTCTATTGCTTTTGTAAAATATATTTCTTAACAATACACACGTGAATATAACAACACAACCGTTTTTAGACTGTAAACATAAACTCTCATCTAAACACTTTTATTGATCTCGCACTTCAATTCTTTAAAATTGCAGGAGTCTTACTTCTGTTTTCCAAACAATCCGAAACGTAGACATCATAAACCCAGTTGTCCATAAAACGAAGCCTATGGACGGAATGTTTCTTGAAGCCTTTCTTGTGAAATGTACAGTAAGATTTTAATTTCGGCAAGATAATTTGCTCTTTTTTAACAACATTGATATTCTTTGCTCTGAATTACCTGATCTAATACACTGAACTATAAGACTCGTATATTGATGGTTTTGTTAGAAATTTCTTTTTTGAACTAATCAGCCTTTTTGAACTTAAGACTCCCTATTTATATACGTGATTACAATGGCAACATTTTTTGCCTCATTTAATGATTTTTCCCTCCTGTTTCCGCCAAACGCAATACAACGCAACGATAAAGTGGTCGAGGAAATCTTTTGACAACATACGATGAAAAACGCTCGTAAAATGCAAATTTTAAAAATATCGGTTAACTAGTTAGTTGTCCGTAATAAAACAATTTGATAAGAAGTCGTCCACCCAGCAGGATAACCCGAATAGCATCGGCATGAAATCTGCATAAAAATAATCCTGACATAAAAACTACCGTCAATGTCATACCCCTTGGAACCGTAATAGCGAGTTAATGATAATGTTATTAGCAGTTTTGCCATTCGTCTTCCTCTCAAGCTTTTGCGAAGCTCAACTCCAATGTTCTAGATCCCCAATGCAACGTAGAGAGGCCTGTAAGGGCCTTTGTGCCTTTTCATGGGCCGAATATCAGACCTGGAGCATAAAAATGAAATTAGACATACGAAGATTAATTACTTTCAATATCACAACAATCTCAGAAATTCACTTGCCTATACCGAAAAGTCTCATCGAAGATTCAATACTTAGCTGAGGTTTCTTTCGTTGATATAAATATACATATATTTCTCTAGTATGACAAATGCCGACTACATAATATATCAGTGAAAAGAAGAAAAGGAAATTCCAAAGCTATAAGGCTCACGAAGATATTTGTAGTGGTTTTATGTTTACGTCGTTAGTGTTCTTGACCAACAGCATGCACTAACCAAATAAATGTAATTACAAACTTCTAACGAGTCTAGGACTGAGGTGATATCCTTTCGATAAGAATATCAGGGCTTTTATCACAGAGCTGCGCACTGATATCTCAAATCCTTCTATTTTTACGCTCATAAATGTTAGAAATGGTCTGTAAGAGTTAAGTGCTTCATCAAACTTTCCTGATGGACCGATACAGCCTTTCGTTACCAGTCTTCCTCGGAGTGTTTTGATATTGCGGGGCGGAAGACACTATGTTGTTGTTGAATCTGAGGGGTTAAGGAGATGAAATGTTTACTCATACACCGTTGTGGAAGACGACTTTTCACAGGTAAATATAAGCATAACTTAGTTGATGTTCGTTCCATAATTTTTCTTACTGTTCATATCGAAGAATAGCGAAAACCTCGATCAGAAATCTAATTCGAAAGGAAGCAACGAAAGTGGTTGTCGCGACCGGTTATTTCTTTCATTCTTGCCTTCCAACAGTTTATGTTTTAAATGAGATATTAACTCCGTCATTACGCTGCTTGTGATTCAGCCCACAGTGAGGGGTTTATTTCTGTAAAGTGAATGAATTTCGATGAAAAATTGCCGTCTTTAAAATTTCACGCTATAAGTAAACAAACTAAACGTCATATTAAATGTTTCACTTCGTCGCGCAAATGAAAGTGCTACTGATGCCATATCGCTACGCTGTTTATTCGATTCATTGTTATGGATACCAGCGATGTATTTGGTATCGAACTATCAACAGACTGGATAACTGATCCACAGCAATGTTAAGGCATTTTATTCTTACTGATCGATAAAGTTGATATAGTTCCGCAATCTTCATTCTGCATGATCAATTGCTTTTTTATTGTTAATCAAGTATTTCATCATGCGATCTATGTAAGGATAGCGATGGTTCGAAAGTTTGATCAATGCTTGATAATTACCTTCCCAAACCCCTACAATACATTAACCGAGACATTATGACTACACATCTTTTATGACAAACCCTACCCCCGCCTCTTAAACAGTTTTGAGATCTGACAAATTTGCCTATGGCCTAACCGGTTCTACTCTCTCTGAGAATGGACAGGCAGTCAGTGGTCACGCTCCAGCAAGGACTGCCGTAGGAAGTACGTAAATTTTGTGTCTAATGCTAGCGCTGCAAATGAGTAACGACATTCTCTCTGGCACATCTTTGATCGTGAAAACGCGCGCGCAAGAGATCCGTCACTCGCTTGCGCGAACCACGGGGCGAATACTTTCAGTTTCTATGTAAACTTTTCTGGCAATTACGAGTTTACCTGTTTGGGCCTGATCTCGATAACTGCTGAGTACCGCTTTTTCGTTGACAAGATACGCGTCGCATGAAACACGCATAGCCGTCTTTCCATGCTTTTGATGGGAAAGTTACGCTGAAAACAAGTGACAGAGCAGTTTTTGAAAGCTACCTAAACATTCATTTGATCCGAAGGGAAAATATTTAGTGCATGATTAAAATTCTGTTTTTATTTCCGTTGTGTCGATGTTTCAGGGATTTAATTATCGACCATTTCTCCCGTCCATTGCCAAAAATAAAGTGACACCTTCTTAGAACTTTTCGAAAAGCTCGCGATCGCGATTGTCAAATGCACGATGGACCCACGTGCTCTCCGCGACCCTGAAAACATGTATCTGTTTTTGTATGATCAATATTATCTATTGATTTTTTAAAATTTTTTTTTGACGTATGACCCTCTTCCATTTCGTCAATTGTCCGAGCTTGAGTTTCAATTATTGAGTGATTTTGCAAAGGTGAAAGTCTGGGCAACGGAAAAAGTACGGAGCGGTTCGTCAAAAAAATTGATAAAAACTCGATATTACTCTTTATTTGATCCTTTTCAACTACATATCACACTTGTCTGAACTGGAATTTTACTTTCTGTGTGACTGTACAAACCAAAAGCGGAAAACTATTGAGCGGTGCGTGAAAGAAAGGTTAGAACAGGTTGTCCGAGTTCAGTTATTTTTTATTTCATGAGACAAAAGAAAATGTTGAGAGCTTTGGCTGAGACCGGCCCTCCTATAAGCATGTCCTAAATTTTTGGCAGGATTTTAGAACACGAGAGTGCTCTCGTGTCATAATTCAAATGTTCCATGCTGATTATCTTAAGCATCTGAAAGATTAGAAGAGATTAACCTTCCGTCGGATGTGAGATTAGATCTTTCCCAACCAAAGGATAGAAACCTGCTATTGTGTAATGAGTGGAGGTATGCCCGAAAGGTGAACGAAACAGAAAGTGTAATGTATACGCAAACCTCGCTCTCCTGAAAGGTTCTTTCGACCAATTCCTAAACTCGATTTTAAGGTATAAGACTCCAAAAATGCCTAATTTTCATCGTAGTCACTATGGAAGGGCTAAAGCAACCCAACAATCCCAAATTTTGAGGCGTTGTATTAAAACATATTATGAATAAACAACAGTAGTGAAGTTTTTCGTCGGACGCCGAAGCTTGATTGGTTTTGTTCGTGAGGATCATGTGCCTCGCTCCCACGCTTGCGAGACACTGGTACCAATATATTCACAACAAAACAGCTGAGTTCTGATCGCCTCGCGGATCAAAGAAATAGGTATCTTTTTGTCGTTCGCCAATTCATTATTAAACTCGCGACAAAAATGCCAGTTTCTGATTCTCTAGAAGCCCAAATATTCAATCTCTGTAAGACGTTTTGGAGAGAATCGACAACGTCCCTCTAAAACGGAAAATTCGAGAGCTCGTGAATCGCATAGAGGGTAAGTAGAAAACTTCGAGTTTTTATGCCTCTAAAATACATTGAATGTTATAATTTGTACCCATGTCGAATTATGAAGTAAAAATTATATTTCTTGTAATTTCTGTTCGAGAAGAAATTATCAACGTCTATCCAATAGGACTTGTACTTTTCGTAAAAATTGCAGTTAGCGCAGAAACGCAAGCATGAACGTATTTGTATGTCTAGGATGATAACACAAAATCGACTTACATGATTGTGAAATTTTTGTGACAGATAGCGAATTATAAACAACTTAGACGCCGCAAAATTCTGAACATTATTGTTGTAGTGGCTTTCAAATGATATTTTTCATTGAAACTTTTGCTGCTATTGTCCTAAGTCGGGCACGTTCGCAAATCGTGTTAGTACAGTGGCAGGTACTGTTGGAGAAATTTGAAAAAGGCTTGAATCCCGCATTTCAAATTTAAAATCTACCATGAGACAAGTTAAGCTACTATCTTTTGGAAAACAGATTATTTTTTATTTGGTAAAGCCACAATAGAGGAATGGTCGGTTAAATTGGATTTATGAAATAAATTTCAGGCGCCAAAACTTTGATTTGTGATACACGCCGTGACAGAGTGTTCCTGAAGGCATCGTGTTGCAAAAATTTTATGGCGTAGTTTATATTTTTCAACGTTAAATATTGCTGTAGGTATTTGTATCCAAACTCTTAATTTCATAACAACGAAACCAGACGACATTTTCGAGCTAGGAAGACTGGTTTAGATAAAAAGTCTATTCGTCGATAAGCCACGCCATTTGGACTTTGCTTGGTATGCGCATAAAGAGCAGTGTTGACTCCTCCATTTCACTGCATTTTGTCCGTGAACTATTTATTTATTCAGTGGAAGACGAAAGTGAATTTAATTTTCAATGTTTTCTTAAAGAACGTCGTAAAATTATGGTTATTGTTAGCTTGATGTTCGTTTCAGTTGTTCGATTATCTGATGTCAATTTCACTGATGACTGAAACCATGAAAATTCTTGGAATAAATGTATTTTGCTGCGCTGTACATTCGCCGGCTAAATACGATCGTATCTTATTTGCATGTTGTTGTGGTGTAAATCTAAATTAAATAGACTTCCTGCCTCTCGAGAAAAATAAAATGGATGTAAACAACGAACTGTTTTAATTTAACAGAGTGAATGTGCTAAAGTTAGAGTTATATTAGAACACAGACATTTTTACATCGAAGTATACATGTGCGTTACGTTGAATTCTTCAAAAAAATGCGGCTGCGGTTAATGGGATGTTTGAATATCTTCCCCCTATGATTTTTGAAATTATTTGCGTTTTATGTTGAAGATGCCAATATACTCTAATGATGTAAATATTTCTGTGTTCCAAGATAATTTGTTTTGAGGAACTAACACTCATCTTCAAGTACTGTGACATTTGTTATTTCAAGATGCTATCAAAATTTGGCTGTAATCGATACTTAATTTGCACCACTAAGTAAGTAATGTCTAATTCAGTCACAGACTTAAAAATAAATATTTCATTTTCCAAATAGTAGAAAACATTGGGACATGAAAATAATTATGATATTACTGTAAAAGTGTAATTCAAACCTAAATTTGTCACATGAGAAGAATTTTAAAAATAGTTTGTTTTTTTTTTTTTTTGGAGGAATGCAATATTGTTTAAGAAATATTATGGTAGACAATTGTATGTTGGTATCCATGCATGGATAATCTTTGTCATGTAATCAGATAACTGTTTGTCAAAATTTAAATTTTTTCTCACAGTCCCTTTACAATCCATCATTAAAATTCTGTGACCTAGGAAAAAAATAGTTTTATCCCCTGGACAGAACTGGCTTCTTGTTAGATCAAAACTAGTCCTGGCTTGACAAATGACTCGCTGATTGCCAAAAATTTTCTGGAGGTTTGCTACAATGTAGCAGTTTTGTTGTTGTTTTTTTAAAGAAATTTAGATTGAGGAGTTAAATTGATGGGAGAATAATCTCAACCATTCATCAAATATTAACCAGAACCCTCTTGTATCCTCCTCTCACTTTCAATTCCAACCTACTGATCATCCGAGAAAGACAGAGCAAAGAATCGTTTCCCCCAAAATGAAGTAAACTAACCCAAGATTATGTGATGATTTGATCCTCATAGGTAAACTGCAATTGATAAATGATTAAAGCTTCCCAACCTCCTCCTAAAAAATTAAATAAAGGAGAGTACTTTTACAAACTAAACTGTGTTCCTATGTAGCAGCATCCGATGCTTGTCTAAGACTATTAATTATGATTGCTGATTGTCTTTTTTTTCCTGTTTAGAATCATTCCTCAACAGCCCTGAGTTTACAACACTAAGAGTGGACAGTAGCAGTGAACTAAGACTGGTGAGCCCAGGATGATTAACTAGCTTTTTCTTTTTATAATCTGCTGTACAGATGTTGTGGAGATTACATGGAACTGGTAGATGGTGAAAATATTTATCTCATTTGTGTTTTGAGAGACTCATCTCATTCTTACATAAAGTTGGGGAAATAAGTAACTACAAAGTGGAAGTCAAAATGTGCCATAGCCATCCCTGCTTCTATTATTTAGATCTCTGGAAACATCTTGATGACTTTCTAGATGCAATTAAAAGATTACTGGTGACTTATGAAACAGAGAATTACTCCTATTTCTATGAGATTTTTTGATTTTATCAGTTTTTTTTATTTTCCTTACCTAATGTATCATTTTTATTGTACTCTTCACACCTCCAAAATATCAATTTTACCCAAGGTCATTTGCAAGGAAAGCAGTTCTCATTAGTTTGGCTTGCTAAGAGCATTCAGATGTGGAAAACTTGCCTTGCTTCATTCTCATGGCATTTGTGTTTTAAGAAGTAGAAAATCTCTATTTATCTTAGGAGACCATTGTTTACTAAAGATAACTTGTCACACTTGTGATGCTGGCAGATCGTTTTCTTCTAGCCTCCTGTACATCTGATTATACAGTTATTACTTCACTATGATAAGTGATAAGTATTTGAAATCACTCATATTTCTTTCACAGGGCATTGTTGGCAGCTCTGTTTCAGGAAAATCTGACTTATTGCACAGATATCTGACTGGTGAATATGCCAAAGTAGATTCCTTTACCGGACGTCACAAGAAGGAAGTGTGTTATGAAGGACAGAGTCACCTTTTGTTGATAAGAAATGAGACTGGACCTCCTGATGTACAGGTACTGTGTCAAAGATGAGCAGTTTGTTATTGAATGTTGCTTGAAAGTGCTTCGGGAAAAGTGAAAAGAATGCTATTGGCTACTTCTTAAACGGTAATAAAGGGTATTTTGTTCTATATACACCTCCATGGTTGCATGAGGAGAGAGACTTAGTTTTTATTTTTATTCAGACATGGAGAACATATGCTGTTACTTTAGACCATTTTCCTGTTGCTATGTTTTATACATGTCTCATGACTGATAAGCATAGCAGGAATGAATATTGCTGAGAAACTTTTGCTATGGTCTTGGTTTGCAAAGGACTTTAAACTCCTGATATGGGTCATGGAAAGTCTGGGGGAATGATTTGAGAGAAGCAAAGACAAAAAGCCTTTATTATAGAGTGGGCATCATTTTGGAAAGGCAAACAAAAATCTTAAAAGGATTAGTAATTTACCTTACAACTACGTTTTCAGGGCTCAAAGTTAACTTTTTAGTCCACTTGCCAAGTTTTGCGAGTAAGATTTTTCTCACCAGCAAACTGGTGAGACCACTAGCAAATTCTCTCCCTTTGAAATGTCAGTGACCATATCTGATACAGAGATGTTTCTCAAAGCTATTAATGAGCTGAAAAGTTTAATAAAAAAGGTATTATATATTTGGTCTCCTTTGTCATTGTCCTGACAGCCACCACCTATTTATTGCATGTTTGGAAGACATGGATGATTGTAACTAACAAATGTTTGCTGGTGGATATTTTTCTCACTGGCAGCCTATCAAAATCACTAGCAATTTGCAAGTTTGCGAGCATTGATTTCAAGCCCTGCATTTGTCAGTTGTCAGCATCTTGGCTTGTCTTTGCAAACTGAGAGTTCAGAACAGGCTAAAAAGAAAGGGTGATGATATCAAAAAGTTTTAGAATCTTATGACCACAAAAAGGTGGGAACCCTGTTGGTGAGGCAGCTTTCTCTCTCAACAAATTCCTACACTTTTTTAAAATTTTTTTGCTTTCCTTCTCTTCTACAGTTTACTCAGTGGGTGGAAGCAGTCATATTTGTATTCAGCTTGGACGATGAGCTGAGCTTCAGTGTTTTATCAGGGTATTACGCCAAAATGGCCCAGTACAGAAAATACATCTCTGATGTTCCTGTGGTTTTGGTCACCCTAACTGGTAAGCATATTTGGCAAATACACCATCGTCTTATTGCTGCGGAAAACAAACCAAAGCATTTTGAGTATTGAAACTTAGAGAAAATCATTCATTGTAAAATTACAGCCATAGTGTATACCAATACAGTGCAGAAACAGGGCTCTATTATGTGTTATATATATATATGTATGGATTTAAAGAGAAATCTGTCATGTTTGCATTCAATTAAGCACTCCTCAGGCCAAAAATGGATGCAGTTGAGGCTAAATGTTCTTATATGAATTACAGTTAGTGGCAAAACTAGTTTGCACGCCTTGCCTTATAGAAGGTTGGTTGAAAACCTTCCATTCGACATAATTAACACAAATATTTTAATTCTTCTCCAACAAGTTATTAGAAGCCCCCCCCCCATTTCGCTTCAAACAATGTTGCTGGAAATCAGTGCATTTTTGTAGCTTCAGGAAACATGGATTTGGGAGGGGAGGGAGGGGGGAGGATAGAAGGAGATAAATGAAAGTTATAGTAGAAAAATAATTAACTTAAGTTGTTAGAAAGTTCCCCCTTTCCCTCCAAATATTGTTGCCTGGGGGATAAGGGAAGATACACGAAAGTTGTTGAAAAAGTTCAAAAGTAGACTAGTAGATCGTGACAACCTTTTTCACTGATCGCTTTGAAACAGATGGTGTTACAAGCATCGAACAACCAGGCATTGTTTCCACGAATCGAATAAAGAAGCTTATCTCGGACCTTAAGCAGTGTGTCTATCTGGAGGCTTCAGCCCTGACGGGAGACAATGTGGATCGCGTTTTCACTACAGGTTAGTTCAGTTATAAGTAGCTTATTTCCTGGAGGAGTGGCGGCGAAAATATGGGGCAGGGGTAGGCGAAGGTTCCCACGTGTACGGTAAGAAGATCATAGAGGGTATGTGAACGAGTAATTCATTCATACAATTTAGAGTCATCAGTGACTTTTTGACGGCCTGAAGACTGACGATAAACTTGACGCCACACTCTTTTATTACAGAAGGAATTTGTACCGATTAGAAACATTGACCGCCCATTATGTTTAAATGGAACCATTCAGTATTTATGAGGAACTGACCAACCCATTAACATTTAAGTTTTGTGAGTGGTTTTATCATCTATTCGTGCAGGAAAGCCATTTAAATAAATCCAGAATGGCGTCTTAGGGCGTTGTAGTTCTGCATGCATGTCAACCACGCCTCTGCTGCACAGAGGCGCAGGTCAAAATTTGACCGCTCCAGTTGAAAATCAACCCCAACTTTTACAGACTCGGTGTCTAAATTTTCGTTCGTCGAAACTGGTTACCTTAAATGGAAAACCTGAACGCACGGATTTTCAACCGGTAGGGAACTCGTCTCGAACCTTGGGAACGAAGCTTTAGTTTCCTCCAAACGCTGAACGTGGAACTAACGTGAAGCACTCCCCAGTTAAGAAAGTAGGGTGCAGCAAGATATCGTTGACATGTTCTCGTGGGTGAACAAACTTTATTTCTGAAACTAGGGAAGGATATCGCTTTCAATCACTCCGTACTTTTAAAGCTCAGGTAGTTGGGAAAGATGTTTTTAACAAGTAAGAGGAGCGAGTTGAGTTCTCTCCCTGGATCTGTCTTTCTGTATCGAAAAAGGCTTTCTCTGAAGCATTAGTAAACAATTCTCAATCTGATAAGTCGTGACCTTGAGGACATTTCGGGCTAACGCTATAAAATAGTAGGTTCTTGGTAATACTTAGGTGTTTGGTATTTAGAATATTTGCCGCTGTCGTTGGTAATTTATGCCTTGCTGCGCACATTACCGTACAGAAACCGTCTCTGTGAGGCCGCGCCGTATTAAGTAATGGTTTCATTTGCTTTTCTAAATTGTTATTGAAGTTCATGCTTGCTCACGAGTGTTGCTTCAATAGATTTCTTTTTTTAATGAACAAAGAGTTTATGCGATAAACATCTCATGGCGACAAAAGTCTAATCTGGAAAGCTTTATCTACTCTTCATTAGTGTTGCAAACCCAAAATCTTCATTAAGTGCCCCACTTTTTAATCTTTAATTTGAAGTTGCAGTTACTCACTTTTGTTCTCTTAATTTTTTCATCGGCGGGTACTTTAACTTAGCCATATTTCATATTGAATTTTTGAAGAGGGCTTTGTTCGTCACTTAGTTAGAGACATAATAATGTATATATATTATTGCACTGAAAGGTTCCTTCAGAGTATTTGTCCATCATTTCACACGAACTACGATAACAGTTTGTTAGAACTTCGTGAGAAAGAAATGTGCGCATGTGAGTAGCGCGAAACGTGAAAAGGTTACGAGTCGTGTTCTCTGTTCTCCTTAAAAATCCCACAAGATACACAAATGAACTAGTGACGTTCTTGGGTATATTTCTTGGCCATTGATCATGAAGGGTTTCCATACAGATTTTCATATTCCACCGATCAACTCGGTGCTACTTATGCTAGTGTATTGGGAGTCAGGAATGATCTGTCTAAAATATAACGGTACAAGAGATTTACGGCAAAATTTAATTGGTCTTAAATTCTCTTCCGCATGAAAACTATTGACTCACATGGGGCTTGAATTTTTTTAGGATGGACAAAACGTGACGTCGGTTGTTTTAAAGGGTCATTAAATAAAAGTTGTTAAATCGTCATACCGTGAAGGTCAACTGTATTAAAGACTTTTTCAAATGAGTTTATTTAGAGCATGGAACTGTCACACTACTTCTGCTGTAACGAAAACTTTTTCTGCTAGACTTGGAACATTAAACCATCAAAGTTCGATTACATTATTACATGACTTTATTGGTTTTTGGTCCCTAAAAGCTAACAAAAAAGGCAAAACTGATTGAAAAAAAATTCAAGCAAAGCTTTTTTGAGATTTGTTTCGCATTTGGGTCTATTAATTTTCACTAAGTGTCAGATTCAATAATTTTAGAGCACTTAGGTTCTTAGCTTCATGTGATTCCATGTCTTAATTACTGGACTTTTAGATGATTGAATTATGAACACGAGATGCTTGAAGGATTTGATGGAAACGTTTTTCAACCCCAGATGGCTCACTCCCAATAAGACAATAAAATATTTATGAGTTGTTTTATTTTTTTTTATGGGAAATTCGTTGTGTGATCTCCGAATGAAGAGGATAAATTTGATAAAATAGGTTGCGTTGTGCGAGAAGGAACAAATATTTGTCACCGACTGGAATATTCCATGACAAAATGGTTTGAATTTTTACCGTTTTTGTCATTCTTTTCGCCGGAAGCCTCAAATTGTAAGAAATCTGTTTTAAAATGGAAGAGCCTGTGGATAAATCGGCAAATTGACCGGAAGTGTTCGCGCTTGTCTTCTGCCTTAACCGGAAATGATATCCATATTGTAATAAGTAAATATAGTATGGCAGTTTTCATTAACTTAACCTTACTTTTTCAGGCTTCTGTAAACGTGTCAAATACAACTGCAAATTTTATTAAATTCGTATCATGTCAATTTTCAGGGCGCAATTTTTCTTGTTTAGCATAATTTGCCATTGTAATTGTGATCTCAGGCCTGTACAAATATTTAAGTAATCCGAAACGCGAAAATGAAATGTTGTTGCTAAAGTGGGAGCCGCTGACCAAGAATCATGCCTTAGTCGACTGAAATCGACCGATTGATGGGAAGAAATCTGTGTGATATTTTTTCAGAGTTAAATCACAGAAAAAGTCCTTTATGAGGAAATATTTTGGATATTCTGACGGTACAACGCGTTGGAAAGAAGCAGTAGGTTCTAGCCTGTACGTGTACAAGGCGGGCACATTGAAAATACATCCAACGAACGACTCCGCCGGAGATCGGAACAATACACGAATTATTCTTTTGTGTGTCAAAGAAGTATAGTTTGGAATTTTCTCCACAGTACAGACATCTGTTATCTGAGGAAATTACTCAATCAAGCCTTTGTACCTTGTACGATTTATGTTGAATCTTTTTCAAGCTTTATAGAGCGCGAATCTGCTCGGCTAGGTAACTACCAAGTCGTGGTCGTAAAAAATTTGATGGAAGTAGTTTACATGTATAAACTACGCTTGACATTGTGAAGATGATGCGGAGAAGTTTCCAGCTTTCTGGATCATACGATGTCATCAAGGACGTAACAGATTTGGAAAGTAAGTGTGTGTGTGTGTTTTTTTTCTCGACGATCATACCGGTAATATTTGAAAAAGAGTACATTTCATGGTGGTGGCATGATAAATAGAGCAGCTTTCGATTCAAGTGCAAAGTACCAGCTCAGAACGTGCGAAGTATTTGAGGGTATTTCGGTTTGTTTTTATCTCAGTACGTGAGCAGGAAGACTGATAGGTATCGTCGTTTAACCGTAAAATTAATTTGGAGTACAAAAGGGGGGAATTTACGGCGATATTTGTATCAGCAAATTGTTGTTTACATTCAACTGCGAATGAAGTGCATGCGGAATATTAAAATTTTGAATCCCTTCAGTTTTGAGCTTTGATTGAGGTCATCTAGTTTTGTACCCTTTTTTCTAGCCAGTTTCCCGTGAAGTTTATTTTTATATATCGTGCGTTCATGCCTGTTAATTTCCCTTAAATTTATCTTTAATAACTGTACACTTGCTAATAGACGTGACTCATTTTCTTCGATATTGATATAAATAAGTTTAAGTGCGCGCGTGTGTTTCAACATAATATTGGTAACTGTAAGTCGATTTTGTTCGTGTGCAGACAGTATATTATATTTCAAATACTAGAAAAAAGCCCCCTTACTTAGTCCTGTATAAAATCATTCAAATTATTTCGTAGAAGCACTCTCGTAAAGAAACGAAATTTGTTTTTGTGAAAGCGAAGTAAACATTTTGATGAACTGTGGCTGGTTGCAATCTTAGGTCTACGACTTATCATGTTAATAACTGTATGTTGACAGCATATTCCAGCGCTTCAGTAGTCATTTTTGGTTTTAATAGGTTTATTATTGTGATAATTTTGCGATGAAAATAGCCCTACATGTGTGACTATCGATCAAATTCCACCACATCTTGTACATGTGATGTGATCTACATTAAAGGCGTGTTTTTCGTATCCTGAGGAAATGGCTTTTTATTGTTGATCGCCTTCGCAGTTCTAAGGCAAATTTCAGTGATCTGTCATCGAGTAATTTCCCTTTCTGTCTCTCTTCAGCGTAGATATAATACGACAAACTTTGTCACGGTTTCAGCTTTTCATGCCATGGAAGTGCAATTTTTGTGTTTACCTTTCTCCTACGGTGATGGCGGTCTTGATGTTGTATAACTTTATTGGGTAATGTTAACCCACGTGTTTCGTAAAGGTTTCGCTTAATTATTGGCGTGGTGTGGCCAAAAACGGCCATGTTTTCACTGTAGTTTTTTCAGACTCTCAATTTGATGGAAAATATGTTTTTAGCCAGCTTCAGAAGCAGATTAAACTACAACTTTCCCTAAATTTGAACTGATATTCAATCGCAACAACACCCACCACTGACCAGCAGGAAATTCGATTAGCGATTTGTATTGGATGTCCTATGAATTTAATTGCGGGTCAATTCTGTTTGCTTTGCCATTGAAATAATAATCCCATTTGTCTGGTATCAAGAGTGTGTTTCATTTTGAATTTTTCAAACCTGTTCAACATCATGTTTCTTTGCCTTATTTCCTAAATCAAAAGAAAAAAATCTAACGTGTCATCAAGGAAATGTTGCAGTTAGATGGCACAGAAGGAACAATACTGATTTGCTTGATGTTTAAATCATGAACTGATCTGTTGTTTGAACAGAGAATTTTCTGTTTTCTGATTTTCCCAAGTTTTAAACTTCGGAAAGATTGCAGTACTCTCTTGTACTTGAAATTTGAAATGCTTCTTATTAGGATGTTTAGTTAAAAATGAGACGTACAAATAGTATAATGGTCAAAAAACAACTGAGAACCAACAAAGGAAAATAAAAATTTAAATACATTAAGAAAAGGAGCTGACTGAAAGTCACATGTTGCTTCCTTATGCTTATCACATTATCAACAGGTAAATATCTAAGATTATGAGATTCTTATCAATACTGGGAATTTATTTGATTTATTTACTTTCCATATCTTGTTGTCAGCCTGAGACACCTGTTGACACATTTATGTAAGAAAGCATCAGGTGTTGCTTCTCAGTCTTAAACTTTCCTTGACGTCTCCATTTCAACTAGAAAAAAAAACTGATTTGCTTGCTGTGGATGACTTATGACGTTAAGTGTAACTAAACCAAGCATGTTTGGTTCACTTATCGGACAGATTAGAAATGGTATGGGTGTAAGGTCATGTCTCAAAGTAAAATTATGTGCTGTCCTTTAGAGAATATGAAATCGAAAGTATTTTTCTAACTAAGAAATTGTTGTATCTAAGTTATGGTGGGTAAAGCTAACTATTTTATGATTGATGCCTTACAATGTGAAAGGTCAAAGCCATTTCTACCTTCATTTCCAACTCTTTAGAGCTTAAAATTTCAGATTTGAAAACTGTTTCATTTTTTATACTGTTTTGTGTACATTTATTACATTATGGACAAGAGAATTTGCTTCAACTATTATGAGCTTCATTAGTTGGTGATCATTTGCTTTTTTTCTGTGACCACATTGTTTAATTCTTCAGTTATACTTGCTTTTTTGGATAAGTTAGAAGCTAGTTACTCCAAAGAGTAAAAAGGGTCTCTATAATTCTATATAGGAAGAATTTGAGCAAGAGCTAAGAGGCCCTTAGCATTAGAGCTTATCCCTGTTAATGTAACCTGAAGTCAAAAGAAATATTGCTACTCCCCTTTGTGCACCAAAGGTTCTCCCCTGGTATATTTCAGGGCTCCCTAATAGTTCCCTGACACCCATGTATGCTCCTGTTTGGTGAGATAGGCTGTGAAGGTTGGTGCCTTGCCTAAGGGCACAAAGCAACTTCCTAAACCAGGGAGCAAACTTAGACCCCTTGATGTGGAGTCCTGTGTAGTAACAACTGGACAACCATGTCTACCATGACTGGTAATTACAAACTGAATTTTTTCTTTTTACAGCAATTGAAAAGTTGATTCAAGCCAGAGGTGAGACAAGTCCAGTTCTGACATCATTTGACCCAGTCCACTCACCCACAACAAGGGACCCTCCTGATCATTATTCTTCAAATGCCTTGTCATACAGTCCCATCCACAGCAGCACCAACAGTGCAACATCAACACCATCGTCATCCACAAAACGCTCTACAAGACGAAGGACAATGCTTTTCAGTTCATCGGTGTGTACCATAGTGTACCATAGTGTCCCTTTTTTTTTATGTCACGATTTTCACTCTTGGTTAGAATCAAATAAAGATGTTATCTACAGGATGTTGTTATTACTCATAAAAAGATGAAATATGTTTTTGGTAAATCAAGTACTGGAGTTTGTGGTCTTGAAATTAGAAAGTTTTGGACAGTGATTTCATGATCTGCTAAAATTTTGTCTAAAATTTTGCTTATTTCAGGCTTCCAATCAATGTTATACATTTTACTCAAAAATAATTTCAGTTCACTATGTATACTCAAAGTGTGGGCATTTTGTGAGAGAGTAATGTTTGAGTTATGTTTTTAAGTCAAAGTAACAGTCACGAACAAATTACTGAAATTGTTTTGACCTTTTTGATGCAGGGTGCATATCTTCTGTTGGTTTTATGCAGTTTTTATGTTTCATCTCTGATACATGTTTTTTTAAGAAAATGAAAAGAAAAGTTTAAGAGCTGCTAAATCATACATGGTTACACCAACTTTCACTATGTTCAGAAAAGAACTTGCAACCTGAAAACAAAAAACAAATATACTTTTGCAGAAAGAGAAGAAGGAGAAAGACACCATCATAGACACAGATGTGGGGAGTGGACGATCAATCCCCATTAGACAGGTATGGCACAACTTGAGTTCAATTTTGAAACTCTTCTTGATTGAAGCATCTTCTGACACAGAAATCTTCTAATAGCTTGACTCAGTATGATTCTTTAAAGAGCTGTTACATATGGAAATGTAAAGTTTTGACAATCCAAGTGGGTCATTATCAGAGTCAACTGATTTCTGCCTTGGGTATTAAAATTTCAGACCCTTACTTTTATAGGCAAACCTTCAGTCAGACATTGACAGCAAATGATACCTCAATTGAACAATCATTTTTACATATTGAAACCAACATTTTGACTATAGTTTATGGAAAGCATCAAAACAATTTCCAGAAAGGGTGTTGGAAAGTCATTGAATTGTAATATAATGAGTTTGAAAAAGAAGAAATCCTAAACTTGTTTAAGTTAGAGTAAATTGCTAAATGAAATTGAATTGCATTTTAGGTTCTAGCATGGGTGGATTACTCTATATAAAGCATTTTCATGCTTTCCTTACTCCCTAAGAGCAACAGGAGCTAGCTATAGTCAAGATGTATCAAAGTGACTCTATTTCAGTCATACTGAAAGTTATTATTCATTGCTTTTTAGGGTTATCTTCTAAAGAGAAGCTCCAGCTCTATCAACAAAGAATGGAAGAAAAAATATGTTACACTTTTAGAAGATGGCGTCCTTGCATATTACCCAAATCTCCATGTAAGGGTTGCTAATCTTTTTTTCAGCAGTTAAATTTTCTTTCCATATATTTTTCTTTGGCAATTTGTCCAAGCTCAAAGTAGAATAATCAGAAAAGGTGAAGTAAGCATGACTAACTTGTATGGCTGTTGAAGCTTGTGTGTAGGCTACTGTAATGCAAAGAAATTAGAACTACTGTGATTTCTCCTAAAGGAATGTTCTATGGAGTCCCCTGAATCGAGAGAGATGCTGGTAGGGTAAATTGTTTTGGCCAAGGAGCCTTAACATCAACTACCTTTGAAGAAGAGTCCTCCCTAATAAGTAGTAGCTCATAGGCTAATGCATTTCATTGAAGAGGATGATTTATTGGTCTGCATTTCATTGCGCTTAGGATTATATGGATGATGTTCATGTGAAGAGAATTTTATTAAAACATACTACTGTTAAAGTTCCCGGGAAACGGCCACCAAAAGCAACGACTTCTTCTCAAGGTAGGACATCCTCTTGAAATTACAGTATGTTATGGAAAGAGTTAAGGTTGAAAGATGTAATTTAGTGAAATACACTGGCATACTTGGGAAAAAAAAACTCTTAGTGCTCCCAATGTGCACAGTTTATTTGTAAGGGGCAGTTGCTTGAAAAGGGAATCTTTTAAAAAAAGAGTTAGAATAATTTGAAGGAAATGCCATGTGTGTGTAGAGTCTGGGAGTGGTTTTCCGGTGTATGTCACAGAATTTGGCTAAAGGGAATCTTTTACCAGATGAGGCAGAATGATGCAAAGGAAAGACTCTGTATTTAAGGACCCAGTGCATGGTTTTCTTGTTGTAATAAAGAGAAAGATACCCATGGGCTTAGCACACTAAATACTTTGGAATATACATCAGCTGTGTTTCTAACCCGTAGGTCAAACTTCTGCCACAATGGACAAGTGCATAAAACCTGCCTGTCTAACCCTAGGTTTTAGCACCCGCATTTCTCATTTCAGTATGGATTATCACTCAAACGCAAACTTCTGTCCCATTTAAGTGTACTTTCAGCATTATATGAGGGCGGAGAGGGATAGAATGTGTGGAGATAACTTTTCTAAGACCTTTGACCAAGGTTGTGGGTGCAAATGAAACTTGGAACCCGTGTTGGTAATGCAGGGCAAGGCTTGCCTATACTCAAAATTGCGATTTTTCTCTGTTTTTTTTTTTTTTCTTCTTTTTAGGCGATTCAAGACCAACAACTCCAGTGGAGTCAGATAATAATAACAGCGGCGCAGAAAACGCCGGAACGAATAGCATAGACAGTACACAAAATGGAATTGACTCTTACAGTGGTTACAACTCGCTTCCCTCACAACACGACATTGACAACGCCTTGGCCAGTATCGGTAATCAAGTCATTACACCTGTATCAACAAATGCAGGAGCGAACGCGACAAAATTGGAGTCATCGAGTGTCATAAAGAAAAAGAATAAAAGAAGTAAACACACAAAATCTTGTGAAATAGACTATGATGAGCTGGAGAAAGCTCTCGCCATAGCTGCAGCCAATGCAGTGGTTCCGGCAGGTTCAAGGGTAGATCCGATGCAAGTAGGAACAGGAAGCACTAAAAAGAAGGGTCACAGGCGTGTCAAAAGCGGCAGTGGGCCTAAAGTTGATTTAGATCCAGGTAATATTATCATTACAGTCGAACCTGTATTAGGCGGGAATGGCGCTTAACACAGGGTGACCGCTCAAGCAGGTTCCATTGAGTAGAGTTGTTATGAAAAACGCCATTTTGTTCCCATAATTGACCTCTTTACGTACATTAACTCTCTCTAAAATACTACTAACATTGACTTCGTGGGATGAACACGGATCAAATTTTGAAAGATTTTTCTTAGTTTCATTTAAGTGGTTCTGCGTGAAGTGATCGTTCAATACAGTTAGAAGAAATTAGAAACAGACCGTTGAGACCCACTCAAAGGTGACCACCGCTTAAAAGAGGTGAAAATTATAGTAACTAAGGGGAAATTAAGAATTTTTCATTTTCTTAAAATTATAGTAACTACGTCTAACCCTCGACGTATCAGAAGTGTTTAGCACGACGTGCCCTATTTGCTAAAATTGAAGGCAGAGTTTGGTGAAGTGTGAGCCTTAGAGGAGGTTGCGGCTTATGGCCGAGACTTTTTGGGAAAAAAAAATGTATTTCAACGCATTGGATCGGTACTAAGCTAACATTTTCCAACACTGTTACAGAAATGACAGACTGGGAGTTCACTATTGTGTCACTAGAAGCAAAGTCGTGGCAGTTTGTAGCAGCAACACAAGAGGTATTTACTTAAATAAGGAATCGAAACAGCATATATGTGGATAAAGTTTAGTCTACAATAAACCAACCGATCTGATGTAAGGCGTAGGAAAGTGACGTTATCATCTCTACGTTCACGAGAAACAAGCCATTAAGTGTGCGTGAAAAACGGCGCCGTTGCTGGTCAGGCGAAGGCCTCGTTTTTCGCTCATCCGCTCTCTTGTTCGAACCGATCGACCGTGAGCCTAGATCAGAATATTTTAAGTTTGGGTTATATTTCTTTATATATTTGTTTTAGGTTGGCAACTTTCAGTTAGTGATAAAATGTTTTCCGTTTAGGAAAGAGATGCTTGGGTACAGTTAATCGAACAACAGATTTTGTCCTGTTTGCAGTCAAATGAAAGCGGGAGAGAAAAGGTACAATTATAGAGAGAAAATTAATGTTTTTTCATTCAGCTTCAATCTTTAAATCTGCTGCAGTATGTTATATTTTAAGCTCGCTTTTTACATGTGATATTTGCTTCTTTTGCGTGTTTCTGTTTTAGTCACGTGGTAATAGTAGTTCTTCAACAAATGGCCAGGACATGCAATCGATAAGGAACATGGAGGGGAACGAAGTTTGTGTTGACTGTGGTGCACCGAGTAAGTTGGTATTTTTGTTTTGCTCTTACTGTTTCACGGTAAATAAGCCGTATTTGGAAGCTCAAAGACTTAATGCATCTTACCTCCCTGGAGGTAACTTAGTCAATTCAGTCTGAGTTTTACCTATGGTTTCTGGCACTAGAGCAAGTTTGGGAATTTTAAACTGAACATTTCTGCGGACAAGCCCAGTCAAGAGTTTGATTCCTTTCCGCAGACCAGAAATAGGAAGAGCTAGGCAATTAATGCACAGGTTTCTTTGGAGTCGTAACTCAGATCTCGTTGTTTTCATTTAGCACACCGTTCTTCAGGCGAAGTTGTGGTATTCCAATTGAGAATCCGAATATGCAAAGCACTAGGTTGGTTTTGCGTTACCGCGGGGTCTGTCACCTTTCTTACTAAATTGTCGAACGCAGCATTGGTGGTAGACACGTATAGTATAGTTAACCACCGCGATCTCTGCAAAAATGGCTCGATTTTAGAGGCCCTTAGGGGGATTTAAATACTTTCCTATTCCATGGTCGTGACAAATGATATTTTAACTTCCCATATCAGATCCTGACTGGGTATCGCTGAACATCGGGGCCCTGATGTGCATAGAATGTTCCGGAATCCATAGGAACCTAGGAACTCATGTGTCTAGAGTACGGTCATTGGACTTGGATGATTGGCCGTAAGTATTACAAACAGACCAACTTTTTAACCCTTTACCCCCTAATATCAGTATCAATATTCTCCATACTATTCACTATACATTTCCTAAGGTGCTAACAAAGAGAATTTGTTTAATAATCAATACAGCTGCTTTAGTAGGTGATCATTTCCTCTATTCCTTTGATCTTAATGTTTGATTTAAGGGTGATATTGTAAGGAGAAATTAGATGCTAGTCACTCCTAGGGGTTAAAGGGTTAAAAAAATTTTCAATTTCTTGTGGAAAGTGATCCGGAATTTCATTGGTTTTACTTCGCAACGCTTCGCGACTTGTCTAGAAAACTTACACTACCTTCTTAACCAATCAGATGCAAAACTAGAAACCAATCGTGATCTGGTCACGTGTTTTTATCGCACCCAATAGGATAGCTTGTTTCCGAGTTTTCATAGGTACCTTGAACTAATTGCCTATTATCTGTTTTGCAACGCAATAGGTTTTAATTTATTTCTGCGACGCTCAGTCAAATTGCGCACTGACATGTTATTTTTTCATGTAAAGGTAGACTTTTATAAAGTCATTAAAGTTTTGGCACTTGGTAATTTTATGTAAATCTATTTCGTTGCAGATCGGAGCTTACTGCTGTCATTAGTGCGATCGGTAACACTCTTGCTAACAGCGTGTGGGAAGGAAGAATACAAAACAAAACTAAACCAACAGCTTCGTCACCAAGGTTTGAACTACATCTTATTACACTTTAGGTCAAGGTTACGTGAAGTGGCTTCAACAAGGTCACATCACGGATACATATATCACGGTAAATCACGTTTGTTCGCTTGAGGTAACGAAGGGCAACGTCACTTCAAATTGCGCAAAGTCGTGTTTTGTTACACAATGACCGTATGGCACAATAAATAACTATAGTCCTGTGCTCGCTTCTTTTTTTATTCAGTTTTCTGACCTCCACGTAATTATACAATGAGAGAGAAAGTGATAAATGGTTCAAAATTGGTTTTAATTTGTTTTCATCCTCAGAGAAGAGAAAGAAAAATGGGTCCGGGCGAAGTATGAGACAAAAGAATTTATTTGTGAGCTTCCGCCAAACGATTTCTCTCTGGGAGAAGTAAGTGCATTTACATTTTATTGGAATTGAAGTTATTTAGGTCGCACCACCTTAATATTGGCTGGTGTCTCGGAGTGATTGCTTCCTCAACTGTCACAGTTCCTCTCAACTCGGCCAAGCATCTCTTTCAGGGGCATTCTAGCCTGCGAATAGGGCTATCGCTAACCACTTCAGCCCAATGGTTGGTTGGGCTAGCGAATACCCGCCTTCTTCCTCTTATCATTTAAAATCAAGTAAACCAAATTTATCGCGTTTGAAGATTGTGTGCAGAAGCTCAACTGTTTCAAATGCTCTGTATAACTACAAGGCACAACCTTAGGATGATCTCAGATATAGAGGAGGCTTTTTGTTAAAAAAAAAAAAAAAGTGACAACCGCCGATTAAGTTAAGTCACTTCGAGTTATAGAGACACTCAGCAGATACACATCGCGACCGTAAGGTTAACACAGTCACATATGGATTTTTTTCACGTCAATCAATCAACTTTAAAGCCCTTGTTTTAGCATTTTTAAGGAAACAGTACAGGGGAAAGAACTCTCGATTTCCGTCTTTCATCTGCGTCCCAAAAAGTGCTTATGCCGGCTTAAATTTTTTTCTTTATTTTTGACAGCAACTCTTGGAGGCTGTAGTGAAAGAGGACCTACCTCAGTGCATTCTTTTGTTGGCTCACTGTTCTCCGGAGGATCTCAACATCGTTAATGAAGACAAAGAGGGCTGCAACGCACTTCATATAAGCTGCTCGTTAGGAAACATTGTTATAACGCAGCTTCTTATATGGGTGAGTCCAAGTTAAAAACCCTTCAGAAAAAGTAAGCCAAAGAAAACCGAATAGGTTGGGTGTGGGGGCCCTTCCCTCAAGAAAATCAGAAAAAGGCGTCGTCGGTGATTTCGATTTTTTTGTGAGAGGAGGGAGCGGTTGTACACAGGTTGGAACTTCGCGTAAATTCTAAGCTATCAGCTATGAACCTTTTTCCCGAAATGTAGACCCAAAATGGTGACCCAAATTTGAAATTGTAAAATACGATAGTCTAAATGTAGATTTCCTATATTTTCTTCCCAGTATTTTGCTGATGTGCGGATTCTCGACGGCCAGGGTCGATCAGCTCTGTGGCACGCAAAGAGTGCTGGGAGTAAAGAGTGTGCCGATATATTACGTCACAATGGCTGTAATGATCTCGGTACCATGATTCCTCAGGGAAGTGACGTGTTTTGCTAACGATGGCGAATTACGTGGACTTGTTGACTCGTCAGGGATTCACAGTTTGCGCAGGCCGCAGGGTTAAGCTTTTACGTTACATCCATCTCAACAGTGGTAGCATGTGACGTGTGTCGTTTGAGTGGTGATTTGGTGGTGACAGTCACGCAGTTGGCGTGCTGTGTGACTTAGCGGCGTAGCGCAATGAAGTTGCTTAGTTGTCTTTCATAGACATTTTTGCAAGACGCCATGACCATTTAAAGAATTAGAGTCATGGTGTATGATCTCGTTTTGGTTACAAGAGCCTCTATGCTGCCAAAAATTATAAAAAACAGCCATACAGAAACAAAATTTACAATTGTGCAAAAAAGAAAAAAACTTACAAGAGTTGTATTTATTTGTTCTTAAAATTGTATATGTTATTGATATGTAAATAGCAAATATTTCCTCTGTGCCTGAGGTTGAATATTCTATACAAGTAAATACTATCTCCAAAGGGTGGAACATAAAGGAAATACTAGACTAAAAATAAATATGAGATTACAAGAATTTCTTCCTCAAAGAGAGAGGAATGATTTTTAATGATTAATTTTTTTTATTACGTCATGGCTCTCGTCTTTCTTTCGAATGAAATTCTGCTAACATTCTCTCTATTTTTGTTTTCTTCAAAAATAAATGGAATTATGAAATCTGCTGTCTGGTATTTTTCTGATTCTTACCACGTCGCATTATTTAAGACTGAAAACGTGATTTTTATAGTTTATTGCTTGTGCCTCCATGCTTGGCCACGACCATGCGTGAGCTCGGTACGGACGTTTCCTTCGGTTACGTCACCGAGAGATGTTGACCGTGTGAGTCTGGGGGAAAGCAGTACAGGAATTTAGGTCGGATAGTTGACCTTGGTTGATGTTTCAAGTGACGTCACAGGATCGAAAGTCAGACAAGTTACACCGGCTTTCCTATCAGGATAAACTATTGAAGCTGCAATCGGTAGGAAGTTGGCAAAACGGGCGGACACTTTCACAGATACACGTAAAATCCATCGCCGCTTGGACAAGGATCTAGCAAATTGGCCAGCTTGTTGTTTTTGCCAAGCTTCAGAGAGAAAGTTCTCATCAGTCATTCTATTAAGTTTAAATTTGTTAGAATTTTAATTCCTTAAACAAAAGTGGAGTACGTCGCCTGTGTCAACATGCGGGATGAAATTTAGAAGTAAGGCTCATTCTCTGCGCGGAGATGACTTTGGGGAGAGACATAGACTAAGGAAACAAAGAAGACTAGAAAGATAATTGAAACTAAACGAAGAAAAACCTTACAGGTTCTTACACCCAAGAAAATCCCATATCCAAAATGATCGATAAAACTTTCCAGTAAATACATCGTTAAGATAACCGATGACGAGGAAAATAATGTAAACTAAGAAGCATTTAAGCGAATGTCGTGTTTCTTACAACAAACATAAGCGTATGGTGGTCGCTGGGGATAATTGGTAAGGGATCATCAGGGTGAAAGGGTTCAAATATTTTAACAGCGTAAATCCAGACGCAATCTTTTTTACCCATGAATCGTATACATGACTATATACTTTTTTATCTTGTATTGAGATTGAAAAAGGAATCTGACCGTGCAAAAACTGTCTTGAAATGCGATCACAATTCGTGCAGTTTAAATGTACGCAAAGGCTACCCTGGGACATTTGCGCTTTTAAGAGCATAAACTATGCACCATCTCTCCTCGCATGGCTTCAAGCTACGTATAGGCAATCAACGAATTGCTCACCTCTACAGCTGTTCACTCATTTCAGAGAGGATCCAAAACTGTTGAAATAATTACCTTCATTTTGATGACCTTGGTGTCTCCGCGAACTTTGCGAACTGGATTTATGTTAGCGTGTTCTCTCTTTGTTTCCCTGTGATCAGACACAGTATCCCTGGTTTCGTTAACCTGTAAAACAAATCGTAGGAAGTTTAAATTATGACAGCCATAAAATTGTAATAGCGGAGCTCCTGTTCACAAACGCAAAAATGGAGCCCCATACTTATGAAAATATGATAACCTACCCAGCAGAATATACCTTTTTTCGGAATTGAATGCATGTACATCTTAAGCAGAGTTTATTTTAAACTGTAAGATGAGCGTACCCTTTAATAACGTATCCAGTAACTGTTTGTTTACATACACACGTTATATAACTTTGTGAAGAAATGTTTCCGATACCTGTTTATCTTTGTCATCATCCATGTGATAGCCATCCGCGGGTGTAACTGACACTTCTTTACTTTTTATCCCACATCCCTCGGATGCTCTCAAATCTGCTTTATTTTTGTCAGCATTTTCGGTGGCTGAAGATGCCTCCTTGTCATCGGCTTTCCCCGAGGACTTCAATTCTGGTTTCCAGTCTTTAATCAATTTTTGTGGAACCCTAGTTCCATCTCTAATCTGTCTTAACCATATCTCATTTTTCCGTGTGCGCTCTCGCATGAGTGCGTTTAACCGCCGACAAGTCTGCCATGAAGACTGAACAGTTTGCGCCATTTCCTGTGCTTGCTGTTTTATCCTGGTCTCTTCAGCTTCTTTGAGGGCTTGGCGCTGAGCTCTTGCCCTTTTCATCCTTACTAGGATTCGATCGGCATCAGCGGCCATGGAACGGATTTTTGCCAAGCGCTCACAATCGGAACTTTTGCACTTATCAACCATGGCTTTAATTTGCGAGCCCTTCAACTTCATTGGGCGCACAGTCTTGGTGGGTTTGGTAGGCGATGGCCTTTGTGTAGTCAATCTACGATTAACTTTGACTTGCGATGTCTTCGATGACGGTTTCTTTAGCTGAAGTAAAACACATTTGCGTCGATTTCGTAGGCAACTCGATTACCTTTTCTAACACAACCATATTGAAAATACCAAAAGAATCCAAAGCTTCAAAGTAGTTAAGATCGAGGCAGATACAGTCGAAACCTTATTAAGCGGTCACCCACGGGGAATGATTGGGTGACCGCTTAATTCAATGATTAAGGAGGAACAAATTTAGGGCTTTGAAAAATGGCCGCTTAATACAGGGTGACCACTTGATACAGGCTTGACTTTATATACTTTTCTCCCAAATGTCTCCCAGTTTCAACTCAAATAAAAACGTGATAAAAATATCGGACTGAATTGAAAAATAAACTCTTCAACGTGAAAAAGCATAATTTGTCGCTGCAGCTGCCAATGAATGAGTTGTAAGTAATCGGATCCTTGTGTTTACGCACAGATTTCTGGGACCGCCAAGGGGCGAACATTGCAATTCGCTAGAAGAAAATGTTGGGCGAAAGGTTGTTCCAACGTTCAAAAATCGATTTTTGAGAGAGATTATCACTTTTTCGCCGCTGTTTTATCGAAAATGGATTTGGGTAATGCTGTTTCAAGGGAAGCATAAGTTTCTGTTTAAACAACTATAAAATATGTAGTAAACCCTACCGATTAACTTGTCTCCATGCGCAAAGTTTATTGTGAACTTGACATCGCATAATGATCTCGAAATTTAGAGAAACTAACTATAAATCGCCAAAAAATAACTCAACAAAGCCTTTTCAGTTTTTTGGACGTGTGTTAAGTCTACTTCTAGCTTTTTTCCTTGTAATACTAAAGACCACTACAACAGCTACCTCGTGGCAGCAGGAGATTGAAATGGTGTGCTTGAGCATTAAATATTATCGTGGTACATTAAAGTGATTAAACACCCACACTGCTTCTTTGTTGTGACCGATGAAAACGAACCAGCGCTAGCGTTGATAACCGGCTTAAAACTGAATCCTGACGATGAGTAGGTACAAATGGGTCGCATAAGGAGCGATGCACAACTGATGATATATCTACAGTTTCTGCCGGGGTTCCCGTGATCTTGCTTTTCCTAACAAGATCCTCCTTTCGAGGAGAAAATTTGCGGCTCAAAGACTTTTGGGTTTTCCTCAAACATACTATCACCTGCCCTAGGGGGTTTCCCCATGTTTTTTATCGCTTATTTCATCCCTTAGAGAGAGGAACAGCTCGGTAAACGATTTCTATCTCCGCAGACAAGGACTTCTCTCCTTTGAGGAGGTTTATTTTTAAACGTTGTAATTCGTTTATTTAATTCGTTAACAAGTATGAAAACAGGCTGTACATATATTAATACAACTGAAAATACTTAATTTATATATTTCCTGACGATTTGTGGCCAATTTTGTAATATGTCGAGACCATTACACGATGACGATTTCACAACAGACCTTACGCATGGAGAAAAGTTAATCGGTATATTTGATAACATATTTCGTGGTAATTCTAACAAAAACTTACACTTCCCTAGTATCAACGTTATCTTTATCCATTTATGATAAAACTGCGGTGAAAAAGCGATAATTTCTTTACAAACACGTTTTTTTTGGACGTTGAAAGAACCTTTCGCCATACATTCCTTTCCAGCGCGTTGCAATGTTTGCCCTGTGGCTATCACAGAAATCTGAGCGCAAACGCAAGGATCCGATTACTGGCAACTCAATAATATGTAAGTGTAGTTAGATTGAGGAATTCATTCATTCTGGAATGAAACTCATACCAATAATGATTCTGTCAATTCAGCACCAGTTAAATCAGGTAACCTTATAGATTCTTTGACATTACTTGGAATTTCTCATCACTTCTTACGTGAATATCAGCCGCGTGGCGTTCAATCCAAAAAACAATCGATCAAAAGAGAGCAAACGAGCAGTGAAAATAAAAAACTATAACAATAAAAGACTGTAACAGCCAGTTTCAGTTAAGAGTCACTTACCAGCCGGTTCATTGCTAAATCTACCAGGACTGAGACAAAACCCGCAAAGATTAAAAGTGCTGCAATAGTCAAAACTCCCAGTAAAAAAACAAATTCGTAAACTTGAAATACTATCTCGTGATATGGCATTTTGCCACCACAATCGAGGGAACTCTCTCTTCTTACTCAATAATTCATGAACTAACTCTATGCACGTCACTGAAGTTACGATTGATGACGCGTTCGTTAAGTCATAATAATTTGTTCCAGGTGAAACGTCATCCCAGCTTACGAGTTGTTTATGACCTGCGCGCGAGGGCTTGGAAAACTGATAAGGTAAAATTAAATGATTTTATAATATCATATTCTGTTTGAATTTATACTTTTTTATTGAGTCGAAGTCGAGAGTTGAAATGGAGCAACGAAGAGCTTTAGTGGTATTTGGCCCCAACGGCGCCAAAACGAGGTGGAATCAGGAAGGAAATGAAAACAAAGTTCTCAGCGAAGTGAGACCAAATACCTACGGACTGGATTGGATCTCCACCCGAAGATGCGGGGTGGGGATGAGCCGATCCTGATTTGCATTTTCTCAGTCAAACTTGGAAAAGACACTTTTCTGATGTCACAACATATTTAACTTCCCAGAAACCAATACAGACGCGAAAAATCACCGGAGTGTCACGTGGGTAACACTGAATGCATTTGGGAAATTAAGTACATCGAATTCCAACATAATGTGAATATTCAATTGACTTTGTATAGGTTTTCCATGATCCAGATGAACTCCAGATTGTAAAGGAAAAACCACGAGAATACGGAAAAGAAAAAAGAAAAAAAAAAGGAAAAAGGACCAGTAAGAAGTCTAGACAAATAAAGGTCCAAAAATACAGATAGAAGATGATTTATTCCTTGTAACTGATCAGCGGCGCTGCACAATACTACGCATCTCTCTATGTAACAGGCTAAGAGGGGACAAATAGAGGTGACGGAAAGTCTCGTTCACAGGCTCCTTTCTAATGTAATAAGAGGCCCATTAAGTAACTTTCTCAAGTTATTTTCCACAAGTCAGTTTATTCGCTGCGAATGACTAATTTATCTACGCTAATCACCCTGTATTCGTTCAGTCGAACTTCAACACCTCAACAAGTTTTATCAAGTTACGAGAAAAACACTACAATAACTAGAGACATTTTCCCTATTGACAAGCGACTCTTTGACCTGCAAAGGTACTTTTTTCCATTGTTTTCGTTTCTTTTGATTTCTTTTTTCATTTAACATTGTGCGCCTTCCTTTCAACGCACCAAAGAAGCTTCCAGAGCTTTACTTCGAGAGTAAGAGGCCTGTTATCTGAACAGAAATGTTGATAGCCTTGTTCCCAGGTTTCTCATACAGATGGCAGACCTGGGAACAAAACAATCAAACTTCAACCGACAAGACCAACTGCGGACATAAAAACGATTGTATCTTCACCAGATGCCTCACTTACAGACCGAGCCATTTTCCTAATTTTTTCGATTTTAACCCAGTTTTCGTCAAAAGACGCATTGAAATAAAGATAAACTTTCAGAAAGTCCAATCTAAGTCAGCCCACACTATAGTTTTCTTACAATACCTTACAATTCTGTACAACCATCTTTCCTTCATATACAGCACAGCTCTCACTTCATCAAGTCGTTTATAGATGTCATTTTTCCAAATAAATTAACACTTAATCGAAACGTTTAGCTAACGTTAAACTTGAATACCATCAATTTGTTTTCTTTTTTGCTCATTTACACAATACTACTATAATAAACAACGTACTCCATTATATTCTGCACAAAGTTGTATAACTGACACACCCAATCCTTTAACCAGGTAATTGTCTTTCCCCCCACCCCCCTCACCTCGTCCGCCAAAAATTACGTCAAATAGGACAACCAGCCGCATTAAACTAGCGCATTACCCTTGATCAATATAATTTCTAACATTAACAGCAAACCTAATAAAAAAAAAGAAAAGTGTGTAGTTTGCACCAAATTAATCAATGTACATCTCTTACGTGCACTTTCCTGTCTTGTAAACTTTTAATTCAATCTTTAAATGTTCAAGATCTGCATCAGCTATCTTTGTATTTTGATTCAATGGCTCTCACTTTACGCCTAAAATGATTCGACGTTCTCCCAAACGAGGACTTTCAGAGTACTTGCAACTAAGACACGACATTTATGGACGTTCGTGCAGCTTAGCCAAAAATATTACTGTACTGTCAAATGGGATAAAATTTCGAAGAAACCAATTTGGAGGCACAAAAAGGTGAATTCATTGCACCAGAAGGGTGTAAGCACTATATATTGGGAAGAGCCTCCTACAAATTATCACGGTCGATGAACTCTTTGATTTAAAATAAGCCACTCCTGAAAAGCTTGAGTCTGAATGAAAACTAATTCCTATCCCATGAAACGGCAAGAATAAGACTTTTTCAAATAACTTTTTTCGACTATTCTAAGATGTCACGGCATAGGGGGAGGGGGTGGTGGTGGGGGCGATGATGGCTCAGGCTCTGGGGGTGGTGGAGGGGGAGCCATTCCTTGCATTACTCCTGGTATCATTCCTCCGGGAATCAAACCAGGCGGAAAACCAGACGGTAAGAATTGACCAGGAAATTGGCCGGTCGAAGGAGGATGCATTTCCGCACTTGGAAAACCAACTGGAGTGTTCAATGAAGAGAGCAGATTAAATTCCATCGGAGGCGGGGGAGGGGGTGGTGGGGGTGTCATTGGTTTAGCCACTGCTTGGGACGAAGAAGTTAACATTGGTGCAGGGTTTACGGAGTGTTTTTTAGGCGGTTGCACCACAGTAGCAGGCGGCTTATGCGACGAGGAATGGCCGTGCCCGTGGTGAGACGATGGCTTGTGGCCTGAAGAACCGTGTTGAGATGAAGGGTGGGGTTTCTTGGAAGAAGAATGGGAATGAGAGGAATGAGAAGAGCTTAGGGAAGCTTGAGAAGAAGAATGGTGAGGTGGGTGTGGCAGTTTGATGGCATGACTTGAGCCGGAGCTGGCGCCTTTGTGATGAGAGGACGACGAAGCAGAAGGATGAGAATGCTTGACGCTTTTAGACGGAGAGGAGTCAGACGACTGCGAAGACCCGCTGGGCCTCCGATGAGACGATGAATGCGCGCGCTGCGAATGAGAAGATTTGTGTTTCTTAACTGGTGTTCCGTCATCCTGAAGGTGATGATGATGGTGCTTATGTTTGCGCGATGAATCCTTTGTAGTCAATAAGGCTCCTGAAGTTGAATGAGCCGTAGATGTTGTCGTCTTGAATTCACTACCTGACATCTGACCAGTTGTCGTTACTGTTGCATATTTGGACGTTAGAGGTGGAAGCGGCGGTAAGCTGGGCGGCATCGTTGTTGAAGAAGCTGAAGAGCTAGCCGCACTTGACGTGGTCACAGTCGAAGAGACAGGCAACGCTTTGAGTTTACCCGATTCCTTCCGTTTCTCCTTCTCTCTTTCCTTATCTTTCTCAGTCTTTTGCTTTTGCGATGATTTGCCATCGAGATCATTTTTTAACTTTACCGCATCGCTATAAGAATAGCCATTATGGGCTCCGTCAATGCTGTTATGAGCCGTGGCTGATGAAGATGCACCCGAACTGCTGCTCGCTGTGCTACTTATTTTACTTGACTCTCCTTTGGATACCTTACTGTGAGACACACCCTAAGAACAAAACAAAATCACAAGCAAACTCAAATCAAAGGGAAACATATCAGGCATACACAGCTTCATACAGTACCTCACATAAGATACCTTGGATTACGCACGCGTTTTGATTGGGTTTTTCTTATAATCTATTGAAGGACAGACGCATAGATGACGTCAACACTACCAAATTTTGCCTCTCATAAGACAAATAGATTCCATGTTGCCGTGGGTCTGTACAGTAATAGATCGCAGAACACTCAAAATGTGGTAAGAACATCAGTGACACACTCTGCCGCGCCTCGAGTGCCACTCTTCGTTCTTAACAGATTTTGACGTCATTTGTGATCTATCACTGAACAGACCCACGGAACGTCGTTCTTCCTTTTCCATACGAAGAGAACACTAGAACATCCGAGGAACCAAGCGACGACTCTGCCAAGTCTTTGTTACATAGGAGTTAAACTGAGGAACTCTTGCAATTTTTTTAAAGCTATTTCGTTCTATACAATATGGTCTTGGATCAATAACATTCCTATCATCAACAAGAATAAATTATTAAGTTTTTCGATGTGTCTTGAACCAGATTAACATCAAGAGCCCACACCAACAATGCATGGAAAAACAACCTGTCGCCAGCCTTAACAAATTACTTTGAATCATCATTTATCTTGCCTTCAAGTTGGCAACGGAACTGATCTTTCTTTTAAGTCTGTTGGGGCACTTTTCCATCACTTTCAGAAAATCTTGTGCAATTTCTGGATTAAAAAAAAATGCATGGCCACATTCAAACATTCAACTTGATGTACAACCATAGAGTGAATGACCGAATGAGTGAGAGAGTGAGTGACTGAGTGAGTAATATGGATGAATGAACAGATGGATGGATAACTAATTAAAATATCATTGATTTTAGATAGAAATAGTAGAGATGGAAGTTTTGAGCTCAGTAAAGAATTAAGAAAGATGTTTTTTCGTCTTGTCTCGAGCGTGGGACAAAGAAAAAATTCTGAGTCCCCACGAGGAATCGAAGCTCAAATCAAAGCACAAATCCAAATTTGAATTCCTCATGGGGACTCAGAATTTTTCCTTTGTGCCACGCTCATGACAAGATGAAAAAACATCTTTCTTAATCATTAATTTTATTACACTAATATACATATTGATGTATTTAAAATACCAAGAATGACCAGGAAACTAAATCCATACCATCTAACATTGTTTTGTTGACCGTTGGATCAATGTATTCCCACCAGTCCTTTCCATCATTTGATCTTGGAATCTGCATGACAACACAGGAAACAACACCTTTTTTAAACTCCAAGTTTCAGCTTAAGTCAAATGGCTAAGAATGTAAGTGCTTATTTGGGTTTTTGTAGCATAAAGCTGCTAGCAATATTTCCTTCCTAACCCGCATAAGAGGGTAGAACTTCTAGCATTTTATCATGTTATTCTGACAGTTTTCCATTATCCATTTATGCTTCTCTGGTGAGAGAGACATAGGGAGAGTAAAGTGTCCTCCAAGTGAAGTTGAGAACAAAGAGAACAAAGAACAAATTGCTTCAACCAGTGATTCAACAATCGTCTTCAAAGTAGACAAGGAAACTCCGCCCACGTTCCTTTAAATCGTGACGATGGCGGTTTGCTCCCTGACGTCTATTTACACCTCGTCAGAAAAAAAGACCGCTAATTAGTGATCATATAAAAGGACCTCTTGTTGCAGTATTTAGATCACCCCTGATGAAGGCACTAGGCAGGAGTGTCGAAACGTTAGGTCTATGAATTGTAACTTCTTCGGTTACATTCATTACATCTGTAAACCAGAGTAGCATCAAACCATGTCTGATTGTCCACAAGGTTGCCGTGTGAACTTTAATATAGACAGGGAAAGTTATCACAAGATCCCTCCATTCAGGCCCAGCAACAATGTTATCTCTCAAAAATACATGAAATAAACATTGAATTAAAAATAAGGCTCACACTGTTCTTGTAATACATTTTGTCGTATCTCCCAAGTAATGTGTGATAAGAACGGTCGGTTCAGTGGGCTGCATTTCACTGTACAGCCTGCTAAATTCAAAATAATGTTGGAATTGAAAACTTCATCCTCTATTTGAACCCAAAGGAATTAATAATAAATATCTTACTAACATCATTATCTCAGTCTGTGCTGTAAGCAACAGTACCCTATTGTTTTTCTTGGGGGGGCTCAGATTCTGTCCATAACTTACAATATGAACAACAAATTTGGTTAGTAAGATGTACCTGTATGTACATATTCATGTCTATTCAAAATAATTACCTCCCAATTAGACCACTTTGATGCAAGGTGAATACATGCACAGGCAACTACAGGTGGTTTGTACTGCAGACATAAAGTTGTGAGATGAAGACTGCAAGGGAAAATACAAAACAATTAGAAATGTTATTGATATGCAGATATAAACAGCTTTCATGATCTACGTAACAAATACAGTAGACATGTATACCAAAAGTTTGTTTCTATCAAAAACACAAAAATAGACCCTTTCCCACAACAGAACCCAAAACTTTTAAGCTTAAAAATTGAAAAAAGATCCCCCTGGTAAGAAAGTATAATATCTTTCAAATAATGTATATACTGTCAAATCAGTACAACTCTTAAAAATGGATCACACGAGAGTCTGAAAATGTTTGTGTTTTCCCAGAAAACACCCTTGACCATAGAAATATCTGGAAGTATTGTTGTTGTTTTTTTTATCAAACTTAGAAAATCCATGAACAATTGAGAACTTTTAAGAGTGTTTCTTGTGTCACAGAGATCACAACATGTCAGGGACATGCAAAACGAAAAAGTTAATTTTGATTGTTTGACTGGCTTCTTCCTTTTGAAAAAACAACATTGTAGACAGAAATATTCCTGGTGTTCAAGGTTTTCCAAGCTTGACTCAGTATTGGTATGGTAGTACATTGCTAATTGCATGCATTAAAATTATCAGCTGCAGGAATGTTTGAGAAAAACCAACAGCTGTGTGTACAAGTGGGAACCACACTCAGTGAGAGCACCACCTGCTGTCCAAAACATCGACCACAGGTCAAAAGCACATGTTGACAGCAACAACACAAGGTAGGGAGGTTCTACCTGTTTGTGGCCATGAAGTACGATGTCTGGCCAAGGTCCTTGCTGGCTGGATTGGGTAGTGTGAAATGTCAGATTAGCATCAAATAATTGACCAAGAGTACATAACAGAGGCAAGATTTACACAAGGAGTATGGTATTGAGGACTGAGCAAAGGAACATCATGAAAACTACTCAGGGTGTTTATTAAGAATCAGAGTTGAGCAACTCTCTGGGTACTGTATGTAATTTCCCAGTTAAGTTTCTGTGGCCTAGGCCATTGCTTAGTTAGAAATGGAGACTTTTCTCCTTTAACTTACACTGTACTCCTGTTATTAAATTTCTAAATAAAAACCGTGCTAGTAACAGTATAAACTAAAAACGTACATCTCAAGGACCTTCGTAAAATTCAATGGAGATTTTTGGACTCATGTTTAGGGCAAGCTCTATTAACAGCCAGACTTCACTCAAAGAAATTTCACTCTAGAAATCTTTGAGATTAACAAGGTTCTTCAAAGTTTTAAAACAGACAATAGACAGTAAAAATTAATTGATTTTACTACAATCTGAACTTCCAGTGTCAGCAGACAAACAAGACTTGAGTAAAGTTCTACTTCAATCTTGTCAAAGTACAAAGCAATCTTTCAACTTTGCTGTGCATACACTGTAGTTCTTTGTTTTTTTGTTAACAAGACATGTTGCCATGGAATATATTGATTCCCTGGACGAGTTTTGCATTGTTTTGTTTTGTTTTTTGCTTTTTCGTCCACAGGCAGTCCTACACAGCAACGGTTACACCTGAATGCTTCTCACCTCTCACCAGCTGAATACACTTGACTACATAAGTGTGTGGATGGCTAACAGTGATCTCAAATCCTGCAATCATTTAAAACAGACAATCAATAAAAACAAACAAACAAACAAAACTTAAGGGAAAGTACCAGAAACAGTGCCTAGTAGAGTGCGTACACACATACACCACTGTCAATTTTAATAGACTTTATCAATCACCTGGCCTTGGTTGTTTGAAGGCTGGGTAATGCTATCCACTTGTTAACTCAGTGTGTTTTCTTAACCCTTTAACTCCCAAGATCTGATTATCAATTCTCCCCTCTAGCTGCTACACATTTCCTTGTAGATTAGTTTCAAGAATTTGGTGTTAGATCAAGATAACAACATATACCTAATTAGTTTAATATTCTTGTTACTTGTTTGCTAGATAATGTATGGCTATTAAAGGGAGAAGTTACATATTAATCACTGCTGGGAGTTAAAGGGTTATCACTTATTCGCTGGATGGCAATTTATCCACTGGATAGTGTTATCTGCCCTTTGAACAACAGGACCTTAGAGTGCTAATTGTTGCAGGTTATATCAACCCTGTTATAGTGGAGCTTGCATAGCCCCATAATTATACAAAATAGTAGTAACCCATCAAGCCGAAAAAATTTGGATGTACAACTGTATGACTGTATAACCATACAAGGTGCTACTTTTAACATGTGTGGTCAACTGTACCACAGGCACACCAATGCCACGGCCTTGTCCAGTAGTCCAGTGGTCAGTGCACTGGGCTCTGAGTTGGACCACCCGGGTTCTAGTCCTGGCTGGGGCAAGGCATTGTGCCCTTGAGACATGCGGAAAAAAAAATGCGAGCTCCACTTGGCTAAATCTATATATTATCTGAGGAAATTTCTGACTATTGTAATTTATGAGGACTGTATAGGGCTGAGTAATCCTTACCAATGAGTACTTTACCAAATACTTCTTTTAGATGTAATTATATCAGTGGGAGCAAACAGAAGAGATACCAGAGATTCCTTTTTTTACCTAGCGTTTGTAACAAAATGGCTTCATTTTCAATCATATCCTGAGCCTGTTGCAGGTATTCCTTATAAAAACAGAAAAGAAATAATCACTCAAATTCTAAACCTAAAACTCAGCAACACATGTCATGTGGCAAATGGAATAAGTCACAGTCACAATATGACATAAGAAACTTTAGTGAAAACGTACAAAGCATGTTCCAGGGACAAAATTTTATCTCTAGAAAAACTGCCCGAATTCAGGTTTGTTGGAATTTGTGTGACAATTTCAGCCATAAAAATTTCCTTATTTTTTATTATTCCGAAGCAATACACACATGGTGGTTAGTCAGAGACCTTTCATATTGACTTGTCAGTTTCAGTGCATGTGTTCCAGCCAAAAAAGAATATTCTACAAATCTCATATTGAAGAGTCTTAGTGTCTGGCTCTTAAGGTTGCAAAAAATCACCGCAATACTCAGGGAAGTTTGCAATATGTCATCTGACATGTAAAACAAGGTGTCTACAATGAATTATATAATAAGCTCAGTTATGCACACATTCTGATTGGTTCTCACTTATGATCCATTGGAGGACAGACGTATAGATGACGTCATCATTAAAACTTTTTTTAATTCTTTATTATATAAAACAAATAGATTCCAAGTTGCCGTGCATCTTTTCAGTAATAGATCACAGATGACGTCAAAATGTGGTAAGAACAAACAAGTGGCACACGAGGCGCAGCCGAGTGTGTCACTGATGTTCTTACCACATTTTTGATGTCCTCTGTGATCTATTACTGAACAGACGTGTGTCACATCAGTGACACACTTGGCTGCGCCACGTGTGCCACTCTTTTGTTCTTACCACATCTTGACGTCATCTGTGATCTATCACTGAACAGACGCACGCCAACTTGGAATCTATTTGTTAAGCACAATAGGGGGTAAAATAACTATAATTCAAAAACATGACGAAATCATACCTCACTCTTTGGGTCCAAAGGTGGACCATCTCTGTGCAGGCAGGCATGAGCCACCTTTATTACATGCTCCAATTTCCGTGGTTGTTCCTCAATTTTTGCAGCCAAGAACAAACAACAGGGTGCCAAGGCCTATAATAAAACATGACAATTATTTCAAAAACAATATTTGCAGAGAAAGGGAAAGGGAAAGGTCTTTTTAGTGATGTTACAGTTAACAAGTTTTCTGCAAGCAGTTGTCTGAAATGTTAACCTATCTATGGGGATGTCAAAATTAGTGGGAAATTAAAAAACTGCCTGGCAAAATACTGGTCATTAACACTGCCCACAGTCAAGAGAGTTGAAAACAGAAGTAGTTGAAACAGGAAGGTTTTTGTGCTTTTGCACAACAAGTGAAAAAGAATACAGATGTTAGCTTTCTTCCAAAAGCTCAAATGTCCGTGACCAAAAGACAAAACAACAGATGAATGAGAGTAAAGAAATACAAGCTAAATCACAGGGTTTACAGATTTAAGTCTTTAATTCCCTTACAGGAGGCAACCATAAAATACAATAATCTAATGAAACTCAAACAAAAATTACGCATACAACTGGTGTAAAAATAAAATCTACACAATCGACAAAATTGGTACCTCATGTGTCTGACATTGAATTTACGTAAAAATGCTAGGATATGGAAGACACCACATTAGTTTAAAACACAAATTATTCGTAAGAGAAATTGGAAAACAAAAAGAAGACACGAATCCAGTTTACATTTTATCATATAAACAAAAGAAAACGAGTGCAAACATTTTTTATCATACTTACGTTTCGATGGAATTTGTTAAACGAATGGAACATATAAAATCTGTGCATGTAAACGATGGCTGTGTTTATAGTCAGCTGGCTCCTTAAAACCACGTCAAGGAACAAAAGAAAGTATATTTCGTGTTTTTAATACACTAAGGAACAAAGATTTTAGAATATATCACTGGGTAAGCTGTACTCCTCGCAAAGTTATGTTACAACGCACAAACTACTACCGGATAATTACAGAAGGCAAATAAGAACTCTCTTTTTCGAAAAGATACACTGAGAGACGTTGTCCCATATCTTGGATAAGCGTTGCTGCCTGTTGCCTGTAACTCTGCTCTTTCTCTGGATCGACTCCATTTTTTCGGGACGGCGTATTTTCCAATTGTTCTTTGGTGAAATAAAAGCGGTCTGTGGTACTCACAGCACTGGTCGCCATGTTGGAAAAGCAAGGAAGGATTTGCCCATGCGTGTAATTAGTCGTCTCAGTTTCCTCTCGGACTCTCGACGTTCAACTGAGCCACGCATGAGCAGTCAGCACCAGGCAACAGTGACAAAAGACAAGAGATACTATCAAAATATGTAATATGGCGGATAAACACGGCTTCTCTGTGAGAGAGAAGCAGAGAAAAGCGGCGAATTTCAAGGCTCTTTGCCACACGGAGAAAGGACGAAGCGATATAAGAGGATTTTTAGATGACATCCTTAGTCTACAACATTCATTCGATGCAGAAAGTCAAGATTGGTGTTTGTGGCTAATCGCTAGTGGAACACCTCCAGAGGAATTTAAAAATGTCCTGAGGTCATTCGACTCGCCGACAATCTGTGGTCTGGTGTGGAATAGAAACTTTGTGGCATACCGATGCAGGGACTGTGGAATCTCGCCTTGTATGTCATTGTGTGCAGACTGTTTTCACGCAGGTAATCACGAAGGCCATGATTTCAACATGTTTAAAAGTCAGGCTGGTGGAGCGTGTGATTGTGGAGATGAAGATGTCATGAAATCAGACGGGTGCGTACAATATTTACAGATTGACCCCTCTAAGTTATTGATGATAGATCTGAAGGGCTACGTAAATCCCTGCAATTTTGAGAGATTTCTCTGAATCATTCTTTTAGTACTAAATTATTACGTTTGATCGATTAACTGTTTTCCTTGTTGACGTATTTGGAGTTATTTTGATTCAGTGTGAGGTTGAGAGGTCAATCGCTGTGATCGCCTGAGGCGATTCCGTATGCATTCTGTAGAAACGTCTATCTCTTATAGTTTCAGTTCTGTTCATATAGTTTGATATTTTCGAAACGAAATTTACTGTGAGTAAAAGTCTTCAGATGTTTCAGTTTTAAAAATTGCGATATCATCATAACACTATCGCGTAACATTCCGCATTTAAATGAACTGATATCTCTTACATGGACATTTGAATAAATCATAACAAACTCTTTTTTGCGTACTGTTAAAACGAGTGGGCCTTGGAACATGGCAATGAAGCACTGAGAAGTATTTGTAAATTATTAATAGTTGAATATCGAGTAGTAATTAATTCAAAATAAATGTCTTAATATCATCACCGACATTCTTCTGCGGTGGAACTTTTTAACCCTTTAACTCCCAAGATCTGATTGTTAATTCTCCCCTCTAGCTGCTACACATTTCTTGGTAAATAAGTCATGAGAACTTGGTGTTAGATCAAGACTACTAACTCTTACTGGATAAGTTTGAGTATTCTCATTACATGTTGGCTGGATAATGTGTGGATGTTATAGGGAGAAGTTACATGTTAATCACTTATGGGAGTTAAAAGGTTAAGGTATATACAATTGTAAGCCTTAAATCGTGCCCTTGAGCTAAGGGACCCATGTGGGCCCAGGGTAACCAAGTTTTTGGAGCACTAGGAGTGCCACTGCTCTCTCTGGATGACCACCCTTCCTTTTCCCCTCCCTCCTTCCTACAGTAGGGACCTTAAGCAGTCAGGACGGCAACGCCAAAGAAGATTTTGACTAAAAAATGAATTTCTGCCTTTAATTAGAATTTCAAAAATGGCTGCACGTGTTTACCGTCTCATACGTTGCCACACCTCAATCTCAGCATAACGTATAAAAGAAGTGTTGAGCTCCAAATGGAAATTACAAAAATTTGCCGTCGCGGTTTCAGTTCGCTGACGACGCAAATTGTGGTGATTTCACGTTGTTGTTTTGCATAGGATGGCTAAGAAATGTACAAAGTTTTAAAACGCATGTGTTGAGCTATTGTTCTGCCAATTAGATCTTTTGTTTTTCCATGTCCTCGTTGCCGTCGCCGTTGTGGTTTGCTTAAGGTCCCTAGTATTTCATCAGGTTACATTGACAGCTCACATGTACATACCTACTTATACTCCTGGGTGGGTGGTAAGTATATATTGTTCACAAGCATCACACAACAACTCAATCAGGGCTGTAACCTTGACCTAGAGTTCATGGTGCTCAAGAATAGGCCAAGTCAGAAATGTCAACAATCACTGGTACCAAAACAGAAATTTCTAGTGAATCTAGAGTTTAAGAGCATAATTATAAAGTACCATGAAGCAATGATAGATAGTGTAGTTTAAATTAAATAATTTTCTACTTGGCATCTTAAAATGAAATACAAATACTCTAATCAACATTCTCCTTCAGTAGAACTTTTTGAATGCTAAAAGTAAAATTTCAAGTAAACTTAGGTGTGTATAAATTGAAATTGAACTGCCAGACCATTTAGTCACCTAGGCTCAGTTGTATAAAGGTTGGATAATGCTATCCAATGTATAAATTGCTATCCAGCAGATTATTGATTGAAAAATATACTACATAGAGATAGACAGATAGAGATTTATCTGGTGGATATTGTTATTCAACCTTCTAACAGCCGGGGCTTGGAGAATTCTACTTGTGTTGTGTTTCTCAGTACGAAATTTCTATAACTTTCTAAAAAAGCATGGTGCCAAAAAAATTGTGACAGGTATATCTGAGTATTTTGAAAAGATCTCTTTATGTTTTTGAAGGTTTTGTAGTCGTCATGGGAGAAAGGACACACACGTTATCAGAACTCCCCCTCCAGCACTGTTGGACATGGCTAAATTTGTTATTCCAAGGTTGTGTTTAAGACTGCAACAACAGTTGAAAGAATTGGAACCATATGCAACAGGTATGTTTGTGTTTTTAAGGTATTTTGTATCGTGGGCCGTAAAGGTAAATTAAAAATCCTTTTAAACATGTTGAGTACAGCTTCACCTCTCTCAAATAGTATGCAACTGACTGTTGAAAGTAATTCCGGTTTCCTCTGCTTTTGTTTTTCATTTTGGTGTGATTGGTTCAGAAAACTTGCACCACTTTCTCAAGCGCTCAGATTCAAAACTGAGACAATCACAATCCAGTCACTGGCATTTTTCTATGTTAAAGGCAGTTGCTTGTTTTAGTTTCAGTTCTGTTTGGCGTCGTGTAAAGTGATATTTTTCTTTTTTCTCTTTATCAGTTGTGGTTACTATGGCATAATCTTAAGACACTTGGTCTAAGAGAATGCTGTTAACTTGCAGGAGTACATGTGTAAGAACATGTACCAGTGGTGAAGAACATTGATGATATGACTTTCTTTCTTTTCAGATACACCATCTGATGACATGAGTGATGCTGAAGGCCTCTTTCATTTCCTAGTTCAGTTGTGTGACACGAATACTATGAAAAATGTCACTGCTGAATCCTTGATCATGAAAATAGTAGAAGTAGAAGGACTATTTATGAAGGACTCAAGATTATCGTTGACTACGTCTAGGTCACATCATGGCATTGGACTCTCTTCAGTTCACAGAATGGACAGTTCAGACTCGTTTTCAAGTTTCTTGTCATCTGACAGTGTTGACGATGTTGTAAACAAAACATTTTTGGACTTTTTAATGGATTTTGTGACACAATTTGAATTTCCACAGAAAGTAGTGACATTTCTGCTTCATTTTTTACCATGTGCTAAATACAAGGTTAGTAGGGTCTCTTTTTAATGGTTAAAGTTTCACCTTGAATTTGACCCTACACCCATGACCTTGACCTTCTGCCATGATTAAAATACTCTTAATATTGCACTCATCATTGGTTTTGCATATAGGAAGCATTTACCAGAGTATTCTGTGAAAATTATCAGAAGATTGCCAAAGCACTGGTTCTGAACAGTGATTCTAGTGACAGTGTGGACCAATTGTCAAACCGAGTGGTACATGTCAGTGTGCAGTTGTTTAGCAACAAAATCCTGGCAGAGAAAGTTGTTCGGGAGCAGAATCTTCTTCATGTAATGGTCAAAGTGTTGCATGACATGGCAAGACCTGCTCTTGTGACTTTTAGAAGAGGAGGTACACCTATTGCTTTTAGTAGATACGTGTATTTCAAACTAGGGTAAAAAAGGAAGCTTGTTGAACATGATGGCCCAAAAAGTTCAGCGGCAGAAACAAGATTGTCAAAGTATGTGTAGCCCTTTGCACCATAACATCAGCATGCATAATCTCCATAGTATTTCCTACACATTTCCTAGGTGGCTGACAAGGAGAAGTTGTGTAGCATCAAAAGCCTCTTCCGTTGGTGATCATTTCGGTTTCCTTAGGGGTGATATTGGAGAAACTAGAGACTTGTCACTCTTTGGGGTCAAGGAGTTAACAGAATTTTTTATTTAATTTTTTATTACAGCATACAAATGTGCTTCCTACTGATGGTTTATCATGTATTGTGATGTAAAAATATTTGCCTATTGATATTTGAACTAAGCTGATGGGTGCTCATGATTGTTACAACTTTATTGTTGTTTACAGACGCAGCATCTAATCATGATGTGGTGAACTGCGAAAGTCGTGCTCTGAGCAATCACTGTTACTGGCCAATAGTAAGTGACTTCATCAATGTTCTATCCCACAAGACAATAGCTGATACATTCATGCAGAATTCTGAACTGATTAAGAAGTGGATGAAATTCATTGAACATTTAACTGGTGAGTTGAGGGTTGATTATTTACTTCATTCAAAATAAGTGGCCAAGAGCAGCTTATTCCATTCTCTAGAGCTTGTACAGTATGTTGTACAAAGTGATGTAGTTTACTATGAATCGCAGGTCAAGATAATTTTTTTAACCAGCTTGATTTGTTTTTACTGTTGCCAGGTATGTTACCATAATCCGTTGATAAAAGAGAGCACAAATCAAATTTGTTTGAAATCATTTCAACCCTTTACACCCTAACATCTGACTTTGCTTTGTCTGATTCATTGGAAAGGTGAATCTCATAGATTGTACTGAATACGATACCTAATTGACAAAGTTATTTTATTTACATTTTTCTCTTTGTAGGAATGAATGTAAACACCCGTAAACTGCTGACACATGTTGAGTTTGAACCCAACACATATGGAACAGCATTTGCTGTGGAGCTTGAAGCTGCATCCTCACCTCTATGGAGTTTTGTAAATGCATGTATTTCACTGGTAGGTTTTTTACAGAGTGTAATTGAGGTTTATATAGATGTGAGTTTAACAAAAAGCAATGTAACACTGCAGGATGTTCTATCAGCATGGGAATTCTGAGAAATCTGTGGCTACTATTGTGAATTTTTCTAGCTGAATTTCAATGGTCTACTGGTGCTATTTTTAGGTAGAAAATTGGTGTATATTGTCCTGTCACTTTACACTATTCCCCTGTTACTACATCCTACCAGGTCAGGTAAAAAGGCACTAGAATTAATCAATTTGGATACCCTTTTACATCAGCTTCATTTCTTCAGTCCTAGATTGATAGGGACTGTCAAGGCTGCCTAGTTAGGCCTCTGTAGATAGAGTGGTTCCTCATTCTACAGTGTACATTACATTTTGTAGTATCTAGGAACTGTTCATGTTTGTTGCATTTGTATTACTGGAGCTCTTCCTATAGTAGTTCTTTCATTTTTGCTTATATAGAAAAAAGTACAGTGTGTTCAAAACATGATCTATGGAAGTGTTGAGGCTCTTGAGAGATGGTACAAGAAAGTGGATAGCAAGGTCTGTTTGTGTCACTATAGGTGCTACACATTGTAAAATGGCTTAAGATTTTTTGTTCAAATAGGCATCATGTAACTTTACATCAGAATACCCACATTTAACAAACACCCCCCCCCCTTAGCCTAACTTTCAAGGACTGGTGCAGATTGTAAATTTTAATTGGACTTCAAGGTACTTGTAAAACACTAAAATTTAATGAATACCTTCTAAGATACATGAAGAAAGTGGCAAAAATTCATGAACATTTTAGTACAACTTACAGTAGGAGACCTAGGAGTCACTTTTTAGTAAATGTCATCATAAAAATTGTTCATGCATAACAATGGGGCTTGCCAAATTGTCATGGCACTACATGAGCATGCCAAGCTTAAGTTACAAACTAAGCCAACTCAGCTCATGTGCAGTATGTAATTAAGTCTTTTTTTAATTTTGTTTAGCCTCAGCGAGGAGAAGTTACATTTCATTTACCTCTCCATCGTCATCTTGCTGCATTTATTAGCCTGGTAAGGATAGAACAGTGTTAGTCGAACAATTAACAATTGGTTCATTCATCAGCGTGCATTCATCGAGATATGAAGCATGTGGGAAGTTTGGAGAGCATGAAAGATGTGTAAGAGTTGCTTGAGGCATAGCTGAGAGCAACTCTAGCTTCTTGAGTGCTCTCCAAACTTCCCAAGTGCTTCATGTCTTGATGAATGCACAGCTGACATATGAACCAATTGTTTTATAACATTTTCAACCTGATGGAAATTTTTTTTTCTCGAGGGATTTGTTTGCTGACGTCATGAACGTGCACAATAGGAATATGAAGCACTCTTGCGCAATTGAATTTGATTACACAAATTTACTGGCTATGTTATAAACCCTTCTGATGCTTGCTGTGTTATCTTTCAATTGTGACTCTTTGCTGATCATTTTTAACACTTTACAGGCTGTATCTCAGTTTGATGTTCCTCTTGAGCAAGTGGTTCCTTCAAGTCACCTGCTGAGGAACATTTGTGAGGATCTTTTACATATCCAGGTGAGGATATTCTTGTAATATGATACAAAAACTCACAAATTGAATGTATGATATATATGTTGTCTTGTTGAAAGTCTATTAGTTGAACTGTCGGTCCACTTGTATCTGTGTGCTGTGTACTCTACTGTACCACTCAAAAGTAGGTTGACAGCCTTGACTCAAAACTTACTCCTTGAATCCAATGCTCAAAACTATCAAGAATCAAGGCTCGAATTTCAAGTATCAAGAATCAAGATGCTCAAAGAACTTTTTGAGGATCTTGATTGCAGCTTCAAGGAAACAACTTAATTCTTGCTAGCAGAGCAATAGCCAAAGACAAAGGGCTTGACAAGTGGCTTTGTGACACAGAAGCTGCTTGCATGTGTGCAAATATTTCCCTTTTTTTGTTGTGGTTGGTTGTGTCTAGCTGTGTGGCTGCCCATTTACATGTATCTGTCATGATTTCAGCATCCCTTACTCCACTGGGCAGTGTGCCCATCTGTGTGTTCAACTACTTCTGGTCTTAAACAGAATCATCTGTTGTTTTACAGGCTGCTATTTGTGAAATTCATGCTGGTAGATGGGTGCGAAATGGTTCACAGATTAGAAGTCAAGTTCGTTTCTATGATGACTGCCATTTCTGCAACTCAATGCAAGATTTGGATATTTTCATGTTGCAGGTGAAAGGTCTAAAATGTAGAGTTCATGATGGTTGCTCTTAGTAAAACCAAGCTTGTAAATTAATGATCAATGATGAAAGGCTAAAGCAAACAAGGTTTAATTATTATTCCACACATTTAACTCTACTTTTAGTCCCAGTAAATGGAAACATAACAACAACCTCTTTTCAATATCATGGTTTGGCAATCCAAACAGCAGTCATCATCAGGGTCAAGCACAGAATTCTCTCAACCGTCAATTGAAATGGTGAAACCTATTGAATGGTTTTTCTATAATTTTGTAGGCTTGAGTAACCTTTAACGGTTGGGATTGATCAGTTTTTATTTTTTTATTCACTTGAATTGTACCATTGGTTTTGATGGTTGTGCCTATGTTGAAAAGAAGTTTTTTGTAATCCTCTGTGACACATAGCTGATTGCATTATTTTGTTTTAACTGAATTGTGAATGAGCATTATTTAATCATTTAGGTCTGTGCTATGTTTCTGGATCCTGAAATTTTTGTGAACATGATGATTGAGAGGTTTGTGCACTGCTTTGTTTAGCAAGTATAACAGTTACATTATATATAATTATGATAAGGTAACTGGTATGATGAAGTCATAGAAGGCAACGTAGAGGTGTAATAGTTATATCACAAGGTCTTTCTGTAACAGTCACAGTTATACAGTTTTCCACCAAGCCATCTAATCTGTACTGCAACAATATACACATGGAGACCTGGATATTATCTTGGGTGAATGTTTGCGTGCAAATGTTGAACGGAACAAGAAAGATTTAGTTATTAAATTTTTTTGTCTCACTGATATATATAGTTTTGGCTTGCGACACTGGTTTAAGTTTGGTGTGCCAGCTGTATCCAGTCCCCCTAGTTTTGATGTGGACTCCGAAGTATCGATGGTTGAGGGAATGTTAATGCTGCTCGTCACACTCCTTAGCAATCGACTACATTTAGGTAACGAGTCACAATGATTGTAAACAGTTAATGGCACACTAAGCTCTAGAGCTGATAAATGATTGTTCCTGAATGCTCATCTCCAGAATTATATCTTATTTTTACCATAATTAATCACCTCAAGTTTTTTTTTCTATTTTTGGAGCTGTGGTTAGATTGCTTAGAAAAAAAAATGGTTGGCTTCACCACCACAAATTCACTATTACCAACGCCTTTTGTTTCGTAGAATTATGAACTCAACCTCTGGCTCTCTCAGTTAATGGACGATGTAATTTCAAATAAAAAATCAATCTGAGAGGAAGGAGTTTTCCTCTGATTGTGGCAACAGACAGTTCTTGAGTAATATTTAAGAACTTCAGTATTAAGTTTTATGATATAGTTTTTAGTATTTAAGACAACTTTTTGTGCTTTATTGAAGGGCTTACAGATCAGGAAATCTTGCGGAAAGAAATGGTTGCACAGCTTTGCATGGGAGATAAGACCCACAGCCAACTTGTTGATCTAATATCCTTTAACGAAAAAACTTTAATGATGCAATGTAGTTCAACATGATTTGCTTGTTCATGAAAGTTTGATGTAGACAATGTTTTCTATCAAGTGTTGGCTAAAAAAATCTTATTAATCTGTTCCTTGATCAAACCCTTCTGTTATATACCCAGACTTTCACTCAACAAAACAGTGTGATTGGTTGATTCTTGGTCACATGCCCCTGATCAAATTCAAATGTATCCCGACCGGGATACAATTGCGCAGTTGTTGCCCATGCGCCGAATACAACAGCATGTTTTTGCCATATGATCGTTAAGGGAAAGTTTAAAAGCACTTAATGTATGGTCCCTCGAGAAACTAGTTAGTTTTGTTTTCCCTCGAGTCCTGGTCTTTCCCAAAACGAAGTCGAGGGAAACGTCAGGACTCTCGGAAAAACATAGTAACTGTTTCTCCCGGGTCCATACATTAAGTGTATAGTATATTAGATATTGATCTTATTTAATATGTAGTTGCCTTAACAGACTTTTACATCCCAGATAAACCAGGACAGTCTCACAACACACAAGATTTTGAGTTAATACTCAGTGAGGTGTGTAGATGGTTAGATTTGGTAAAATAACTTTCTTTCCTCGCAAGCAGACAGTTGCTTTCAGTGAATCTAGAAATCCTGAAAGTTAAAAGGCTAATGGTTTCTTGTTTATCAATATTTTAGTTGGCAGACTACAAAGCGCCTGGATTTGAAAGCGGAGCGATGCAACAAGGGATCTATGTACCCAAAGGTACCTCAGAATAGACACATTTCAAACACCAGACATCATGGTTTAATGTTATGAATTTTACTGTTGGTTCTGTGGGAGACGCAAAGGCGTAATGGTCCTGGCACAGGACTCTGGGTCTAGAGGTCTGGGTTTAAGACCTGGCCGTGGCACTGACTCTTATGCATACCCTTTGTAAATATGTATTTGAAAAACTGACAGCAAACTTACAGAAACTCTGAAAGGCTCAAAATACAACAAGCAAACAACTAATAATACCATAAACGCACTGACTTTTATGCACACTCTTTGCAGATATGTCTATGAAAAACTGACAGCCCTCACTTATTGGGTATTTAATCTTGAGGGCACAGAGACTTTCGTATGACGCGAATGAATATGAATGAAAGCAGCGCAGTATATATATATATACCGGCTCTCTGCTAATAAAGAAATTGTAACGACATACCATGCAACACGCCACTCAATAGGTTACGTAACCCACGATAAATTTATTTACTCTCCCAATGCCTCCCTCAACCCAGGAGTATAAACGGGGACTGGGGAATAGTCAGGGAAACCTGATAAAATGCTGAGGGGGACGACCATGCGATGGACTAGCACCTGATACTCGGAAACCGGGATAAGCTTCGGCTGAAAGGGGCCAATAGGCTTGAATACAGACTTTACCTTTTTAACTTTTACCAAGTTCTTTCTCCAATCTTCACGAGGCTCTGGACGTTTTTCACATTTACCCGATTTTTTTTTGTATTGGCACAAAAGTTTGCACAATGCAACTGTTGGCATTGTGTCAGAAATCATGGTGCGAATGTATGATACAAGAAAAACTTGATCCATCAAGGGTTTTTTTGTTTGTGTGTGAATGTAATTTGGCTCAAGTTGCACCCTGTCATTTTTTCTTTAGAATCTGTTTGGAAGAATGACTTTGATATTGTCCATGTGTTACTAAGAGCAGTCCATCGGCAGCATGTGCAGTCAGCTATGCAGCGCTATCAAGCAAGGTGATTATTATGCTTGACAAGTAGATGTTTAGGGTCAAATTTTCGTGCTGGTATGTATCTTGTGTGCAGTTTGATATCCGAGGTTTTGATTTGCTGTCTCTTAATCATTCTTAAATGTAATGCAAAGCAGAAACTCGTTTAAATTTTGCTTCGGTTATCGAGGGCAGTGTTAAGTCGATTAAATACGTTATGGGGAATTGTCACAGTCTGGAAGATTTTACAACTGCTGGTGTGTTTCCCATCGTGGCCATGTTCTCTCTTATTCACTCCCTGTTTCAGAGTTTGTTGATATTAACTTAGGTTTTTGTTGTTGAATTTATTCCAGTGCTTGTAAGAATGACCAGTCTCAGAAAGGAGGCCTGTGGTTTCCATTTCAGCCTCTAAAACCGCTAAGTGAGAAATTTCGTGGCTTGCTGAAGATCCTCTTGTCTAAGACATTGCATGGAGTCCTGTTTTTTATATTCCACAAGGTAATCCAAATGTATAATTTTTCAGCAGTAGCTTTCAATTATTTGTAGAAAGATTCTTAAAAGTTTCTCTTGGTTTCTCTTTGGTTCACTTTTAGGCCACAAATGATATAAATTCCTTGGGAGAAGCTCTGTATTTTGCAGTTTATTTGACAAAAGTGGCAGTTATGGAAAGCCCTAAGCTGCACTCAGATCTGGTAAGCAATTTTGAAATTGTACCTTTGATACGTATTGTCAAGGTTTTAACTCTTGATTTATCTGAATTTCCTTTACAAGTCTATGTTTCAGTTCTTCTTGTTTTTGGATCAAAAAAGCTCAATTTAAAATAGGTAGATTATGAGTGTACTTATTCTACAACCATAAATAGTTTTTCGTTTTTTTGGTTTTCAGTACGATTTGAAGTTTGAATAGTTATGTACGAATACTTGCTAGGAGTGTTGGATAGAAATGACCGTAGATAAACAGTTGTAACCAAACAAAATTATGTATGTGGTAGCTTTAAGTCTTTAATGATTCTGAAGAAAAAGAGAACTAGGGGTTATCGATGATTATCACTGTACACTGATGTGACATATCTACTGTATCCATCAGAGCTCTCTACCTTACTCAAGTGTAGATGTTAAATCCAGGGATATTGGATGCATAATTGTTGATCGCTGCATCGACTTTCTTGACACATACGGTTTGTTTTTAATGACTATTTTTTTATTTTTTGTTTGAAAACGTAAATTTTTGACGTTTCGAGCGTTAGCCCTTCGTCAGAGCGATGGAATCGCAGCAATCGCTCTGACGAAGGGTCATCGAAACGTCTTTTTTTGTTCATCGGTTAACACTAAATTCTCCCACCGACGCAGCACCACAGTTTCTTTAGAAACTTACCCCTTTATTTTTATTATTGTTTTTTCTCTCCAATTAGTCTTCGCTTTGTTCATCAGATTATGATTTGTTATTTTATTTTCAATCAAATTTAACCGGAGAATGAATCAGGAGACTTCGCATGATTTTCATTTTTACGTGACCTAAGGGGCTGTTGTCCAGAAGAATTATCCCTTTACACCCCAACATCAGTATGCATATTCTCCAAACTGTTCTCTATGCAGTTCTTAGGGTGCTGACAAGGAGAATTTGTTCAACAATCCAGAGCTTCTTTAGTTGGTGATCATTTCCTTTATTCTTGTGACCTTAATGTTTGATACAGGGATGGTATTGTTGGGAGAAATTTGATGCTGGTCACTCCTAGGGTTCAAAGGGTTACATGAAAAGTGGTTTTTTTCGTTACAGGGAAGGATGTGAAAGATCTACACCAGATTAGTCCTCATCACTGTTTGAATAAAGAACTTCTACTCCGATTACAACAAGGTACGTGTGTTAGTTAACTTTTCACAAGTCTGAAATTTCTTTAAATCTTACCTGGACACTGTTTTCTTCAGTGGAATCAGGTCCAGATTCTCTTATCTGGACTAGTGCCGATACTAGCTGGAGAAGGCATCTTTTCCTTGCTCATTTGCTTGTTTGTTCGTTTGTTTTTGTATTTTTTTTGCGTTATACCATTATGATCAGTAGTTTTCAAATTACTCCACATTGAACGTAATTATAATTACATGTTGTGGCTGGTAATTACGCCTCTTCAGACAATTGGCATAAAACCGAGTAATTTCCTCAGACTTTCTTCGGCTAGTTCATTCTAATGGAGTCGTACAGCGTAGATAAGCAAGTGACGAAGGTACAGGAAAATACCTTACTGATTGTCATGCTTCGCCACATTTTGATCGACAACGCATTGAAGGGAAAAGTAAATGCGCCAAGTTCCGGATCTAGATTTCTAGGTTTATGCCCTGTCCCAGTTATTGAGTGTTGTTTACACTGAGCCTCCCTCTGCCTGAGATCAGAGTTACAAATTCTGAGGGAAGTGAGGGTTGCCAAGGATCACCTGCGATCCATAAGCATTCTTCGTACTTGTAGGAGGAGTTAGGAATACTCCAATTTGTTACATGACACAAAGACCGAGAGAAGCGCCAGCAGTTTACACTACTAATCTCAAACGACCTGAAGGAAGCCGTAATCGAAACCTTTTTTCTTCTTCTTCAGACCCATTTGCTCCTTTCCGTCCAGAGACAGATTCTCCGCATCACGTGTGTGCTGTTATGGCTGATGTGCTGCACAGTCATCACCTTATGAAACCTCCATTGTTTGAGCCGTTCCTTCCTTTCATGAATGGCGTGCTCAATAGCGCTCTCCGTAAGTATGCGACCACTGATCGCTAACAAATCAATTTTAACAAGATTTCTTTGAGTATTTAGAATAATAAGGATGATGAACTTTGAGTTTGGTGATGAAATAAAAGAGAATGTTGTTTGGTCTTGTCACTAGCATGGGACGCCACAGAGATCGGTAGCTAACCACGAGAATGACTTAAACCGTGTCGATTATTTGATTGCAGAAAACCAAAGTAGTACCTTAGAAAAGATAGCCCAGTTACAACACATTCAGTTTTTAATAGAACAACAACCAGTTCAAAGACGGAATCTCATCACAAAACTAACCAGACATCTTGTGAGGTAACTTTGACTGAGAACGAAATAAATCTGTAGAGCAGGTTTGGTTTGTTTTGGGGGAAGATTGGACGAATTCATTGGGTGAAAACGCCGATTCATCTAAGCTGTACGATGTACGTTTTCTCAACTTGTACACTTTTCGGTTTCAATGAGGGAAGATGTTGAACTTTTGTCTCGAGCGCGAGTCAAAGAAACATGTGAGTTCCTCGGGCTGATTCGAACCTTCAAGTAAGTTCTGATTTCGCATTCTGAAGCTCTGCAACTGAGCTACAGAGAATTCTTTTATCGCGTTCATCGCGCTTACACCTTAGAATTGCCACTTTAAGGCTTTCTCTACACCACGTTAATGACTAAAAACAAGAGATTACACAGCTGATAATCTCTTGCCACCCCACCCCTCCCCCTAGAGAAGAGGGGGTGGGGTGGGGTGGGTGGAAGTTAAGGATGAAACCGGGTAATGACTGTGACTTTGTATGACAATTTCTCTTCAATTTTTTTCACTTGCGTCACGCTTACATGTATTTTGTTTGAATTTTTTTAGTGTATCGGAAAGGCTCAACATACCATCTAAAAATTTGGCTCTTGCAAGTGACGAAAACCAGGTAAGAGTTTGTTTTCTGTAATAACTCGCATGTTGCGGAACCAACAAACCACCGCCAGTTGTTCTCTTAACATGTAATTGATGTTTTTAGCCCTTAGAGCTTTCCATGCTGCTGATGTATCTGAACAAATACCACCAGTGGCTTTTCAGGGTAAGAAGAGTGTTTCAATTAATTTGCTAGTACTATTGTTGACTGATTAGAGCGATGCTTTTCCGTTGTTGTCAGTCGTAGGGACCTTTACAATTTACGACGAGTACGACTGCGGATTTCAGACTTTCCGATAGGTGGAAGAGTGGGTGCGTGCGAAGGTGCGCTAATATGGCGGGAAAAACGCGGTAGCCGCCAACATTATTTCGAAGGGACAAACCCAAAATACCGATGCGATCGCAGTTTTTAGTTTTCCAATCAGGGAAAGGTTGAATTACTTCCCATAATGATATCTATGCAAGTTTTGTGGCTTATGAGGAGTACGATGGAGCCTCGTGAGTCGTATATTTTCCAAGTATTGGGCAAAAAAAACGAATTCAAATCTCATACTCGCAGTGACACAGGTCCTAGAATCTAAAAATATCTGATTTGTTTTTCTTTGTTAATTTATGAAATCTTTGAAGATTAGTCCAAGCTGATTGAGGCATGTCGGCCCATCTGATAATTTTTGTCTCCTTGCCTCGTTTCTCTTCTAGAATCATCACACTCCTGCAGGATGGCCAAAGACTGTCAGTGATTTGAGTTTTAATTCAAGTAGCATGGTGGTAAATATTCGTCACGTGGTTCAACCAGTACAAGAACCAATGGATACAAGCGATGATGCTGGTGTGTTCAGTGTAGAATTGCAAAACAGTTTATCTTTAATACATAAATTCTTAAAGGCGATTTCTTTTTTTTTTTTTTTTTTGTCGGCAGACCTTGAGAACAGGCATACCAACCCCCCTGCACCGCAGCCGACCAAGGGTGGCGTACAAGATTCGCTTGAGCTTTTGTCAATCGAGGCAGAAGAGAGAAGTGGTATGACGATTGCAAATACAGCGTCATTTAAAGGCCTGGTGCAACAGTTCATGGATGTAACCAATTCAAGTGAAGGTAGTGGTTTGCGTACCAGAGTAGCACTTATTTAGAGAGAGCTCGAATCATTCTTACATTCTCTTTGGTTTCTAATAAAACATGCACTTTTTCAGGTAGAGAATGCAAAGCTGGGGTGTTTTGAGTTTTGTTTGAAATTACGTTTACAAGTGACAATACCACGTTCTCTCTTTTATTAGTTACTGCAATAAATCTCCTTAAAGCCTGCAGAGGAAACCTGGAGATGGCTATGGAGTTACATTTCAGCAAACAAGAAGCCATGCCTGATTTGGAGGAGGCAGTTGGTGATGTTGCTATGGAGACGAGTTCTTGCACGATGACGTCTTCTGGTGCAACCGTGGGGACCCATGGCAAGTTTGAGGATTCGAGTTCGTGTTCGGCAGAGGGAATTAACGAAAGCATTTTAAGCTTGTTGGTGAAGCTGTTATCCGCCAAGTCTACCAGTTCGACACCACCAGGAAGGTTGGTGAAACTTCGTTTGTAATATGACAACTGTGGAGAATCCCGTCTATTCTTTTACTCACAGATCTGTTAAACAAGAGGTCTCCACTTCCCCAAACAACATCAATACGTTATTCAGCCAAAAGGTCAATTAGGTTTTTTTAATGTTCACGATGGGAAAAATTTCCAAATTCAAGAGAGAGTGGTGGATGTGGCAGATGATAAGGCAAGGTACTCACCAATTTTTTCGGTTTAAAAAACTCGTGAGAGCACAACTCTTACACGCCTATTTGCGAGGACTGGCGTTTTCGCGTTTCGCCTCGTTTAAGACTGGATGCGTTAGACTGTCATAATGTAAAAAATTTCAAATCTTTGATTGGAACTCTTGTTTTCCACAACTAAAGGAGTCCAGCGTGTGCTGACGATGTGCACTACTTGTCAGACCTGTTAGCCGTGATCAGCAGGTCCAGTCCCGAGAATGCTGCAGTACTGCGCAAGCTTCAACCCCAAGCCTCACAAGTGAGCCCCGGTCCTTCCTCCCCTGATAGTGGTATGGACAATCCTGTAGCCAGGACCATGCGCAAGTATGTGTGAGAGAAACTTCTCTGTGCGTTTCAGAGCGTGTTTCGATTGAGTGTCATCAAACCAAATCCAAAATAATCACAACGCCATGACCAAGTCACCACTGGTTCAAGTTTTAAATCTGATTGGCTGAGAGGATGGCACGAGTTTTCTGGACCAATCAATCAAAAGCAAATGAAAGGAAAATTAAAGCATTCCCCGGAGTACAATCGACAATCGATTGAAAATTTCTCCTCAGGGAAATTGTGGTCTGTTGCCCTGTTTTGCCTATTTCAGCAGCTTTATTGCCTTACTTATGAGATCCAATATTAACGCTTCTGCTTATCGCGCTGGCTCAAGTGCTAAACTCGTAAACTAGCCCTTGCTTTAAAACTACCGAAACTGTTTAGAAATGTTTAGATGTGAAAAGAAATATTATTTTACTCTGTAAACCCTGTTTCTTCTTCAGACGACAGCTCGCCAGGGAACGCCAGCAGAAGCTTTTAGCTGAGTTTGCTTCCAAGCAGAAAATTTTTATGGAGAAAACCCTGAAGAAAGACCTAGGTATGCCTCGCTTAAACTTAAGAAAATACAGTCTTTTTCAAGGAAATGTCTGCGCTGTGGTCTTGCAAGTAGAACTACGCAAAGATTTTTAATCTTTTATGAAATGAAATTGGCAAGAGTTCACATTACTGAGCGCTTGAGTTAAAGAACCTCGTTAGGGTACACGGTACTGATTTTGGCCACTGTAGCAACAACAGCAACACCAAGTACAATGGCAACAATAACATCAAACAAATGGTTTGTTGGAGCTACCCGCGGGTCCATTGCAATGCTATGTTTTGTTCATGCAGTTAAACGCTGTACTTAAAGTTTCTTTCTCAGTCGCCCTAGATGCTGCAGATGGTATGCCCAGCGAAAAAGCGGAAGACTTTTTGGATTGTGTTATCTGTGGACAAGCATCCACATCCACGGAGGATAGGCCTATTGGACTGGTGACCCTTTTGCAACCCAGTGCAGGTAATCAGATTTGCTTGTTTTCGCGAACCTGAACTGAACCTTAGTTACACCACTGACTGCAGGAAAATGAGAAATAACCAGAAGAAAGAGTTACATAAGGGATCTTTTGTGTTTAATTACTTCCTAACGTTTTCACCTTTGTCTTTTTTTTTTCTTCTCTGAATGCAAGAGGCAGGAAAGTTGTCTGGAGTATAGAATATGCCATGACCTTACTAAGATTTCCAAATGCATTTAAAAGTCTTTATTAAGTTTCCTAATCGAGGTGTAAGTATTTAGTAGAAATAGAGAGATGAGCGAGTTGTCGAGTATTTTTTCCCTTTACCACAGTGCTAAAACACAGAGCTCATCATGTAAGACACACCCAGCTACCGCTGAACCGTGAGGAGGAGGAGAGTCGTGTCATTAATTGTGAGACAACCTTCAGGAACAGATTTGAAGATCTGAGGAGATGCTTTGATTTGGTACGATTTGCTCTCAATAAGGAGCTGGAACATAAGGTGCCAAGGCGCGGCAACAAGTCTCTGCCGGAGACAAGGTGCCCCTTGTAAATGATTTCCAAAACATGTCGGCAACAAAGTTAAACTTTCAATGCAAATTGAAACATAGAATCTGTGTGACGGTGGTTCACGAAGACAAAGGTTTTGGACCAACATTATAGAGCGACTTGCCTTTTGTCTCGACCCTTAGACAAGCCTGTTTAGTGACGGGTTCAATTAAATTGGACCAACGTTATTACGTCACTGCAAGCAACATTGCATACAAGAACATGAGTGACGGGTTCAATCTTGGACCAACGTTATAACATCGGGCTCAATCCTGGACCAACGTTATAACATCGTTGCAAGCAACATTGAGTACAAGAACTTTCTTACACAATCAGTGCAAATGTGAAGCGAGAAACTGGGTGGCTGTTCCTAAGCACGAGAACATAATAAAAACGTTGATTATTAAGTGAGAAAGTGCAGCCAATACCAGGCGTGATATGAAATGCAACGTGTAGCCAGTTACAATTTAGACGTGTTAGGCGGCCTGGTCAAGCGCGAGAAAACACGTGGTTCTACCAGGCACGTGACAAAAAAAACTGCAGCCTTTCAAAATGCGGAGAACACGCGTCACTCTTTAGAGCGGGAAAAGCAATTAACCTGTTTTTAGTTCAGGAAAGTGTCCAAAGGTGTTAAATTGCATTGATGTTTTTTTGTTGGAAAATAGGCTTACTGTTACAATTGCTTGTCTCCTTTAGATTACCGTAGGCTAGAAACAAAACATCTTGTTCTCTTTTCATCGATGTTTCTCGAGTTAAAATTTTTCCATTTTAATTTAGATACCAAGCATGGATGCATCTGCCAGTGGAACAGAAGGAGGGGTGCATATTCAATCTTGCGGTCATCTCCTTCATGTTGACTGTCACCAATCGTATCTAAAATCTCTTCAGGTACAGAGTGGAATAAGTCAACTTTTGAATGCGCAGCCTTACTTTTTTGGAGAGAACAACCAAAAAAATCATTCAAACCGCGGATTCATATTTATAATGTTAAGTTATATTGAAACCTCTGTACACGGGAGTATTTCTTACATAGATACCTTTAGTTTATATTTGCAATACTTAATTGTTTATAGTGTGCTAAGTGCGGAAAGTCTGCTGATGCAATTGAACTTCTCTTGCAGGAGGAGGATGCTAACCAGCTTTACCACGTGCAGCCGTTCAACCCAAGAAATGGGGAATTCACTTGTCCTTTGTGCCGACAGCTTGGTAACTCTGTGCTTCCTGTTGTACCGTCGCACATTATCCCGGATGGAAAGACGTCATCTAAGGTCAGTCATGGTGTACTTTACCTACGCCTTGTTGGTTTGACCACTTCCTCCCGTACTTTTCATAGGAAGATTTTGGTATAAATTTGCAGTTTGAATAACTTGTCGTGGAAAGAATGAGCGGATAATAGGGCCATATCCGATTTCTGTGTCTTTGCGCGTCTGAGAAAGAAATGTGTCCCACTGAAGTGTCTCTCAGTTTCGCTCATCAGAATGATCATACATCTGGCTTTCATCCGCAGATTACCTTAAGCGCTTTCGCAACTGATTGCTGATCGAAAATTCTCACAACTTCTTCTGTATTGGCTAGTATCGATAACATTGCCGTTTTCCCCTTAGTTGAGTTTTCCTTTGTTTGCATTACTATCTTGAATATAACTAAGCAGCGATTATTCTATGGTACCATTCAAGCAATAGATGTTTCTCTGTAAACCTTTCTTAAGTTGACCAAGATTTGTTTCAAGTCCACGTTCAGTTAACTTTCTTATCTTTTTAGACTACCGTGAAGAGTCACACAGAACAGACAAGTGACTTACATGCAGTCCTGAGGAAATTCAAGCTTCATGTAAGAAAATTTAAGCAATACTAAACCAGTTCCTCTCAACCCTTTAACTCCTAGAAGTGAACTCAAACTTATCGGATACAAGATATTATCTTGATTGAATACCAAATTCTCGGAACCGATTTACAAGGAAATGTGTAGCAGCTAGAGGAGAGAATGAACAATCAGATCTTGGGAGTTAAATGGTTAGGAAGCTCATATTTTTCTTTTAGTGGGAGAAGAGGAAACTCGCACCACCTTTCCAAACCAATCAGATAGGAAGCAAAACCAAGTCGTGACGTGGTCACTCATGTTCTCCCACGCTTCCGATATTTTGCTTATTTTTACCTTGGTCTCTTTTAGCTCCTTTTGATGTCTATATTTTAGTCTTATTAGCAAATTATTAATTAATTGTTATGCTTGCTTTGTGATCCGACAGACTATTACGAAACTAACAGCCAGTGCACTTAACTTTAATGTGCTCGGTGCAGCCATCAAGGCAGTTGTAGAATCAGTGTCTGCTCTGGACGGAGAAAGCTTCAGGTGTTCAGTTGAGAGAAAGTTTAGCCTGCTGTACAGAATGGCCAGGTATGCGAGCAAACTACTTGATTTAAAAAAAAAAAAACATCCAGTAGCGTGTATCTTGAAGATTTACGCAGGAATTTTTTAATTATTGGCAACCCGTTCTAATCATATCTCTTCTTTGCCATCCATAAATCAACTGCCCTGCACAGTTAGGGATTAGGCCAGTGTATCTTATTTGGGGCTGCTACGAGTATTGCTTTCCCTTCCAAAATCGCTGTACCCATCATCGCCTTTTGTTTTTCCTTTTTGTTACCGAAGTACTCAAATACCAGGTTTACATATCGCTCTTTTATGGTTCACAGGACAAATTTAGAATTAGAGCAAGTGGATAAAGTCGCAAGGAAACTTTCAAGTCCAAGGAAATCATGTTTTGGTGAGTACTCTGATGCTACTGTATGTGAAACTTTGACCATGAAAGGGTTGTGACGATCTTTAAATTTTCTCTATCTGGGATCAATTCTTTCCTTGCCATCCAAGCGGAACTCACGTAGTAAAAGACTCAAAGAACTTGGATACCAATTTCTAACGAATGTTAATTATTACTGTGAGGCTTTCGATGTCTCTCATAATGACGGTCATTTTCTTCCTCTTTTATCCTTGTTTCGTGCACTGTTTAGGTCCACTCATGCGTGCTTTCCAGTTTCATTCCCAAACACTTGTGGGTCCTTTGTTGTCTGTGTGGTCAGATCTGACTGGTACTGAAGACCTCAAAGAGTCGTCTTCCAGGTGAGATTCAAGCGCATTTCTCTGTAATTGAAGCTAATTATAAAATGAAACTTCCAACGGGGAAACAATATGGTTTAAGCTCCATCTATACTGTGCGTGATAAATTTGAAACGGCGTTTTTAGTTCTGCAAACACAACAAAATATTACCGTCTGCACGTGGCCGTATGAGTTTGAAATTGCAACAGTCACAAGCGGTAGAACCGCTAAAAAAGTGAAAGACCAGTATTAGGGAGGCGTGCATTTGCAAAAAGTTCTGTTTTCAGTCCAGATTAGTACAGCTGACAGGCTTAACCGTATAAATTAATTTGCAGGCGTTGTAGAGTGGAAGATGGTGAAAATATTTTGCTTTGTTTTGTTTTAGACGAAAACGGACACCTTTGATTACACATTAGTGTGGTCGGGGCCTCAGAGTGGACAGGTCATACGCACAACCCAAAATGGTGCCTAGCGGGCACAGATAATTTTGAAAAATCTCAACACTGGTTATGCTTGCTTTTCGTTTATTTGTGAGCAAAATATTATGAGTAAATTGACGCGTAATTATTAAAAAACATAATACTGCATTCTAAATCTAAGTTGGGATAAAGTTAAGTTGTTGTCTTATTTCAGTGGCACAATCAGTTTCCAGGAGTGTCCTCTTCTCTTGAGAGATGCGCCCTCACTGTTGATCCAGATGATGTTGTCATGGCCGGCACCGCTTTCACACCGTAAGTACAGTATGTTTTCCTCGGCTTAGTATCATCAGAATTGCCATTTTGGTAGTGCTTTACTTACCAAAAACTAACGTTCTGTATGGTTTGATGCAAAGTGTCAGAAGGAAATGACATGACCTCCAATCATTTTTTTGATATTCATAAAAAAATAAAAAAAAATTTTATTTTGGCTCTTTGATGTAATTTATTCTAGGAGTCGGTTCTAACAGTGATCTGTTATTGTTGGTTATTTTCTCCAATCGCCGTATCGTGTTTTATTTCAGGTGACTTCATGTGCTTTGTACAGCTGATATTTAATTTGGTGTTTACGCAGGTGAGAAACTCAACCTCTTCTGTGAGATACTAGATACTATATGTGGATAATTGAATTATTCACTTACCCTGAACAGATTCGGCCTTCTCTTGTCCAGATTTTACCTAAAAGAGCATTCGTTTTATATACATGTTTGTATATATATATTTATTTTTTTCAGGCTCTAGTTGAGACTTGTTGTAAGTTTGTCGGAGATGAAAAACTCTCGTGGCAAGACTTAGGAAGGAAAGCAGCATCACAGGTAAACAAAAATCGTAACAATTTGCCCGCCAGGGTCGTTTAGAAGGCTTTTTTTCGCAATGACAAATATCATACTAAAAGTGCATCCTAAGAACTGTCCAGTCGATATCTTCATTGTGTGTGCCGATGGAAGGCTTATAACGCAAATGCAGAAGTCTCTAGGAGGATCTTTGAATTTTTTAATTGACTGGTAATGTTTGCTATCTTTTACTAATTATGATGGCCAAGAATTTTTACTTCTTGTTAAAGGTAGAAAGAGGTCCAAATTCGGAGTTACGACGTAAACGAGTAGATAAGAGGAAATGAACAACAGATCGGCAGAGGACGACTAAAAGGGGGATTTTCCCCAACTACAAGCCCAGTTGCAAAGAACGAATTCGGCCAGAAAATTTTAACCGTTTTATTTTGGAAAAAGAGCTGCCTGGTGACCGGTCACTTTCGATCTACGAGTAATCCAGATTGTTTAATCAGTTATTTTTTTTTTCAACTTCATTTAGGAAATTGTTCAGGGCCAATTATCTGCCGATCTTTTATTGGGGTATGTTTGCCGTATGCTTAGTACCAGTACCTTGATCAAGGAGGATCATCACACCGGAGGGGTAAGTTATCTCTGTCGCCTCTTCCCTCCCTCACCACACAAGTATTAAAGATTTAGAGACATCCATGCCCTCCCCCCCCCGTTATAGCGAGTGAAATGGCTCTTATGAAACCCTACTTAGTTGTTTCACGTTACTGAGAAGTAAGGTAATTTTATTCACCAAGTTATTTCGCTTTTAACTTCATAAACATCCTCTCATAGATCATTGGTTTTTTTCCCTTCGTAGATCTCACAGTCGGTATGGTCCCCACATACTGTGGAGCGTTCCCTACAAGACTTGTGTTTGGGGTTCTTGCGGTCGGCAAACGCGATGGCGGCCCTGTGCTTTGGTGTGGAGGTACCGCAAGTTCAGGTAAGTGTGTTTTCATTCATTGAGTGTTTACACTGAGGCCTAGTTGTATAAAGAGCGAATCACGCTATCTAACGGATAAATCGCTCTCCAGCGGATAAATGCTAACAAAACGCGCTCTGTTATCCACTGGATACAGATTTATCCATTAAATAGCGTTTTCCAACCTTCGAACAACAGGGGCCAGTTCTCTGGGTTGTAACCAGTTTTGCAAATAATTTCATGGGATTTCTTGTATTGCATCTTTACTTTCGATATTCATCCTCCTGGTTCCGGTTGTTCAAAGGGTTGATAACGCTTTCTGGTAGATAGTGCAGTGTATTTTCTTCACACATTCGCTGGATGGCGATTTATGTGCTGGATAGCGTTATCTGCCCTTTAACCAACTGGACCTGTTGTTTAGTTACTTTCCTCGATGATCCTTTGTGAGTATAGTAAAGTTTATTTCGTAAAGGAGTTGGTATCCTTACACAGCAAATCCAGTCAAGGAAGCGTATTTTATTTATTTATTTTATTATTATTATTTATTTTAGGACACTGATGCTGAATTCCGTGCACTGGCCTCGAGCCTGGGTTTATGTGATCCATCTAGTAATAGTCGAACCGAGTCCTTCTCGTGTGTAGATTGCCTAAAGTGGCCTCATTCCAAGCCTCGGAAAGTGATACGACGATGGTGTGATGCTCTGCTGCTGTGTTTCACGCAGCGAAAGGCCAAGCTGAACAGAGTGAGTTTGCTGATTGATAAATAAAATTCGTCAAGGATGTATTTGACAATAGCTTTCATTAGCAAAATTGAATTATAATTAAACTTTGTGCTGTTATATCCACGTGGAGATGGGAATATATTTAGCGGTGATAGACCAAGGTTTGTATTCAGTTTCGCGTGGACGGAGTATTTTCACATAGCAAAACTTACTGCTTGTTATATCTGTAGGAACTTCTTCCCAACTTGAGTCAGTGGCCGCCGCCCAGACTACTTCAGCTACCTGAGCGATACGACAGGTAAGTGACCAAACTGAGGTAAACTAGGTTTCTCATCACCCAAATATCAAGGGCTTCTAGGACAGCAAGTGATTATATCTGAGGAGTTTACTGTTTTGGAGAAGAAGGGAACAGGGTTCCCTAACTAAAGCCTGTATGCGACACCTTTAATGTACTTCCTTCCTTTCTAAAGTACGAATATAAGTTCTTTTGTCTCTTGCTAAATAGTTTGATCCAGCATTACCGGAAGCGGAAATGCACCAAGTGTGGCAGCGCTCCAGATGATCCTGCAGTATGTTTGGTGTGCGGTAAATTCAATTGTCTCCAAGGAAGTTGTTGTGTTGACGGGACAGGCACAACAGATAAGTATGAATGCATACAGGTTAGAAACGAGGTTCTGTCACTGATTTTACGCAACCGCTAGCTTTCATTCACTATCGGTTCTCACGTGTTTCGTCTCTTTGTCTCGCGAGCTCAAGGATTTGCAATTATGATATCAATAGAGAGACTTTTTGCTTACTTTACGTAACGACGAATAACTGTTGTCAACCGTTCTTGTTCCTTGATTTTTCGGCAGTTTAATCGCCTAGTTTGAGGCTCATTTCGAGAGTATCTACGACCTCTGAGCAGTCTAAGCCCTTTGGGTGTGGCATGTATTGTTTTTGTGACTCCGCCTATACACTTCATTCTTGACCGAATTTTATATTACTTTGTTAATTTTATGCTTTTCATTTGTTAGCATGCCTTGAATTGCGGGAGAGGGACTGGGATTTTCCTGATCGTGCTCTCTTCAGTGATTATTATAATCAGAGCTGATCGGGTCTGTATCTGGGGCTCAGTCTACCTCGATAGCTTTGGCGAGGAGGACCGGGATTTAAGGTATGGTGGAGTAATCAGAGCGCTTGTCACTCGATTGATGATTAATATGAATTTGATATAAATTTTAGAATGGGATCTTAGATGCAGCACATCCACGAGGTGGTTTAACGTCCACTGTTGTGTTCGACTTGAACTCTGAGATTTTGTTTTTGTGAAGGCAGAAAAAATCCAAAGAAACCGCAGAAAAAATTATTGCGTAAGGACAAAAATCAATAAGGCTCGAGCCACATGTGACGCCAGCTCCGTGCATTTAACCCAGGCCCCAGCGGAGGGGAGAGAAATACTTTCCTCACTACTACATCCTTCTCCTTCCCAGTGTGTGAAATGTCTCGTTTACCATTATTTAATCTCTTCGACAGGCGAGGGAAACCTCTGTTTTTGAGTCAGGATCGTTTCAATAGACTTGAAGAGCAGTGGCTCACGCATAGCTTCGATTACATGTGCAAGAGATGGAAACGTCATATGAACACTTTGTAGATGTACAAGTTCACCACACGCACCAAACCATGGAAATCGGATGACTTCAGACGTAGTTAGGGTTCCGGCCCAGTGTATTGAGTTCAGGCGCAGTCTTGCGCTGGGACGCTATCAATTCAGGAAGCAGTCTATTATGTTAAGACGCAGTTAATTTCGCTACACGGCTTTTCATTTAGACGAAGTCTTCTAGGTCCAGGTTACGACGCGTATTTACAGTCTGGAGGTTCAATAACCGCCCTAGTAATACATTGGTTCTACGACAATTTGCGGGGAAAGCAAAACTTTTAAAGAAACCAAGGACCCATAGAAGAAATAAAATTATATATCGAAATTTGTCCATCTAAAGAGATTCTTGTTCTCGAATCTCTTTAGACGAATTAAGAGGAAAGTGAATTTTTCTCTGCTGTGGTACAGGTAATGTTCATTATATTGCATTTATTTATTTATCATGTGGTAATAATTATTTTTATGTATAGCAACAGTTAGATGGGAAGTAGTAAAATTTTTTTCAGAAATATCTCGTCTTATCAGACGCGAACAGATGTTCATGTAGTTTTAGATTAATAAGGGGGGCATGAGCTCTTTCACTCCGAGGGGTGACCAGGAAGGGATTTCTTCTTACAACATGAATGGATTTTCAAGTAGAAAGGTGACCGTTTGATATAACTTTAAATTCTGAGAACTGAGGTGAAGAAACGTTTGGAAGACAGTGTGCACAATCGATATTTGTATCGTGAAAGTGTCAACGGAGCTCTGTCTGTGTTTGTACGTCTTCCAAAACTTGGCCTTAAGTTGTCAAATTTCACGGTGATTATTGTGCAATCTGTGGTGTTCTTGCTTTCCCAAATTTGTTTCGTTTCATCTTGGTACATTTCCATCCCCTAAAGGCGAACGTTTATTTTTAAGGCTTATTATAATCAAATACAATTTCCTTTGACGCAAAGAATGTCACAAAGCTCCTCCTGAAATTAGCTCACTATAAACAGACTTGTCGAGTTCATCGGTTGGGTTCATCTGTAAGGATTTTGTGTTTTGTATTAACTGGGAAACACTAAATTTTCTTTAGAATGTAGCAAACAACCTTTACTTCTGGGAATAATAGAACTTTTTCTTCCGCATGAACAGAATTCTGTTTGCGCGACACAAAATCGGCCAAATTGAATATTTTGCTTTGTTACCTTCACTTAAATCTCTTCATCGGGATCTCGTTTGGTATAGTATTGTATCGTAGGGCATTTTGTATATATATATATTTTTTTGAACAACGGCCTAGTTATGCATTGGCACAAATAGATTACGGACACAGTGGACCCTGTAGAGATTGCAAAGTTTGCTTGTACCAAAGGCTCATGTGAAAGAAATTTTGAGAAGCTTGAGTTAATAAACGTTCTTGATTTGGTGTATTGTGAGCTCCCCCCACCTCCTCCCGCGCAGGCGGGCGCGCGCACACACCCTCATCCCACGTTTCAAAAAGGTCCGCCGCTTGTGCACTAGGATGTTGTAAACATGAAAACAGTGGAAGGCAATTTTGAACAGTTGGATACTTGTTGGGAATCTAAATAGGGTAAATTATTGCGCACATGTTTCAATGGTTACACAGTTACTTGAGGATATCTCACGTATTTAACTCTACGACGAACTCCAACATTTTTGCAATTCCTGAGTACGTATCGTAGGCAACGAAGCCCTCTTATCAGTTGCTACACCAGGAATGTTATGGGTTAACCCTTGAACTCCCAGAATTGATTAACATCGAACTTCTCCCTGCAATAACCATACAATATCCAGCAAACAGGTAATGAGGATACTCGAAACATATCAATTAGAAGTTGCTGTCTTGATCTAACACTAAAGTGATACTTGTAACTAATTTAAAAGGAAATATGCAGTAGCTGAAGGGGAGAATTGTCTATCAGATCTCGGGAATTTAAGGGTGAAGTGCCTGTAACGGAACTACGTACGCCTACTCGGGATGGCGCGGGTTTATGCAGCCTTGGTTCATCAAGAGCCTCAAAAACACATTAGACCCTCAAAGAACACAATTTTATTGACTAACGTAATGAGATCTCAATCGCAACATTTGACCTTTGCTTAAAATTTTACACCAAGGTAAGTTTTCCGTGTACATGAAACTCAAATTTAACCAAAAGAACATAACACTGCTTACAAAGCGCTCTGAAACTTTGTCATAGACCATTAGTTTTAATCCACAACGTAAACTTGACATTTATAACAAACCAAAGATAATCTATCATTGTTACATCGGTAATGGTTTAGATGAACCACTCTGTTCTTGGGACTTGCCCGTGTCTACTTTATTAGCATCTTTGTTCGTCTCCTTAGTGGTAACAGAAGTGATTGCACTAAACTGCTTGGAGCTTGCGGCAGTCATTCCCGCCGGCAAGTGTTGGAAGGATTTCACAGCAGCTGAGCGGTGTGGCTCACTTGTAATCAAGGGTTTGACACCGACTGTTTTCAATGGCTGTCCCGCCAAGGAACTTGGATTCGATTGGGGTAGATGAATTGAACTTGCAGATGTTACTGATGGTGCTTGTTTTGCAACAGCAGAGACGGCAGTGGAAGTACACGAGGACGTGCCTTTAGGGGGCTCAAGAGGAACACCAGGTGAGGAACCCCCAGAGGCACTCTTTGAGGTACCCCGGGAGGGGATGGCCTCAGAGGGCTCCGCGGACTTGGTTTTTGTCACATTTTGTGACGTGCTGCTGGAGGAAGTGCTGGGTGCACTTTGTGAAGGAGAAACTAGGGTGGTCAGCTGGAGCACAGTTTGAGAGACAGCTGGCGAAGTACAAACTGTAGAAGTTGTTACTTTGGCTTCCTCTTTGGTTTGAGCCACATTTAATTTGAGTTTGGATTCGTCAGGTTGCTTTTCAGCAGATTCTGAATGTCCTGGCTGGACGGATGCCGATTTATCAGGATCAGACGTGTCTTTTGATTTCACAAGGCTACTCTCTTGTTTCTCTGCCTTTTCAGTATCGCCTGATTCCTCTCTTTCTTTTACCTCTAATACTTTAGGATCAGCATCAACCTTGCTATCATCAGCAGAGGCACTACTGACACTTTTGTCTTTAACATCACTGCATGGCACTACCTTGGAATCTGTGACTGCAGCCTGTTTTACACCACTGACACTTGCTACAGGTGTTCCCTGCAGAGGTAGCTGTGGGCTGCTACAAACAGCCACAAGGCTAGCAGCTGCAAGACCAGGAGATATACTCTCCGACACAGGGCTAAGCTTGGGTTGCACTGAAGCCCCTGCTGAGCTAACTGAGGATGTTTCTTTATCTACAGAGATTGTTGACAACTCCTTATTGTCAGGGTCAGCCTTTGTGTCACTTGAATCTACTTCCATTTTCTCTGTGGTGTCTAATGTAGTACCCTTAGTGGACAAGGGGGCTGTCATAGCATGCTGCTGCACTCCAGTGGTGGTGGGTTGTGCCTGAAATGACTCACCAGTGGTAATTGGAGGCAAAAACACAATGGATTTCTGCTGTAAAGCCTCTGGTACTCCTGTTACACTTTGTTTGCTACCAGATGTTCTGGCTTTCCTTAAACTTAAATTTAAAAAAATAGAAAAAAATTAAGCTTTTATTTTGCATTTTCCACAAGAACTGATTGACAAAACAAATTTATGTGCCAGCACCTCTGACAAAGTTAATACCTACACTAGCCAACAAGAAGATTCAAATGTACCAGTGGTTTGGTTTTGTTGAAATTTGCCAAGAAGGTAATTTTTTTGTTAAATTTATAAAGTTAACATGCTATGTTGTCTCACTTGGCTCTTTCCTTGGCATTCTGTAGGTCCTTTTCCACACTTGGCCTCTTCATATTTGCAGGTAGCTCCATGTGCAGTCTGCATGTTGAATGAGTGAAGATCTTTGCAACATTCCTATCACAATGTGTTTCACCTTTGGATGGAAATGTGCACCTTTGAAAAAGGTGCTGGTTAGGGTCATGAGTAATGTCTGTAATGAAAGTGTGTTAAGGATTCAAAACAAAGCAGCAAGGAGGCAGTTCTGCATGCTGCTTTAGATATTAACTTGCACGTATTGTGCCACAATGAAGATGATGTAGAGGACTTTGAGGAATTTCAAACTTTATACACAAACACAAACCTCAATATTGCAAATTCTGGCCTTTCATCATTCATATCACATTTCATGCAAGACCCTGGTACAAAACAAGACCCTGGTACAAGCCATACTGTTACAGTCTAGATATTAAAGGATACGTTTCATACAGTGTTTTGTAAGAGGCAAAACTTTTTCAGTGCATCTATTTCCTCCTGGAGAATATGTGCAGCGTAGATTGGACACTCCTTGTTGCCGAGTGTTTGCCCCTTGTTTTTTCTCTTTTGCTTGCCGATGCAAGAGGGCTTCAGTTCCAGGACAATCATGACGAGATTTCCGACCAAGCAGTTGTGTGCGGGTCAAATTGCACTCTCCTAGCATCACAGAAAACAAAGTTGTCATTTAAACCCATTACAACCTGGCATCAGCACAAATACTCTCCTTGCTGTTCTATAACCAGTTCCTATGGCACTAACAAGAAGACTTTGTTCAACACTCAAGAGCTTCAGAGGTGAAAATAAGAGGGTTTTGTCTAGTCAACATGACTGATCACATTGAAAGTGATTGAATAACTCAAAGTCAAGGGAGAAATCCAACAAAAAAGGAAACTGAAAAGTAAGAAAAACAAAACAAAACAAGGATGCTATTCAACAAACAATACCCCAGAAAGAATACTGGTCACTTTGAAATTTAACAGGGATGTATGGCATTTTGATGACCTTAAAAAAACAGAGTGGACCGTTGTTTGATAACCTGTTTCATCAATTTCCTCTGCTTGAATAGCTTGACAATATTTTCTCCTTCTCTCCCTCAGCACGTGTTGTAACCTCTTGAACTGTGTAATGTACAGTGAGCGCAGTCTGATCATCTTATCACGACACATCCTGGTAGCTTCTTCCACTGACCAAACCCCGGCATGCCTAAAATAACCATAGAGGCTTCATCCTTATACTCCAAACCATGATGCCATAACATGTGTTTCTTTAATTTAAAGCACATTAAGTAGTCTGTTATCTGTCAACATTACTCATAGGTTTGACTAGGAAAACCCATAAGTATCATCATTAGCATCACCATCATTATTCTTGTTAATTTTGTATCAGCCTAAAGTTTGGTGAGTAAAGGGGGTGAGTTTCTTGAGAAACTGTGATGTTGCATCACAGGGAGTATTACAAGACAACTTGGTTTTATCGAATGGGCCTGGTTGTTCAAAGCTGGGTTAAGATAATCCAGGGTTAGTGTGAAATCTGGTTTCAGATCTGAAAGCTTTAAAAGAAAATCCAGTCTAATTCTCTTTTTCCAAAATTTGATCACTGCATGCTCTAACAAGAAAAGAGAAAATTGTCTAAAAAACGCATTTTATCAAAGAAATAAAGAAACTCGGATTTAGATTTGATCCTGGGTTTGCAGTAATCAACCTCTGAACAACTGGACCCTGGGTTGATAATGTAAATTTGCCACCATAAAGAGGTTCAACTCAGCTGTTGCTTTAGAACAAAAGACAAAAGCTCAAAAAGTCAGATTAGAAACTCTTTTATGGTGGCCAGTTTATGTTATCAACTCAGTTGAAATAAACCAAATTAAAACTTGGTGACATTGGCTCCTTTGAAACGTATACTCACTTCAGTGGGTCTTCCTCTTCACTATCAACAGATTCAGCATCGCTATCAATATCACCATGCCATGCACTGTCCACCTTAAGATAATCATCTCCACTATTACCACCATCTTCATCTTCAAGACATAATGAACAGACTCCATGAATGATATCAAACATTGATAGATTGGCTGTAGCATAAGTAATGTTTTTAAAAACCCTCACACTCCTGGAAATAACCAGTAAGTAACTTCGTGTATTATTAGTACATTGTAAAGCAGAGGGGGAGAAGTATGAAGAGCACTAACTACATGTAAGATAGCATAGGATATTCTTTGATTTAACCTTAAATTCTCTGCACTTAGTTTATAAGAAATGTATTAGAGACAGTCAGGAGAAATTGTATTCAGATATTGAGAGTGACAAGGTTAAAAAAGGAGGTCATCTGTTCCCAAATCATAGGTTATCTGTTGAGGTAACTACAAGATCTCATTGACACATTACCCATGATGTACTTTTGGTCTTGTCTCAGAATAAAGCATGTTCATGTACCATGTGTTCTTGCTTTGACAATAATCCACTTTGAACCATGGTGGCAGCCATGGGATCCAAACAAGCTGGCAACTGCCAGAGTTCTGTCGGCAACTTGATAACATGTCACCAATTACCCTAGTCAAAATAATTACCTGTTGGCCCTTAACCCTTTCACTCCCAAGGTCTGATTGTTAATTCCCCCTTCTGGCTGCTACATGTTTCCTTGTAGATTAGTTACAAGAATTTGGAGTAAGATCGAGATACAACTTCTACCTTATAACTTTGAGCATTCTCATTACCTGCTTGTTGGATAATGTATGGATATTATAGGGAGAAGTTACATGTTTATCACTTCCAGAAGTTAAAGGGTTAATGAACCTTTCACAGTCACCTACTTTTGCAGAGTCTGATGTCTACTTTAACACATTTTGAAACCCCTGAGGGCATTTAATGAAAAATTTTCTCAGTTCAATGGCAGTCAATGGAGAAGAGCTGTTCTTCATGATAACCTTAGCCACAGATTAATCTAATTTAAAGTTTCCCTTACTCCATCATTTTTTTTTCCTTACCTGAAGAATGGCCCTCTTGTTTATCACTCTTTTGTGAATTTGAGCTTGAAGTTCTCCTTCTTTTCCCTTTATCATCCTCATAACTTCCTTCATTATCACCTATGTTCCTCCTCTTTCTCCTCTCTTCCACCGCTCTACGTAGCTCTGCCTTGCGTGTGTGAATAATGCAAAAGCTGCAATTTCATGATAAAAATTAAGTATTTTCTGTGTCTTTCGACAAAGTAAAAATTAAGTTGGCTAAAGCCAATCAATTAAAATATCATAAAGCGATTCAGTATTTCTGATATTAGCATAGACGTGTGCTCATGAAGTATTTATTTACCTAGTCAAGGCCTTCGATAACATTCTGTATTTCTTTTAAAATGTAAATTAATGTACGTATCTAGATACCTTTTTCCGTGCGGCAACTTCTGTGCCGGGTTAGGACATCTTCTACCATTTGACTTTGCTACGAAATCACATGGTTTAAAAGGACTTGCTTTATCTTCCAAAATATGCTTGTGGCAGAAGTCAAAACCTTTCAGTATTTCCAAGTTGCAAACTCGTTGTGAGTAAGCACAAAGTTTGCGACGAGGTTCTGCTTTGGATTCCGCTTTTACCCCTACACTTGCATCCTCATTCTTTGTTTTATCCGCAACTAAAAGATTACAGTGGAGACAAAACTGCAAACTTATCTGAAAGCTACTGTAACTAGTTTGCTACAGCGACAAGCACGTGCATAAGTGTAGCAAGGAGTTCGTGTTCTTAACCAATTTAAGAAATTAGAACACTCCCATAACCAACATCCATACATATATTTGGTAAAATGCGAAGCTGGATTTCAAACAGGAACGGTTCATTTAAGAAGAAAGTGCAAGTTTCTTTCACCTACCTTCCGCCATTTTGTTTTCTTGAAGGCAACTGGCCAACATCGAACCCAGGGACCTCTCGGTTTTCAAGCAGCCAGAGGGAATGTTGACGTTTGCTAGGAATAATCACTTGAATTTATATTCTAATAAAGTTCGGATATAACGCGCGCTGTCATTGGTTGAAAGAGCGTGCTCTATGAGAGTTTATATAATAAGTTCAGTTATGCACGCTTTCTGATTGGTTCTCACTTATGATCTATCGGAGGACAGACGTATAGATGACGTTATCATTAAAACTTTTTTTAATTCTTTATTATATAAAACAAATAGAGTTCCAAGTTTCCGTGCGTCTGTTCAGTAATAGATCACAGAGGACGTCAAAATGTGGTAAGAACATCAGTGACGCACTCGGCTGCACCTCGTGTGCCACTTTTTTGTTCTAGTCCTGGCCGGGGCAAGGCGTTGTGCCATTGAGACGTGAGGGAAGAAAAAAATGCGAGCTCCGCTTTTAGGCTTGGCTAAATCTATATATTATTCCTATTGTGCACGCTCATAACATCAGCAAACAATCCCTCGAGAAAAAAAAATTTCCATCAGGATGTTATAAAAACAATTGGTTCATACGTCAGCTGTGCGTTCATCGAGATATGAAGCACGCGGGAAGTTTGGAGAGAACTCAAGAAGCTAAAGTTGCTCTCGGCTACGCCTCAAGCAACTCTTACGCATCTTTCGTGCTCTCCAAACTTCCCGCGCGCTTCATATCTCGATGAACGCACGCTGACGTATGAACCAATTGTTAAATCGAGAATTTTGAAATTTTGACACTTATCAGAAAATAACTGTTACCAATCCATACACGTAATACGTTAACGCATATAGCACAAAGCGAAAAAGGCAAGCCTTCGCAGTTTTGTTAAGTGTTCAAAACTGAACACAGCCTTACTAGCTTTGTGATCGCATGACACAATCTTTCTTGTTAAAGAAGCTGCCATGACAGACCATTATGTTATGCACAAGTTTTAAAAATATTCAAGGCAGCACCGCATCCCTTCTGTTCACCCTTCATCCCTGCTCTTGAGTCATCAGGCCTCACTTCACCACAACATACTCCCTTATTGCGGTTGGTAAGTTTTGAACGTTTGTCCTGTTAAAAGAGGGTTGCACAGGTATTTTCAATTGGTTGCAGCTAAGGGAAATGGCTTTCCACCCAACTCACGAGCCAATTTGTTTGATCGCATGGAAACAAATCAACTTTTCGCAACAAAGAGAGGTTGACACGAATCCTAAAGGCTGCTGCCCCCCCCCACCCCCACAAATCTCTTTAAAATCCTCAAATAGTCCACCCAAAATTTCTAAAATGAAACTTTAACACATCAACAACCATTTATTTCTACAAAAATTAAACAGAGTTCAAACAAGTGAGATGATGACAAGAACAAGCACAATTACTGTTAAATTCTTTTCTAACATAACTTTTAAAACAATTAGGTCTGAAATAACCAAGAAAAAAAACACTACAACTGTGCTTCAGGGTGACATTTTTGGACCTTGATCAAGGTCCAATTAACATCAGGTAAATCCACCAAACAAATGTTTTACAGCTTTAAAACACTGATTTTGAAAAGAAAAATTATGAATGAATCAAATGAATGAGTGCATAACATTTTACATTTTAGGCATAATTACAAAGAAGCAATTTTACTAATTAAAAATCATTTTTGTATATTTGCCCCTACATGAAATTTGAAGAAACAAACAATTTTAACAATTTACCCTCATAATTTGCACATGCTATATATGCTACAGAGTAGGTACACTACTTCCCTTTCACCATTTGCAAGAAACTATTACTTTTGACAATTTTTTGCTCAAACCTATGCACCAAAGATCACACACCACATTACAACTTGTCAATAAGGTATTAAACATTGAGGACTATGTGGTTCCTAAACTATGTTACCCTAATCCTGGGTTGCAATAAGCCTAAGCGCACCTGTTCTTTAGGGTGGAGTTTGCTATCCTCCCCAAGAAGAGTAGCTGTACACTTAGAGGGGAGAAACACAGGTTCCTTTCCAAAGATGGTGGCTGATAGCTTTGCGCAACTCAGGCCTAAAAGTTTAAAAATCAGTGAGCCTAAACAGCATAGAGTATATGTGATTTGACAATTATTCATGACAAATCTACCAGACCATCAAAGAATGTTAAAAACACACACAATCATCTTTTGTGATCAGACCTGATACACACACACACACACAAAAAGAGATCACAGTTTTGACTATGAAATTTTGCAAATGCGCATTTAAACTACTGCGCAATCTCTTTGAACAAGGTTCAGCCATATATTAAAGCAATTGTTGTTAAAAATATATTGTCCTGATCTGAAGTACACTCCTCATCCATTGTTATTATAATTGTTGTATTTAGAAAGAATCGAGAAAAATGCAAAGGCATTCACCAGGTAACCAAAGAAAAGAACAGGCAAATGCTTTTATATCTAACAATTAGAAATGAGTTCACTAAACACTGCTACCAGGATTACAGCAAAAGCCAAATTAAAGAAACAAGAAAAAACAAGACACTGCCACTCTTAAAACACACAGAGGGCTTACATGACTTTAAACTGGGATGTAGAAGATTCTGAAACCAGAAATTTACAATGCACATTCACTAACTCTTATGGCCCCAGTTGATACAAATCATATTCATCATTTAGGTGAGATTTCATTAAAATCAGTTCTACAGGGGAAAATAAATTTCTTAGATCAGCATAGAGTAGAGTAGAAAGAAAAAGTTTTCATATCATAAAATATAATTTAGGTTCCATGGTAGCTTGCTGTATGGGTGGGGACGGTGGTCATAAAATGGTACAATCCTCTTTCTTGTCTACATTCCCATCTTTGTCGCGCTTTTCTATTTCCCGAATGACCATCTGGAAAATTTCATGGACACTCTGTGAAGTAAGAAAAGAAGCTAAAGTTAAATGTCAATAGTTACTAGACAGTGCTGAAAGTCTGTGTGCAAACTACCAGTAATAGGCCTGCCCTGCCAGATTTTAAAACCATATTACAACTAGTATTCACTGGGAGTATTGCAAATTACAGTATACAACTGGTAATGACAAAGAAGACCACCACAGACAACTGACCCTTTGTAATTCCAAAAGGTTTTTTTCCTGCATTATGGAAAAGACATGTAAAGTCTGACAGTTTTGAAAGCAAACATCTCGACTTCACTCTCTGACACCAGAACATAACCAAGTTGGTTTGGCTTCAACCTAGACAATTTGATTCCAAGTCTACTGCTTGAAATATTACAAAGTGTTCCAACTTGCATAATATACAATTCCAAAACTTATATGAAACCATTGTAAGGTTTAGAGGCTTTCACTTACACTGTTTTCCTTAGCTGATGATTCAAAGAAAGCTGCCTTCCAGGAATCAGCAAGGGATTTTCCATTTTCAGTTGGGACTTTTCTAAAACATGAACAGAAGTTTAGTTTAAAAACACTTTGGCCTAAAATTCAGTTCAAAGTGAACAGAAGTTTAGTTTAAAAAACACTTTAAAAACAGTTTGGTCTGAATTCTGTTTTGAACATCAGGGCCAGGTTGTTCAAAGCTGGATTAAGATAACCTTGGGTTAGCATGAAATTTGATTTCAGATCTGAAAGCTCTAAGAGAATATTCAGTTTGATTCCATTTGTCTACAATGTGATAATTGAATGCTCTAAAAAGAAATAGGAAAATTAACCCAAAACAGCTTTTGAACAGAGAAATATAGAAACCTGGATTCAAATTTAACCCTGGGCTAGCCCAAGTCAAACATCTGGGCCCTGCATTTAACAAAACATTCAATGGCTTTTCATTCTTTCAGGAAGATTTTATGCTTTGCTGTTTAGCACGATCTCAAGCCTGAAATTCAAGTTGTAAATGTATTTGTACCTTTCCATATGTAAATCAGTTTTGTTTCCAACAAGGACCATTGGCACACTAGGAAGAAATAAAAAGAAGTACACAAAAGTGAGTTTTTGATTCAGTCTGTGCAATTATGTTTGAGGGTTCATTTGATCTTGCATTTCTAACAAGTTAGGGAAGCCCCCGGGTGGTTATCGACAGCCTTGTGTGCCAGTCATGCACACCACACTCCCTGAGCAGGTGGTGTATTGGTGCTACCACTAGTAGATAGGATGCTAGTCCATTGCAGATGAGTCCCAAGTATTTTGCCAGGCTTCCCTGACACCCTTGCCGCTTAACCTCTTACCTCTCCTCTTTACTCCTTAACATCAGTATGCACATTCTCCATTCTGTTCTCTACACATTTCTTATGATACTGACAAAGATGTTGGTTGAAAATTATCATTTACTTAATTCACACAACCCTAATGTTTTATTTAGAGGTGATAGTCTAAGGAGAAATGAGATGTTGGTCACTCTTAAGGATTTAAGGGTTAACACAATTAGGTGCACCATGATCAGGATCAATCAAAACCCCATCAAGCAAACCTTTAGTTACCTTTAACACATTACAGAAAGTAAAATCAAATGAATTTAAGTTTTTTTGCAATTTTTACTTACTAATCTTGGCCTGACATATCCAGTAGCTTTTCATGAATAACCTTGACAACTTCAAAACTGGAAGGAAAAAGAATTGCATAATAAAAAACCACGAAATTGACCTTATGGTAAATTCAACCACCAGTCTCATTAATAGCACTTGGGAAAGAAAGGCTGAAGCTAGTACTACGTAAGAATTAGCTTTATTTTAATTCCCCTACAAAAAACATTTATTAATGTTGTCTATATCTGTTTCATTTATTCTCTTTGAAGTTTCCTTTCATAAACCTACCTTTTTGGTGATGTTACAGCATATACAAGAACGTAACCATGAATTCCAACTGAGTAGGACTGAGGGAAAATAGAATACTCATCCTGGAGACAAGATAGATAAAATTATGTCATATATTGATGCACTTCCAGCACAAATGAAAAAGCTAAAGCAGAAAAATTTCAAATTCAGATTATAACACTTAAATATAACTGGTTGCATGGTTGGCTAACTGCAATGCTTTTATATAAACCATTTTCAAAGTTGCCATCTGTGACCTTAAATCTTAATTTGGCGGCCAGAACTGGAAGGTGGTTGCTCAAGAGCAACAGAAAGAGTTTATTAATTATGGTAAGCATATATATAAGAGAACAATTTAAACAGAATTGACATAAATCACCTGAATCAATCAAGAGTGAAAACAAAAATTTAAATTAATTGCTATAAACCACTAGTGAATGTCAACTATGCAATACTGCAATCATCGCTCCAATTTGAAGATAAACCATAAATAAAAATGGTCATCTGTTCTTCAAATTAATGTGTCTGGTCCTTTCCAAGCTTTTTCATCCCACAAAATAGAACTATCATTTTTTTTGCTCATCTTGAATTTCACTATACATGTGTAACTCTACAGAATAAGTTGTAATATTATACTCCTGTTTTTCTCAAATTTTGTTCAAAAACAAGATAGAGGAGTGGTCTGTTTGTCTCCTCAAAAAATGGTGTAACATGATACTAATAAAATTCTGCAATTAATGCTGACAAATTATCAATTTTTTGAACAATTTTTTGCCACTAATTTTTTTTTAAGTTCATAACAGGATAAACACCAACAGTCATCCATAAGCTTTTAACATACATGTCTTAATTGAAGAATATATAATAAGTGACTCTGGAAAAAGAAAGTTGTATAAAAAAAAGTCCTCGAAGTTTCTAGATCTTCGTAGTACATGATTGACTTTCTTGAGTAATAATTTTGAATCAGTAGAATTCCCAATAATTGGCCGCGAATTTCAGGCATTTTTTCTTCCCCGTCGAGTTTTACTCGAGAGAAATGGCAGAGGTTAAGTACCCAATGCACCATGCCATTATCACAAGCTAAACATATTTAACTATAAATATAGTTTTATTTTCACAAAGGTTACTAACTCTATAAATAACTACTTGAAGTCAAAATTATGTAAAATCTTAGCTAAAAATTTAACGTGAAAGCGAAAGATGCCGAGCTAAATATTAGATATTTATGTTGCTAGGTTTTAATTAGCTGCAGACCGTATATTCACAACTTTTAACGGTACATTTATACCTTGTGGAAAAACGGAAGCATGATACGTGCATAGCTGGATGTACACATGATTTACATGAAAAAAAAACAAATGGATAACTGTCTCTAAAACAACGAGAAATCAAGAGTGCTTTATCCATAATATTTACCTGGCCCGCCGTGTCGACAAGCTCCAACACGTATTCTTGACTGTTATGCTTTACTTTCGTTGTAAAAGCTTTCAAAAGAAAATAAATAAAAGGAATGGTTCAACTCAAGCGAAACCTGCTTTAGCTCGTTCGATTGTAAGAATATTAAAGGTCGTTTTGAGACACAGATGGATGAACTATACTCACTATTCTCAATTGTTGGATCGTAGGAATCCACGAATTGCCCTTCCACTAACTGGATCGTGATCGAAGATTTCCCTGAAAAGTGAACAACGGCCATGTAAATCGAGAGAAAATCATAAACCGGGAAGAGGTTTCTAGCAAAATAAAAGTCACGTTTCACATCTACAAAATTTACCAACAGAGCGAAAGCCCATGATGACGATCTTCCTTGATTTTGGTGGTGCCATAGTTAATTACAAAGTAAATGTTCCTTTTCACGCCTTATTTTCAGGATTTTAAAAAAAAAATAGGTATAATTCCTTGCTACATTTTGACTTCCCCCCAAATTCTAACCGGTGAAGCAGAGGAAATGCTGTCCCAGAACACAATGCGAAAGAGTAGTCAGCGGTTATAGCCATTGTCGGTGTGAAAAGGGACCAGGTGAATAGGTGTATTTCTTTCAGGAGAATTTTTCAGTTTGATCTTTCGATGTAAAGTTTCAGTTTTCGACTTCGTCTTTTCGATCATCGACATAGGATCATAGGATTTCTTTTGAGGTTTGTGTGATTCAGTTTTAACTCGTGATATTTAATTTTCATATTTACAATGGTGGGAATCCTACGTGTTCATTGATGATCGATTTACGCCTAGGTTTTCTTGTAGTTGAGAGGAAAATCATTAAAATTGTTTGCCATTTAGAACTTCCATTACCGGTAATTCCTTTTCAATTTCATTGATGTCACTTCCAGGGTTTCTGAAAATTGAAACTGCTCGTTGATCAACGCCCAAGACATATTTTTAAGTTAAAACAATTTTACAAGTTTTCCTTCTTATTTAATTTGAACAGCTGGATATGGAATCTGCAACTCAACTTTGTCTTGTAGTACTTTTTGTGACAACTTTTGTGAATGAAGCACTCGGTGCTAAGGATAAAGAGCTATACTGTGGTGGTAAGTTTCAGAAAATGTATCCCTTTACCTTCTAGATCAGAGCATCAACTCTCCCAACTCATGAGTATATGTTAACTTTTAGTTAGTTGTGAGAATTGTTTGTTACATCTTAGAGATATTTCGCATGTTTAATACACATAATTCACTTGGTAAAATTTCCACACAGCCCCATCCTACATTATGCATTCAGTTCTTGAACAGAGAAAACAATGAAAAAAACAATACATTTCCACTGGGAAAACAGATTTGTTTTACAATAGTTTTGGGCTGTGCGGAAACTTTACCATTCACTTTACCTATCTGCTTGACAGTGTGTTGTTATGGTAAGGAGAAGTTTTGAATTTATCACTTCTTAAAGCAAGGCTCCTTGTCACTAAGAATGCTGTGATACAGAAAATGTAGCTGAAAAGATCTTACATTAGTTTAAGTCTTTCTCTAATTATTGACATGTACCTTAGTGTCTGCTGGCAAAGCAAATTGTTAGGTTCCAAATTTCTTAACCTTTAACTCCCAAGGCCTCATTAGTAATTCTCCTTACTGTCTGCCATACAGTTCTTGTGATCTTAGTTTGGAGAATTTGGTATTGGATCAAATAATAATCTCCTACTTAATATTTTTCTTTATTCTCATCACTTGTCTGCTTGATATTGTATTGTTATTATAAGGAGAAATTCTGTCTTGGTCACTCATGGGAGTTAAAGGGTTACAGGTACTTTTATTTAAGAGGATTAAATGACATATTGTTATCAACATTTCTTCTGATAGTATGCCATGTCATTGCGGATGAGCTTCAGTGGGAAATTTCTCAAGTTGATCCCAGAAAGACTTTAGAGGTAGGGTTTTGAATCATTTTCTAAAAAATGAAGCTAAAGGGTATTTATTTTATTTTTAAGAATGATAAATTTCAACCCATATGCATGCAGACACATGATATTACTGCCATCTTTTTGGAATTATGGTTGAATACACTGTATATGAGAAACTGTTTACAGTCCCTGGCATGTTTTTTGGGATAAATCACAGACTAATATCATCTGAATGATCCTAGGTAGAGAGTTTCAGAGTGGATCCAAGAGGTAATCAAAATACCAAAAAGGTAAAGTTCAAATTTTTTTTTTATCATGTACTGCTGACTTTATATAACAGGGTATGCTAGTTTGAAATCCCACTAGCTGATAACCCTAGCTTGTTCAAGACCTTTATGGCCTAAATGTGGAACATTGTAAGATGAAGAAAAAGGATTTTTGTGCAGTGCAACAAGAAATATATTTTTTTCAATTTACTTCCACTTGTGCCAAAGTTACAACTGATATTCTTGGGACAGGCTAATGTGAGCCACATATATCTCATGGAATATATGTGTATTTTTGACTATCCAGATTCAATATGCAAGATCAGAGACTCATCTGATAGAACAGCTTGATAATATGTGTGAAAAAATGAATTCGTACGCTGAGTCGACAGATCCCAACACTGGAAAGAAATCATACATCAGAACCTCGTCACGATCTGGTGAGGCAGTCACACTCAGTAATGTGGCAATCAGTGGTGACATAGCTCAGAAGCTCAAACATGCAGTAAGTTACACCTGTTCTTATTACCTTGTGACAAAGAATGGACAATTAAACTTACACAAATGCCTGCTGAATGACCCAATTCTGCCAACCAGATCTTTCCCATGCTACATGCAGTGGATATTTCACTCTAGGCTAGATTACCAAGGCTTTTTGTCTACTATAGTTTTTCAATAAAAATATGCACAAGGCAGTTTGGGTCAAATAATAAATGGATTGATCCTTGCAGTTTGCTGGGTGTGTTACATATAAACCTGGCAATAGCCTGGTCTATCATGGGGTTCTCTGTAGCTCAGTGATTGAGCATTAGAGTGGGGAATCCAAAAGTCTGAGGTGTTAATATTGGTAAGGGACTCAAAATTCCCCTTTGTCTTCTGCTCTTGACAAGGTGAATAACACCTTTTAATATGTATGATACAGCATGATATTTACCATCTTTTTTTAATTTATTGTGGGAGATGTGGGTGCCTCATGGTCAGCATATTGGATTCTGGGTTAAGAGGTGCAGGTCTGGATGGGTCATTGTGTTGTACTCTTTACACTGCTTCTCGCAACCCAGGACCTTCATGATATGGAAACCACAATAGGCTCCAGCTGGATGGACCACTTGGATTGAGTTTCTTTATGTATCAGCTCACATTATACGTGTAGCTCTTTTAATTGTGCATATGAAACTGAATGATATGTAGTCTATATGATTTATTTTCCAGTGTGAGAGTATTATAGAGGACTATGATGATGATATTATAGCATCCTTCAAGACAGAGCGCAAGGATCCAAAGAAATATATGTGCCGCACAACCACTGGTAAGCAATATGACTTTTATTATTCTCTTTTCACATTCATACTGCTGCTGTCTTTGGTCATTTCATGAATTTGGTCAGTTTTCAATTCAATTGTGCCATAAATTTAACTGGCATTGCAATTTATTATTTTTGTAAGGAACAGTTACAGATTTACTATTAATAGGTAATCCTAGTAATTGTTAGTAAAGGCTAGGTCAAAATTAACAATTGGTTCATATGTCAGTGTGCGTTCATTGAGATATGAAGCACGTGGGAAGTTTGAAGAGCTTGAAAGGTGCATAAGAGTTGCGCAAGGCGTAGGCAAGAGCAACTCTAGCTTCTTGAGTGCTCTCCAAACTTCCCAAGTGCTTCATATCTCGATGAATGCACAGCTGACTTATGAACCAATTGCTTTATAACATTTTCAACCCAAGGAAAATTTTTTTCTCAAGGGATTTGTTTACTGACGTTATGAGCGTTCACAATAGGAATATGAAGCACACTCGCGCAATTGAATTTAATTATACAAATTTACCAGCTATGTTATAATGCTTGATTTTCTTGCAGGTTTATGCATTGGTGATGATGACGAGTATGATGATAGTGATGATGAAACTGAGAGTGACAATGAGCCCACAGAAACTGAACATGATGAACTTTGACCATATTTTTACAATTTAATAGAAGAAAATTACTTTTTGCACATGGAGTTGTTATGCAAAGTTAGTAGGTACTTGTCTGAAAAGTGTATCATTTATGAATTTTGCAATAAAATCACAACAAATACTTTCAAATTTGGCCAACAACTGTCCAGCAAGTCTTTGATTTCAATTGATCCACACAACCTTAACCTGCATGACTGGGGCACTGAGGAAAGAAAAAGAGAGAGGGTTTACAAGTAAAAATTGCAATAGTCAGGATCCAAGTGCATAAAAATTGCCTTATGCAGTTGCAAGAATAGCTAAGAATGTCATATCCTCTGTCTAAAACAATTTTCTAATAAAATCTAAAAATTATGTTAAAAAATGTTAGATGTGACTAGATGAGATTGATAAACCGCAACATTTGTCAAATTTTTGTACTCAGGAGGGTGATGCAATAAACAGATTTTGGATCCCCCAGATTAAGGATTGTAACTAACTTTTACCCAGTAGTTTATCTACTCATAAATATCAACGATCGAAGTGCGCGTGAGATGCGCGTGTAGGAAGATGGGAATGAGAAAGGTCTTTCTCTCCTTCCCTCCTATCATCTTCGAGGTCGTGGTAGTGCTGGCCTCGCGTGCACCTGCGAGCTCCGCCATTAAAAGTAAGGGACGACTGAAGATGGATTGTAGGCCACAGCCGGCAAACCTTTATCGATTCTCAAATATCCCGTCTGTACCCCACTCCTCACTCCACTAGGCTTACACTAAAAAAGAATGAGCTTATGAGTGAAAACACGTGAAGGACAAAATTAAATTTTTGCAAAATAGATAATACAGGAAGGACAAAATAGGAAACGTAAAACATTAAGAAAATCATCTAGGGCTTCGTTCTAGATAATTTTTCTTGTAATAACCTTCGTGAAAAAACCAACGAGATTCGATCCCATAAATCCTAACATTTCTGGTCATGTTTGAAACTGCGTTATACGGTTCTAACCGTAACTGACTCCTTTACAGAGCTCAGGGTGCTTATAGTTATGCAGATAGAAAGCATATGTGACGCGCGCACCCTTACGAATGGCTTAATACAAATTGATAATTCTGAGTGAGTTTCAGGCGAGTCCTAGTTTCTGGGATGAAAAAGCTGACCGAGGAATAAAAAAGTCAAAGTTACTGTACACTGATTTCAAGTACAAGTTTATCGGAATAAGGCTTTAGTGACTCAATTATGTCACTTGTAAGGGGTGGAAACAGTTTTCAGTTTCTCGCCTTTTTTTTGCCTTGTTTTGTTGTTGATATTAGTTCCCGTTTTGCGCACACATCTCTGTAAAATCTTTACCAAGGCTTTTAATCAAACATTTAGTAAAAACCCGCTTCCCTCCTGCTTTCACTAAGTGATTTTTTTCCTCAAGATCGTGGATCGGCAGTTTTCACGCATGCAGCTCATATTACAGAGACATTTAATTAAAATTTTAGCCTGATTTGCAAAAAGGCGTGTTGTGCGGCCAAAATAAGAGAGAAACAAACATTTTCCTTGAGCCGCCATACATACAAATAAGGAGCGCGAGAAAGTGATAACTGACGAATATTTCGCGCCTCTGATTGTCTGCGGCAAAAACTCCGGCCATTTTTTCGAATGCCGTGCGCAGCTTAGCCGATCTGAGCAGTTTTGAATTTTTAACTGTGACTGTCTAGTTTGTGCCTCAGACTCACTAGATATGCATCATGAAAAGGTAACCTTATTGTTACCGTTCATGCTATTGTTGTTGTTTTTTCGTACCAAGCTTAATGTTATGTTTGCTTCTTGAGTGTGTCATTAACAGGTTATATGGGTGCAATCATTATTTTACTGGAATCAAACACATAAGGGGAGACCTGCTTAACTGTCAAAGGAAGAAGAGCCGGCATACAATACACCAATGAATTTTAGTGTGTACAATTTAGCTTTGTGTCAAAATACTTATTGCTCTGGGGGTGTAGCGAAAATGTTATCAAGCTGGAACTAAATTTCAGATTTAAACTGGTAATTAATGGAGTGAAACAGTACTTAAGCGGCAAACCTGAAATTATTATTACTGGAGAAAACGGGAAAAATGCAATTGGAGATTTATAGCCATTTAAGTCCAATATTGAACGCCGAAAAGAAACATCTGAATAGAACTGATCTTTAGCGCTCTTAACCATTTAAAATAAAACTTTTCCTGGGCTGAAACGCACTTCTCCTTTCTCTCGAATTGTTTTTATTGTGGAGTTTTTCTAAAGAACCCCTCAGAAATGTTATTGTAAAAAATTTATTTCTATAAATGGGTTTTTAGGATTTACATTTTTGTGGATAAGAACGGCCAGAGTAGGTGAGTTTTTTAGATTTTATCTTTTAACTTCAAGTTCTCCTCTTTTTTCAGGGAGGGCTGAGTGCTTTATTACAATCCAGTTTACTCTTTTCGGAAAATTGGATTCCTAGCCGGTAAATTGGATCGTGCCTAACTTAGGCGATAGGCAGCTCCAGTTAATACTTGTATATTAATATGGTCTACAAGTGTAAAGACGTACTTAGGTCAACCTCCCTGAGGATTGAAACCTCAGATGTTGCAATTTAACCTGCAAATGCTCCAACAACTGGGCGAAGAATAAAGTTTCCCAGTCGACTCTAAATTAATTAAATAAATTAAATGCTCTTGCAGCTAAACAAAAAATAGTGTCTAAGTCGACCTTAGTGAGTATTCAAACCTCAGATCTCTCGATTTCGCTATCAAATGCTCTTGCAGCTGAGCGAAAAAGATTATTTCAGTCGAGATTAGTGAGGATTCAAACCTCAGTTCTCTTAACTTCTCTATCAACAAGGTAGCATTTCAAAAGATTCGTTGTCGGTGTGTCTTGTTTTTAACAGTATGGAAGTTGTGATGTTTGCGCATAAGTTTTCATCTGCTGAGAAGTAGTTTTTGAGGTGCTGTATCTATGTATACATCAAATGTTCATGAATTAATGAATTGGATGTTATTGATGAAAATTTTTTTTTAAACCAGAACGATACAAAGACTATGACTAGGCCTGTAAAAAACTGTACTTTCATCAGTGATCAGTCTATTATATCAGAAAGTTAATAAATAACAGCACTGAAATAGAATTCTGGGCGCGACTGGGCATGCAAAAATGTACTTTTATTGATCAGTCTATTATTTTCAAAAGGTTGATGCTTAAACTATTTATACCACTAAAATAAAATGTTGGGCGAGACCGGACATGTAAGACCTTTCTTTAATCAATAATCAGTCTACCACTCCGAAAAGGTTATAAATAACAGCACTGAAATAAAATGCTAGGCGTGACTAAGCACATGATCTTTAAGTCACCAAAATAAACACAAGTTATTTCTGTCATGTCAAGGAACCTGACCTTTTTTGCAAAAGATAATTTAGAACAAAAACAATTTTGGCTGGTGACAGAAACACCAAATGAAGCGTGCTATGCGAGTGACTGCAGGGCTTTATTCAAAGGTCATTGCTGAAATACCTTATGTGTTAAATGTGCACATAACCTGCAAAAATGAAAGCTAAAAGGTTCTGGATATGAAGTCTACGCGCTTGTCTGTCGGTAAGAGATGGTTTGACCCTTCAGTAATGACACGCGAGTTAGACATTTACGCAGTCCATGAACCGTAAAAAATATACTCGCGCCAAATATACCGAGCTGCCATGCCCAACTTGTGTCTTCCAGCCGCTATTTGAACGCCTTTTTACCAACTTCTGTTTGCGATTTAACTAATATCAATATTTCTAACGCTGTGAACCAGTAAATTCAAAGTATGGGGATCGCAAAAAAATGGAATTTGCCAACCTACTAGTCCCTTGAATTTTGTCTCAATTCCCCATCCAATGCTTCCTTAAGTTTGAAGAGGGTAGTAGTTTTTAGCGCCCAGGCCCTCCCCTATTCGTGTTGTTGGGAAGCTGTCGCTAATCGAATTGAGTTTTGCTCGAGTGACGCACAGCAATTTGTTACGTTTCATGCGAGAAAATCTGAGTTATTGATATTATGAAGGCCCTCGTTTACCTTGTGTTCTTCATTCTGACTTTCGACGGTTCTCGAGCCTTTGACCACGACTTCAAATACGGCAAATTTCCTGATGGGTTTTTGTGGGGCGCTGCCACTGCTGCATATCAAATAGAAGGCGCCTGGAATGAAGATGGAAAAGGACCCAGCATATATGACATCATCACCCACACTGTGCCTGCCTTGTTCCACAACAAGACCGGAGATGTGGCTTGCGACAGCTACCACAAGTACGAGGAAGATGTCAAGATTTTGAAAGACTACGGAGCCAAAGCGTACCGCTTTTCTATTGCATGGAGTCGTGTGCTTCCCAATGGAACAACTGATCATGTAAACAACGCCGGAGTTGAGTATTATAAAAGACTCATTGCAGAACTAAGCCGAAACAAAATCGAGCCGCTTGTGACTTTGTACCACTGGGATCTGCCGGAAGTCTTTCGAGCGATCGGCGGCTGGACCAATCGAAGCATGATTGACTACTTTCACGACTACGCACGATTTTGCTTCAAGACATTCGGCGACCAGGTCAAGTACTGGATCACGCTAAATGAGCCCGCGATCGTCATGCTACGTCATCCTCTGTACATGTATGGAAACATAAAGAATAAAACCAAGTTATCGATTCTTCGGTATCGCACAGCTCATAATCAAATTCTTGGCCACGCTACAGTTTATCGAACCTACGAGAAGAATTATCAAGCACAGCAGGGCGGAAAAGTGACGCTTTCCTTGAGTTCTGGTTGGGCAGTTCCCAAGACTAACTCTGTCCGAGACAAGGACGCCGCTGACCGTTACATGCAATTTCATCTCGGCATCTTCGCTCATCCCATATTTGTAAACGGAGATTACCCGGATGTCGTTAAAGACATCGTGGGAAAACGCAGCGCGGCTGCTGGGATTTCTAGTCGTTTGCCCAGCTTCACAGAGGAGGAGAAAAACATCGTAAAAGGAAGCTACGATTTGTTTGGACTAAACCACTATTCCACTGATAAAGTGGCAGACAAACCCAGTGGCGACGAGCTGTCAATTAACGGCGACGAATCGTTCACGAAGAGCGGCGATCCCGCGTGGCCTGACTGGTACAATGGTCATGTAGCTCCCTTTGGATTCCGCAGGCTGCTGAAGTACATTAAGGATAACTACAATAATCCAACCATTATAGTTACTGAGAACGGAGTAGCACCTCCTGGTGAAGCCAGCAAAACCGGCCAAAATCGGTTGAACGACACTTTCAGAGTGGATTATCACAGGAGGTACGAACAGCACATGTCACGGAGTTTCTCTTCTACCTGAAAACTTTTCCTGTTGTTTCAAAGTAGTACATTTTATGAATCAATTCACCTTTTACTGAAAAAAACAAACAAACAAACCAAACACAAACAAATACAAACGCAGAAATAAAGCACAAGAAGGGTATCAAAGAAAAATTTATCTACGAGAGGAACACCATGGACTCCGTGAGCCTGTCCTCCCCTTTAACTTCCATGAGTGACCTAAATAGAATTTTTCCTTGCAATCTCAATGCAATATCAAGCAGACATGTGATGAGAATAAAGAAGAATATCAATTAGAGGACTATTAGTTGATCTAATACCAAATTCTCCAAACTTAAATCGTGCAAATTGTATGGTAAATAGTAAGGAGAAATGCAAATGAGATTTTGTGCATGATAGGGTGAAGGGTTTAGTGTACTGGCATCCATTTAAAATGTTGAACGTAACTGAGTACTCTGCTACTTAATACCAAGCTTCTAATAACCTAAAAAAATTATTAGTCATTGATTCACCTTCTTACTGCTGGAAACAGTGAGTTTTAATGGGCTACGACATTTTTTTAAAATTTCACCTGACGGGCTGATTGCCCGTCAGATGACGTGTTGTAAGCAATCACGCACAAATGAAATTAATATGGCTTAAAACTATGTTTATTGCAGATACACCAATGAGATGTTAAAAGCGATCATTGATGACGGAGTGAATATGAAAGGATACATGGCATGGACACTGATGGATAACTTTGAATGGCAAAATGCCTACACCACTCCATACGGCCTGCATTTCATCGACTTCGAACACGACGCGAACTTGACTCGAGTCCCTAAGAAATCGGTTGGTTTCTTCAAAAAACTTATTGCGGATAATGGCTTTCCTGATCCGAATCCAAAGTCCACCGGATCATTTGTGATAGCGAACATCGTTTTAACTTTTGTATTGATCGTTTTTAAACTGATCACTGAGGATTCTCTATAAATCCTTACTTTCCTAAAAGCTATTTACAGGTCAGCTCTTTTAACAATATCCATGCACTGCTTAGAAAACACTAGTTCATAATGATGGTGAGGTGTCAAAACTAGCGGCTGTTATTTTGATAGAAGAGTAAGTTCTCATAACCTTTAACCTCTGCGAGTGACGAACATCTAATTTCTGCTTAGGGTAATAATGTTGAATCGTTCATTAAGATCGTGAGATTAAAGGATACGATCGCCAACCTGAGAAGCTTTGATTGTTAAAAAAAAAACCCTTGTCAGGACTTAAGGAATTGTACAAAGAAGGGCTTGAAGAAAATGGGTACTGATGTTAGGGTGCAAAGTGTCAAGTGAAAAATGATAATCGCTCAAAGGGAGAATATTGCTGCTCAGATCTCGTGATTTTTAAATCAAAGGAGTTATGGCTTGATTTTTCAAGTCGTTTGTTATTAGTAATCGTTGTTGTAAATTTACCCAGACTGCTTAGTCATGCTGACATGCGTAGCCTAGAACTTTTTAGAACATTTCAAGTCGTGCAGTTATTACGTAGTACTAATTTAATAGTTCTTTTGTAAGCTTCTGGAATGTTCTAGAACACTTTGTGAATGTATATAAGGACTCACTTATGTAGTAGTTGTTGTTGTTGTTGTCGGGACTGACCGACTGTTTAGAAAGCTACACCGTGAGAGAGAGCTACAGTGGAAGATTGCTGAGTTCTAGAGACCTTGGAGGAAACTGTGAGTTCGGCTCAGTGGTGAGCTAAGATATAGACTCTAGTGGGCTTAAGTACGTTTATCGAGGATAAGTATTGTTGGTATTGCACTGCCTTTAGGAGTCGCTCGTTATTAAGAATATCACTCGTTTTATAATTGATCTTCTAATTGTAGAGATTCAAATCACAACTATCCCCTCCTGCTTGACATTTTCTGACCCCTAAGAGTAACTAGAATCTAATTTCTCCTTTCTAAAGAATCAAGATGGCAAATTCATTTCAAGGTCAGTGAGTAGTTCTCTGGCGAAACATGTCGTAATTTGAGACCCGCGCTTCTGTCAACGTTTCAAGTTGCAATTAGGCTTACCCGGTTTGTGCTCGGCAACGTTTGGCGCTTGCAGCAACTTCGTGTAGTTCTAGCAACCTCGTGAAATTTTCACTTTCTGAGCAATTTTTGAGCAAAATGTAGGTTTAGAGCGCATTTCAAGCATGTAAAGACAAAGATTGCGTAGAAAACTTCCATTCATGCCAATTTCTTGAATCTTTATCCACCTTTTGAGCATTACCTGACACTTGACAACGTTTTGCAGGCCCATTGCGATCTTTATCTAATATTGAAGCGGATAATCGCTAAATAAGATGCACAAAAAGGCCGTCTTTGTTCCTTTGTCATAAACGGAGTGGATGGTGAGAAGTTCTGTTTAAGTTTTTTTTCTTGACTGATGTTAGAAATGATTGCGAAGGAAGAAAAATAGAGCTTTTAATTTGCGTTTACATAAAAATATTGAGGAATATAGGTAGCAAGTTTTGAAATTTCGATAGCAACTTTTTAGATTGTAGGCAACTTTTTATCCAGTAAGCAACTTTCCAGCATTCTTTCAGCACAATCGGACAGGCCTAGCTGCAATCCTATTAATCACTTCAGTTGAGATGAGGCTGAAAATTGAGTTCACCGAACCCTTCGATCAATAGAGCTTGTGCAAACATAATCTTTAAACTTAATATTTATTTACTGGCTATACTCTATATGTGGTATAAATATGTAATAAACTTCCATCTATTTCAAAATACCCTAATGTATGAAAATATACTTTTGACAGTAAGAACAGCAGCATCTCGAATGCCACTTTTCCTTACCATATTTTGGCGTCGCCTACACATGATCTGTTACTTGACAATCGCGTAGAAAAATAGAATATCTTTGTTTTATATTATTATGGAGAATATAAAATTGAAATGTATAAAAATATACTTTTGTATCAGCATTAACTTTATATTAATATTGTATGAATGATAAAACTCTGAATATAACGAAAAACAGTTCAACCTGACATTTTCTTAGCCTGTATAACCCTCTGACCCCTAAAAGTGACTAGCATATAATTTCTCCTTACAATAACACCCCTGAATCACACATGAAGGTCAGAAGAATTAAGGAAATGATCAGTAACTAGAGAAACTCTTGATTGTTAAACAAATTCTCCTTATCAGCACCTTAGAAAATGTATAGAGAACAGTATGGAGAATATGCCTACTGATTTTAAGGTGTGAAAACTTCTAAGAAACAGGGAAAATATGGTGACGATGCTTATACAACACCATCAGAGTTCCAGTTGAAAAAAAAATTTTCTTTGTACAGAGTGAATATGAGGAACCAGTTTCGAATTAAAAGTTAACCATGCACATTATTTTGTTCTCCTAAAGTATCTTTTCTGCAGAGTTCTGACTAAAATAAATAAAATATCTTAAGCACCTTTGTTCATATCGGATTAAAGGGATTCATGCGTAGAGAAAGAAGCGCGGTATTCACGTTTTCGAGTACAATAGCCTAGTGGTGCTCCAGAGAGAAGGTCGGGTGGGATAAGGGTGGGGGTTTCACTCGTGTGGGTTTCCTTTTTTCTCCCCGTCTGACACCAAAAGTAGACGTCTTGCAAAGACAGCATTACATATTATGCTCAACTTGAAGCAATAAGAAATTACTTGTCTTGAAATATCATTAACTTATTGAGACTCTTGAGTTTTTTTGTTTTGTTTTTGTCAAAAAAAAGAAAAAACGGAGGAATTATGTGTTTTGGATTCCTTCAACTATCCCACATTCCCCCCCCCCCTTTAGAATCTCCTGAGCATGCCCCTTTAGCCATACAAAAAGACAATAAGAGACTCGTTACTACCTTAAAAGTCAGAGTGCGAGGTGCAGCACATGACGAAGTCCATCTAAAGTGTTTATAAAACTTTATATATAATTGATATATCCTTATCTAATTTTGTATTTCTCGCCTGCTGTGGAAAGCGACGGTGAATCGTCTTGAAATATTTCAGTACCAAGTGGTCTGTTCATACTTATATCACCTAAAATTCCTTTCAGTGGCCCCTCTGGAACGTAAGGGTCTGGGGAAGCAGTCGAGTCCAGTTCCCTAGCTGATATTATTGAATCTGAGTCTTCTAAGGCCTCATGGCACGGGTCTGCAACAAAACCTCGTTCTGGTGATGACGGCACAAGGATCTGTGCAGCTGCGTGGAGCCTAGAGTCTTCATAAGCGTGAGAAGCTGGGCTCTTTACGAAACCCCGTTCAGAAGCTGACGGAGCTAAGCCCCAAGCGGCATGCACAGGTGATTTGGTCCTTAGGTGCGGGGAGTCTGTCGAATGAGCTTCCCGCCCTCGGACGGGTGGATTTGGGCCCAACGACAACCCCTCCTCACCAGGATACACTGCAGAGCTTCTGAAAAGGGCTTTACTCTTGCGGCGTCGAGACTTCTTGTCTTTCCTACCCACTTCTAGTTCAGAGGCGCTGCTAGTAGCTACCTCTGTCGTGCTGCAATCAACGTCGGCGCACGGATGAAGAGACAGCGCCTCACGGCAACGTCTTCCATGGGTGCGTGCCATGGAATACACGTTCTTGGGCATAATGGGTTCAGTTTCAGGACGCACGACATGAGTTGAGTAGAACGATTGATCTCGACTGAAAGCCCCGTCTGACTGTGCTGCATTCTCAACATCTGGTCTATCACGAGGATCGTTGCCCCGCGAGGAAGAGTCGTGCAAGCCACCAACATGCCACACGCCGTCAAATAAGAAACCGCCACGTAACACACCATCACGCAGCCTTGTATTAAGCAGAGCACCTTCACGAAGACCATCGTCACGTAAAGTGAAAGACGGATTGCTTCTGCACATATCATAGCTGCTTGAACAAGAAGGGTTACTGTTGCCTTGAAACCTAGATGTTTCCTCTTCGGGATAAGCAGTGATTTTCCGTAGGCTGGGACTAGCTTTACATCCACCCGAAGTAAACATTGCCGGAATGGCACTAGTTCCCCTTACCAGTCCAGACCTTGGTTCATTTGGGCCATGACAATCCGCTAAATCATAACAACTGGAACTCGACAAATTCCACCTGGCCGCGGACATGTTGCTATGGTCACTTTCATATCCACTGCCGCTGATCGCAGACGGAACGGGTCGTGGCTCTGCTTGGTAAAGATACTCCACATCTTCATCGCTATCTGTGCCTGACAGGAAGTCATCTTTAAAACGTTCGCTATTGTCGAACACTTCTGAACCCATTAAGTTGCCCATGCGAAGCGATAACTCTTCAAATTGAACTTGGACTTCATCCAACACGTGCTCCTGAAAGAGTCAAGTAATAATTATATCTCAGGTAAATCTGTTACAGTGAACCTATATCAAGTTGAATAACAATTCAAAAAACTTAACCACCAGGCGATAACTGTCACACGTGCAAGATCACATAACGACAACGTTGCAGTTGGATTTCCATATTCAACAACAGTTTTTGTTGCGGTTGTTTTTCAGTCCTGAGTGGTTGGTAAACTTTGTTTAGAGAGCTATTCCACCCCCCTCCGACTTTGTGCTTTTTCAGTCCTTCCACACAACTAGTTTACCTTAAAGGGCTCATAGCTGGGTTGCAGGGATTTGGCAGCTTAAGGGGGAGGGGAGGGGGGGAGAGTATTCTATCTGAAGGCAGTCGAGACATAGAGGAAGCCCTCGGGTGCCCTAAGCTTCCATCCTCAATTAAAGTGAGGCGGTAGTCTAATGTAATTAGAACACAGTATAATATTATCATACTGCCAGAAATATTAAATGATTCTGTGACGCACATGTTGATCATGCTACACCAACAAACAGAATAGCCGTGAAGACATTTTCAAAACTTGGTATTAGTTGGTTACAGGGGTTTCAATAAATTTTTCCATAAGCGGCAACTAATGGTGTAATAAGCGGTTTTTCCTCTTTAGCCTTGTTTTAGACCAAGAGAGCCTTGAAAAGACTACTAAAACCTCACCATAGGGAAGGGAGCATCTTTCTCGTATTCCTCTAACTCTTCTTCCCCTTCATCTTTCTCGTCTTCCTCCTCTTCATCTGGATAAAATGATGCATCACTTTCTCTTCTCTTTAGTTTTTCCCTAAGTAGCTGCATTCTTAAAAAACAAAGGGAAATTGAGTGGTTTCAATCTTACAACGCAAAAGTGTAGCTCTCCCATCACCTCTAAATATTGAAAATACAATACTGCCGTAAAATGATAGAGTAAATTGAAATGTGTTCTATGAGTACTACCCCTCACCTCCGACGATCTGGGCCTAATTATTCAAAGAGCAGATAACCCTATCCACTGGATAATTCTCTGTCCAGCGGACGAGTGTTAGCAAAACGCACTGCGACATCCACCGGATGGAGATTTATCCAGCGGACGTCGAAAAGCCGGGGCCTAATCAACACCCCTCCCTTCTAACTGTTGTAAACTTCTTTGCAAATCAGGTAATAAAATCATAGTTCTAAAAGATCAAACCAACTAGCCTTTAAATTTGTTTTAATTTTTGTATTTTCTGTTTGCTATTAGTACGTTGGATAATGTACTGACATTGTAGCGGGGAAATGCTTGTTAACAGAGTTTAACTCTTATTTTGAAATCCGTTCAAATCTTTTTATTTTTAGTTTTTGCAATATTCACATAAGTGGAAACCTGATGTTTGCGTATCGGTGGTAAATATTTAACCCATTTCAATACACAGGACAATTGTAAACATAAACTCATAAAGAAGCTCTAAATACATACTTGCTCCGAAAGAATTCCTCAACTGCAAGTTTCTTGTGCCGTTTTTTCTTGTAGTGCGGTACCCTGTACAGGAACACAGTGGCACTCTACCGAGATAAAAACAAAAAAACAAATAAACAAAATAAAAACACAACAAAACAGTCAAGTAGAGTAACGTTCATCTGAGTTTTGAAACTTGTTGTGTAAAGGAATGGTTTTACTTACTGGGATAACTGATTGGTTGTTGAACAACCAATCAGATGCAAGACTAAGAACAATCGCACCTTGGTCGTTCGTTCTTATCCGCACTACGGGTCGACTAACAGCAATAAAGTTGAGTTCTAATTTGTTCTTCTGACACTTTCCTCCATTTTAATGGACAGTTGAAATTATTTTGGTGTGAGGTTTCGACAAACTATTAAAAAGAGCTCTGACGAAATAGCCTCACGTTAACTGACTACTTATCTGTCAATTTATAGTCTAGTTTATAGACCTGTCTATTAAATAAAGCCTCGTCGACATGGTTTAAGGTTTCCGTCATAGGTAACTGAATTGGTTACAAACTGTTCCTTCTCAGAACTCCAGCTACTTAAAGGGAGAAGCTATTTATCGCCATCATATAAACACGCTAATTTTTCTAAATTCCCTGGTAGGATTTGTTTTGTCTTGCCACGCAAAAAGCATTCCGCCTGACGAAATCAAACAACAGCTGAAAGGGAAAGAGTTTCATTATTTAAAACCAGGAACTATCAGTGATATTTGAGACTTAGGAAACTACATCTTCATATAGCCATAAAAATTCAGTTTTCACCAAATAACACTTAACTCACCGCTCCCCTCATAAAAGTATAGAATCCGACCACGAAGACAGCAAAGTAAAACAAAATCAGCACAGGTCGCTCTTCAACCGCCGGGCCTTGGTAATGATTCACGCCTTCCAAACGAAAGAAATTGCTAACCAGCAAGAACGTGTCTCCAAACGACTTGAACATAGTGTGAAGGCCACCAAACAAAAGATGTCCCGTATGAACAAACGCCATAATTAAGATTATGATCCCAACCTGCAAATAGATCACAGCCAAGTTGATGAGATTTTTTTACTGCTAAGGGCAAATGAGGTAATCCATGATGCAGCACCCTGCATGTCTGGCCTTTGCTAAAAGATGAACGAGATTGTCCAAAATGCGCGGACGTTATTCGCAAAAATAGTTTTTAAGTAAACTTTAAGGCGTTTGGAAGCAAGATTAATCAAGTTAACACCGATAAGACTGAGAAAACTGAAATAACGTTTTACTGTACACCCGAAGTTTTCCTGATAAATAGAGAGGCGAAGAAATAAAACAAATTAGTTCAAGCCGTTGTATTTCACGCATTATATCTTCAAAAGGAAAAATTACAGCTCGTTTTTTATCATACTCGTCTCTAATTGGTCCATTACTGACACACAGTCAAAACGCTCGATGTTGATTGATAAGCAATCTACATGACCTTTTACGGTTAATTTTTGATACCTACCGAACAGGCTGCCAGAGGACGCACGACGGAAGCGAAGTATTTACTGAGACGGACCATGGTTCGAAAAGGTCTCAGCATATGCAAAGAGCGAACGATGATGAAGAATAACAGAAGAGAATATAATGCTTGCAGAGCTTCCTAAAAAAGTGGAATGAAATCGAAGAAATGGTACTGTTCAGTTATAACAGAACTGTACGTGGTAATTGAAAACTACGGGCAAACTCGGTGGTCATATATCATTTGTCATTCAGGGCAGGATTACGTCAATTACAGCCAATACCGAACACGTCTTTCATTCTGTCTACAGTCCACAGACCAAACATCTCACATGCCGGCCGAACAAATCATTCCCTTACATCTAGTGTTTGACTCCAATCACGCTTAGCAAATGGGAAGGAAGATAACAACTCGCCCGTTTAGCTTCTTAAATCGCGCAAGCGGCTTGTGATGACTGCCCACGATCGTGGAGCTCAATAACCACAGCGGGCCTCGCTAACTTGAATTTCATTTGCTGCACATTAGTTATTTAAGACCGCTTCTTCTTTACCTGACTCGACGAAACCATCTTGGCGTAATGGAACACGTCTGTTTGACTAGCTGTTTGGACTTCTCGTAACAGGGCGTACAAATTCACCGACCAGCGGATGTACACCACCATGGACAAGCTTGCGCTGGCAACTGCCAAAAGCTAGAGAAGAAAACGGGAGGGAGGAACAAAAAACAGTTGACAAGTTTAAACTTCTCTTAAAACACTTTTCGTTGCAATGGTCAGAAGAATAATCTGACGAGATATCAAACAGCGAAGTTCATGGGAGGAGCCACCACTATCTGTGATTTAAGGAATAGACCAATCAGCTTGTCACGGAGTAATTGGTCTTGAAAAAAAATGGATGTGGTGCTGAGGTGCGAGTTTTCTCGTGGGTCGAATTTTGGGTCGAAAGATCGCCCCCTGACAATTCTTATGTAAAACAGGATGAGTATCTTTTCTTCGAAAGCGCTTTTCGTATCATCCTATTAAAGGACGCAATAAGTGTAGAAACTTCCTCAAGGAACGTTTTAAGCCCCACACCTCTACCCAAAACCCTAACAAACATACCCTCTTTAAACATCCCACCAGCTAAGAGGGGAAGAGCATTCTAATTATATTTCCAAACTCAGACGTTGGTTTATACTTTTGCCAAATTCCTTGCATTTTTTTTACCTGCGTCAGCCGCCAGAAGCTCCTAAAGTACTTAGCTGACATCTTCTTGGCCAAGAAAAACTCATGTTGGAGGAGATAAAGAAATAGAAAAACAAACAGAAGCTGAAACAGATCAAGAACAGATCTCTTAGTAGAACAGCCCTGTAATTTTTGAATGACTGATGATAATGAGTTGGGGAGGAGCGCTACATTCATCACATAATAATAATAATAATAATAATAATAATAATAATAATAAAAATAAAAATAATAAGTTATCATGTCTTCATTCGTCATACTCGTTAGACAGAGGAGCAGCAAGCTATCCGTCTAATACAGTAGCTAGAAAGTTTTAAGTCCTATCACGCCAATACTTCGTTGGCAACTTGTTTCGTGTATTTGAGCAATTTTCTTCCACACGTAAATTTTGTACATCGTGTCGCAATTGACTTTAGTTCCTACGCTACCATTTTTCTCACTGTAACGCTGGACAATTTCAATGTGCAGTATGCAAAACGCTTGAATCGTATTAAGCTTAACTCAATACGGCAGCTGATTCAAGGGTTCAAAAACGTGAGCGAAGCTTTCATTGTTTGTCTCATGCTCACGACAAATGCTTGGCACATTTCTTTTTTTTCTTAGTAATAGGAAACATATTTTGAAAACGAGATTTTCTTCAAACAGCAACAGATAAGAACAATAATGACAAAAACAATCAACTATCCACCTCAACGAACGCATGACTGCAGCCAAACGGACGTAAGAGGTACTGACTGTTTACACACCTTGCAAATCCTCACAAAGAAGCCTTGTCCTGTTGATTTGAAAAACACTTGGAAGGTGTTTAACTCCAGTCGACATAATGGCTTCCCAGTAGACGATGCTTTCACCGACAGAGTGGCAGCGCTAAAATATTAGTATGTCAAAAACACAATGATTCAGAAAAAAACTCATTCAGTTCAACACTTAGCAAATTATCAAATGCAAGTTTTTCATGAAAAATCAACCGCAGAAGTAACGAATTAAAAAAGTCGACGTTATAAGCATTAGCCATTCGTTCAAAGCAAAACCCAAACCGTCCGCGTGTGTGAGTCTTTAAATTCAGTCAATCTGTCAAGGAGTCAATCGGAAAGCAGTCAACCAGCAAATCAGATAATTTTCTTTTAGCAACTGAGTTGAATTGTGAATTGGCCAAAGTTGAGAGATTCTAAAGCTGACGTTTCGAGCGTTAACCCTTAAGTTTTTCAGATTGAATGATCTTCGCTTTATTTACAAAATGTTGTAAAAAAGCAATGAATAATAACAAAAAAAGAAAATAATAAGATTGAATGGCGAATTTTGATTGCCTTGACGAAGCGCAAACGCGGCTTGAAATGTTAGCTAAACCATCTTTTCTCGGTAGCCAATTCACATTATCAACTCAGTTGATACAACAAAGTTGTCTTGTAATACAACCCAGCGACGCAGCACCACAGTTCATATAGGAACTCTTCACTTATTCTCAATAACCATAACCAGTAGTTGAAGCCACCTTACCTGATAGCACGCAGAAATGGCGTGTAAACTGCAAACTCCACCTTCACTTCGCGCGTACAGATGTTTATCCACTGCGAATCCGTGATTCCTCTCAGCTGCTTTGTAGACTCTTCGCTGCAGAAAAAAAAGGAAAAATTAGCAGTTGCAATACTCTTCAAAGGGCTTTAAGGAATTTATCATGCGACATACCTTCAAGCAAAATCAGTGGGGGGGGGGGAGAAAGGTCTGGGAGCCCGCCCCCACCTCTTTGGAATGGCATAAGAGCGTGTCTAGATTGATTTCAAATTTGTCGGAGGATGCCTGCGGACCCCCTAGTGGGATGGGCCCATCTTTAACCCTTTAACTCCTATGAGTGACCAGGACAGAATTTCCTCCTCACAATATCAATACAATATCAACCAGATAAGTGATGAGAATAAAGAAAAATATCAATTTCAGGATAATAGGTTGGTCCAATACTAAATTCTCTGAACTAAACCTATAAGAATTGTATGGTTGACAGTAAGGAGAAGTACAAATTTGATCTGAGAGTTAAAGAGTCACCAGTCACAGCTGTGCTTTTCATAGCGCCCCTTCAGTTCAAAATTTGTTCCTAGAGATTTGTTCCCTTAATAGTCAACTATTAAATGCTTCGCGACTGGCTAGACAATGAATATTGGGTATATCAGGCGAAACCAACGTTCAGGGCCTAAATCAGTGGAAGGGCCAATCGAATCATGTGACGTACCTTGTTTGGTTGAGTTCCAAGCTGAACCAAGCGCCCTCCTTTTCGTGACACGTTACATGACACACTGTTGTGTTTGCATTGCCGTCACAAGCCTTAGAAAGTGTCGGAAGAGAAAAAAAATCAGGAAATGTTGTTTAACTGGATTACTAGTAACCTACAAATTAGTACCACAAAGGTGAAAATGAACGCCATTAGCATGCAGGGAAGAAAACTCATTCATGCGAGAAAAATTTTGCATCTGGCCTAATTTCGAAAGTAAGAGTGTCTGGACCTCGGAAATGGTCTATTTATCAAGAAACATCCCAACTATTTATGACTGAAAAATACATCGTTTTGTTGGAAAGTTGCTCAAGAGCTTACCTTTGACATAGTGGTCTTGAATTGCGTGATCATTGTTCGACCAAACAGAAGGCTCTGGCTGTCACGTAATAAGATCTGCGTAAATAATTAAATTGAAGGAACATGCAAAATAAATTAGTAGTTGTTTGCCAGTAGGAATTCGGAGAGCCAGTTTTTGCAGAAGAAGAGAACGTAGAACAAGGAAAAAAGACGCTTAGGGCAGAAAGAAGAGCGCATAGCTAACTTCCCATTAGAGGGATGGACCCCTGCCGTCTCAATGTAACATGTATCGATCATGAACTTTGCCACATACCGTAAACGGTGTGTAATGAGACGTAGCATTGTTCTCATAAAATGCTGCGGACATGCCCTCCCAAGCCGCCTTGACACTGTCAGGATCACCTTCTCCCGGCCTATTGTGGGTAAACAAAAGTAGGATTAGCTAGTACAACCAAAACATACTTCTCAAACAAGTATGATCTTTATTACATTTCGAACAACGTTCAACCTTAAGTTCAACAATCATATCACCAAGGAACCGAGCTGGAAAGGAAAGGAACGCCAATAACTAGTTGGTGAGATCGACTGAACAGAAAGATTAACTATAACGACAACAACAGTAAAAGAAGAATAATGATGATGATAGCAATGATGACAATGATAACAACGATGACAATGATAACAATGATGACAATGATGACAATCATGACAATGATGACAATGATAGCAATGATGACAATGATAAAATAATGTCCGTAATAACAACCGAAACCAACAGTTACAGCAACAACGACATTGTCAATGATACTGATGAAGATATTATGTCGAGAGAGTTCTTCTCCTTACGCCACACAACCGAGATTGTTTCGATTGAAACAGGCGGTAAGACACAAGGTTCAACACTGACGATCGCTACTTGAGACTGACAGCCAATAACATAGCAGCTAGACAGACCATAAGTTATCACATGGCACTGTCTGCGCTGAAAACAACTTCCCTTGACTTTTATAATGACTTTGGTTCAGTCAAAGTGATCAACATCAACCCTTCTCAAGACTTCTTACACACAGATGATCGCACTGGACTATAAAAATCCATAAAAATCCATAAAAATCCATAGGAGATTTCTAGCATACCTGAAAAATGCCTTTCTGATCGACTGATTCAGATGATACACATCCGGGCATGTGATGCTCGAAACCAGGAAGCACGTGATAAGAAAGAACAGAATGGACACAATCACTTCTCTGAAATTAAATGAAATAAAAGTTTTTATCAATCCACTATCCACTTCACAAAAATTGTACACATCTTAGGATGCGGAGTACAACAACTTCAATTTTATTCATTCAAAATTGATTGCATTCATAACATAACATGTTACCATAGCAAATTTGTCACCTAAACATTTCTGTAATTTACGATGGTTCTTGGCGAGAATCATCGAGACCTAGATTAAGACTTACACAGCATAGTCCTTGAGAGCTTTGCTCCGTGCGCATTTACTTCGTGCTTCAGACAGTTTTGACTTGGATGGCGGCTTCAGAAACTTGAGATACCGTTGTCTACGGCGAAGAGCCAGCGCCTATAAGCAAGGTATGAGAGCTTTTAGCTGTGTCAAAAGTCAATATCAGTCTGCATCATTTGTTGATTTTACTTAGAAAATATAAAACCACAAGCGCGGTTTAGAAAAGGTCACGCTTCGATCTCTTACCCTTAGTTTTGCCAGTTTTTTACGTTAAAAAACTTGGCGAAAGATGTTTTTCGTCTTGTCACGAGCGTGGGACAAAGAAAAAATTCTGAGTCCCCATGAGGAATCGAACCTCAAACTTTCAGATTCCCCGCTCCGATGCTCTACCACTGAGCCACAGATACTCCACGGTGAGCCTGCTCAATTACGAAGTTCATATGACACGTGTCCTGTATACTGCTTGGATCAGCAGTGTCGATAGTGTCATGTTTGTAAATAGAATAGGAGAGATCGTAAGTTTTGAGCTCGCGAAAGATGTTGCAATGTCGATAGCGTCATGCTTGTAGCGTCATCTTTGTCCCACGCCCGTGACAAGACGAAAAACATCTTTCGCTATTTTTTTTATCAAGCTCAAAACTTACTCTCTCTCTTATTCTATTTACAAACATGACGCTATCGACACTGCTGATCCTAGCAGTATGCAGGACGCGTGTTATATGACCTCGCTCACCGTAGAGTCTCTGTGGCTCAGCGGTAGAACATCGGAGGTCTGAGGTTCGATTCCTTGTGGGGACTCAGAATTTTTTCTTTGTCCCAGGCTCGTGACTAGACGAAAACATCTTTGGCTATTTCTTTACCGGGCGCAAAACTTACCATTTCTCTTGTTCTATTTACAATAAAAATTTCTTAGCGATAGATTCAAGCGGTAAAGTCCTATCAGCCTTAGCTTATCGCGGTTTGCGTAGCATGGAGCCCACCGATAATTTTATACTCGCATGGAAGGAATGTTAGTACAGAGCCTGCGAAAAGGCCCGAGCGTTTATTAGCCACGGGAAAATAAGGATTTTTAGCGAACCACGACGTCGACGGCAACGGAGACGTGGTAAAATAAAAGATCTAATGAGCAGAACAATAGCTCAGCACGTGCGTTTTAAAACTGTGTATATTTCTTAGCAGTCCTCTGCAAAATAACAACGTGAAATCATCAAACTTCGCGTGGTCCGAGAGAGGAAACTCCGGCAGCAAATTGTTTAAGTTTCCATTTGGAACTCAACGCCGCTCTCATACGTTATGCTGAGGTTAACTTGCGGCGCCATAAGAGATGGTAAACAAATCCAGTCATTCGCGGGATTCCAACTATAAATATATGTTCATTTTTAAAACGACGTCTTCCTTGGCGTTGCCGTCCAAACTGCCAAAGGTCCCTAATAGGGAACTTAAGCAGTCAGGACGGCAACGCCAAAGAAGACTTCGACTAAAAAGTGAATTTCTGCCTTTAATTAGAATTTAAAAAATGGCTGCACGTGTTTACCGTCTCATACGTCGCCACACCTCAACCTCAGCATAACGTATAAAAGAAGCGTTGAGCTCCAAATGGAAATTACAAAAATTTGCCGTCGCGGTTTCAGTTCGCTGACGACGCAAATTGTGGTGATTTCACGTTGTTGTTTTGCATAGGACGGCTAAGAAATGTACAAAGTTTTAAAACGCACGTGTTGAGCTATTGTTCTGCCAATTAGATCTTTTGTTTTTCCATGTCCTCGTTGCCGTCGCCGTCGTGGTTTGCTTAAGGTCCCTAATATGAGGCCTTCGGCAACGCTAGTCGGCGAGAGGTCTGGGGTCTAGCAATGATTCTAAACACGGATAAAATGGTGCGGTCCTAAGTGCCACTCTCAAACGCCGAACAAACGCAATGTTTGATACGTTTTCCTTGAACTTACCGGATGGAGATCATCGCCATCTGCGCTCGCAGCTTCATTGAATCCTTGATTAATGTGACCGTAGTGTATATCGTGCAAAGCGGAAGATGACAAGTCTTCAAATCCTTCATCAATGTCCTCGTCTTCCTTCCTTGCATTAGACTTGTATGCCATGTACAATATAAAGATCACAACCTCGAAGAAGATGAAAAAATGCAATTTTATATATCAGTAGAACTGGAGAGAGTGTATATCTAAAGCCCTAAATGTATATCTTAGTGTTCCAGCTGCATGACCGAGAGATGAGCACGCTCCTCTCTTTACAATTCACGTTCAAGTGCATCTCAACCGGAAGCGACTGAAACGAGCTTTGTAAAAGACATGTCGTCGTATAGGAAAGCTGCTTCCCTTCACTGCGCGACAATCGAGGAAGTACTTTTCCGATTGTACCTCTTACAAAACCTTTGAAGGAATGAACGATTTTTACATATACCTATCCATCAAGCTTTCTTTCAGTAGTGCCAAGAGAGGTTTGGAATTACTTGGCAATTTTGTACACCCAACTTCAAACACTTTATCGTTAACTTACCATAAATGACTGAGAGATGAGAAAAGACTCCAGTAAAGAGAAAAATAACGACTGCAACCAACGAACAGACAAATCCCATCCCAAACTAAGGGAAACAAAAATAATAAAAAAGGAAAAAAAGAGTTCAATAAACTTTCAACGATAGAGTGTTCTTTTTAATGAATTGCCTGTATGAGCGAACGGATATCTGAATCGGGCCGTTGTCTCCTGAGTTAAACCTCACGCAAACTGGTTTCTTTCATTTTTCGAAACATGCCTCTTTTGGGATCTTAACGCCAATATCTTCGGGGGTCATAAGCGTTTACACTCTTACGTAGGGCAGTCCCTGCATTCTGTCGACAGTTGATTAAAAATGTCTCTCCAAAAATACACTCTTACCTAACTCCATACCAAATAGTGAACAGCGCAGCAGTAAAAGCAGTGGACAGACACCCAAACCACGCCAGGTAAATACAGCCATGCGGTAGAGAGAATCTGGAATGATAAACTCCTCGATCTTCAGACAGCAACGACACGCTGTACGTGCTACGTTTCTCGAAGTCCAGCGACTTCCTATGGCTTGGTCCGATCTCTCTGAGGAAGTCGCATGTCTCCAATAAGTCGGCGTGGGGAGGAAAAGGTCTTTTAGAAGAGCTCAGTCCACCGTGGCCCGAATTATAACCCCGACTGATGCTGTCTAAAAACGAAGAAAACAAAAAGGGAGAGTGACGATTTATTGGAGAGTCGCGAAGCAGAAGTGTATGTAGATAGATCAAGAATGAACTGGAAGCTACTATCTCGCTCAATCAATTTGGCTTTTTTCATCAAAGCAGAATGCAAGACTATTGTCACTCGTGAACCTAACATTCGGCTCGAATCGCCGTCGAGCCCTCAGTGTCCCAGTTGCTAAATATCGGGCCCCGAAATCGATGGGTCTAAGTTGCAGATCCTGGCGGGCGACTCAGATTGTTTTCGTCGCCCCTTTCTGGTGACAAATGAACCATCTCTCTCTTTATTAGGTTGTCGAGCTCAAATTTTGCCATCGTTCTGAATGAGCAACATATCAATTTGCAATATACGCTGGTTGCATTGTTTCTATGCAAGAAGAATGAAGCCTCTTGCCATGCAAACTCACTAACAGGAAGTTCCTGTAAGTAACGGGAGTCAAGGGCAGATTGTAAAATTGAGCCTGACCTTCGCAATTTGTCATTATTTTTCAATTAGTGTTAATCTCACACATCCTTCAACCCCGCTGTTCCATCTTAGCTTTTATCTACCACTCTGATGTTTGTCTTTACAAGCAAACGATTATTTTGGTGCTATAATTCACTGAACATATCACCAATGACAAAAAAAATAGTAATTTCCATGTTTCTCTACCTGAATCTCGGTCGAGGCTCAGTTGAGAGCCGCACATGCAAGACGATGAATCGGAGTCGACGTCATCCTTTAAAAGAAATCACAAAGCAACATAAATATGAGGGTGCCCTACACAGTACTGTGAAACGCAAGACCGCCCAATGAAAAGCAAGGGGAGGAGAGGGGAGGGGAAAGCTGCTCCTGAAAGGCCTTGGGTCTGTTCCGTGTTCATTTAAGATCTTTAGCTTCTAGCTGGAGTTCGACAATGAGTCAACGATTCAAATTCAGGTTTTCAGGGAAAAGCTTAGAAAATATAGAACGGCGTTAACCTCCACTGCACTCTTCACTAGCGACAAAGTTCATATAGTTATTGTTATCAGATGTGACTGGGTCCTGCCCTGACTGAAAAAACATAAAACTGCTAACATGCCGATATCTCGGTATTGTTACCAGACTACGTTAGCGGAAATTCGCCCCATGAAGTAGACGGCCATTGTGTTTTGCCCGCAAAAACAACAATAATTTTTTTGCACCAGCTGTTTCCCTACTGGAAAATCTTGAACTTTTATACGTCTTACAGTCTTATGGTCTCTGTTAACAATCCTTGTGAACAGTGCTGTCTAATAAGATGTCTGCGTCAAACAAGTGAAGCAGAAGGAACACAAATACTCTAAGCAGTAGTTGAGCTCTTGGTTAAAAGAGAAAGGACATTGCAAACTTACCCATTCAAAAACGGTCCGAAACCACTTTTTTCTCTCACTTATATTGGTCAACATGCCAACAGTTTCCAGCGAATGGTCAAGAACTGTTAAGATAAATCGGATCTGGAACCATTTCCTCACAAATGATGCTTTTTGTTTGGGTAATAACATGATTTTGAGTGCAATTTGGTGTTAATAAGCACGACTAAATTTTTCAAAGACAACAAAATTGCACAATCGCGAAGGGCAAATTGTGCGCGTAAGTTGTGCCCGCAATTTTTTCATGTACATTATTGGTGACGATAAGTTAATCCTTTAACTCCAAGGAGTGACCAAGATAAAAATTCTCTTCACATTACTTAATACAATGTCATGCACAGGTAATGAGAACGAAGATAAGTGCCAACAAAGAGATATGGCCCTGATGAAACACCAAACTGAGGCTACGATTATGAGAGTGAAAAGATCACTGGCTTCGAGGATTACTCTTTTTCCTTAAAGCAGTTTAGAAGTTGTCAAAGGATATTTGACGAGTTGGATATTGTGCAGAAATATATCACATATTCTCAGGATATACTGTTGACTGATATCTCAAGTATTTAAAAGAGCCATCAGGAATTTATCTTCACAAATCATTAAAGCGCCCCGTGCTGCTATTTGGAATGATATTTACAAAGAATGCTTATACAATCACAGATATATATATATATATATATATATATATATGCTCTCTAGTTTTTCTAGTTTGAGCACTCTGGTATGGCTTAGATGATCCCACATGTGTGAGATCACTTGGGGTGGCTATATGGCCTTACCTCCATCCTAGCATCAGCACTGCACTGATGAGGCCCAGAAGACCGAAACAGTACTGTCTGCAGTTAGTTATATATATATATATATATATATATATATATATATATATATATATATATACTATGAGAGGAAAAAAGGACGCAACTACATTTCCCGACAAGCCTGTTTCGTGAATCACTTCACTCTTCAGGGGTTTAATATATATATATATTTATACTCTTACTGAGTTGGATTAGTTCATTATCAAATGAGGTTTCGTTAGCTATGCTATACCCTGCTCGATGATTGGTCTAGAAAACTCGCCCCATCCTCTAAACCAATCAGAAGCAACCAATTGTGTCTTGATTACTCGCACTGTTATGCTTTCAGAATCAATTCTGATTGGCTCCTTATACATTCCCTTCTAATTGTCCGTCGTGATTCGTCAAAATTTTCGTTGTGACGCTCAACCTGTCATCTATAAAGCCTAAATAAACCTTATTGATATGTCAAGTAATTGACTGATAGTTTTTTCCTTACCTGAAGTTATAAGCTCTGTGGAGTCCGTTTGATGCTCGGACATCGGATAAACCTTCACATGGCGGCGAAATTTTCGCTGCAAAAAAAAGGAAGGTTACCTTTCTGCCCTTTATGCCTTGAAGAAGACAACCACGTTGTAAAATATAACACAGCTCTAAGCAACCTGGCTTCAAATCCCGGAAAGAAAGTCAGCATGAACATCTTTCGCGAGGTTTTCACGCAACATGATGATCATGAAGGCCTAAACTCTGATACTACCCAAAGTCTTATAAGAAGCTACCTCGCTGATGGTTCATTGTGTCGTAAAGGATTCTCTTAGTCAGTGTGGGTTTTATCCCGAAGATCTCTTCAAAATTATCTCTTATCAAGTCTCTATATTTCACTGCGAGTTAATGAGAGGGGTCTGGTTTAATCATCAACCTGTGAACTTTTTTCATCGCCTGCTTGGTGGATAATACATTGATTTTTTAGGGAGTTACTTGCAACTGCGCGTGGAATTTTCACAGCTCAGAAATTGTGTCACCCTATTAGCTCATAAACACCTCTTCGGTATCATAACATTACAGGAAGCTTTTGATTTCAATTTTAAGCTCATTTCAATAAGTGTTGCAAACCGAAAAAAAAAATATCGCTGGTTTTAAATCATATAAACTTGTAGCTAGTTAAATAATAAATATGACTCACTCGACTGTATCTAAAAAGGAAGATCCACAGGAGGTTGAGCGGTAATGCTACTAAGCTGCACAGGACACCAATCCAAAGGCTCTCTCCGGTTATGTCTAAAAGTCCTAATACTTCCATAACCTGATGAAATCAAACTCGTTTAGTTTGTAAGAAGATCCTAACTTCCAATAAACTCAAGACGAACAAGGCTCGGGTTTGTGCACTTTTTTGCGTGTAAAAATCCGGACTTCTTCTGCGCATTAATTTGTTTTATTGTTATTATTTGGCTTGAACTGATGAGCGGTTATCATATGTTTGCTCCACAACTGAAAATTCACCGATGGCGCCCAAAAAACGTTTTGGCTGTGGTAATTTGCGTGTAATTCGGCTACCTTGTGGCATGGGAAAGAACAACTGACTTCTTCCAACTTTTCCAGACTTTTTTTTACTTTCCACAGTTCACCTTATTTTATTCAATTTTATTTAATTAATTAATTGATTAATTAATTTTTTTTTTTTTGGGGGGTCTTTTAAATGAAAAACAAATTTCCATGCTTTTCTCAAGCATATAAGAACCACGGGCTACAACTCTTACACTTGGGGTCCAAGTGCCTAACACAACGTTGCTACATCTTCTGCACAAAAAGCACTCAATATCACATCAAAGACTAAGGAATACTTACTCAAACTTGCTCTTCTTAAGCTTAAATTAAAAATACGCCTTTCCTCTTCAGGAACCCGTTCTTGGGTTCCTCGCGGGAAAGCGTGTTATATCAACGCTGCTGCGCTAGTTTCGGCCCTTTCTTCTCTTATTCTAGTCTTTCAAGGCGCGATCGCATTCAAATCTTCCCGCTTCAGTGCTCATGAATAACTAATAGTGTCCAGGCATTCTGCACGATGTTGGATACAACAAGGTGAGCAAGTACAAGTTCATACCTGTTTTTCAGGCCTGTACCACGCAATGTTCGCACAAAGAAAACTCAGGAGCAAAGACATACAAGAAGTAAGCCGCTATAAAGAAAAGGAAAAAACTATTAGAGTATTTTTCCATTCTGCAGAGCGCCTTTTGACTGAGTGTCGTAAAACCTAAACCAGATTCATAACCATTGTCAATCACATAAATGCAAACATCACAAAAAGCCAATGAGGACTCAAATTAAAAACAAACCAACTAAAAGAAGCGCAGGAAAGGCCGCTGACCAAGTCGCGAAAGGTTTTAGTTGTGAATCTGATTGGTTGGGCAACTCTACGTGTTTTTTAAGACCAATCAAAGTAGAGCAAAGTACAGCAAAACCAAAGCAATCCTGGATTTTTGAATCGAAAATTTTTCAATCGAAGGTAAACCGGGATTGCACCGGCTTTGCTTTCCTCATTCCTGTCATTGATCTAAAAAATTCTCACCAAAAACTCAATCATTCAGACGGAAAACTAAAGCCAATCACGACTTGATTACTCCTGTTTTTTCGCGCCTCAGAGAATTTCCTTGTTGTTACTTTGAGTTCTAACTGGCTGTCCGGGATGCCACCCCATTGAAGTAACGTAACGAGCAGGGCGGTCACATGGTGCTGTTTACTTCACATCACTGAGGGATTCTGACCTAGAAGTCTGTCTGTAATCACAGCGAGTGATCTTTTCCCTGGTACTGAGAAGGTAATTTCAAGTGGTTCTGCTTGTTACAGTGTACTAAAAGGTTCTAACTTTAAGATCTGGGACATAAACATTAGTTTTTTTTTGTCTCATTTTACCTGCGCGCGTGAAAACCTGCTATAAGATGGCCGCCCAAACAAAGAAAACCAGAGATGATAGTCCGAGATGCTCTTCGCGCTGAGTTCAAAGAAGCACTGGGAAGAGAAAAATAATAAAATTATGTGTTGAACTATTTGCGAAAAGGGGTCTTAATGAAGGTGATAAAATGCGAAATCCGCCTTATTTCTCTACCTGTCGAGAAACAAGGTCTTCCAGCGGGGTCAAATTAAACATACCCCAGGTGTACAAATTGAGAGAAAATTGCAAGCGATTGCGGCTTTAATTTATATCAATTTTGATTCTCCATTCCTTTTTCTTATGTTGCTGTACTAATAAGCTCATTTAAAAGAAACTTACCTTTTTAAAACTGTTTAAGTGGTTCGTTGTTTCCTTAAACTCACACTCAACCTTTGAAAAAAAAATTATTGAAGTCAGTGCGACAAATCTATTTGCTAGCATATCCATGTTTTGTTCATATTTAGAAGCAGAAATTATCGCTATTAACACGGTGCAGTAACAAACTAAATATATTTTTCTTTACCAGAAGGTCGCTGCACTGAACTAAAAGACCGAAAATTCTTTATCGCCCAGGGTCAGAGGATTTCAGTTGTGTCACGATTAAATTCACCTAGCCCCCCCCCCCCCCTCTGTAAGGTTCTGTAGTATTCTTATGATTCTCCCTTCATTGGCAGTTAACCCTTTAACTCCCAGAAGTGATGAACATGGAACTTCTCCCTATAATATCCATATATTACCCTGCAAACAGGTATTGAGAAAACTCCAACTTATCAGGTAGAAGTTGTTATCTTGATCTAACACTAAATTCTCACAACTGATTTACAACGAAATGTGTAGCAGCTAGAGGGGAGAATTAACAATCAGATCTTGGGAGTTAAAGGATTAATTGGTAGCCAATTTTCTATGGTCCCCCCGTTGAAACTCTATGATGGCTACGACTGATCCCCCCTCTGTTTCCCCTGAGAACGATGTGATCCCCCCCGCTCCTCCCCCACAGACGATAAATGGTGAATGGTACCAAATTATAATACTTTTTGCCTCGCAAGTGTTGATGCATATGAAATTATGACAAAGTAACACACATACCTTTCCATCAGCCTCGTCAACAGCGAGCCATCTGTTACAGTTGAAAACCCTTTTGGCCAAGGAACAAGTGCAATAGGTAGGTTTATTAGCGAAATCTTTTATTAATATTTTACGAGTATGGGGAGGCTACAATGACCATCAACACATATTCAGCCATGATGTAGCTGTGTAACATGAAATCGTGCGCATTTGACGACTGTTTTATTTTGTTTTGGAGAGTAAACCAATCACAAGTAATTGAAATAAGTTATATGTTGGCCTGTGGATGTATGGAAGTATGGATATTATACTCGCAAATATATTATAGCTGCAAGTAAAAAAAATTCAGAAAGAAGCCTGAAAATTCAGGCTTGGACGGGATGCGAATGTAAACCATCCAGATACTGGTCGGGAGCCAAGTGGTATAACCTCCCGACTCGGCTAAGAGCAAGTCACTTATTAAGAGAGATCGCAAAAGCTAATGACCAGCCAAACCTGTAAAGCACTTCTAGTAATAAAAAACGTGCCTGAGAGGAACCCAGCCCCTATCTTCAATAGTCTTACAAAGGAAACATCAGATCGCTCTCTGTAAATAAGTTAGATGTACCTTGTATCTCCTCGGTTGACATCCTTGATAATAACTTGTTCTAAGAACCAGCTCGGATCATCTCCCGAGTTGTCGTGCCAAATGTGAATTTTACAAATGTCCCTAAATTTCCTTCCGGGAAAACTAAAATGGTGGAAAAATGTTTTGAGCTTTGTAAAAGTCATAGGACAGGTTTCGAACGCTCTCCAACTTAAATCATACCATTACTTCCTACTACCACGACTTTACCGTGTTTAACATGACCAACGATTAAGAAAATGCCTTTAAAATAATGGGAAAACGACCATTTCTTGCGTTGCTTTGCTCGGTGAGCTCTCCAGCGCTGACTAGATAACATTGTGAATTTCAAAGACTGTTCAAGTTTTCCATTACCCACACGAACCCTAACAAGAGCCATGGACAATCTCGAAACCTTATAGACTGTCTCCGAAAGTTCAAGTCATGTATTCGACCTTGCGTATAGTGCTAGGGTATAAGTACTAAAACAGCGTGAACTGTTCTGTTGACATCAACCCTTTAATCCCTTAGAGTGACTATCAATTTGAACATCACCCCTGAAACACACATTAAGGTCATGATAGTAAAGAAAATGATCACGAACTACAAATGCTCTTGATTGTCAAACAAATTCTCCTTGCCAGCACCTTAAGAAATGTATAGAGAACAGTATGGAGAATATGCATACTGATGTTAGGGTGTAAAGGTTTACCTCACGACAAAAACATCGCAGGAACTTCTTTCAAACAGAGGATGGTCTCTATCGGACTTCAACTCAATCGGATCTGATATGCAGTTATCGCCATAAAGTATAAGGAAAACCTATATGGAAAGAAAAGACAAAAGGGAGATGATCAAATTAGGTGAGTGTGGAAAGAAACAAAAAATTCATCTGTCCGAGCCTTTCGAAGGCAATAAGGTTATACTGCTCTAAAAGCATAACAAGCCTTGAGTTGCTGGAGGAAAAGAAAGGAAGGTATGATTCTCCTGCCAGAGCAAATGATGCTCAATTACCTTCTAGTTTTAGAGCTTCAATCAGTGACTTATAATATTTCTCAAAATACAATGACAATAGAAAAGTGAAAAGAAAATCTCCTTCATCGCATAAAAGCTAACAGAATAAAACAGACACTAATATGGCTTTAACTGTAGATCACCAAAAGGAAATTTCAAGCGCTGGAGACACTCTTGATTGGCTACCTTACGATTAATTGCGCTGCGTGATTGGTTACAAAATCTTATGTCCCCTCCAATCAGATATCAAGCAGATAAAATTTGTATTTCTCGCGCTTCGTGCCGGTTAAGGGTTTTCTCTGAGTTCCCATTCTCTTGCTTCTTTGTTCTTGTTGGCAGTAAACAGTCCGATGAGCAATCGTCCAGAACTAAGATCGCTCCGAGGAGTTTCGCGATCGTCCAAAACCCTTCACACATTGTTATGACTTACATTAGCGGATGTTCCAGACCCAAACCAATGACCTGTCTGCAGAGTTATCTGAAACCTGAAAAGATAATGTTAATAGTTAAACTCGGGAACTCAAAAATGCAAGCTGTAAATGGAGTTTCAATGGTCCACATGAGCCTGCAATTGCGTGAGCCTGTGACCGCTGGCCGAAAGAGCCCGCCGAGGTTGCGGTGGTTAAGCCTTTGACGATTGTGATTTCCAATACGCTCTAATCTTCTCCATCCTTAAACATCCTTGTTCCTTTTGGTTTATTGTTACTTTAATCGTGTTTTTTCCGTTTTTTTGGAAACAAAGGTAGTCATGCAGACGATTTAAATAAAGTAAATCACCTTTCAGTGATGGCTGGCGCTTTAGGATTATTCCCACTGGTATTTTCCGTGATATACACAGCCTGTGCCTTCTTGTTGTCGTGTTTGTCCGCTCGTATGCAAAAACCAATAAGAAATAAGTACAGCAATAAGATGACGACGACGAGAACTAGCGCCAATGGAGACCGCTTCAACCTGTACAACAACAATAAAATGAATAAATACATAATAATACAGAGGAAAGAACCCATGGTAGGATCACTTTGTCAACACATAAATGCGACATCAGCTGTAGGTAACACTCACTCCTCTAGATTCAAGCTAATATCGAACACAGTCAGAGGGGAATTCATTTTGTGCGCATTGTACGTGCACTTTTATCGACTCAATCTCCAAGTCCATCATAGGATTACCCCAAGCATCATGTCAGACTTTCCTAACACTTTGCCGCAATCCGTTCAACTCCTATAACTGTAGGTACAGAGAGGTACTGTGAGAGAGAAGCGTCTTTCCCAAGAACGCAACAAAATAACCCGGCCAGGTCTTAAATCCCCGGACCTTGCGAGCCGGAGTCCAGCACGCTAAAAATTATGCCACCACGTCTACGACGCAGGGCACGAACACGAAGATGGAATTCGTCTTCTTTTCAACCGTTGTATGCTCTCATCACGTAACACACAACCCAAGTGGGAAAGAAAGTGTGATTCGTGATGTGACCAAACAACGGCTGCAGAGAGATCATTGAGAAAGATTAAACTCACCTGACTGGATCTGTCAGATCTTTTATTGTCAGTGAGTTTGGTGGGTACAGAAATGCTCCACTGAACGCAGTAAGATGGTTACATCTGTGCACGACAGCAAAGCATAGAAACAGAATGAAAATCAACATAATAGTAGCTTCAGTGTATTCCTGTTGGGTAGACCAACCTTGAGTGTCTAAAGTAATTCGGAATTTCGAGGCCTTAACTTTACTACGCTCTATGGAGAATATGTATACCTACATAAGAGTACAATGGGTTAAGACACAAGAAAGCTAACCTGCAGTGAAACATTTGCGGTGTGTTAAGATCTATCATTCTGCAGCCTTCAGTGGACCACTCTTTCACCATCTTGTTCCAGTAGAAACAACCCATCCAGTGAACACTCAATAGGTAAGTGAAACTGTGGCCCTTATTTATCTGCGTCCACAAAAAAGACATTTATTTGTTTTACATTTAAAGAGAGTTGCCACCTCTGTAAAACAGAGTAATTTGGCATTATCAACTTAGTTGATAACGTAAATTGGCCACCGTTAAGAGTTTTAAAGCTGACGTTTTGAGCGTTAGCCCTTCGTCAGAGCGTTAGCCCTTCGTCATTCGCTCTGACGAAGGACTTACGCTCAAACTTTGAAACTCTTTGGCCACTCTCCCACCAACTCGGCACCACAGTTTCTATAGAAACTAACCTCCCTTTCTTCGTTTTACTTCCTCAGTAAGCCTGTCCGGAAAAAATTACTTTAATCAAGTCAACACAAACTGAGTCCTGATTTTTGCCAAGATGGTTCGACAACATAAACAATGCCTCTTACCCCGTGAAGAAGTGTTATCAAAATAAATCATAATAAGCATGTCATGAGTAACTTTTTTATCCACAGGACGGCGTCATCTTCCTTCAAGAGCAATACTGATATCTATCTATTATCAATTTTTCTATCTTTGACTCTGAATATAAAAAATATTAGAAGTGATTTTTATATATTCAAAGTCATTGATTCATTACTTCACGGTTTATTACGAACGAACATAACGACCAGCTCCCACTTGGCTTGTTCGCTCGGTTGGTAGAGCACTACACCGGTATCGCAAAGGTCATGGGTTCAAATCCCATACAGGCCTGAATTTTTTTTTCAAGCCTTATTTTCACAACTGCTTGGGTAGTGTTCATTACTGCGAAGATCGCTATCGTATTAATTATCTATCTTTGTTGCAGAACTGCTATCAAACAGAATTGCTTAACTTAACTACATATTAAAAATCTGAAATATAAAGTTCTCCAATGTGAAATACTTATCTTTCTAATAACAAGGAATTAGTTTTAGGCGGATGCGAGAAGAGGCAGATGTAAACAATAATACGTTGTCCTGCAGTACTTATCCATTTGGTGCACAAGACTCCGATAACACTTACCGATCTAATCCGATAGTATGCTCTGTCTTCCATGACAACCCTCACATACACAGATTCTGAACCTGAAGTAAAGAGGAATGATTCAATAACAACAACAGCAACCACAACAACAACAACAATAAGAGAAACAACTACAAAAACAATAACAAAAACTGCACCATTTTCCACTTAACTTTTTCACAATCAATTAATGTTTACTGCGTTTTAGGACGAAAAAATTCCCAAAAAAGTCACCAAAAGCAATTAAAAGCAATTCTATATTAAGTGTAAAAAGTAACCCAGGATTGCGTGGTTTTTCTTTCACTCTGCTTGATTGGCCAACAACGTTGTTGTTATCAGCATTCTTGCACTTATCTTTTCATTTTAATACGGAATTCCATAGTTAGTGAAACTGGAGGCCAGTTACCGTTTTTAAACTGGTCATGACGTATGTTCATGTGCACGCCGCCTTCCCCTGAAATTGAAGCGGTGAGTTCGTTTTGATCTCGTACAGATGAACCAGGTTCAGCTGTGCTGCAAAGGTAAGGCAATCAACAAAAGGTCACTTTGCCATAAAGATCTATGAATACGTGTTATAGCTCGATATTTGCCAAGTTGTTAGTTATTCGTTAGTGCTTTGCCCATGATGTCAAAAAACAACTACTTATTTCTTCCCATCAAAGTTTCTAGCTGACCAATACCTTATCCAGAACTTCGATCTTAGGGAGAGGGCTTGAGAGAGAGATAGTGAGATAATGATTAGTTTTAGTCCCAGGCTTCACGCGACAAATAACCGATCTTAGCGCGCCATTTATGGCGGTATCCATTCGTATTCCCTTTTCTACTACCACACCCCTCCTCCCTCCTAGCTTCAATTAATCAATACCTGACAATCAGTTTGACTGCAAATCCAGCTGGCAGCTTGGAAAGTGGTTCAAGATGAACATGTAACACCTGGTTAGACATCTTTTTGGTTTCGTTTATGACATGAATATTTTCATGCTTCCATCGCAGAGTAAATTTTTCCATGCGTTGCGTGGTCTGACAATAAACAAGCAAAGAGATAGTCAGTTCGTCAGTCGATCATACTTAAACTTAAGTTTAAAGAAGTCTCACCATTGTTCAAGCATTTGCAAAAATCTGGTCTTGATGTTTAAACATCAGCGAGCAAACAGACGATTAGCCATTTCTCCACCCATCGTGACGAGAGAGAAAAAATTCGGCGACTAAATTTGCAGCGAAAGTCGCGAATCTAGCGAACTGCGTTGGCAGTCATGTTGCAAGCCGTAACTTTTATTACTTCATTTTTATGGTATAATGTTTACATACATATTTTTTTATGGCGACCATTTTATGATTTTAGGTCGCGGGAAATGCAAATTTAAAGAAGATGGGATAAGGGCCCTGCCAGACAACGCAAAAACTTCCCAAAATTGGGAGTCTACCCGACTGAATTCCGCTTCTTTAGGACGAAACTTTTCAATAAATTTAAGAGAGAAAGGTTTTAAAACAAAAACGAAACACAAAAAAATGAAAGTGAATCGACCACTTTACCTTGTTAAGTTCATGAGGCATAAAGATGTCAATGCCACGACTAAGGTTTCTCACTTCGATATCCTCTCCATTGCAGTCAGTAAGGCTGAGGCTACCAACTTGTGAGTGATGCTAAAACGAAATGAATATATCTCATGTTAAGCACCTTTCGACTGAATGACGTGATGGTAGTAGCAAGGTGATGACAATAGTCAATCAAAAAAAAGTGAACAACATAATGGCCAATGACAACTCAAAGTAAGTGGCGGGAAAAACGGCGCGTATTTCCTAGAGCAAACACATAGCGTATAAAAGCAAAATTTCTTTCGAAATTTAATTGAAAATTTCTTTCACGAACGATAGTTTAGAATATAAATAGGAACATTGATGTCTACTGAAAAAACTGGCCTACTCCATCCTGCTTTCTCCGGTTTCAGTAGCAAGAGGCGAATAGCATTTCTTATGTTCAGTGGAGATGCTTCTCCAGTGCTGGCTAAATCCCAGTATTTCATCTGGTTTCCATTTCAATCAGCCCAAGTTCATTCACCAAGTTCATTCATATTCCTTGATAAAGCGAGTCACTGTGAGAATTCAGTACCTTGCCCCCCATCCCTTTCTCTCATCCCTTCCCCCCTTACCTCCTCACCCCCCCTCCCCCTCATAAAAACAGTTAGGTCTGGGCATGGCTGGTGCCCATGCAATCCATCACACTTGCCATCATACGAGAGCGTCTCTCACTTTGAAACCATACTTGAATGATCTTACCATTTCACTATAAAAGGGATTTTCTTTGTAGACAGTCATCACAGCCCCATAACAGCTCCCTCTGGCAGCAGCCGATGCACCTCCGAGATGTTTTTCGAGATTCACAGGCACGTGGAATTTGACAGTAGCGTGAGAGAAGATTGTATTATCAATGGAAGCTATCTGACTTGCATTGACGCGGATTTTGGGCGAGTTTAGTAAAAGAGGCTTCTCCCCAAGAACTTGCACAGACAACCTAGCCTAGGAAATGATAACATTATTAGATCAGTATACTTTAATTTTGTGATCACTACGACGTTTCCACCACGAATGACATTATTTGTCGTGTCATAAAGGTGGTGCGGAGAACAAATCTGAGTACCCATGAGAAATCGAACAAAATAAGATGTTTCCGATAAGACTCCGTCGAATGAAAACATCTCGGTATAGCGGTATGCCACTTGGAATGTGAGCACACCGAACGAGTACAAGAGCCAATAACGTACCTTGACAAGTTTCTCTGCCGCTTCAGTTGCCTTTAGTAGGAAATCATCTCTAATCTCTTTTTTGATATGCGGTCTTTTAGTTCTAGGTAAAAGAGTAAATAAAGTGTCTGAGAGCAAAAAGGAAAAAAAAATGTGTCGAAGGTCAAGCAGTATTGCATTATTGTTGCTTCACTTTGTTCTATGATTGGTCCAGAAAGCTCGCGCCACTTTCTCAACCAATCAGATACAAAACTAAAACCAACCGCCACTTGGTCACCCGCGTTTTCCCGCGCTTCGGGCACTTTGCTTTTACTTTTAATTTTCACTAGCTCCAGCATACCTGAGAATTAGTAGTGAAGATGCTTCAATCAGGTCCGATGTTACTCTTGTTATCGCCTTGATAAGTTCTTCGCTGAGGACAAATCTGCCTTCGATCCTTCTACCACGCATCTTTTGGTGAGCCGACTGCATCATATCACTCAGATGCTGCAGCAGTGACGAGACCAATTTCACACTGGTCTCCGTGAGCTGTGCATGAGTGGGCGTAAAAAAAGAACTCCTCAACTGAATGCAGTTTCTGGGTTTTTTTTTTTTTTGAAAGAGAGGCTAATGTAGGGGTTTCACAAGTGTGATGTTGGGAGTTCCAGGAGGTCTAAAGAGGTATAGCTATGTTCTTTCGCTCAATAACAAAGGAAGATTGAAAATTCATTGTTTTGAACAAAGGATATCAGAACTTTGAATGTCAGAGAGTCTTTCCTTTTTGCGTACATCATTTCTCGAAATCAACCATTCTCACAAAAGCTTAAACATATTCTGAAGCTGTTTTGTTAAAAACTGTTTCAATTAGTTTTGTTTTTTGTTTTTTGTTTTTTAATATAAATAAAAGTTGCTTACACCGAAGATATTCGTCTTCGAACTGAGCACATTGAAAATACAAGTTCGTGACTACTTCAAACCTATAGGAAATTCAATATATCAGTTCTGTTTCTAATTTTTTTTAAAGTTAACCACGCTTCAACTAAACATGTTGTGCGGGGTATGAATTAGGTACGTGTCACCCCTGTAATATTCATTTCATCTTTATTAAATTAATACTAAACTTGCAAGGGAACGCTACCCATGTTAGCACACTGATGATTACCTCTTCTGGTCTTGCTGTCAGCATCTGTAGAGCTAGACTTGTCTGAAAGGCTGAATTCTAAAAAAAAAAACAACAACAACAACAACAACAGCCAAAATGATGAGGATCGTGAGAGAGAGAGCGGATTGAAATAATAACCTTTACGTGTTTGAAACTTTTTGGGGATAAATCGCAATTTCTATTCTTTACGCCAATCACGTGTTCAAGCGGCGAAAAACCATTTTACGTCTATTCTCGTGCGTGCAATATTTTTAGGCGGCAAGCTGTGTGAAGCAGCCTCACTCAACATTCTTTGGTGCCTGTGACTGAGAAAGGGAACTGCTTCCTACAAGGAAACCTGGAAGGTTTACTTGGTTGAGATGCTAATCACCAAATAGTAGGGAAAAGCAAACACTTAGGCGTACGGTAAAATGATGGTGCACCCTTGTTAAAACACATACTGTAAGTATACAGTGATTCCACACTCAAACAATAACATGAAGATGAAGTCACTACGAAATGTCCTTCATTTATACCTGTATTGAGTCGCAGTTCAAGGTATTTCTCTTTTAAGGATTCCAAACATATTTCTTCCTCTTCATTGTTCTTTGCTTACCTTGTCACTCCCAGTGATATTCAAGAGGCGTTGCAATAGCTTTTCTCTGATATCCGTCCTCATTTTATATCTAGAGCTCACATTTTTGACAGATCCAAGCCTGGAAAAGTTAAGGTACATATACTTGAGTTATTCTCATTTCACATCTTGCACAATTCTAAAAATTAACCCATGGAAGTCAATGCTGTTCACCCTTTTTCCCTTAGAAGTAATACGCATGTAATTTCTCCCAACAGTATCAATACAGAATCAAATACTAAGGTCACAAGAATATAGAAAATTATCACGAACTAAAGAAGCCCTTTATTGTTTGAAAAATTATCCTTGTCAAGAGAATATCAACGGCTAATATTCTCTTGTCCTTGTGCCAGTGTCACAGAAAAAAAAACCATACGCAAAAAAGAACGATCAAAAATAAACAAAACAAAACAACGATTGCAGCTCTCTCGTTGCGTCTCTGCCTGAAACACGTGATATCACAGATCTACAAACTCACTAGAACCGGAAGTAAATACCACAAGGACGCTAAGGAATCCGAGTGATGCAAGCACTGTGACCAACTTTGAGGGATCATCGTCCCACGGCCGACCACACGCTACAATGGATTATATACCTCGCGATTTACCTGTTCAGGGAATTAGCCAAAGCTGTTATGAATTGTCGGATGCCTTGATCATCTCCTGTGTCACCTAACAGAGACAAGAGCCTCCCATCTGTCTTATTCAACCTGTAAAATCAGGCCAAAGACTTATATTTATGGGTTCCACCTTCCGATTAAAAAATCTCTTAAAAATGAACACCTTGGTGCAAGTGAGAATAATTTGGAATCTCCTTATTCAAATTGTCCAAAATAGTTTCTTTTGTGTGATAACTTTTGACAGAAAAACTAAAACAACACGTATTTTAAAAAAGTCACCAGTAAGGACTTAAAATCATTAAAATTGTGAAAATCCTTAAATCCCTCCTAAGCTAATGAGAGGTTGCCATTTTTTTAACCTAACCATGCTTGAAGGTTTGTCTGAAGAGAAAAGCAAGAAAACGTATACTCACAAAACTTCTTCTACAGAAACATTCTCTGACATGTTCAGAGGCAACACCCTCACTTGCGTCGGTAAAAAATTCCGCTGTACCTCATCGCTGGCTATTGTCACATGGATTTTAACTACAACGAGAAAGTAACGTTATTTAGGGCAGTCAGTACTTCAATTTCTTCGTTGCAATATCTATGCTAATTTTTAAAGAACAAAAAGGAATAACTAAATACCTAACGCACAAACGAGCACACAAATGAACAAACCGACTTATGGACTGGAATCTAGCTGGGTAACCAACAAAATTATTAACTGTTGGACTTACTGGGATAAGGGGCTAACGATACAAATGTCAGCTTCAGAAACTCTTCAGGGTGGCCAATTTACAACATCAACTACATCTACTCCGTGATTAATACCAGTTGAACTACTAACCTGTGTGATTAAAGGCTTCCAGTCCAGGAGGTAAAACAAACTGAATCTCTGATTTGTAGCTGGAGTACACCAGGATTCTCTCCCCTTCCTCGTTACTAAGGCCATCGACAGTATAGCTAATACGGTAACTTGTAGGCCACGCCTAATCAAAGAAATTGGACTTAAGTAAACCTGTATGAAGTGCACCCAATGCTACATGTATGTGGAGACTCTTAATTAGACAAACACTCACTTAGATCTTGATTTTGTCTTCCTACATCCACTGTAAAACGAACCTGCCATCGATTAAGGTCTAACCCCTAGGAGTAATCAGCATCTAATTTCTCCCAACAGTAAAGTCGCTGAATCAATCATCAAGATCATGAGATTAAATCAACCCAGAAAGCTCTAAAGCTTTGATTGTTAAACGAATTCTCCTTGTCAGTACCCAAAGAAATTTATGGAGAAGATTAAGGAGAATGTAGATACTAATGTTAGGGTGCAAAGGGTTAATTGCTCTCAGTCACTGAGCCCATCTGTGACCCAAACCCTGAAACAAATCTTTTCAAGAGGCCAGCTCGGCCCACCAATCACTGCACAGGATTTATTTCGCTTTGCCCACCAGTGGAGACTATCATGCAAATAAAAGAACTTAATTTCCTCACCTTGGAAGATTTTTCAGAACACGTCAGCTGGAACGCGGTCTCCAAAGCTTCTCCGATGGAAGGTGTTACAACGCATGTTTCGCACTCTGGAGTCTTACTAGTGTTGAAGTAGATAGACGCTAATCCTTTCTGACCGGTGTCACGATCATTCACCTTGAGAGTCACCATGTACATATGACCTGGTGGAAAATAGCCACCGAGAACGACAAAATTTTTACTCCTGAGGCCTGTAGTTGTGTGCTTTTCCAAAAGTCTCATCGAGTTTTTCTTGAAACTGATAAAACTTCCCGAAAGCTTTCCAGATGGTGGAATATACGTTGGAATATATAAATCATCAACTTCATCATCGTCATATTTATCATCGTTATCACCTCCGACATCGTTAGTTGAGGTTGTTGTAACACCACTTCCTGTTCCAAGTCCCTTTCCAGTGCTTAGGCCAGCACTGCTACCAGTGCCAATTCCTACACCCAAAGTGGGCCGTCTGGTTGTTTCAGTGGCAGGGAAAGGTCCATAGAAATTAGGATCTATACAGATACGACCACGACCAAATCTTTTTGGCGGTGATCTTGTAGCAGCAGTTTTCTTGAAGGTTAATGGCTTACTGGTTGGTCTTGACCCTCTTAGAGGGTAAAAAGTAGGTTTTGAGGTCAACGGCGTTACTGTACCATGAAAAACAGAGTTAATCATTGGATTGGTTATTGACTCACTAAAACATTCTTCCTCCCTCTCGGGCGGGTCAGAGCCACCAAGTTGAACGTGATAAATATACCACTCGTAAGTTATGTTAGTATTGTTTGAGGGGCATGACGAGCATAGGCCCATAATGACGAGAGGTGCAGTGGGATTCACAATACCCTTGTCACACTGAAGGCAATCAGTAGACAACCTAAGGAAATAACATAAATAAAAAATAAACAAATAAATAAGATAACCTAATAACCCAATAAGTAAATTGAAATGTAACAGTGGGGCTTCTCATTGATTCGCTTTTTGTCTACTACCGCATTCTTCGTGTTGGCTCATGCGAAGGGAAGAAAATTGGAGAACAGGAAAAAAAACTTCAGGGTAAGGACAAGAAACAACAACAGAGCTGAACCCACATGTGATGCCAGGTTTGGGAATGGAACCCAGGTCACACCTAGGGAAGACGGAAACATCTCTGTTGCACCATCCCTGCTCACCCCTACACCCAACATTGCTTCCATCTGTAGTTCTGTCTTTAATCTTTAATCTTTAATCAACAAAAGCTACCATGACGCTCCAAAAAGCAAAATCACATCAAAAAAGAGAACGTATGCACCTTTGCACCTCTCATGTTCTAATACACAGAGCTCAGATCTAATCTTTACTTTAACTTTTATGTAAAATATATTATGAAATTATCCACTGTTGGTTAAGTTATCTCAACTTGCAAAATTGTGGGAGGAGGGGAGCACTCTCATCCCCACCCCTACCCCACTTAAACTACAATGGAAGTATACATCAACTTACACTAGACATTTAAGGTTATGCATCAAAAAAAAATTGTAACAACTTGACTGGCAACTCACAGATGTCCACGTCCAGGGTTCATGAGAAGAATCTTCGAGGCTTTGGCTTTTCTAGAATCCTTTGCCACTGTGACCACAAACTCATAGGAGTCAAATGAGTTGCCTTCCAAAAGCCAGTCTACTTGAAACTTAAGAACACTCTGGTTTCTGCTCATTGAGACAGGTGTCCTTGAATCATTGAAACATGACTTGGCTTTGTCTTTTAACAGGTGGCAACTCCAGTGAAACCTGTGTGGAGGAGAGTATGTACCACAGCAAGTTACAACATGAAGAAACAAATGTATATGCATGGTGACTGTTACAGAATAATTAGGATCTTTTCTCATGATACTTCAGAGCTCTTTCCACCCAAATACAATGTGCATATGATTTTACCTTGCTATTTAATGCACTGTTAGGGCTGAAAGGAAACTGTGATAAAGGAATATGGCCTATAGAACACTGCAAATACAACACTGCAGGACTTGAACAAATGATGACATCTAAATACAACTTTTGCGGTTAACCCTTTAACTCCCATATCAAATTTGTAATTCTCCTTACTGTCAACAATAAAATGCTTATAATGTTAGTTCAGAGAATTTAGTATAAGGAGAAATTCTCTCTTGGTCACTCATGGAAGTTTAATGTATTAACCCTTAAAAGGGTTAATACATTTGCATGTGGCAATATATATTTCACTGTTCTCATGGCAAGTCATTTATTAGTTATTGATTGTTTCTTTGGAAATACTCTGAAAGATAATACATAATTTTTTTTGGGAAGTCACCTCAGTGTCACATCCTGAAAACATGTGAAAAGGAAACTAAGAGGAAAAGCCTGCACTTAATGCCAGTTTTCCTACCTTAGTAGGTGACTCTCATCTGGAAAATCAGGATCATAAGAGGGTGATGCATCCATTACAATTTTTTCGTGTGTACAGGCAACAACTGCATAAGTGCCCCCTTTTATCACAGCCACCAGATGACTCTTCACAACTGTCACCCTCACTTTGGTCAATGAGGCTAATCCTGTATTCTTTCCCCTAACCTATGCACACAAGGGACATATATAAATGTTAGCTGAAAAAACACATTCACATTTCAGTAAAATCTTTGATCCACTACTCGACAGACAAAGAGCAACACATTGTATCTACTTGTTGACAACATTTCCCTGATAACATTGCACCAATCTCTTAAACTGATCTTAAAAAGAGTGAAAGTGAAAAGATCCATAAACAGATTCCAAGTTCCATACCTCAAGATGGAAATAATATTCTCCATAATCCAGCAGATGAGGAGGAAGGATAAGTGCTCCCCTTGTGAAACTCACTCCTTCTGGCTCAACTGTACCTCCTTCTTGGGCACCAGATGCAGCAGTTACCTGACGAGGTGAATTTAAAGAGATTAGAAAAAAAGATATGACTTTAAAGAGATGAAAATCCCACTCCTATGTTAATGTTTTTGTCATCACTATCATTATTGTCATCATTTCGTTATTACTATCATTATTGTTACAGTTGCCATAATCATTGTTGTCACAGTTAACATCATCAATATCACCATCATCATCAGAATGTTATTAACGTATTGAAAACCTTCCAATAAATACCTTCCACATGTAAGTAAGTTGATCGGCCTTACTGCAGTTTACACCAACATCAGCCTCTAAACGAAGCTCCTTTGATCGAAACACCTGTAAAATACATCATTGGCTGTAATCAGAGTTTCAAATATTAATAACAATTAAAACAATTAAGTCAGACAACACATTTTCACAGGTTTTTATGATGTGATAAACCCATGTGTGATGTTGGGCAAGTCAAATGGGCAAATCAAATGAGTGAGTCAATTTGGATACAAGTTTGCCCAAGTTTCCCTGGCTAGGTTTTTTTTCAACCACATGGAATAAGAGAACCAATTTTGCATTGTCATTCAGGAAATAAATTTCTACATGTTATGTTGAAATACTATGGCATAATCAGGCAGTGACTATATGTCTCCTGTTTCCAATACAACTTTGCATTAATACAAAACCACACTATATTAGCCACAGGCTATACATGAACTCCCCCTTCCCCACCCCCCACACTTGCTTCATTAGCAAGTTTTGTCTAAAATCTCTATGTTATAACCCACCTTTCCACTATTAAGTCCAAGCAAAGTGACAGCTGGTGGGTAACAAGCTGGTAATTTGGTCACATAGACTATGATTGATGTTTCCTCTGGATTATTAAGCGGATTAGAAGCAACAAGGTTGATTCTGTGCTCCCCTTCCCTATGCACAACAGGAAAAAATGACAAAGACAAAGTTTTCAATGAAGTGTTATGAAACCTAAACCAAAGTAGATGTAATCACAAAGGCAAATGAGACAAACAAAAATATCACAAGGAGCCAATAAAGACAAACAAAACAAGCAAACTACCACAGAGGTACAACACATAAGTCACTAAGTCACAATTGGTTTAAGGGTTGAATTCAATTAGTTGAGAAAGTGGCCCAAGTTTTCTGAAACAATCACAGAGCAAAGCAAAATCAAAGCAGTTCAAGCCATTGCCTTGGGAAAACTTCAGATTGTTGTTTCTCTCTGAACCTGCCATTTAAGCATTTCATATCAAGCTCATTCTTGGTCATAGAAGCATATACAAAAATTCCTCGTTAGATTCTTACCTTGTGTAGTTGTGAGTAATACTTGTTGATGTGGTATTTATCACTGATCCATCTTCAAAGTCCCAACAGAAGGTAACATTAGTCCCCTTCTTCACACTTGCGGTCAAACGGGAAGGCCTTCCTAACAGCACTGTTGAGTCATGATGGATGGAAAGCTGTTGAAGGAGACCATGATTGAAAGGTACACTCAGTGTCTTCATTTCAGGCAAAACCGAAGATTCTTCCCACTATCTAAATTTATCCTTCTCAAACTCTTACCCCAGATATTTCTTCATACACAAAGACCAAAAGTTCATTAGACCAAACAGAGCTGACTTCATTTTCTGCCTCAGCTTTCACAATAAACCTTAAAGACAAAATTTGGCAGAATTAATTCTACATAACTGTCCAAAATACTCTCATGATGACAATCACACCAAATGATCCCTGGTTTCCATGGCACTGTAGACTGACTAGGAAAATTTCTTGTCCTCATAGATATCATGCCAAGTCATTGAAGGTTACTCCCCTCCTTCCCCAAGAATTTTTGTATGTTTCCCATGGGGGGTGAAGCAGTGCCAGAGTGCACTGATTGCCCAAGAGTACGTAACAATGTCTGGTCATAGCTACAGCCCAGACATCTTGATTCCGATTCCAGAGTCCATCAACCCACAGTGTTTTGCACCACCACCAAGGGAAGAATGCTGCATTCTTAACAAGAAAGCCAAACAAAGTGGTCCACCTCACCTTCCTGGTTTCCAAAATATGGCAAGCATAAGATTGCCTAATGGTGCATGGACCCTGTCATTCCTGTGAAACCTGATCTTGACATTTCCCTTTGGTCCTATTGCAGGTAATACCTCTGCAGTGAATGTTGTTTCCTCACCTGTCCCCAATATTACATGTGGCTTCTCGGGTTTTAATATCACGCCTAGAATAATCACTCAAAGAATGAGAGTGGTGCCATTTATAAAGACTTTTCTTTGTACATGTTTGTTGAAGCTTCTTCAACATCAACCTGTTACATATCTGCTGCTTTGGTTTTGTGTCAGCATGCCTCTTAGACTCTCTGTGCATTCATGTTTTTAGTTTTTTTCAGCAAATCCTAAATTTCTAGCCTAGCATGAATCCTCATAGCAAGTTCAGGTCATCTTTTCCCAATTTACTTGTCTACTTTTTCTATACTGTTATCTTGTATTTTATGGTGACAGCCTTTTTATGTCTAATCAGCTTTGCTGTTTGTCAGTCAGAGATGACTGAGGCTGCTTGTTGATTTGAAAATCCTTGCCCTTTAGCCCCTAGGAGTGACTAGCATCTAATTTCTCCTCACAATATCACCCCTGAATCAAACATGAAAGTCATGAGAATAGAGGAGATGATCAACAACAAATGCAGCTCTTGATTGTGAAACAAATTCTCCTTTTCAGCCTCTTTAGAAGAGTATAGAGAACAGTATGGAGAATATGCATACTGATGTTAGGGTGTAAAGGGTTAATTGAACTGTGAAATGGACTGAAATTGAACCAAACCCTAAACCTCAGGATAGCATTTGTCTGATCTTACTGACCCCCTAGAAATAATATGTCAGAAGTCTCCTGCAACCTTACATACATGCATCATCTTCTTAATGCAGGAATGGGGGAGGGTATGCAAAAAATATCTATTGGCAAGTCTAATTGTGTTTCGAGTCAAGACTTTCAATTAACTTTTGAGTGGTACTGTATGTTTATACAGATAATATAATGTACTCACCTTGCAGTCTTTTAATAGGGCACACCTGCTCCACTGTTTGACTTACACCACCATCATAGAATGCAGTAATTGTCACATTATACCACTGATGTGCAAGGGAGAATGAGTGAGACACCTGTGGAACTGGACAGGAAGAAAACACACAACTTAACCTCAAACCAGTCTGAGTATAATTTTCCATAATAAAAAACCTTTTATAATAAAAATTATATAAATTTGGCACTTAGTACTTAAGTTGAAAGGCTCACACTATGTGAGATCAGTCTGATTTCCATGGCATGAAACCAGGGTTGTCACATAGCAACAGCTGTTGGCCACATGAATTGCCCCTTACATTTCTTTTGCTGGCTCTTGTATCAAACAAGAATCTCAGGAGCCCCTCCCCCCCTTCTTGGACGTGTCATCTTTGAGCTGCCTCGCTTGAAATACCAATGATATTTCTTGACTAAAACCCTACTCAAACCAATCTGAGTTTAATTTCCTTGATAAAAAAATTGTTTTATTAATAAAATTAGTAAAACAAAGTCAGCATTTTGAGCCAATTAAGTGGCCCACACATCATGAGATTAAGAGTGTTCCGACCCACCCTGGATGAGATGCTAGTCCATCATCTGCTACCCCTAACATGTTGTCAGGGTTCTCTCAGGGTTTGGAATAAACCAAAATTTATTCATTTATTTATTCATTTATGTGTGATATTTAGAAAGGCTGGCCCTGTTCAGCTTGAAACCTGCTTCAACTGGACAAGCCTGTATAAACTATTACATGGCCAGACCACAACACCGAGAGCTGCATTCCAAACTCTTTGCAAGAAGTGCATGGGTTCTTAAATGTCCCTTGCTAACCAGTACAGAGAACCCTCAACCTCCCATACATTGGTCAGGAGCTCTACAAGATGAGCTTATCAACTAACCACAATGGCACACGGAGACGCAGTGGCCTCATGGTTAGTGCGCTCAACTCCAGAGCCCTGGCCAGGGTCATCGTGTAGTGTTCTTAGGCAAGACACTTTACTCTCACAGTGCTTCTCTTCACCCAGGTGTACAAATGGGTACCAGCAAATGTGCTGGGAATAACCCTACGATGGACTAGCATCCCAACAATACTCCTAGCTGCTTCATGTTAAGAAAACTGGAGTTAAGCACCGGCCCCATGGGCCACTTGGGCCTGTATAAAGGCTTAACTACTTTTACAATGGCACTCAAATTTCAAAATAAATATGTAAGTTAAACCTAGCTTACAACAATATTAACTTGCTCACCTGAGGTTGTGATATTTGGAGAAGAATCATTAAAATTCCATTTATAGATAACATTACATCCCTCTAAATCCAAGATTCTGGCTTTTAATATTGACGACATGTTTGCTTCAACACGCAAACAATCCTTGCTATTCTTCTCAAGTTCAATGCTTGCCTTAAAATGTTCCACAACAACATAAAAGGTCTGACACTTCCGACTAATAGCGTTTGACACTGTGACATTGATTGTAAAATTGCCTGAACTTCTAAAGATGTGGGAAGCAGTCATACAAGAGTAATCCTGTGAATTGTGATCTGGTGAAGAATCTGTTGCAGTATATGGAACAGTTCTATCCCCAAAGTCAAATCTAAATTCAGGGAAGGACCCCTGAACAATCATAAATTTGAAATAAACCAATTTACAGCTTCTTATTAATGGAAATCTGATGGGCACTTTGCTACCTCCTTGAAAGACAGTGACAAGTTGTAAGCCAGTTATTGGAACCAAAACCCCAACATGACTGCATTTCCGCTGGAATGAGAACAAGTTACGTGCAAAAACACAAACCTCCTGACTGCCATACTGTTGAAACATTATATCTTTTGAGATATTCATTGAATATCCAGTTAAATGAACTTTTGCATCATTGTAAACCTTTCCTTGAACAGACCATGTTATAAAAATGCTGTCAGCTGTTTCATTTCCTTGTTTTATTCTGTTCAAACCACTGACTTCATCTGCCAATCTTTTGATAGAGAGTATTGATGTAACAGTGACTAAGGTGCCTTTTGCAGCTTGGTTTGGAAGAATATTATGCAATGATTCAAGAAGTGGGACGGATGTTGAGTAGATATTACTTGCATTTGTTCCTCCACACATGATACTTTTGTCTCCATGACAACTGTAAGCAAACAAATAGATGCACTCTATAGAAAAAAAATACTGTTTTTTTGCTTCAGAGCTATTAGTTTCCTACATGTATCTGCCTCCCATAATTGTATGCAAACCCTGGCCTGAGAGAGAGAGAACATAAGTATCTATCCCAAGAACATGACATGTTGACCATCATGTAGTCATGCAGGTATCAAACCTGAACAGCTTGGTTTGGCTTTCACATCTCCCACAGAAAAGAAGGCTTGATAGAGAGGGGGAAGTTTGAACTTCTTATCTCTAGTACTGGCCTCCCCCCCCTCCTCCACCCCTCTCATTGGATCCCCTACCAAATTCTTCCCCCAAATCAGAAACTCTAAAATTGTAGCTTTGCTATAATTTTAGTTAGGGCTAGTTGGCAATACCCCCTGAAAATCAAACTACATGTCCTGGTACCAGTACTATTAACCATTTAACCCCTAAGAGTGGCTGGCATCTAATTTCTCTTAACCATATCACCCCAGAATCAAAAATGAGGGTCAGGAGAATAAAGGAGCTGATCACCCAGTAAAGAAGCTCTTGATTGCTAGACAAATTCTCCATGTCTGCATCTTAGGAAATGTTTAGAGAACAGTGTGGAGAATATGCATACTGATTTTAGGGTGTAAAGGATTAAAAGACATTGCTTATAAATTAATTTTAAAAAAATAATTTATAATAATAAATAATTTTAAGCAGACATTTAATACCTCGTGTTGCAGTGAATATCACTGGTGGTGGCATTCTTGTCTATTTCCATAAGGCAAATACAGATACTTCCATTTCTTACTGCAGCATAACGGTAGCTGCCAGGGAACAAAACAAATTCAATCACATTTGGCCCACTGGCATAAAGCCACACCTTCTGATCCAGGAACCGCTATCACACTCTAAGACTAACCCATTAATGTCTCCTGATCGTACCAATGACTTCAAATCATCTTTCCAAATTCTTAGCCAAACTCTCAATCATTGAAGTTCTTTGCATTTACACTGTCTCTCAACTGTACATGACTTTTGAATGAACTCCACACATCACCCTGTGTTCAGTGTTTTCCATATAGTTTTTGGGTGTTGTGCAGCCAATTAAAATAGTACTTGCAGGAAATAAAAATTTATTTCAGATCAAGACAGATGTGGCACAGCTTTAAAGCCAGCCCTTCAGAAACAAGAATCAAAAGGAAACCAGCTTCTCCCCTATTTGTGGAGAACAGTGTGTGTTGGTATTTAAAGGGTTTAAACTGATTTATTGTGAAGGGTGACACTAAGGGTTATTAGCCATATGCTTTTGAAACAAGTGATGAAGTGAAGGCTATATTGTTGGGGAAAAAGTTCTAACTGAGTTCTGATAAACGAACTGCTGAATTCTCTTTCTGAATGTTTGTGTAATTCCAAGGAAAATTTAACATGGGGAATTTGGCATTACATCAAAACCAACCTACAGATACCAGTTTCATCAATCTTCACCAAGTTAACTGCAATTACAGTGTCGTCATAAAAAAGAAAATTAAAAAAGCGACTTTAAGGTGGAATGACCCTAACCTAAACAACTAATTTTGTTTTCCCCAAACTTTATTTTTTCAACTCATCAAATAACACTTACCGCTTAACACACTGACTGACACAGTTCACTGGTGTCATAGGATCCCTTTGAGCAGATGTGTGGGATGAGCCTTTACTAATGTGGCCATTAGTGACATCCCTGTTATTGTAACAGCCCATGTACCATGGCACTTGAAAAGAAAAAAAAGAAAAAAAAAAAAGAGTTGTGAGAAGTTTTAAATAGAGATCTTTAATAGAAATCTTTAAAAGCACCCAAGTTATTTAGAAAAATATGCTTTTAACTAAAAGTTAATAAATCAGGATGGTGTCACTATCTTGGACCTGGGCAAACCCCCTAGAGGAATTTTTCGTGGCAACTACTCATGATAGGGCTCGTTTTTGGTGTCATTTCTATATTTTGTTTACATTGCGCACTTTAAAAAACTCACAAACGGAGATCTTTGCTCATGGAAAATCCAAAACCGGAAGATAATCCTTGGTAAAGAAGGAAAGAAAGAGTATCATTCTGTCAAAAAAGAAAAAGAATCCTTTGTGAAAGTGACTTGTACTAGAAGAGCTCCAAGCTGGCGTCCAGATTTCGACCATTTTGCTCCTGCTGTAACATCCAATACCCGATAAATTCAATAGAAGAACCTTCCGTCATTTCACACCTTACCGGCTCCTGACACTTCTTTAAAAGAAAAGTTGCTTAAATTACATTTTTATTGTAATCTGCAATTAACAAACCTTCTATGATCAGAAGAAAGGCTTTCTTATGATGCATAGTTCACTAGGATTTTAGTGAAACTCGTGCACGTACAAATTTTTTCTGAAGGACACCTGTGACAGTGGGAAATAACCTTAACTTGCAACTTTCTACAAACCAGCTTACTACTGGATCAACAAAACATTTGTACAGACTAAAAAATCCTGCATCTGAGCAACTGAATTTTTCAATCTCACGATGGATATAATAAAGTGGTACATATCATTGAACGTTGTGTTGTATAATTTTAGTCTAATCATGATTTCAAATCAAACTTGTGCTGTATGGCGCTCCAACTGAAGCAAATTGTTGACGCCATACAAGCGCTGCTTCTTGTCAATAGCTGCGTCAATTTGACACAGGTATTTAAGTCACAAACCGGAAGAACTGAAAAGCGTGACAAGTGAGTAAAAATAGAAAAAAAAATTGGGGGTCAAGCCAACCAGGAACCCCTTGTCTCTTCCGGAAAGACTTCTTCCATTTTTCAATAGACAATTTTTGCTTTTTTGCTTTCTTGCTTTCTCATATTGAACTTTTTATGTAAAGAAAAAATTAACAGTGTTATTCAAAACACAATTAAACAATAAAGTCATGAGAATAAAAAAAAAATGATAGTCTACAGAGAAAAATCTTGATTATTAACCAATTCCTCCTTTTCAGTTCTATGGGAAATGCACAACAAACAGAGAAAAGTGTGGAAAATTTGTATACTGATGAAAGGTCTACAGAGTTATTTGAGTAAAGCTCCTGTAAATTGCAACTATTCGTGATTCTTACCCATTGCCACCTGTGAATTAAATAATTGTCAAGAACAGCTACCCTCTACCAACTGTAGTAGAGTACCAGAACATAATTTATAATCCGGAAGTCTGATGTTCCCCTGATCCCATGTGTAGGACAAGATAAGAAAGCTGGAATTTGTTTTTTTATTTATGATACATAAAGCAGATTTTTGATAACTGGATATCCTTCAGAAGTTAAGAATCATGGCTCAACATGTGAACTGCCCTTTTCTTGAGGAGACCTTTCTACACCAAAAGGCGCACACTCTCTGACAGTCAGTTTGTCAAAGGAGAAATTCCCAGTCCATTTCTTAAGATCAGAGAGAAAAATCCACACTTACAGTGTATCACCTGGGTGAAAAAGGCGTTATTCCATATGTTATACACAAAAATGTGCACCACGAAGGGACGGAGAATCGATTCTAAAAACAGGTGCACTGCTTGTTTCAGAAACATAGGGCAAATTATTTATCGCAATGCACTGCCACGACAAAACATTCTCTACCTTTTTCTGAATGATAAACTCGCTTTCTTGGCACTTTGAAAACTTAAAGGAAATCTGAAACTATGCATTTACGTAACATATCATGGGGAAAAGATTATTTTTCAAGCTCCCCGATAATGGAATTGAAAGTCGATATATGTTTGTGCACAACTAGAGAGAATTACTTGCGTCCCAGTCATCTCTTTCTCCTTGTTCAATGATGAAATTTTGAAAACTGAGTGATAGTTCCAGCAGATCTCTAATTTTTTTCATATCCGATCGAGAGTAATATTATCATGACCTTGAAATCAAGGTTTATGTTTCGACGGATCGGGTTTTCACTTGTTACGCACATAATCATAATTCCAAATTATCATAAAATTCTATATTTACTCAAAAACTAAAACAACCTGAACATGAACCTAATGATTTAATGATTTCTCGAGTACTTCCTCAGTCTTGATCAACCACAAAACACAGTCTCTGTGTTAATTCTCTTTCTAAGAAAATTTTAAGTAACACGTCCTCTGATGTAATAAACCCAGCGTAAATATCGTATTTCAAATGTACGTACTAGCTATGAAGTTTTGTTATTGAACTATTACGACGAAACGAAACCTTAAGACTCCGTAAAGGGAAAACGAACAATTAAGTGCGCAAAACCCCAAAACGACAGTAATTAAATACCAATTGTGCGCTGCGAGTGCGAGTGTTCGACCGTATTAACGATCGCTACCTATAAACATTTATTACACGTTCTACGCAATTATAGTTTATTGTCTACTGTTTTTACACGGATCGAAGAGTTTTCTTTGTGATCTATGACCCCAGAGGCAACACAATAAGACAATGAAAAGAACTAATTTCAGCTGCATCAAATCTAAGCTTTAATTTGCGAAGAATACGTATCTGCCTGTATCTACCGCAAAGAATATGCCAGATTCTGTGTTACTTTAAATGTCCAGAGATTGACGCGCACATTAATTTTTGTTAATGGAAGTTTTTAAGGCCTGCCTGAATATTTGTGAGTCGAGGTTAAAATAGCGATTTCAAAGTCACTGCGCCTAGTACCGGGAGTCCTCAGCGGTCACAGAAAGGCCTGAAAAACTCAATTTGGAGCCGAACGTAACGATAATTAACCAAATGTAACAACGGATGAAATAAACTAACCTGATTCATTCTGCTCTGGTCTTGATCTCGCAAAGAAGCACAACAGTAAAAGCCATACAAACACAAGATTTGACTCCTTAGCCATTTTTTCCGATGGTTCTTGTCCACATCTTCTCGCCTTTCGACGAAAAATCAAGACATTCCTTTGACCGCGAATCGTAATCCTCACAAATACGTGCACAGTACAACTCTGTTGCGTGTTGTTACTAGTCTCCTGGGAGATCTCCCGGTCAATGGTCACGATACAAGAGCAAAAAGGGTGCAAAAGCCAACAGGGTGCTATTTTTGCGCTTTTCTGTAGTGGTCAAAGAACAAGTAAACTTACTGATTGAATATAAACACGATCTGAACCTGTCATTTATGTCGGAAACGTCCTGTGAGGTGATAAGGTGGTGGACAATTCTACTAAACAGGCATGGTCCGCCAAGAACTCCAAACTGAGAGGCAGTCCCTCGAACTCCCATGAGTGACCGACACAGAAGTTCTCCATACAATATCAAGCATATAAGAGATGAGAATAAAAACATCAATTAGGGGATTATTAGATGATCCAAAAGTAAATTCTCTGAATGACAGCATATGAGAACTGTATGTCAGACAGTAAGGAGAATTACAAAAGAGATCTGGTGAGTGAAGAGGTTAAATTGGGTGTACAATTTAAATTTTTAGCCTACCATTGTAGACAGAAAGCCTTAAACAGGATATGATGCACGCGTGTCACATTCCAAATCTAATTTGAATATATTCCTCCTGCATATATTCCAGACATGGCTGACAGGAGTCGATATGCCAAAGTCTAAACAATACTTGTTTTGTCTGTTTAAGAGCAGACAAATCGGAAAGGCTACCTTCTTAAACATTGTCAAGGTCTTTTTTTAGCCTAGATGACACTCTCCCATATAAGCAAAACCCAAGTGCCCCACGACTATTTCAGTTCATAATCCGCATTTCACACCCAATATGTAGTCCGTAATATCTTATACTGACCCACCTCAGATTAACCATACATAACCAAATTCACAGTGGTGCTTGACGATTCAACGCTCTCTAATGTTACGATTTGTTTAAGCTTCGTAGATGTGGGTCTATGTCTTTTTTTTTTCTTTGGCGCACAGCTGTGTTGAATGGATGTACGAAGATAAAGCCATCTTCCGTTTGGGATTACCAATCAAAAGACAACGACATCACGTATCCGTGGAAAAACCTATGGCGTATTTACGACTTAGCAAATAGCGATCCATATGAAATAAAACGACAATCCATTTAGCGTAGCTTATCAGGTATGTGTGTTACTAGATTAGAAGAGTCTTAATTCTCGATAATGGTCGCGGTAAGTTCCTTGACTTGGGTTGTTGTTGTTATTGCTTTTGGACAAACAAGGAAAACAAGGAAGACGACACAAGCTGACAAGTAAATAATTTTATTGTAAAATAAGTTTTAAAAACACTCTTTATGTTACATCTTGCCTTGATAAAGCAGCAGGAGCGAAAAGAATGAAACAATCAAGTTCAACGGCAGAAAATTTATGAGTTAAATAGCTTATTGTTCGAAGAATCCGCCGAAGATGTATCGGTGCTCGAGGGAATGCTGACATCCAAAACCCTTAGGGAAAGAATGAGATGAGAGAAAAGGCCCAACCAGTCATGGAAGATTTGTAATTTTTCATATTCTGCCGATTAAATTAAATATTAATAAAGTTAAACCTTCGAAACAAATGCACGACGATAACTTGTAATCGTTATGTTATTTTTAAATAATTTCCTTTTTTTTAAAGGATGTAAAAACCTCGACACCATGAACGCTTAGCTTTGCTGTAAGGTGGATATGGCAAAAACCAAACTAATACTGTACGATTTGTTAAGAAAATAATCAAACTAAGACATCTATAACAGCTCCTTTTCTTTTACACAATAGCGGTTGAGGAAGATCTTTGTCTGCGCGTTTGAAGAGCAGCTCGACCGAAGTTTCAGAAAAATTCACAGCGATCCTAAAAAGGAAAAAAACATATTGATATAATGAAATGTGACACAACAAAGCGCAAGTACACGTGTCATGACTTAACGTTATGAGGGAAGATAAGTCTGTTTTAAAGGTTCGCACTCAAAATTTTGATACTTTTTCCTACCGATTAGTCTCCTCAAATAACTACTTCCTTCATCAAGAAATCCAGAGACTAGATGAGACCAAACTGTCTCAGGAATCCATGGTTCCTGACCACCTTTTTTCAAGGTCAACCCCTTATTAGAATCCATTCCCGTTTTTACCTTTCTGAAACATGAACGGCGGCAGACATGTCTTGTTGGGATTCTGCTTGCACCAACAGCTTGGCAACTAACTCGACCACATGCTCCGTGTGGAACATGAAGTCACCTTTCTGATGGTTCTTATCTTGTTTGTCCTGAAAAGAACACAAGATCGAAATCAAAACGATGAGCTGAAAAAAACTAACGCTTGGCCTAAGTGAAGGCCCTCGTTCATTACACTACAGGACGCACGTTCGTCAGCGGGAAGATTTGGGACGAATCGAGAAGAGCTTGGCCGGGGATCTGGGACTACTAATTATCACCCGTTGGCTGGCGTTGCTCAAAGCCTCCTACTTTCCCGCGGGCAAAGAAACGCTTCCGCCGAGACGCTATTAATAATGAGGGCTTAACTATCGCTATACAAGACGACAAATTTGCCATTTGTCAATCAATGAATTTCAGCGAAAAAAAAGAATCATTGAAATGAATAAAATGATGGCTCAAAACACATGTCAGTGCTCGCCCATTTAACATGAGCAATTGTGACACAAAAACCAAGACATCGATCTGAAATTTAAACTTCTAACTATGACAAAATTTTAAGTTCCCCCAAACCACGAGTTAAAAAAAAAAAAAAAAAAAAACTGAGAGTCCGCTTATCATTTATCGCCGGGGGGGGGGGGGGCGGAGGGCGGAGGGCGGAGGGCGGAGGGCGGAGGGCGGAGAATCTACCTGGACACCCCCCCCACCTTCCCGGGCGCTGTAGTATTCTTTTGATTCCCCCTAACTGGAAGTCAATTTTCTATAGTGGGCCCTTTACGCTCTGTTAGCGACAACTGATTTCCCTCCGTTCCCCTAAAAATAATGTGATCCCCAAAATACCCCCCCCCCCCGCCCTCCTCGACAAATATTGATTGGTCCCAAAGAATAACACAGACAGATGGACATCTACCGTGCGAATGTGGAACACGATTACTCCGTCTTTCAGCGGACTGACGGAGATTCTCTGAATGTCTCCCAAATCAATGTTGTATTTCGTGAGGAGAGACTTGGGGTCTAACACCAGCATCTCAGTGTCCGAAATGGTCAAAATGTGAGGTACTGCCTGGAAGAAGAGGAACGATAAAACATGGAAATTACAGCTTACTTATATGTCTGTAAAGTATTTTCATGCAGAGTTCGTTCCAAATTAAGAAAATGTTCCAACTATGAGAGGAAGTAACTTAAAAAACAGATTTCCCCACTCGAAACGCTTACGTTTAAAATCCAGACTAAAACTAGTTTCGTGAAATCGAGCCTTCAGATTACGCTTTTTTTTGAAGGGTATTCACTCTTTTAAGAAAAATATGTTAGCTTATCACTCACAGATATAAACAAAAGATCAAGTCTGAAGGTCGCAAACATCGCTTTCGATCAACTGTGAGATCACTGTTGTGAAAGAATAACTGTTCTCTCCCAGTAGGAATTTACTCTGAAATCTTTGTAAAGGAGAAGCAAATCGCCGCATGAAAACTTTCGCTTTTCTCCGCGCCCGTTCCACATTTAACGCACAGCCGTTTTATCCTCTCCCCTCTTACATTTAATTCCTGATCAACAAACTGAAAATATAATACAACAATAAAAACATTTTAGTAGACCTTGCCGTTTTTTCTATTGATCTTTAACACAGAATCCGCCCACACGATTCGTTGGTTGTTGTTACCAGTGTTCTTTTTCCACTTTGGATTGGCATTAAGGTTGACACGATCGCTTTGGAAAGGAACTGCTACCCTACAAAACAAGAAGTACGAACAAAAAGAAAAACGGTTTTTATCTTCCTAAAAGCTTGAGTGGTATGTTTTGGGAATACTTGGCTCCTGTGTTCATAAAATGGGAGGAAAATTGCAAGATCCACAGGGACAGGACTTAACATCCACATCACAAAAATAAAGAGAGACGGAATTTAACAAAGTCATGAAAGACGAGAAACATATTGATTGTATCAAAAAGTTATCAAACTTACGTGGAAGGATACGAAGATTTTTTGTCTTTGAACACCTCACTGGCTTGGAGTTTTTCTTTTAGAATCGCTCTCTTTTCGGGAGGACATCTGTCTCTGAATTTCTTACACTGGGGAGGAAAAGAGCCAAATCTGAGCGAGTTTACAAACTATTTCATAGTCTTCCTGCCTTCTTGAGCAACAATAAGAAATATAAGGGAAAATAGTCTGCAGCAGCTTATGCGTAATATTTAGTATTTTCGTTTGATCGTTTGTTTTCGTTCTCTAATGTTTTATGACGACAACTTACTCTCCAAGAGTGGTACAAGCCTTTAAGAAGATTGTTTGTCTCCCTAAACATGGGTGAAGATGAAGGCCAATATGTATCCACAGGTGACAAAGACGGTAGGTTGCTCTTTAGAGTGCTCAAATATCTGTAACGCTGTAATGAATCAGAGTTTACGAATCATATTGCTTGTGACGTGCAAGTTGTAACGAGACTGATGACACATAATTCACAACTGAGGACTAAAGTTTGTTTAAGAAGCTACATACAAAGTACAGGCGAAGAAACTTCATGATCTTTGGAGCTGCATTCTTTCTGAACTTGGGATGATACTCACGACGAACCTAGACAACGTAACAATAAAAAATTATTTTTTTAAATTTCTTGATGTATGCGACCACTCCATGTTTTGTTTATTTTTGTTTTTAATATGGCAATGTACATTTAATCTCAGTTTTCAAAATTACGTTAGTTTTAAGTTAGTTATAAGTCTAATTATTATTCTGCTTAGAAATCTAAGGAACGGTTAGAAAAATCTTTGTCAGATCGCTGGTCGAACCAAAACCACAGCTGTCACAACAGCCAATCAAAAAAGCAAGTCTAATGTCCACATGCACATGAACGCATAAGTAACTGGGTCGCGGGATAAGTCTCTAAAGAAGCTGTGGAGCTGCGTCGGTGGGAGAGTATAGCAAGGTAATTTAGTATTATCGACGGAGTTGATAAGGTGAATTGGCCACCGTAAAGAGTTTCAGAGTTGACGTTTCGAGCGTTACCCCTTCGTCAGAAGGAATGACGAAGGGGTAACGCTCGAAACGTCAGCTTTGAAACTCTTTACGGTGACCAATTTACGTTATCATCTCACTTGATAATACCAAATTACTTAACTATGTAGTAGCCAAGTCTGCATTTTTTTAGTTGAAAAGGCGTCGCGAATTTTCCAGACTGATCACAAGCCTTCATAACATCTTCTCAAGCTAGGATAACTTTTGACTTCCTGTAGGAAATTACTCTGAAATCTTTGTAAGTTTGATGCAACACGTATACTTTAGCGGTGCACGAGGGTTTAAAGCTAGCGGTACTAACAGTTTTTAGTTATCATTTAGACTTCATTAAGATGAAATGATATAAACAACTGGATCTCAAAGAGAGCTGAGCGATATGTTTTTCGTCATATCAAAGCAAAGCTAGAAAGCGTTACGACGCAGCAACACGCAAACCACTCTACCGACAACAAAGGTAAAAAAAAAAATTTTTCGGGGGGCAACGTAACCCTTTTATCTTTTCAAGTGACTGCTGTCCCGGCTGTCTTATCGGAAAAATACATTTGTCTTCAGGGCTCGTGTTCTTTACGCAAAATTCAGTTATTTCACAAAGTTGTCGAGCAGAATACGGCACGACCTGTAGAAAGTTATTCAGTTCACGACAAGTTTTAAACCGATCAAAGCGCGCGTGGTTTCTTGGCCGGTAGTGCAGGCGTATCATAAAGAAGAAGAACTCAGTTTGAAAGCTTGCGACTGTTCACTGATCCGCAATGATTGATTGAAGGTTGAAGTGGACAGAGAAGGGAGCAGGCTGGTCTCTCCTTTTCCTCCTACTTCCTCTTATCTTTCCTCCACCCCTTTTGCGAAAAAAAATTATATCTTTTGTTTACTCCCCAGCCTTTCCTGGTATTAAAAACGTTTCGGTAGCCGAGCTCTTCACGTACAATAATTTGCGCCAAAAATTTGCTTACACTGCAGGCTAATAGTGTCTTAGATAACAACTTTACCAGGAAAAGATATTTCACTCTTAATTCACCTTCCAGCCTATAAAATAGGCTGCGATTATAGTCGCCGCCTGTTTGCGTATCTTTTCAATGACCATGCATCTGTAAAGTTTGCGGGCCTAGTGAAATTAAATGGAATGAATGCGAAAGGAAATCAAATTGACAAAACAATAGTGATTGGAAGTGCGACAAAATGACAGCGACTTAAGTTGCGATTGTCTGAAAGAGTCCAAATAAAAGTTCACTCTTCATTCACCTTCCAGCCTGTAAAATAGGCTGCGATAATAGTCGCCGCCTGTTTGCGTATCTTTTCAATGACCATGCATCTGTAAAGTTTGCGGGCCTAGTGAAATTGAATGGAATGAATGCGAAAGGAAATCAAATTGACAAAACAATAGTGATTGGAAGTGCGACAAAATGACAGCGACTTAAGTTGCGATTGTCTTAAAGAGTCCAAATAAAAGTTCACTCTTCATTCACCTTCCAGCCTGTAAAGTACGCCGCTATTATAATAGCGGCCTGGAAGCGTATCTTTTCAAGGACCATGCTTCTGTAAAGTTTGCGGGCCTGGTGGAATTGAATGGAATGAATGCGAAAGGCAATCAAATTGACAAAACAATAGTGATTTGAAGTGTGACAAAATAAGTGACTTAAGTGCGATTGTCTAAATGAGTTCAAACAAAATTTCAACCTTTCCCGGCTTTGAAAACCCAAACTATCCGGCGCTAGACCTATCACTTACAATCCCGAGTGCCAAAAATTCGCCTGCACTGGCAGACTAAAGGTGCATGCCTTAGTTAACAACTTAACCTGGAAAAAAAGATACCACTCTTAATTCACCTTCCAGCCTGTAAAATAGGCTGCGATTATTGTCGCCGCCTGTTTGCGCTTCTTTTCAAGAACCATGGATCTGTAAAGTTTGCGGGCCTGGTGAAATTGAATGGAATGAATTCATTATGTTGTCCGTTGTGCTCGCTCGTTCCGACAGTCAATTAATGATTAATTATTTAAAAGTCGTAATGAAGTTAGATGTTCAGAAGTTAGCCGATGAAGTATCACCTTTTTCCTATCTACATCATTGGTTAACGCTGCTAGATTCCTCTCATTAATTATATTTGCACTAAGTCAATTAGTCCATTAGTGCCATTAAGTATTTGGGTGACCTAAATTTAACATAACTAACATAGTTGGTTTTTTTTCTTCCCTCGCCTTTTTCTCATATTTACCATCTATTTTATGTGACACGCACGTTATTAATTATATTCAAGTATCAATATTCAATATAAATTTGAACTACAAGTATCCATGTTACTTGATAATGGAGACAAAGGAGGCATCTTGGTGTCGCAGTTTTTTTATCGTTAATTTTGGCAGTGCTAAATGGACTCTTGTTAGGAATTCTAAGCTTTGTTTTCGGAGATCCTCTAAGTATCTTCTTTAAATGGGAAAATTAATTGAAAGGATGAAGTTAGAAGATTATTTTGGGTGTGACTAGAAACGGATCATTCAATAAAACACCGACGTATAAACAGTGTCAATTTTGGAGACGGATTTTGGTGAGTCGGTGAAGCTGTCAAATAACTGCGCAAGGTGAATGAAAGAGGTTTATTAAGGCCAAACTGCTAGTCCTGGTCCCGGACATGTGATGGGAGATTTTCTGTTTTGTGTGTGTGTGTTGTTGTTGTTGTTGTTGTTGTTTTTTCCGGTGAACTCTTTTGGATAATTCCAAGACATAATTAGTAATTCATACTTTTGGCCGCGTACCCTGAATTTCGATGAGGAGTTACATCAAGACAGCGCCCTCTAGTTTATAAATAGTTTAATCTCCTCAGGTGTATGATGGTTAATGTATTGATAATGTTAGGATAAGTTAGGTGTTTATCTCTCCTGAGATTTACAGGATAAACGCTGACCTGCCATCCGTAGAAGTAGGTACGAATTATACCAGAAGCCCAGATACATTTCTTCTCGTACAACATGGCTTTGTAGAGCTTCCGCGCCTGAGACGTAAAACGACTGGTTACTGCTTATAAACCGCTGTTCGGATCGACTTAATAGGATAATATGGGAAAACGAGATATTGAGAATAAAAAAATGCCAACGCACAAAACCACAATGGATTAATGAAGGGTAAAATTTTCTTAACGTCCACAGATATCAATTTAAAAAGCCTAAGGAGGGCTTTTTCCAAGTTGGTAATCCATAAAACTGATAAAATTCCATTACTTTCCATGATCTTATCCACGATTATTTTGATAAGCTCATTAAGAAATAAATGATCAAATAATAGTGAAAAAGGGGCACTCAAAGGTATTGAATGCTTCGTTGTTCACAGAAAAATCGTATCCTCCCATTTTGCGTGAAAACGACAAGAGTTTGTCCACTACAGAGCTGATGGCTAAATGAAGAGCAGAAACAAATGGAAAAGACGAGTGTTATTTATGACAAAATCAAACCAAACTGTAAGTTGCTCGCTGTGAAAGTGATAAGGATTATGTCGAAAGCGTGACATATTAGTAGAGCTGCATTGATATATGTATGTTACACAACAATGCGTTTCCTCGACAAGGCGTAAATGAACAAGAGAGAGACTAATTCGCCACAGGATTCCAGAAAGCATGTTTCTCGATTGTCTATTGCAGGTAGAATTCCCACGGCCTCCAAGAGGCAAGATCTTCTCTTAGGCAAAGCAATCATATTAGCTAGTAATCTGTCGCTACCTTCTTTACAAGATTTAGTTTATAGGAGTTATTTTACAAGAGATAGTTTGCAAGAGTTAGTTTAAAACGATTTTTAAATTAAAGTCAAGACATTGTTACGGTATTACTACGAAGAGTTCCACAAACATTTTCGAAAGTTGGGTTCAGAGTTCAGCGCGGCACACATATTCTATTGCGATTATTACATTATTACACTGTTATTAAGAATATCATTATTGTTCATTAAAGGAAAGAAGAGTAAAAACGAGATTAGCCACTTGTTGCCTGTCATAGCCAACATCGCACAGAGAATCCACACAAGCGTAGCAAGCGTTTTAACTTAGACATGATTTTGATGATCACATGTGTGTGCAATGATCTGAAGAACGTTTCTGTGCCAAGGGTTTTTCGTGATATCAGTAAGAGAGAAACGAAAGAGAAGAGAAACAGAGTTTAGCCATTCTTGCCTGTAGCAGCCCAGAATCGAACTACAAGATAGTATAAGATGAGGATCTTGTAATGAAACTATGCTGACGATAACGTCCACTCAAACGCGACAAACGATGTTTGGTTCCAAAGAGCGACTATTCAAAGTGAAATGTCTCCTGTTTTTTTGGAGTTCAGCTTTTTTCCTTCTGTTTACCCATTGCCTCTTCGTACTGCAATTGTTTTAACATTAATTTTCTTCGAGTCCAAAGGTTCAATTTGATTCATTTCAAATATTATTTGTTTGCTACGATCAGTTGTACAGATAGATCATCATTAATTTTTTCAGAAATACTTGCGCCTTGAGGAAGAAATTGGCTTCCCGACTTGTTCGTCAGATATCATTTTCAAAATTGAAAAACATACCTTCCAGCCGCGAACAAAACGAGCGACGGTAATAGCAGCGCTTCTCTTTCTGAGATAAGTCCGATGATCCTGCGGAAGTGAACAGAGAGTGAATGATCAAACTGCAACAATATTTCGAAAATTATTGAGTTTTCTGCAAAGCTCTGAGAAACACTAACTACTCTTTGAAATTTAACGAGGGAAAAATGCGGAAAAGCTGAGAAAATGTACGCGTTTAAGGCGTTAATTTTTACCTTTGAACTCCCAAGGTCTAAAAAAAAGGCTAATTTTCATTACAGGGATTATTATAAATTTCTTTTTAAGCTGGGAATTTGGTGTTTTATTCAAACTACATTCACTGGCTTATGATTTTCATGATTCTAGTCATTCGTTTAGCTCATCAAAAAGAGGTATCCGTAGCACACTCGGTAAAGAATCGGACCGGAATTCTGAGGTTCGAATTGTGACACATGACTCAAAATTCTTCGTTGTTTCAAGCTAGTGACAAATGTTTAACATCTTTCCAAACAAAATACAACTGTTTATGCAACATCTGTCAGATCCTACTACTTACCCTGAAGCCACGATAATACTTAGCGATGATAATTTCACTCTCTCTCATCTTAAGATACTGTGGATTGATTTAAATAAATTAACTCAGTTTCGCCTCATCCCAGAGTTTACTAAAGCAACCAAAGAAGTTGAATCCGCGAAAATATGCTTAGGGTTACAGCACTAATGATGATTCACTTCATTCAAAAATTTCATTTGCCACTTTTGACAGAATAATTATTTGTGGATTAAGTTCGGTCTGCAAACTAAGACTTGCACTCAGAAATTGATTCTGTTTGATCCCTGTTATATAAATCCAAATTCTGCCGGAATAATTGCATCATCAAAACCTACAATGCAACTCTTAAGCCATTTAAATGCTTTCAAATACAGTTCTAAAAGTAAGTGACACAAGAGGAGAACTCGAGGGGAGGGGTAGGGGCGTTTCACCTTCTCTGTAGAGTAATTCAAGAAGTCCCTCCGGTCTATGATAAGACCTTAAACTCAGCTCTATTTCCGCCACTTCATCGAGCACGCTCGATAGATGTTTTCGGGAAGGCTAAATGCTCCTTGCCCGAACAACAATTATTTGTCGAACCTAGATCTTGAGGCATTTGGGATTATTCTCTCTTTTTCTCTTTGAGAGAGAACATCGTAATAGCATATTAGTACAACTGAAAGACAGTTTGTCAGGCTCCCAAACGGCTTCTCTCCGTAACGTAAATTCCTGTAATTCCAAACGACACGAAGTTTTTCGATTTGACTGTTTCACTCGCTGGAGTCTGAAATAAATACACGTTATAAAACATCCGGGATACGACGCACGTTCTCAATGGTCGATAGGTGTGTTTAGATCGGAGTACGTAAATTTGGTTGAATGATTTATAAAAACTAAAGGGGCCTTTTGCTGTGATTGCATCGCATCACCCAACCGCTTGGGGGATTGGAAGAGTTGCCAACATTTTTCAAACCATCGACTGCCTTTCAGGTTTGCATGTCTGCCTTGAACTTATCGCCCCATTTGTGTTTAAATGAGGCTTCGTAGGCACGGAAAATGACATCTATTCCTTAAACAGTGCTTACTTTGGTTCTCTGTCTCCAGCCTCTGAAAACCTTCTGAATGATGACAGCTAGAAAATGCATTCCTTGAAGACGTCTCTCCTCCAGATCAAATAACTGCGGAAATCAAAAAGCAGAGAATTTACGCAAAGGCTGTGATCACCTTAAACAAAGTCACACCTTGAACAAATATTCGAGAAATATTTAGCCTGTAACCATTACGCAAATTCTTCTCCCACAGGCGAGGTATATTACGCTTTTTTGTAATGTACCTTGGTCTTTAATATTGCGAAAGAAGCCTTCCTGAGAAGTCTACTTTAGTCAAACTTTTAGTCAAACGAAGCTCAGCAGAACATTAAAAGGTTCCACAACTACAAATTCGCTATTTCGAAAAAAAAAAAAAAAAAAAAAAAGGAAAACGGAAAAAAAGGACACAATCTTAAATACCGAGTCATTCTCCTATTACCATATCTTACCGTTCGTGGATTTCTAAAAAAGATCTTTGTTCTTCCATAAGCATACGCTGTTGGTTTGATATTCAAACTCTGAAAAAAAAAGATTATCATCAACGTACTTTTCAGATAATGGCACATCTCCATGCAAATTGGGCAACACTCTCGCTACAAAATGCACAATAGTTCTTTCCTAGCACCGGCAAAAACATGACTGAGCGTTCATGGAAATTGATCAATGAAAAAGCGGTGCCCGCGCGAAGAAGTGAGCGCACAAAAACGGAGAGGCGGGGGTGGGGGGGGAAGGGATCCAAAGTCGTTTCCTAAACAACCGCCGTGTTTCGCCCGTCCACTCTTTCGCCATTCTTTAAAGACCAAGACCCTGGATCAGCTTTTTTATAGAGAGTACCTTAAGTAGTTCTTTAAGGCCTTCTTTCGGCATGCCCACCCAGTTGGGCCAGGTTTTTTTACAAAGCATCTTGTACCTGAATAAGCAAATGTTTAGTTAGTAAGAGCTTTGCTGCAATTTTCAGTTGTGTTTAAGTTGATCCTAGGTGGCAGTAGCTTTCTCCACCACTCTTCGATTGGCTGGAACACTCGTGAAACCCTCTCAGCCAATCGGAGGCAAAACTTAAACTATTCGTGACTTGGTCCCTCACGTTTTCCCGCGCTTGACGCCGGTACAAATACTCACTTTGTGCTTCTATTGGCTACTTTTGAACAACACTCTTCGATTGGCTGGAACACTCGTGAAACCTTCTCAGCCAATCGGAGGCAAAACTTAAACTATTCGTGACTTGGTCCCTCACGTTTTCCCGCGCTTAGCGCCGGTTACAAATACTCACTTTGTGCTTTCATTGGCTCCTTTTGAAATTTTCTTCTTTACTGATTGGCCACTGTGATGACACTTGTTTTGGTTTTAAAAAACTCATACGAAAAGCGCTCTAAAATTTCCGAAGGATCTACAGACTGAAATGCCCGGACAATGAGCTGGCACTCCTCACAACGCTGCAAGTTCACGCTCAAAGCACACGCAAGAACGCCTCAAACGAAGAACACATGGGATTCCAACGCATGCGCATATGCAAAAACCGATGACTACTAGAGAACGCTGATGCTCTTTCTTGTTAACTTCGTTAAACTGCATTCAACTGCATATAAAAAAACATGTCAGAGAAAAGGAAGTGTTTCTTACCTCTCAAGTGCAATGTCATATTCTTGTCTAAATGCAAATCCTGCTCTTCGAACGCGAATGTTCTCCATCAACCTGATTAAAAGATCCAACAAGGAAGATTACTTCCCACAGCAAAACAAAGTCAGTGGGTTTACATATCCTTACGACGTTCAAAATTACCCGTAAATAAAAAGTAACAATGAAATGATAGTTTGTAAATGCATGCAAACAACAACAAAAAAAAGGTGAATAAATAAAAGAAAAGAAACAAGGACAGCATTTATACACACTGCAAATAGCAAAATTTAAACTTAACACTGAGACCAGTAAGATACACCAACAACAACGAATCGCCGTTAAGTTTTTCCTGGGCATAGACTGGGCCTACTACTTTAGGTTTCTTTTCCATGTTACTCGATCCTCTATGCATTTCCCAGAAAGTTATACAAGAAATGTAAGGTGAATAAATTGCCTCACCCAAGATATCGTATCTGGTGTCTGACTAGTTTGTCATCGAACAGCCCTGCAACTTTTCTGTCGTTTGGCTGGAAAGGAAAAGAAGGAAAGCTGTTTAACGTGAAAACGATCGAGCGTATTGTACGCGTATTGAACGCGTATTTTTTAAAATGTAATTTAAATCGTACAAACAACGATAATCTTACGTTCCCTATTTCATCTGTCCGTTTGCACATAAAAAGAGTGGGACAGTCTTAAAGAGTCTCAGTCTGAAGCTAAACTTTGGTGACGTATAATTAGTAAGAAGCGATATTTGATGGCTACTAATTGCAAATCCTTTGCGATGAAATTTTTAATAAAGTAAAGTACCTTGATACATCTGATATAATGAGGATTCTTGCTTTTAAGATTTGTCATCAACTCAGAGACTGAAACCTGTCAGAAAGAAGAGAGGTTCCGTTTAGCTAGAAAACTCTGTTTTCCTCTGAGAGGTAATCACTATAAAGTCTTTAGTATTAAAGCCAGGGTACCCAAGGTACCCAAGGTACAAAAATTTAGAGACTTGACTGTTTCTGATAACATACATGTAGAAACAGTAACAACTACCTTGTGGTCGAACAACAAAGCAAAGAGTAATAATTTTATAGTTCATGCTGTCAAACCTGTATTAAGAGGCACCATATTAAGCGGCCACCCAGTATTGAGCGGTCAGTTGTGAAAATCCCGAATTTCTTTCCCTTTAATCACTGCAATTTCCCCCTCTATTAAGCAGTCACTTCTATTTAGCAGCGGCGGTCACCCTTCACTAAGTCCCAACGGCCTGTTTTTAGTAATTTCGACCTGTATCGAACGGTAACTGAAAGCGGAAGCATTCAAGTATAATTTGGAATAATCTTTCAAGTTATTTGGAATCCATGTTTCTCTCCTAAAGTCAAAGTAGGTAGTATCTTTGAGCGAGATCCTGCACATTAAGTGGTCAATAAAGCTAAGGGTACTAAGAAACAGTCCCTGCGCCATCAGGCCAATAATCTCTCATTCAAAGGGATTGTTTCAATTTCCCTTTTCAATTAAATGTCGTAAACCAATGTAACCACAACGGCTGATTTTAATATAGGGAAAAATCACAAAAGTAGGAAAGCGCAAATGAAACGAGCCGTGAAACAAATTAACGAGTCCATGATGCCTTTCGACACTCAATTGAAAATTGTTCTAGACTTCCTCCACAATAACTCCACATTCACGTGGTAATACGGATACAGTTTACCTTGAACTGAGTTCCTGTGGTCGGTGGTCTTTTTTTGGTTGCCTTGGTTGAACAACCTACAGAGACAGATGAGCATTACGTCAGCGTAAACGGAAAACGATCTTGGTTATTAAATAAAGGGGATGAGTTTCTAAAGAAACTGCGGTGCTGCGTCTGTGGGGGGTATTACAATATAGTTTGGTATTTATCAACTGAGTTGATGATGTAAATTGGCCACCGTAAGGAGCTTCTAAGACCGTTGGCCCCTCGTTATTCGTTCGTGATAACATCAAATAATCTTGGTCATTGTTTACGACTAGAGCTTAAGGGATGAATCACAAAGGCAGGTTCACATAACATTTTTGAGCAAAACGTGTATATCCAAAGTTGTATTTGTTCTGTTTCAGCATTTATTAAACTTGATTTTCACAGTACTTAAGTATTTTCCCTCCCAAGGGTAAATCGTGGCTCCGCCTCGCAACACAGTTTAAACGTTCACCTTCAAACAAATAACCAACGGACGAAAACGATCGAATGATTTTGATAAATACAGAGCAAAATTAAGGAAATTTATTCGTCGCGTTAAATGAAAGTATTGTCTGGTCACGAAGAGGCGAATGAACGCCGGCCAAAAGCTGTGACAGTGAAGGGTTGCGCAAAGAACACAACAGCCATTAACAAATTGTTTGCCATTTCAACTGTGAATCACATATACTACATAACATTTATCAATATTTCCTTTTCTTTTTCTTTTTGTAAGGCCCTGTGCTAGCCACAGTTTCCCGTGTTTAATAACTTACCGTCCGGAAAAAGCGTTTTGGCCAACGGATGACCACAAGCATAAAGGCACTGGGAGAGATCTCTATAAAACAGATCATTATTTTTGTCCAGAAAACCACTAACACTATAAGTTACCTGGTAGAAGAGAAAACAAAAAAAAAAATGAGTATCATGGAAATCACACTTCACGTAACCAAGGCTTCAGACCTTCCTGTTCCTTGTCCCATAAGAAAAATTTTTACTTTTCCATGAGGTGTTGTCCAACTGAATAATTCCTCCCTATCGGCCTGTTATCGACTGCTTATTGTCTGTATCATTGCGGTGGGCTTCATTGTGGTTCGGCATGAAAACCTTACCCTCTCCTCACCCTAAAATTCAAAGCTCCCTGCCTGAAAGGCACACTATTAATGTGACCCTTGCAGCATTGGGAAAAAAGTTTGGAAAGCAATTCCCAGTTGAAACAGAACGTAGTACCGGTAGGGCTCCAAGTTCAACTTTCAAAAATCCCCCTTTTGGCGACCTTCAATTGTAAAATGAGCGCTCGAGAATTTCCACATTTATTATAAAATCATGAATAGAAGCTTGACGGCTTTCGGTTAACTACTTACGCTCCCAGCGTAGTGTCTGAGCCTGAAACAGTCGTGTGGCAAAGTCATATCAGATAGGAACTTCTTGCTTCCTCTGCTCTCGTAGTGCGGATGCTTGCAACAATGCGTGTTGAGCTTAGCAATGAGCGTCGTACCGCTGACCTAGAGAAATTCATGCACGACAACTTTGACATTACCAGCAGAGCATAAGTTACATGCACTTACACCTTGAATGATTTATTCACTCACCCAGGTGAGTGCAATTAGGTTTGAAAACCAAGTCAACTAATCAGTGATTTAAATACTCTAACATTGGTATTCATGTCATTCTCCGTTCTGTTTTCCTTAAATTTCCTCTGGTACTGACAAGGGGAATTTGTTTGACAATCAGGAGCTTTCTAAATTATAATCATTTCCGTTATTCTCTTACCCTTTATATTTAATTCAAGGGTAAGACTGTAAGAAGAAATTAGTAGCTCATTTTAACTCTTAAGAGTTAAACTGATTAACCCTTTCGCTCTCAATATCATCTTAGTAATTCTCCTTACTGTCTGCCATACAATTCTTATGATTTTAGTTCGGGGAGAATTTGGTATTGGATCAAGTAATGACCCCCTCGTTGATATTTTTCTTTATTCTCATCACTTGTCTGACCAATATTGTATTAATATTGTAGGAAAAATTCTGTCTTGGTCATTCATGGGAGTAAGAGAGTTAGCTTGATATCCATATAGAGATATCGGAAAAACATTAAAGTTATAATGGTTTCTCGCCAGTGCAATAGCGTTAGTGAGAAAATATGACTCCATACTTCAACATCAGTCTCTTAGGACGTACTGTGGTTCCTCGGAGTACACAGTGTCTCACATTTAATTCATCTTTCTATCTGTACCCACTGAACTTGCAAACTACCATATTCCGATATCCAACATGAAAATCAACTTGTAAGGAGAAAAGGTAGAGGTTAGAAAGACCGTACTCACCTCTCCTGGTCTTAAACACTCCTCATCAAGAAGTGGTATGATTCCTACATGGGTCTGAGACGAAACGACAGAAACGTAATTTGCATGAAACATTCTTCATTGCACATTAGATGAAATCAATTAAGTCCATTACGGGTTCTAGGTCCGGTCCGGTCCGTGTAGGTAAACAATGTGCCAATACGGACCTCCCGCCGGTAAATAACATACATTTCATGATGTGTGATTGTCCGGCAATGGGACTGATGTCCACACTGCTAGTTACTAAAGTCCTTTTCAGGACTACTCTCACCTAAACGGTCACACTGGATGATCGATTCTTCGTTATCATAACAACGCAACCGACATAGAGGCATGTTTTAAAAGTATGATACAACTAACAAGTTGTTAAATGAGTATAAAATATGTTGTCACAGGAACATATAAGTGCAACAGGAATCATGACCAGTGATAGAAAATAACACAGAAGTACCGGGCTGTAAATGAAGTACTCGAATTCACAAAGTAAAAGTGAATCGATGAAAGGAGGAAAAACTAACGATGCCATACGGATTAGCATATGCATAAACAATACAATGTGGAACAGTAAAATTCCTCTAAAACAAATAACAAGAGAAAGTAATGTATGTACATGTAGCGTTAACAACCCAAGACACGAACGAGTTTCTTCGTTGCATGTGACTGTCTTTTTTTTTTACGTAGCTAAGCCGTCAAACAGTGACTAGGGGTGCAACGGACCGGTGTCAGAAGTATACAATGTAATCAACCTCTATGCCTCTGCCTGTATGTGAATAATGTAAGGGACACGGGTGGATACGTGATGTAAGGAACCCTAGAGATGACCCACCACTCGTACACTCACCTTTTCAATCAAATCGCAGATGATTGCATTGTTGAAGTACTCTATTGATTCCCACTCAATACCCTGCAAAATGACAATTTCATTGACAACTTTATGATAATTTTTAAACTATACATAGCAACCCACAGAGGTTGCATAATTCTAAATAAAGACATTTTCATTCCAAATTTTCTCAAATACAAAGTTTGCAAATGGAAATTTTGTGACGTCTTTGGAGACTAAATGACTTCTAGAGTGGTATTAACCACACATTCCTACCTCTCTGATATATTCCTCTTGTTCAGACTTAAGAGTCAGCTCAATAAAGATCTGTTGCAGCTTCTCATTGCAGTAATTGATGATAAACTGTTCAAAACCGTTATTCTGGAAAATTCAAAGTACTCAATTACTTTGCTGGACCACTTATGGATAAGTGTTGAAAATGATTTAAGTTACCACACTTCAACCCTTTACACCCTAACATCAGTATGCACATTCTCCTCACTGTTCTCTATACATTCTCAAAGATGCTGATAAGGAGAATTTGTTTAATGATCATGAGCTTACTTAGTTGATGATCATTTCCTTTACTCTCATGACCTTACTGTGTGATTCAAGGGTGACATTGTAAGGAGAAATTAGATGCCAATCACTATTATATTAGGGGTTAAAGGTTTCACACTTTAAAAAGCAACTGAACACAAAATTATTGTGTTTAAAACACGTAAGAATACTTGTATACTAAGTAGTTTCCAATACTTTTGTAGCTTTCCATGGAAACAAATATCTGAAATAAATTCCACATAACACTACAAAGTACAGTATTTGCAAATTCTGTTTGGTGGGGTGATAAGAGTCTAGCTAGGGTAACAAACAAAGGCTTAATAGAGACAAGTAGGGAGACTTGTTAGGGAGAGGGAGCTTTTTAGAGTGTTTGTGGTATAATCCACATTAAATAATGTGCTAGATGATTTAGTTGTCAAATGTACAATGTTACCAGATCTATATAAAAACAAGAAAATTGAAGTCCTCCTGAACTTAATAGGTTCTCTTATTCTAAAAACATGCATTCTTTAACTACACAAAAGAGTAGGTACCTTAAATATTTCAAAGCCATAAATATCCAATACACCGATCACCTTCCTTTTACCCTTCTTTTTAACCTGAGGAAACAATAAAACAAAACCTTTGCTAAAGAGAAACACCATATCACAAGCAGCATTACATTACAGTAAATAACAAAATTGAAGCTGAAAATGTATTCCATTTCAAAATTACATGTCTTTTCTTGATGATGAAGATGAAGTGGAGCGTATTTTCCCTTTGAATTAACCCTTTAACTCCCATGAGTGACCAAGACAGAATTTCTCCTTACAATATCAATACAATATCAACCAGAAAAGTGATGAGAATAAAGAATAATATCAATTTGGGGATAATTTGTTCATCTAATACTAAACTCTCTGCACTAACGTTATGAAAATGGTATGGTTGACAGTAAGGAGAGTTATAAATTTGATCTGGGAGATAAAGGGTTAAGAACCAATTACCTTTATACTCTCATTGATCCGTTGAATCATCCAAGAGAACAACCTCCGATAGATAGCTTTGGAGAGAGCATCCTTGGCATAGTAAGCCTAACAGAAGATAGGATTAATAACAACAAGAACAATTTTGCAAGTTACCCTTATGTAGACCTCACATTAACCCAGCTTGAGGTCTGTATTGTAAGTTACAAGACTTAACTAGCAGCACAAGGTGAGAAAATGAGGTTTGTTAGATATTTATTATTAAGCACAAACACTGTACTTACTTATTTAAGAAATACAATAATTCTCTTTACTGGGAGAGCAGTCTTTGAGCATTGTAAATGAAACACAAAACATTTGTAGGATATTCTTTTAGTAAATGCAAGAGTGTTAAGAGAAGGTTTTCTATAAAGGACATGCATTCATGTAAGTGATTTCTAATAGATAATATTTTTATAGCTGCCACCTTCTTTTAATTGCTAAGTACTAGCTATTTCCTACTAGGTACCCTTTCAAAGGAGTTTCACTGCATGTGAACAGAACACTATGATAATTAACTATGCTCAGTGCAGGATATTTAGGATTAAATACTTTTCAACAACAAAAAAACCATACTTGCACAGAGGTAAGATGAGTTGAAACCCTCTCGTTACCGGCCTGCACAGTTCTCTTAGACAAACCATCTTTCAACAGTTGAGTTCCACACTGAAGCATCTCACATGCCCAGTCTAGGTCTGTTATAAGAGTTTGATAAGGAAGTGAAAAATTACCATAATCAGTGGAAGTTTCAAGAAAAGCAGTGGATATTTACCATGATGCAAGGCAATGTAAAAAATATCCACCACTTTCACAGACACTGAGGTGAACAACTGTTGGTAAACCAATGGCTGACTACATTGTAACAAGCCAAACAAAATAATGTTCCATTTGACTTATATGTACCAACATACATGATTGTATAAAAGAAATTACATTCCTTTCCTGTAAGTGATTTCTTTCTATAAAAGTGGTGAGCTATTTTTAATTTGTTACTCTACAGCCTCTGGAGGGTGAATAAAGTACTTCAAGAACTTACAATCCAACTGAAAGGAGTGAATGAATGAAGAAATCTGCCGAAATCTGAAAGCACCAAGCTACTAATTGGTGATACATATAGATCAACCTTAAAATTCATTTAACTCATTCACCCTTTTAAAAATACTTCCATGAGGAAAGAATCTACACAGTCTGAAAACAGTGTTTGATGCCTGAATCAAGCCATGGTGAGTAAAAGTTGATCTCTCAACATTATCTGCCAACCTTAAAGCAAATTTTAGAAAACTTACACTTCTCGTTTGTAGGGGCCACAATATCATGTCCATCAACTTTATCAACAGCTTCATCAAATGCAACATTCCCAAGGTTCAAAATGGCAGACAGAAGAGTGTAAATGGACAACTTCTCTTCTTGAGTGAACCCAACAATTTCCATTGCCCTCTTGTTGAAACAGAGAGGAATTAGTTGACAATCAAAATGAAGAAAATATGCAGTATGTTACAGTTACACAGAATAATATCTTTGTGATAAATGTATCTTTAGAGAACAACCAATTTGAAAGAAGAATCTGGACATTCTGTTAGTAAGTGTAGATTTGCGAGAAGATACTACAAAGAGAACAGAAAGGTTTCGAAGATGAACTACTCGAACGACAAAGTCTGAGCTTTAGTGATCATTTTGTAAACATTCTAGAACTAACATACTATGCAGAGTAATCTTGAGACACTAACCTCAACTACTACAAAGTCCTTCTTGTCATCTATTGTATTGACCTTCACACATCCACTGTGATTGAGGTAAGTGTAATCATTACAGTCATTCACAAGGCAAAGTTTCCCTGTTTCAAGTAGAGATGCAAGAGTTGAAATGAGGTGGTTTACCTGTATGACTGTTCATTAAAAGTTACATATCATCTGAAAATATGCAATGCAGAATGATATGTCTAGTGAATAGTAGCAGTGTATTTTCAAACAGTTGCCAGAAAAAAAAGACACTTTGTTTAACATTGCCCAACATAACAAAATGCTGACCACAGCCCTTGTCTTTATGATAGGCAGCATGGCTGATATTCACTATTGGGCATTCCAGCAACATCTTAAAGAGGCAAGGATTTAAGGAAGAGGCAAGGATTTTAAGGAAGAGGCAAGGATTTAAGGAAGAGGAAAGGATTTAAGGAAGAGGCAAGGATTTAAGGAAGAGGCAAGGATTTTAAGGAAGAGGCAAGGATTTAAGGAAGAGGCAAGGATTTAAGGAAAAAAGTAATGAAACATGAGTTCCATTTCACTTTGACTTTAGACCATAAAAACTAAGTTAAAAAAGCCTTATAGGATTATAGTTTTCTTATTTACAGTAATTGCAAAATAATTTACCAAGAAGTTCATCAGAGGCACCAGAGAGTAGATGGTAAAAAATATGGAAATTCCTCTCCCCTTGGGCTTGATGTACCACACGGGACTGTTTAAAAAAAAGTTGCCGGATACATGTTTGCTTCAAGAGACAGGGTTATATAATAATTGATAACACAAACAGGAAATAATACATAAGTTGCGAAAACAAATGTGTTGAGTACACCAGATTTTCAAAAATATAACAAAGTAAATATCTCATTAAGAAATTCAGATTGTTGTGAAGCATGTAAAATTAAGAATGCATCTAAGATGCAATTTTAATTAATAAATCACATTTCATGCATATGCAAAGAGTGAAGATTAATTTCAATTCAATAAATGTAATTCATCAAAAAATTTCATTAGCAAATTATTATAAAAGGATAAGACGAGATCATGTTAAATTTGATCTCATTTATCAGATAAGGAAATATTTTATTCATTTTTTCAAAAATCTGAGCCCCTTTGAGCCTACCACTGAGGCATAGATTAGGTTTCTGCACCTCAACTTAATCCTCCACACTTCCAATAATCAGCAAACTAAGATAAAAGTGTTGTGCATGTGAACAAATAAAGTAATGTCAGTGTATGGTTACTTTATTCCAGACCTCGAAGAATCAAAATTACCTTTTCCAGCAAATCTAAAAATGAAATGAGAGAGTTAAAAGTGATTAGAGATTTTGTTCTAAAAAGATGCTGAAAATAACAGTGCCATTAATTCACAAAATTAATCTCTTACACTTTGTGATGACTCCTCCGACTGGATCACCTTTGAAGTCAAATTCAAGATCCATATATTTTCCCTAAAAAATCAAACATAAATTTTACAAACTTATTATTCACTTTAAAGAGTTTGAAATTAATTTGAATCATTATCTCTAAGAAGAAACATTCAAGAGTTCTATGAAGTATTGAGAAAAGGATTTGTATAAATTGAGAACTACCAAATTTGAAAAGGGCAGTTAACAGCTTATTCTAAGAATCTCAAGAGCATATACTAAATATTAAGTCAATCAGCAAGCCTTTATTTGCCAAAGCTTTTCAACATCCAGCATGTTAAAGGACTGTTCAAGTCCTCAAAAATAAGAAACTAAAATTTCAGGAATTTCCATGGAGCCCAGGATCATGAAGATTCCTTTATTATGCACAAACTTTTAATATCAAGGAATTGAAAGAATCTACTGACAGTAGCTACATGTACATGTAACATTGTTTCTCATTAAATCCACTTACAAAACGAGATGAGTTGTCATTCCTAAGAGTCTTTGCATTGCCAAATGCTGCAAAAGTAACATGATACTCATGAACACCCAACCAGGCACAATCTCTTGAAAAATACAAACAATAAGCTTTGAACCCCCTCAATCATCTCTCCATCACCTTAAGTTATTCTCTCTTTTGTTCATTTGTTCATTTCATTCATTTATTCTTTCCATCAATTGACCATTCACTCATTCATTCAATGATTCATTCATTCATTCCATCAATCAACCACTCATCAATTCATTAACTCATTCCTTTGCTTTTCCAATTTAATTTGCATCGTTAATTCAATCAACCCTTTCATCAATTAGTCAATTAAATTCATTCCTGTATTCCTTCAATCTCCTGTTCATTTTCTACTATCCTTTCATTTAGTTTATCTTTTGTATAGGAGAACTAACAAATCTATCCACTTGTTACTTCATTGATCCACTCTCCAATTTCTCACACACAACACACACACTTACTGTACACACTTTCCTTTGAACAAGAAATCTAAGATCCAGATATGAGAAACCAATGAAATGGGTGACAGGCATTAACTCATATAATTATCCAAAATATCACTAACCTTCCAAGACAGGATTAGACTGTAACAACTGTTCTTTTACTCTGTCCACTTCCCAGCCTTTGCCAGACACCGCTGCCACATACTGCATAACAACCTTGGATGCCTCTGAAGAAACAAATTGGAAAGATCAGTGGTGACTTCAATCCTGTCAGCAGCAGGCAGGCATAAATAATATGAAACACCCAGATAACAAGCTAACTGATGAAGCACACAAAATGATTCAGTATCAAACAATAGAACCTGCCTGTTTTTCCAGCTCCACTTTCACCAGAGATTATAATACACTGATCCTGGTTGTAATCTCTCATGGATCTGTAGGCATCATCAGCTATGGCATAGCTGTTTTAAAGAAAATGCAAATAACAACCACCAACCACTAAGTTTTTATAAGGGAAGTTTTCAATAAAGTGTGCTCTTAAGCGTAAATCAAAGTAATCACAAAAGCTTAAATTAGAGCTAAGGAAACAGTTCCAATTCAAAGAGCCAGAGAGATTTCAAAGTAAGACTAAGCATTTAAAACTGCATGAATGACAGGAAAATGCATGTGACCAAGATGTAATAGGCTATGGTATTGCACCTGACTGGTTGATGAGTTGGCTCACCGTGGATGGGCTTCATGCAAATACCTCTCTCCTAAAATTTTGTCAGATTTCTCAGACAATTTGCTGAAGTATCCATTTGTTATTACTCCCAAGAGGATCGAGCGAGGGACACTTTGTGACAAGGGTGTCTTGCCCAAGAACACTAAACGAAGATGTCAGCCAGGGATAAAAAAAAAGACTTCTCGATCCATGATTTGTAGGGTACAGACTGACAAAGCAACTATACTACCACATCTACAGCTTCTAAATTGACTCAAAGCAGTTCATTATCCTTTGTTTTCAAACATTGAGCTGTACTCACATGTGAGGAGGCAACTCATAAATGTTTCTAGATCTGTACTCTGCTATCCTTTCAGGAGTGTACAAGTTGAATTTACGATAAGGATTGATGGACACCACCACATCTCCAATGTAAGTCTGCAAATTAAATGACAAAAAAATATGACATCCCCATTCCCTTACTACATAATATATTTTCTATACATGTACATTCATTCAAACCTACTACTACTATCAAGAGATAATATAAATTGATAAATTTATTTTGTACAGGTCAAACTTGTATAACTATATAACCACTGAAAAACATTGAATTCCTATAAATTAAGTTCATGCAAACTTGACAACTCCATAAAAAATATTGTTGTAAAAATTATGGCTAACGCAGCCAACCTTGACAGTAACAGTGTCTGTGTGCATGTACATCCAGTCTACCAGATTTACATATGCACTGGTTAGGTATTAACCAATAAATCAATTTAACTCTGATACGTTTCAACAACTGATATTTCGAGGCAGTTGGTAAGTTATATAATTCATCTGGTGATCATCATAAAGCAGGTAGGGAAATAATATCACACAATATTTAATTTAAGATATGCTCATATTTGTGATGCTTGTATATAATTGTATACAAAGGAAGGAAGTGTGAAACAGTAAAGGGTGACAACAAATGCTCTAAGATGTCTCAGTAAAGAATGTATTATGTTAGCAATTCATGTTTTTAATGTTGTTTATACATCTTTAGTAGTCAAGCACTACAGACAAAAGTGTGAGTTCAAAACAGCATTTTTCAATGTAATTTGACTTTCAATTTACATGTAGATTTGTTGGTTCTACTGGGGGAATTCATTTAAAACTTACATAGATATCTTTGTTATTGTATCTGTCCCAAAGGTTCTCTATCACTGAATCTTCAGTCAAGGACTCAAGAAGCACCATGTCACCAACTCCAACCATGTTGTCCAACATGCTCCGCCCACCCACTGCTACTTGGTCTCCTGGTTCACTCATAGCTCCTAAACAGATGCAAAAATAAATATTACTACTAAAACTACTTCTTATCTCACAGATCTTGTTGTACTGAATTATGCTCTTGTGTCAATTTTCCACAAATTTGGTGTTCTAAATAAAAGCAATATCCTCTTGGGTAATATTTTTGTTTCTTCTCATCACTTAACTGCTTGAAAAAGTATTGATATTGGAGGAAGAAATTCCATCAGTTTTGGTTGCAAAGTCATGGCCAAAAGGTTAAGGATGTAAACAATGCAGAGTACCAACATACTGTCAGGGAATAAAAGAAAGAGCTGTGGGTTGAGGGCAATTGTCTCTAGGATAGACTTAAGCATCTCAGCAAAGGAGGAAAACAGAAAGACTACTTTCACATGCTACTAGAGTAAGATACAGTAAGTTCTGGCAGTATGGTCCCTGTGGCTCACAAGCTAACTAACTCTTAAATTAATGTAGTCTATTAAAAATCATCATGATAAAGGAGGTATGTTTCTTAACCTAAAGAAACTGTTGCTAAGTCAATGGCGAGTAATTTACAAGTTAGATAATTTGGTTTCATCAACAGAGTTGTTAATGTGAATAGGCCATTGTAAACTGATTTGATGTTTTGAGTATTAGCCCTTTATCAGAGTGGATTGAAAGAAATAATAACTAAAAAATTGTAGTTAATAAATTTACTCATACAATATGAAACTACCCAGAGCTCAAATTTACCTGACACTTTACTCCTGCTGAATAAACTCTCTTAGTATCAACTTCCTCTCCTTGGGCTGAAATTCATCTGTGAAGCATTTAAATTCACTTGTGCCGCAGCTACCTGAATATGATGAAAAAATAAAGAAATTGTGGATGTACAAAACCCTAAACTTGAGGAAAAAAAAAACCAGCACAAAACCATGCAAGTAGTGATAGCAAGTGCTGTCTCAAGTAATGTTGGAATTGCATGATAAAATAGGCAAGAAGCTGCATAAGACCAAGGGTAAGATGTAAACATGATTATCTACAGTACCTGGAGCATCAAAAGATATGTTAATGAGTACTATAATGATTATACAAAGTCATAAAAATGAAATGTACTTTGAGAGGTGAAACTGGACCGATTAAGCTTAAAATTTAAAATATCTTGATTAAAATTGCATGATATTCAACTAGCTAATGCCCAGGAGAGAAACTGAAAAATTAAATACAAAAAAAACAACCACCTGTTAAGCTAATTTCTAAATCAATATTTAAACAATTTGCAACAATCTTGACAAAATACAGCTAGGTCTTTACCATGTTCTATGACAAAAAGTCCAGCTAAAACTGAAAACCTTCATACTGAGATTTCTTATAAAGCATAATATTTATCTAAATTTAGCTGTTTTGTAAAATCAAGAGCTCCTTACTTGCAGCTTCACATCACACAAGTTAAACTAAATTTCTACTGTTAATGAATAGCTTATTAAGAGGAAATCCAGGAGAGCAAATACTTCCATGAAACAGATTTCTAGCTCCAGCATCACAACATGGATCTACATATAACTTAAGGCTTGATGAATTAATAATTAACATGTCGCATTATACACAGACACATACACAGACACATGCTCATCAAACAAACTAAACTAAGTTTGTGCTGTTCATGAATTAGTTATCAGGAGTGAATCCTAGAGAACTCAACCTGAGATGAACTGGAAATGTTTCTGAAACCAGTAGTACATTGTATGCCCCAAATCATTTTAACCTGTCTCACTGTCCAAATGCAAACTTTCCTTACTGCATTTATTTTTTACATCATTCTTCAATCCTTAACTCCCAGGAGTGATTGATTAAAAATTCAAATGTAACTTCTCCCTTACATCTATATAAAATCCAGCAAACAGGTAATGGGAATACTCAGACTTAAGGCAGAAGTTATCTTGATCTAACACAAAACTTCTTGTAATGTATTTACAAGGAAGCGTATAATAGATAGAGGGGGGAATTAACAAGCAGATATTTGGAGTTTAAGGGTTAATTCTCAAAAAAATAATTTGCATTGCCCAAAAGATAGTCATACTACCCAACCAAAAGTTCAACTTGACCACAGAGCATTCCTCTTCATCAGAGCAGTGGTATAAGATTAATCTATGCTAAAAGCTAGTTTGAATCGCTGAAGTAGTGCACACTGTTGGCAGGTATCACTATGGTAAATAAAATAATAGCCAGAAGTAGCAGAGAGACAAAGAAAATTGATTGAGAGCACATGACAGTGCTCCTACAAACCTTATGAGGCACCAAAATTCACACTTTTGTCTAGTGAAACTGTCGCATAAACTTGGTTTTAGACTGGCCTAAGTTACACTTAGCCTCATTAAATTTGTACTTTTCTGTATAATTACAAATAATTGATCACAATTCTTAAATGGAGAGACAAATAAATCTTGTTTCAAACATTTATTCTGAATTCCATTTCAAGGAACAACATAAGCAAAAACATTTGCACAGCTGCATGATCAATCTTAGAACAAAGAAGAAAGGATAGTCATTTATTTTTAGACACAATACAAAGGTTAGCTCTTCAAAAACAAACTATGCTGAGTGTCTAAACATAGCTACAATAAGATAAGATAAGGATGCTCTTTAGAAAGATCTAGCAGCTGTAGTAGTCCCAGAGTTGGAGTAAACTATACACAGGACGATTTCAGTTAATTAGTTTTATGAATGTTAACAGACATAAATAACTAAGATGGTGATTAAATGGCAATTTATCTTGAAGATTGAGTTTATGAATGTTCAAACAAATGGGACCAGTACAAAGATCACTGCTTTTCAAAGAATATCATGATTACAAAAATTGCAGGGCCATGTGTTGGTTCTTTAGGTTTAGCTGGGTCAACTTCTGTATTTAAAGAAACATTACCAGAACATGAAGCAAACATGTCAAAACACACTTCTTAGCAGACCAACATCCATTTCTGTTTATCATAGAAACAATTTTGTAAGTACTGTCTATGTGACTCATAAACATTATTATTGCAAGAAAAAATGGTCAAATAACAGATTGCAAAAATTTCTTTCAGAAGGACCTTGAAAAGCCTCCAGGCTGTTTTGGATTGAACACACTCTCCTACAGACTGACAACTTGATGCTTATAAGTGTAAATAAGAGACCTTGTAGAACCATGCAGTTTTTTTCAAAAATTTGGCCAAACTTCATTGAAATTAACAAAAGAGTCCTTAAAGACCCTCTTTGATCAAAGGATTTATTCTGATTTCACACAACATTCAACATAAAATTTTCCAGAAAGAAAGAATTAGCAAATCAATAGGTTATGCATAGACAAGAGATTAGCATGAAATAACAGCCAAACAAATGAACCATGGAGAATAACAGTTATTTTCAATCCATTAATTTTAAATAGCAAGTCGCCTGTATTAATTCCAAAACAATCCATGGTGCCCAAAAAAGAGTTCCCCGTGGTTTTTCAAAAGATCACTTTAATCGATGAAGTTATAACTTGAGTCTCATACGGCTTTCGGGTAAATAAAACTCTTGTATCACTAACTGCCTTGCACTTAGTATTCAATAGCCGGTGGCAAAATACATTTACGCTTTCACATGCTCTCACTGTTGCTATAATTCATGTACATCAATTCAGGTTTAAAACTACAAGGCTGCGATAAATTCTTAGAGTTATTATGACCAGAAGTTTTTTTTTTCTCTTTTGGCAAGTTGCCATAGTGTAAACTGTAAAGAAGATTTAGTTTTATACAAAGCTTGTTTTGAGAGTACACGCTCGGAAGATTAGTAACGTGAACTCTTAAAAACACTCCTGATATTGAATATTTTTCTCCCATTAGAGGGTGATTTATCTACTACAAATAGACCTCAACGCATGCTGTACACGCTTAACTGTTAAGAGGGCGATATCTGAAAATGCCACTAGCTTTTGAATTTTTCCCACGCCATTAAATAAACGTGATTTTTAACTTAACGCTTCAGAGAGCTTTTGAGCCACATACACTTACATGTCCAAATACTCGAGGGCGAAACTGATCTAAGTTCATCATTTCTGTATTAATAATTTCATTCTTACTATATTTAATAAATGATCGGGAAAAGTTTTAATTTTCCACACTTTGAAAAGTATTTGACGATAACAAAACTCAACTACCGGCCACTACTTGTTCAGAAATAAACTACCATTTTTACGTACCTTGGTCGTGTGTCGGTACCTAGACAACCATAAAAAAGTAAGAAGATTCGCTTTCAACTTCAATTTCTAAGGTCCGGCCTACGCATCGACGTCGGGCCCATAATTTTTTCACATCCGAGGGGTTAAACCTTCAAAAATTGGAAAAATTTCAGTAAGCATTCGTCCAAAATAGCCCAGACGCTACCCTCCAGAGCCCTTCCCCCGAGGAAATTCAGATTGTTTGGCGTCAGCTGAGACCGCGTTATTTTGTTGTGCGGGGTTTCCCATTAGTCTCAGATCTCCAACAAAAAACAACAAAGGCCTGGATGATCCAAAGGATGATTTGTTGTCATCGTCAGAAAGAGTCGGTGAATTCATTTAGATCCGCTTAGCTAATTCCGCTAGAAAAAGCCAAAGCGTATCTCTGAATGTTGATAGTTAAAAGGCCGACACCGGATTATGCAGAAATATGAAAAACTGGAAAAGATCGGCGAAGGTATACCTTCGACATTTACTGCTTTTTGCGCATGAATTCATCTAGAGTGCCGTTTTACAAAATTTCCTTTGCGATCTCACTGCGCGGGAAATGTATTCATTTCATTGTCATAACGTTCTGCAGGTACTTATGGAACCGTTTTCAAAGCAAAACACAAAGAAACGCACGAGATAGTGGCGCTGAAGCGAGTAAGGCTTGACGAAGACGATGAGGTAAATTATTTAGAATGTTGAAGGTTGTATTTTGTGCTTTCCTCGCTCCAACAGTGATCACCCGGGGAAATCCAATGTGTCCATTTTATTATTTATTAGTTAGATGAGCATATCAAGAAATGCTTATGCTTTTTGTTAGGCTGGAAACTGTTCCTACAAAGAAAACCGAAAGCAATTTCATGAAATGAGTGTTCGGAATAATCATAACAAATACCTTGCTAATTGCAGTATTTTATACGCCGTACTGTTGTCTAAAAGTTTATTCCCGTGAAATCTTATAATTTCCGAAATCGTCATAATTTGATTTTTTGACTAATAGCCGCGCCAGCGAATAATAAATGCTCTCTTATGGAATGTGAAAATAAACATATGCCGTGAGCTAAGATCAATTCCGTATACAGTACAATTGACTCTAACAATTGTTTCACTTGTGAAAATCCAAGGACAATTATCCATAATGTTTTACTTTTTCTTCTTCTGAGTATCTTATTGCAACCTTCATATGCCCTAAATATCCAAGGCTTTTTACTGTATTACTTAAATGTAGATATATTTTTAATTGTAAAACATGTCAGCTGTATTTTTACAAAGAAGCATATGGTTCCAAGAGTCCACTTTTTAAAAAACAAAGTTCAAGAATCATTTATAACTTCCATTTGTTGGAACAATTTTGTTTCTGTGTTCTTCAATTCAAGGGTATCCCCAGCTCAGCTCTGAGAGAAATTTGCATTCTGAAGGAATTGAAGCACAAGAATATCGTTAGGTAAGTAAATTATTGTAAGACTGTATATTTGCCTATATTGAAGATATGTGATTAACAGCTTATAAAAAGAAGTAGCACTTTCCTATCAGTTGTTTGCCTTAAATTACTGTTGAAACCACAACTTCTGGTATGTGAAATCTCTAAGACCAAGTCTTATATCTAGATGTATGGCAACTTTTATGAGTTATGTGCCTAAGTCAGAGGTTCAGAGTGAATTTCCCTGCTAAATCTCTTAGATAAATGTTAATTTGGATATTGTTTCAATAGAAGATGCAAAATCAGGTAAATTTGATCTCACTGTAAAGAAATAAGTTTGAGATCCAGCAATGATTCACATCCTAATGGTTGCACACACGCCAATATTTAAAAATCCATACTGTATTTTCAGTCTTAAGATCTCAAAATCAATTCACATCCTGTCTGCCATACATTATTTTAATATAATTTTAGCTATGAGGATTTGGTGTTAAATTAAACCAGTCCTTCTAGTTTCTTGTCATCACCTTTCTTCTGGAAAAGGTATCATGAAGTTGTGAAAAGAGAAAATATTCTGATAGCTTTTAATTTTTAGTTTTAGTGATTGTTCATATTCCCTTTACACCCTAAGAGTGATTAGCATCAAAATTCTCCCTACAATATCACTCCCGAATCACATATTTAAGGTCATGAGAATAAAGGAAATGGTCACCAAGGAAAGAAGCTTTTGATTGGGAAATAAATTCTCCTTGACAGCACCGTGGGAAATGTATAAAGAGCAGTTTAGAGAATATGCATACTGACATTGGGGTGTAAAGGGTTATAGAAAACTTGACATGTTTATCCTATCCTTGTTAGGCTACATGATGTAATGCATAGTGAACGAAGGCTGACATTGGTATTTGAGTACTGTGATCAGGTAAGAATGAATTTATCAATCTTACTTAAAGTTTACATAACTTTGTGTGTTTTGGATTATGATAGATCAAATACATTTTGTTTTTGCCTAGATGTATTATTGGTCTAAACTTACCCCATTTCCAAACCTTACATCCACTACTGACAATAAGTATTAGATGTTTGAAATTTAATTCATGACTGGAGAGAATTTTTTGCTTGTTACAGAAGAAATGAAATATTTATTTGGTTATAAACTCACACCAGAAAACACTCAAGCGAAAACTTCCTATGCAGCAAGTAGTAAGCTGTTCATAAACATTTTTCATGCCCATTGAAAAATATTTAAAGGATTATGAACACAATAGAGAAAAAACATGCATGCAAATTTGTCCTTGGATATTATCTGTTCCTCAAAGCTCACAGTTTTCCTTGAGCTTTGCCCTTGGAAAACTGTGGAACAGGTAAAGTCAGTGGAAAAATATCCATGCATATGTTTGCTACAAATAGAGGCTATTGTTTATTAATTTTATGATCTTCATGATGTCAGGCATTTGTCATCTTTAATGCAGTTTGCTAGTAAGCATCAGACCCATGTTTTTTCAGTCTTTTGGCTAAATAACAGCAATGTCAAACCAAAAGTCAAGTCATGTTTACCCCTTGAAACACCTTTTGAAAGAAAACCATTCATGACTATTTTTGGACACTGAAGACTCTCATTATCAATTGATCAAATCAAATCACATGTAATTCTATTTCTGGCCTTAATTTAATTTGTGATATAATTATGTTCTTGTTTCATTGTATGTAGTTGCTTTGCCTCTGTGATGATGAAGACTGTACTGTCAAAATTACAATATTTCTTTCAGGATCTCAAAAAATACTTTGACAGCTGTCAGGGCGATGTTGACACAGCTGTTGTCAAGGTGTATATTGAAATAATGTTATTCTATGAATCTTCCTTCATCTGAGAATAAAAGATGGAATTTAAAAGTTTGAAGCTTTTTCCTTATCAAAGTGTTTTGAGCACTTTTCCAAGAACACATTAGGGCCAGTACACATATACACTGTGAATCAGTTTTACCAGAAAGAACTCAGTAAAGATACCATTTGTTGATCAAACACTTCACTTACACATTTGTGTAACTTTACTCAGTAGTTAGCTGATGATGTACATGTTCTATTAAATCCACTTTGTCTAATTTCACCTTTTTTTATCTAATTCTGTTAGAATCCTGACAAATTTTTTTTTTCATATCATGGTTGCAAAATAACCAAGATAATTATGCAGAGCAACTGTGCCTTGTCAACCCAGCATAATCTATCAGAACTTGTTTGTAAATACCGGAAAAAAAGCAAATGAAGTATGATTAGCATATTTTTTCTTGAAAACATGCTGAAAATTAAACAGCAATGCTTTGCATCAAGGGTATAAAGGACAAGAAATGAAGTTAGTGGGAACGATTTCATTTATTTATTTTTTTTAATATTTTCCCAGTCATTCATGTATCAGCTTTTAAAGGGCCTGGCCTTCTGTCACAGTTGCAATGTACTCCACAGGGATCTGAAGCCTCAAAACCTCCTCATTAATAAGGTATGACCCAACATAGCATTGTAAAATATAATTTTATCCTTTTTTCTTAATCATTCTGTTAAATGAAACCAGCTCAGGTAAAAGGAGCTTCATGTGTTATTTGTGACCATTTTCTTTCGACTGGCAATTTTTGCCTTCAGCTCAGGGGGTTTGGTGAGACAGAGAAATGCCAAAGAGGCTAAGGTGAAGGGGAAAGGAATTGTGAACAACTGAATAAAAAAATTGAGAAATAACACTAACTTTATCAAGACACACATTTTACATCTTCAAGTGGCATGTGGAGAAGAATTTCCATGCCCTTCAGGACTCATTTTTAATGGAAACTATGAGTAGAGCCTTAATTTGCATGGAACCAACACCTGCTGGAATATTTCATAATTCTCCTTACAATTTACCATTCTATTCTTATGATATAAGTTCAGAGAATTTGGTATTGATCAAATGTTCATTCTCATAATTGATAATTTTAACTATTCTCATCACTTGCCTGCTGGATATTGTAAGGAGAAATTCTGTCTTGGTCACTCATAAGAGTGAAAGGTTTAAGCCAGTAAAGCTGATATGAAGTGTCTTCCAAGCCTTCATTACATGATGGCTATATTATGTTTCCACTTAATGTGAAACCAAGTTTGTAAGTGTGTCTGTCTGGCTGCCTATGATGTCTGTGAGGTTGATGTTGATCTTGCCACTTTTTTTGCCCATAGGATGGTGAACTCAAGCTTGCAGACTTTGGTCTTGCCAGAGCTTTTGGCATTCCTGTCCGTTGTTACTCAGCAGAGGTAATTTTATGTGAATTTCATTGCTGTGGATAATCCTCAGTCCACTCATGCAGTGTCTCTGTATTTCTTTGTGGTCAGGTGGTAACATTATGGTACCGTCCTCCAGATGTCCTCATGGGGGCAAAGCTTTACTCCACATCCATAGACATGTGGTCTGCTGGCTGTATTTTTGCAGGTCAGATTTGAGTTGTGTTGCTTTTCTAGGTGATACATGTCCTGTTAAAATGTATGAATGTTTTACATTACAATGTTTTCTTGCAATCAAACAGTTAACCCTTTCACTCCAAGATCTCATTAGTAATTCTCCTCATTGTCTGCTATACAATTTCCAAGATGTTAGTACAGAGAATTTGGTATTGGATCAACCAATAATCCCTCAATCAACATTTTTCTTTATTCTTGTCACCAGCTGTCTGCTTGGTATTGTATTGATACTGTGAGGAAGAAATCTTTCTTAGTCACTCGTATGAGTTGAAGAGTTTAAAAAAATATATTATTTTAACCCTTGAAAACGTTATTGTTGTTATGGTTATTTTCACTCTAGTTCTAGTTTTCCTTTGTTTTTGATTATGGTTAGTAACAGATACGAGACAAAGAAAAATCAAACGAGTTTGATAAATTTAAAACTAGGGGAAAATGTTCGTCATTGTATGCCAAGGAGACCATGAAGCTGCTAGATTTGATCTTTCTTATTCCAAACTAAAATTATTAGTGTTAAAAGTTATTTTTAGAATCAAGGTATACGTTCTCTCGTCAATGATGTTACATACGGCTCTCAATTTCAATTGCTTTTGTGAATAATCTTCATGGAGAACGAGTAAAACTGCGTGCGATGTCAGCGTGTATAACATTCCGATACCCTGTTGGTTATCACAAGTTACTCCTGAGATCTACGTTAACGGAAGTTATCCAAAACAGCTGAAGAGAAATTGTTGCAAGAATACGGCCTAGAGCAATTTACAGTGTGTGTCGAAAGCAATCCGAGATTGCAATGGTTTACCTGACTTCGCTGTATGATTGGTCTAGAAAACTCGCGCCACTCTCTTAACCAATCAAACTTAAAACTGAAACCAAACGTAGCTTGGTCACTCGCGTTTTCCCGCGCTTTAGACAGTTTGCTTGATTTTTTTTTCTTTGAGTTCTCATTGGCTCTTAATGACATTTTCCCCACCCTGATTGGCGTTGTGATAACTTTGTTTTTGGTCCAACAACATCCAATCGAGTCGTGTGAAGTCTCTTGTCGTTATCATCTCTTGTTCGTACCTGACTGATCGCTTATCAGCGACTGAGACCGTTTTAAGCAAAAGTGTCACATAGTGAATTTGTCTCAAGCTATATTCTCATTCCTCTACAGAAATGGCCAACGGGGGCAGACCTCTCTTTCCTGGAAACGATGTCGATGATCAACTGCGACGTATTTTTAAGTATCCTTTGATTTAGTGTTACTGTGAGAACTGTTTTCCTTTTTTATTTTTTCTTCTTTTTTTTTTAGGGGGGAGAGTAGGGTATTTCATTACCATCTCTCTTATACCACGTTCACACCGTCAAAACATGTCTAATTGAACAAAGTTTAATGAAACTATGTTTAATTAAACATGGTTAACTGATCAACCCGTTCACACCGAGCAACAAGAGCTGGCAACAATGCAGCCTCATGTTCATGCTCAGCCTCGCGTTCGTGTAATTGTAATTGACGTAAAATGTTACAACATCATACAGCAATAACATGTAAAATGTAAACAAAATAGCGGATGGGCGAAATATTGTACTTTTGTTTTGGAAAACACGGAGAGACGAAAGCCGAAAAATCGCGGAAAATCGCGCAAAGCTTGCCAGGAGACGACTCTACCGATACCTCCGCCGCAGATGTCTTGTGTCATCTGTATTTTTATTGTTGTTGACGCGGCAACTATTTCGATGCGCCCCAAGTTTACCTCGAGTTTGGAGAAAAAGCAGGTCTCAATCCTTTTGGGAGGAGACCTGCCAAGGCTGGAGCGATGATGATTGGGTAGAGAACTTAGGATTAGGCGCTTATCAGAGTGTGAATTCGTGTCTGGCAGCTGCTGTCGTCTCTGTCTTCATAGCCTGCAGCTCGAAGATATGCCGCAATTTCTAGCCATGTAGGTTTTTTTCTTGTGCATGATTTTAGCTGTAGCCGGATATTCTCGTCTCCTCATTTTTCAAGTAACAGGATGGTTTCTTTGTGCTCCCAAACTCTTCCGTGCGCTTTAGTTTCTACCGCCATTTTGAATGTGTTTTATTAGACACAATTGTTACACTACCTCGCGAGGTAGTTTTGTTAAACACGGTTTTAGACGTGTTTTGTCAAACGCGCCCGCAGTGTGAACGGCCAGTCTTATTAAATCTGTTTATCAAAACAAATTTTTAACATGTTTAAGCTTTGGTGTGAACGGGGTATTAGTCTAGAGCCACTTTTAATCGAGTATCGAAATTATTGCGGGATTTCTTAGGGTTTGCTCTGCTTCGCTGTGTGATGGTGTAGAATATTCGCCCCGTTTTCTAAACCAATCAAATTCAACACTTAAACCAATTGCGAATCGGTCATTCGCGTTTTCCCGCGCTTCAGGCAACTTGATTGTTTTCAGCTTGAGTTCTGATTGGCTCCTTTTCTTTTGTCCTCATTGGTTGTTGAGATTAGTTTGGGTTTGTGACAAGTTATGTTCCCACATCGGATAAGTGACACGTTGGAAATGCAGGTCTTGATGACTTTCAATGATACGTTCGAGATTCACTCTGTTCGTTATTATTCTGGTGACCGCAGAAGACGCCATATACCTGGGATGATGAACTTTGCGATGTTTTTAAAATCATTCCCTCTCTTTCTCTATTTTTGTAGACAAGAGACGTTCTAAAAACCGGAATTACGTTTTACAAAATGTCTCTAGAAGAAATTAGGGCAAAATTTGGAAATTCAGAGGTTTTTGTTAGGTTTTTTGGCCATTTTGATGAAGGATATTTCCATACGTTTCAGAAAGTGTGAATATGCAAGTGTTGTGATGAACCTCCTCATTACAAGTCGATTCTCGGATAGTTTACTTAAAATCTTGTTAGCGATAGGCCCACTTGATTCTTCGACTTGTTTACAAAAGCCTATCGTGTTTGTTTGGCAGGAAAGAACATTTTTCTATAAACAAAGTTATCATTGATGTCGCTTTTGTGGTTTCTGAAGCATACACCATGAAATTTTTTATAAGACGTTGATCTCTTTGAGTGCTTCCCATATTGGATAACGTTTAGCCTCGTCTACGTCTTCAAAACGTTGGAAAAAAACAATGTTGGCCTGTATACTGAATTGCGTATAGCCGAAACGAATACTCTTGTTACTGAGCGACCCTCTCGTTTCTCTACCTTGCTGGAGCCTTTTTAATGGATTTTAGACTTAACATTTACAGCCGGCACCATATTTTCTAGACTACCTATCTTAATCGTACTGTCTTTTCTTGAACGAGGAACCTAAGAGTACTTAAGGTTTTCGACCCAAGGAGACTACCTTGAAAAAATGTTAAAAAAACAAAAATAAAAAAACAATTAATCCGTATTTGTGTTAAGGAGCTTTCCTCTGGCTTCGGGTGACTGTCTCAGGTTGAAGTCGTAGATGAGCATAGTATTTCAGTCGGGAGAACACAGTGGCTGAGGGCTTCGCACGTGAGGTATTGCATGGCGGCACTTGACATTTCCTCAGTACTATGCACATGATTTGCATGGTCCAATCAGCTCATCCGTTTGGCTTTTCTCATCCTAAACCTCGCGTGCAGTGCAGGTGATTCGCGATATCCTATCAAAATTCTCCACTTGGCTGTTTCTACCATGAAAACTTACCTTACGTTCGCTCGGATAAGCCTCAAATATTCATTTTGATTTCATTCCGCTTCTCGTTGAGTTTTGAAACGAAAGATACGACAAGACGTCGATTTTTTTGTGTCTATCAGTGACACAGTAGAAATACTGTGGAAACATTGCGATTGCAGAAGTCGAATCCATGAACTTCTGATCAGATAGACTCAGGGTCGCTCTGCGAAAGAGCGAAAACGAAGGACAACCACAGGTAGTCCAAGCTCAAAACATCAACGTCTGTGTTTTGTTGCGCGAAATGCGCAATATATACCGAGTATTTACATCCATAATAAAAATGGTTGTTTAAGGTTCCCAAGTAGAATTTGAGCGAATGTTAAGAAAGCCTACCTTACCTTTTTTTTGTCAGTTTTCTCCTACGAATTCGACCACTTTTGAGTTCTATGTTGAACTAGTTTCTTCTTCCGTGGAAAGTGTGGCCTCTGATAATCGTTACATTTTAAGCGCTTGCCATTCTGTCGTAAGTGAATAGGAAATTTACGAGAGGGTTTCGCGGTTTTTTGTTTGTTGGTCTGTCTGTTTGTTTGTTTGTTTTTTGTTTTGATTTTTTGTTCTTGAAGGCAAATAATAAAACAAGAAACAAACAAGGCAAAGAGAGCGAAAAAAAAAATTTGGAGATTAAAGCTTATAAGTTTTGATTTAAAACATCTAGCATCAAGAAATTCTGTTAAAAACGTAATTCTCCCTGGTAATTGTTACCATATACTTCTGGCGGGTAGGTGCCCCCAATATTGCTATTGCCATCTGATGATTGGCTGAGTTTGGGCTGCCTGTGCAAGAGCAGTCGTTACTTGAGCTCTTCTGAAAAGCCGCTGCGAAGCTGTCTTTATTAATCACCATGAACAACGATACATGACAAACTCATCTATCATTACATTCTCATCTTTGTTCGATACTCGTCGGTGTCACCTTTGTGGTCCTCTAAGTTGATAAGTGTAAACTCTTAAGAAAGCTTTCCTCTTAGAGTGTTGTCAATATGAGATCACGTTTATCCCCTCTGTAGTTAAGAACCCTCGATCAAACAATGTTGGCTCGTGCTGTAAACAAAAAGCTATTCAGAGCTATTAGCTGATGCTTACACGTACTTTGAGCATATTCTGTTGAGTAATTTTTTCCATCAATCAAGCTGTGGTTACCAGAAAACCAAATTTCAAACTAGAAAAACCGAACGCGCCCTTGAGTGCGGTCGTAATCTCCATAAGGCAGCCAAGCTAAAAGGGTTAACTTTTCCTTTCCTGTTATTTGGGAGGCACGTAATCTTTCGGAAAACATCTTGTAAAAGAGGCACAGCATGACCAGACAGGCTGGTTGCTGTCAGTCTTATCCCGGATTAGCATTCACTAATGTACTTCTTCCATAGATAAACGATTATTTTTTCTTGTTTAATTTCTTATTTTTATTTTTGTATTGTTTTGTTTTGTTTTGAAGTTTGTATTCCTATCTGGGTTCTCAAAGTACACATTGTAATATTCTAAGTCGTTAATCTCTTGTATACCTTGGAGAGGAACTGGTATGATTCCTCTGCAAAGCGATTTATACAAAGAAAACAAGAGACCCTTTAAGTCTGGCGTGTAACGCTTTGTGCACGCATACGCAGATTTCATTAGTGACAGGCTGATGCTCTCGAAAAAGTTATGTTGGACATCATCCTTACAAGTAAACATGTGGTGTGAACGTGTCTAAGGAAGGACAATTGAAATCTTTGGGAGAATGTGATCTAGGATTAAGTTTAATTGGCTTTCCTAAAACTCAGAGCAACTGTGACAGAAATAAATATTTGGCTGCAGACGACGAAAAGTGGTTTTTGGTTGAGCGACCGCACTGATAATTTTACCAAAAAAAGATCAATTGAGCAAAACGACGTGAATGTGCGTTGTTTTGTTTCTGCCACTTTTTTCTGGTTATGATTCTGTGAAAATTTGGCCGTTTGGCCGTTGTAGTTGGATTGTTTCGTAGAGATACTCTTCTTGGTACCTGCATACATTTTTCTAAAACAATTTTCTCAGTTTGTGTTGCAAGATACAGATCCTCTTTTTAAAGATTATTTTTTATGTAATGTTTCTTAATTTTTTTGAATGCTCTTTTGTATCGAACGCAAAACAGTAAGACAGGTTAGACAAAGAAAAATGATCAAAATGTCACTTGTGCCCGTTTTCGTGGTACCTGTTCACCGTTTGTTATTTCTAAGAAACTTTGAATCTACCACTTCACGCGTCTTCGAAGAATACGCGTTGGTAATGAAATAAAGGGGTACAATTCCGTAGTATTTAGACTTTTACTTAAAAATCGTTTTAATTTAAAACTTCGTTTTTTGCATGTTAACGGTTTCATATTTTAGATAACGTGCTTGGATTGCATAATTATTAGTTCCTTGTTGACGAAAATGAACAAAATGAAATGCAATTAACCTTGGGTCATTTTCATGTTTCACCAAAAACCAATTCCGCGCGTTTGTGGTTGAAAAAAGCACGGTGTCTTTCAAGTGTACGGTGCCCTTGAGGTCGAATGAGGTTCTCCCAAGAAATTAATTTCTTGTTGAATTTTCATTAAAATTTTTCAACACGTTTTTCCATTATACCTCATGATTGTTTAGCCATGTATCCTAGATCAGGGTGTGGTGAGTTGAGGCCCTATTTGGACTTGTTAAAAACGTGAAGACATACTTGGCATGGTTTTTAAGACCTTCCTGCATGTAACTGATTAGTATCAGGGCACTTTTACATTCGCGAATTAATGTCTTAAACAGGAAATGTACATACGTCAGAGAATTTATTAGAGTTACACACAAAGCGAGGTATTCTTTTGTTGACCTTCCGTTGACTTTGGCATTGTTCCCACTTAATTGGCACAACTTTTAAGCAAGTGGGGGCAAACTGTAACCGCAATGTTTACATGCGATAAATTGTGTCATGTTCTTAGATACAGGAAACAGTTTCCTGTCTTAGACAAACATGCAACACAAGTTAGGCGATAACATGTAGTTTAGCACTGTTCTTGTCTTGCATCGTCTATGCTTAATTTGATTGAGGCCTCTTAAATGTAGATCATTTGGTTTAAATAGAGTAGAAAGTCATAGATTTGTGATGAACATGGGGCCATAATTGAGAAACCATTTCTGGCGTGTCCCTAGCCGAATTCCCCCCACCCCCACCCCACCAGGTGGTAGCTTGTTGGGTATTTCCTAATATGTTCCCACGCGAGACTTGAGGCCTTCACTGTGAGACATGTCGATAACTTTGTCCCGCTTTTCACAAATTTTTTGGCGCTGTTCAAGGATGTTTCTTTGATATGTTGGATCTCTCAACAGAGGTTGTATCTTCGACATGTTGAGCCGGACAAGAAGATGCCCTACTTATTAAAGAGAAGTCTAGAAACACACACATGCAAAGCGTATTATGTCATCATAAAGCGGAAAAATACTTTCAGACTTTGTTTGTTCTCGCGTTTTATTCATGTATAGCGGATCTACCCGCAACGTTACTTTTTGGGCCAAGCTTCCTTAGGTTATTTATTCTTCACCATTAGCTAACTGTGGTTTATTCCTTTTAAAGTCAATTAATCCATACAGTTGAGACAGATTCATTGTTGTTCGTTTTGGGTTTGGCCCGAATCATCGAGTTGGTCTTTCTGCGGCTTACTTAAGAATAGCGTTCAGATTTTCAAAAGCGACCGGCGAATTAATCTTTCTTTAAAAAGCGTCAGTGGTGTTTTTTTTTTAGAAAATTAAATAAGGAACACGCGTGTGAAACTGCGATGAATTTGGCACTAGATCCGCGGAAACGCTTATATCATTGATCCCAAGAGCTGCTGGAACTCTGGTCTAACTTGATTAAAACATCAGTTTGCTTTTACGAAAGCCGCTTTGAGTATGCCGAATCGGACGCAGCGCGGCGCAAACGGCCCATAATTAATCGCGCCCCTAACTAGAGCTTTAAAAAAATTTAGCTTTTTGTTCTAAGTAATTAAAATGCACTTTATCTTTGACAAATTGACACAATTCGTTCACGAGATCTAGAGTTGAAATAGTCACACGTTGCTTTCATGTGAAAGGACTGTAGCTTGACTAAGCCAGATTAATCTGGAATTGCTTCGACGGTTTCTTTACGATAGTAGTTGGTTTATAAGTAATCTAATGTGAATTCCTTGACTATACTTAAGAATCCTAGGACCACCCTCTGAAGAAACATGGCCCAATGTGATCAAACTTCCAGATTACAAGGTAACTGTCCAGTGTTCTTTCATTTCCCTTCTTTCATAATAAACGGGCTGATAACTCATGTGTGTTTTACTTCGTGCATTATCAAATAAATCGCTTTTTTATCTTTATAAATACTTTTCCTAGAATTGAAATTGCATGAACATCTTTTGTGGGTAAATATGAAATAAGCTTTATACAGATATAAGCGATAAGAGAGTTGGACGTTGATATGGAGTGTCTTCCCTCTCGAGTTGTTGTCTACCTACTGGAAAATTTCTGGCGAAAGCTGGCAAAGATCCGAGACCTCTATCTAGTCTCTCGTCCAGCTTATACTATTACGCTCGAGGGGAAACAATCGATCACTGTCAGTTGAAAGTAAATTGTAATCGGGGTTGAACTAAAATGATACACAGAATATGTCAAAAGTTTAGCGAGCTTAAGCTTTCCTTGTACATCGAAAGGGCTTGCTTACTTATCGTTGTACATCTTGATCTTCAATTGTAAAGAAGCCTCCATGAATGAAAAGGTTTCAGTTTTCTGCCTTACGTAAGGAACTGACCAGCTTTAGGAAGGCTTTCCTCACACGTCGAAAGGGCCTGCTTGCGTATCATTGTTCATTTTGGACGCATTTGTAATCGGTTCTTCATAGATGAAAGGTTTTCAATTTTCTACGTGAGAAACTGCATTATCTATGAACACTAATGCTTGTTGTAATGTGACACCAAGCTAAACAGAAATTGAAGGCTAACGTTCAAGGAAATAAGAAGGGAAAGAGGCAAAAGAATAGGAATCGTGCGTCACTTCCCAAAAGGTCACTTGAAAATTGAAGAAATTTCGCAACCTTTCAATTACCCTCTTTGGGCGAAGTCATGCATTGCTCGAGAGCACTTTGTGCAGACTGTTCTAGAAAGTCAGGGACTTAGTCGCCACTTAAAGACTTAATCTATAGCACGCTTGATATTCTCTTAACTTGTCACAAATAAGCAAAACAAATGATCAGGCAAAAAATAAGACACATGGAATTCAAGACATATATCGTTTATTGATCACGCACTTGGTTACTTTTCAGTAATGCTTAGTTATGCACTTAACACCTGAACTTTTGGCGCTGAGAACCTCTGACATCTGATAGAAAATTAGATTTACTCCTACGCAACATTGCGAGAATACTAAAGTAGATTTTGGTCCGCTAACCTAACTAATGATGAAATTCTTTGAGATTTGTACGTGTGGCGAAAAGTTTACCAGCCATTTCCTTCAGTTTGGCTTATAACCGACACCGCTTTTTCATGGCAAAGACCAGCAAACGCTTGTAAATATTCTTTCAAATTCGCGGTAAGGTGAGAAAATAAATTTTTAAGCTATGAAGTCCTCATAAACCAAGAAAGCTTCAAAGATCATGGTTGACCTAGTGTTTAAATAGGGTATGTCTGTCCGAAAAGTGCATTTGACGAAGCGTAACTGTGGACCTTTTGAAGAATACAACTTAAAAATATAGAATCTAAGTGATTAACAATAGGGGAGTTTTTGTTACTTTTCTAAGTTTTTCATTTCCATTGGTGATGAGGAGGGCAAAATTCGTAACTTGAAGCGCGAGTTGCAAGGTAGATTAAACTGCATTTTTACACGATAAGATTTAAATCCATGAAGTCCTTCTGGACAGGACGCTGTCCCATAGCAATCGCCTGACGATAGCTATGAAAACAGGAAGGAAACATTGTCGTGGGATTGTGACGGAGTTAACGACGGACATTATCGGTCCCGTTTCTTTTGTTTTTTTTTTTTTTACTTTCTAGGACTTTTCGCATCTTCAAGGCGCCGGGGCCGTTTCGTTTGCTGTGGTTGTACCCAAACTGTCCGCTGCGGGAAGAGATTTGTTGCAGGTATGAATTGAACACTACATGATTGTAACTAAAGGATGGGATTGCAAAAGGTTTTTGGTGAATGAGTTTTGTTATTCAGATTTACCCACATGGATCCGTAACTTAGATAGCCCTTCAACATTCGCTAGACGATATCTTCAATACCCTTACCGCAAAACCTACTGAAGACAGCAGAGCAAGTTTTTGTTTGCGTGTCAAAACAGTTTGGGTACATTCTTCACCGTTCTTTTTACAAATCAACGAGGTGAATCCACCAAACTCTTCGTGCTATGAGGACATTGAAAAGTGACGGGAAACTTTTCGCTTTAAGTTAGAAATTTGTCGCTTTCTCTAAAAGATTAGTTGGAGATAACCAAGGAAAGGATAACGACATTTTTATCAGATCTAAATCGATATGAGATCTGCAATACAACTGAATCCGAAGGCGTCGTCTACCTTGATGTCCCTATGATCGTTATCGTTCAGTCTAAATCATCTCTTCGAAGCCAACCATTATGAGTTTTCTCACACTAACAAATGGCGAGGCACCGTTTTAAAAAAATTAACTAGTGCATTTTACTCTTATTACTATCATTATTTTGCACAGATTTTACTCCCAAAGTTTAAATGTTCCACCTTTGTTATGTAGATAAAGAAAAGCGGCGGAAATTGTTCTCGCCCTTTTTAGTAAAAGCTTATTTATTTTAGATAATAAACCACGCAGTTTCGAATGCTAAGCCAGTCCAAAATTTTAAAAGCAGACTTAAGACCCCCTTTGTTTAACCCTACTGGCCGCCATCTTGAAGCTGCGAGGCAGGCTGAGAACAACTGCCACGTCGCGTTAAGTGTTTTGCACTTGTTTTTGTCTTTGACCCGAGATTTTCGTCCATTTTTATATGAGAGTAAACATGACATGATCAAACTTGCGTTCTCTATATGAATTTTTTAAATTATCGCATGCAATATAAGGTTATCGTTGAGATGACTTCTTGATGATAAGTGGAATCGTTCAGCATCCTAAGTTCTTTTATGAGATAAATTTCAGCTTCTGATATTCTAATGAATATTAGAAAACTAAAGAGGACCGTTGAAGAAATTAGTCTTTATTCCTTGATTCTCGAAAGGTGATTTCAAGGACTCAGAGGAAAGGCCGCTTTTTCGGTTTATTGCTGATCTCTGCCACATATTAGGGTCAACAAGCGTGTCCTAACTGCCAGGATTATTATCAGGGTCGTAAGCGTCAACTTCTTCCATAGACGTACATAAAGTAACGCTTTATGTCCGGCTTGTTAAGGATCCCTTCTTTGAAAATAAATCATGTTTTATTCATTTAATCAAAGTTTTTTCGTAGGGGTAACATTGTTAAAAGGAATTTGGAATGCTTGTTGATTTTCTTATCAACATGTCAACTTTCCACATCACTGCTCAAATTATAGATGTAAAGCATTTGTTTAAGTTCCTTTGTCTTCTCTCCCCTTAAATTGACTACTAGCATTTATGATGAGAGATAAATTTCACGCGTTTGTAACTTTTTTCTTTCTTCGACATTTAAGATTCCCACGTCCGTAATGGCGTCCTGTGCATCAGAAATTTTCAGAATGTGTTTTCAAGTTATTTTAGTGATATTAACAGATGTACTTTTTGTCATAAGCAAATAACAGGCCCTTAAAGTGTTGCTGTTGTTTTTAGTTTCACTAACATAGCCCTGTCTTTTTGTCTTAGAAACTCTTGGTTCTTAATCCAGCTCACAGAATATCAGCGGAAGACGCCATGCGTCACACGTTTTTCGCCGACCTCAGCCCAACGTTTCGTGCCTGAAGCACTCAATAGTGACATCATTATCTAAACAGACTACACGAATTTTATGAGCAGTCATATGTTCTTCCAATAGAAAATGAAATCCTATCGTAATCATATTTTATGTAACCTCATCAATGTGTACATAAATGTGCAATAAAGTTTTATCAATGAACAGAATGATTGTTGTTTGCCTGTGTTATCATTACTGGCGAAGTCTTCTTCTGAGAACAGTTCGAATGCTATCCGTTTCTCCCCTGATTTCAAATATTCCTCACTACAGGGATAATTTTTAGAATGTTCTTAATCTTAGAGTTTGACTTGCTCGCAAATTTGCCTTCTCGTATTTATAAACGTATTTAAGGTAGCACTTGTAATACTTATCGGAAGGCGCGATATATTTCATCCTGGTCTTCTCTTTCCTCATAAACGGTTCATCTGAGGTTTAGTTAAGAGGCCAGCAATATTCCATGGCCTTTCACTTCTTAGCCAAGTAGTCTACCGCCTTTAGAAGGCCAGAACGCTTGGGAACATCCGGGAAACAGTAATCCAAGGCATGCAGGGGATGGTGGGATGTGAGAGTACCGTACACTTCCTTTCTTTTTTTACCTTCCATTTAAATCCCCACGCACTTTCCACCGACAGTCCACGGCCCTTTCTCAACTCCGCCCCCCCCCCTCCCCCCCCCAAAAGAAAAATAAGAGAAAAAATCTTCAGAGGTGAGGGAGAATTAGCATATCACCCTACTTCCTCTTCCAGTTCCATTTTACTGCTCGGTTAATTGTTCTTTGAGGCATAAGAAAGAAAAGGAAGCGATCTCCATTGACACTTATGTGACTTTTCTATTCTCAACCCTAATTTCCAAATGGTCCCTTCTACTACTTCTCAATGTTTATAAGCATGTCAGTTACCCTTTCCTCATTCTTCTTTTTCGCTTCATACTACTCTGGTTCAACTGCTGCTTTCGACGTGAATTTTTCAGTTTTTTAGCCACGATCTCTCACGAGATGAGGTTCATTCATAAACTACGGAGATTCACGCAAGAGCTGAAAAGGCTAAGTGATCGAAGCAGTGTCATCAAACGGAGCGAATCTATTCGTGTGTAAATTCCCTCTTTCTGTGTGAAGTACGTGATAAGATATCTGTTAACATCATGAATCATGTCCGAGGATTGAAACAATTACGTTTCGCTGTGTTATTTCCTGTGTTTCTTCAGGTACGTCTATAAGAATTTCGAAATCTCCTTCTTGCTGACCTCGTGAGGTATTTGTCTTGTTCGTCACTGTAGTTTCCGTTTGGAGAGAAGTCTGTTCATTGTCGTCTTTCTAGTATTTATCCAACCTCTCGTTCCTAGACGTCTTAAACCCAAAGCCGCCGGATTAAGATATTCGGCGAAATGCAAAAATATGCGATCTCTTAGAAGACTGGCTGATTTAATTATGAAAGTTTTTCAAACCGACGCTATATGCTGCCCAAAAAAACAATTTGAAATAGCACGAATAGTTTTGAAATAAATTTTCACGGAACTGTTTGATCGCAAACGATGTGAAACAACGACATAATTACATTTTTTAATTACCTTTTGTCCATGTAACCATAACGTTTTCGTACTTAGCTGAAACATAACAAATGTTATTCTTCTGAGTGTGCATCAAAACGGCATTGAGAACAGACCACACACGTTGCATTAAGAGGCAATTCCATAGATTTAAGAAAGAAGTACGTATTGTCTACGAATCTAAACCCTGAGTAAATGGTCTCGAAGGTCAAGGAATCACGAACTGTTTCATGTTTTCCGATTCAAGAAACATACAATGCGGTTTCGTTTACAAATTAGCTTTAACAGACCGCAAAAAGACATATTTTCCATTCTGGGGTCAAAACTCTTTCCGTCCTAGCTTCTCCTCGTATTTAGCCGTAATGGCAAAATAATTGTCGCAAAACAACATGCTTCCTTACAAAAACAAGAAAGTTCACTGTGTGTGCTCGATGCTCGGACATACAGAGGAAATGCTCTCTTGTAGTCTTTGTTTAGGATTAGTTTTGTTTTGACGTTGCAGCACGGGGTGCCGATTTAATTCGGTGTCCTCTTGGTTGATGCATTCAGAAATCTGACCGAGGTGATTTGCGGTCTGTTCCCCGGAAAGGTTGATTCACAGGAAACGCGAAAGTTTATACATTTAAATGAATCCCCTTCAAAAGGCCAATACGGCGTATTTAGGTAACTCAAACTCGCCATTTATCGAGGTCAATGAAAGGGCTCGGATAGCGTGTTTTCATCGCTTGGCATCTGTAGGTAAGTTGGAAGCATTAAGCTATCTTTATTAGAGGCTTTCGGCTGGTTGCCAGTAACAGTGTGACATCGAGACATTAATTTTACTGAGTTAAGTCTACGGAAATCTTAAAACAGTTGATTTTGCTCCTCTTTCTTGACCGTTGCCTCGACACAGGTCTTTGAAATGCTAGTAATCATAGGTTACGAAAATTTTGTTCGCATCAAAATGTTTTTTTTGTGATGAACTTTTGAACTTTTGACTTTTTGTCAGTTTTACCGCACAGCTTTTAGAAGTAACACAACTTAAAATGTGTACTGATTCAATATCTTATGGTGGTGAAGAATTGGGAAAATGTTTGGTGTTCTATGAGTAAAACACTGTTCAGAGATCGTAGATCAAGAAACAAGAAAAAAATCCGCGCCGATTTAATCGAATATATCGTGTTCTCTCTATTCAGAAGTAAAAACACAAAAATATTTGAAGATTCCTCGTAAGGCAATAATATGTAAAACTTCCTACAGATCACATTTGATTAAGTCCGAGATAGAAAAGAGATGTTGCATAGACTGAAAAAAAAATCGCTCGGAAGTGGCGTGTTCATATATGAAATCAAATTTACAACGTCTCCCAAATGGCCGAAGCCATTAATGGCCACTTCTCTCAATTGGTAACTGTTACTGTAATGATACAAACAGACAAATCAGCAGCTCTCCGGGGAGATTTTTCCCACAACATCAAATTTGGTAAAATATCAAAACAAGTGTACCTCTTGTGGCCTTCTTCCTCTGCAATAGTTAATTAGGAAATGTGTTCGCTGTTTACAAATTTCTTGATTTTTTTATTAAAAATTGGAGAATTAACTTGTAATTTTTATTCAGTCTACGTACTTTTTAACTCGCGTATAGCGCTTAAACTGCAAGAGCCAGAAATAGCTTTTGGGAAGATGTTTGTTTTCAATTCTCCTACAGTAACGTCATACGTAGATGCTTTCTATTGCTCATAAATGTCAAATCGCTTGCAGTTTCATAATTAGTAACTTCCTCGGTGACAAGTTGGTTGTTTCGATACCTGCGGTTCCTTTTTAGACTTTACAAAGGGATAACAACTTCCGTACACAGCGAACAATTCGAAGTCTCTTGAAAAGCCGAAGGCATGCAAAGTTGTTTTGTTTGTCCACTTTAGCCACTAAGCCGTTACTTATTTTAGCACACATGTTGGCATCTTTTCAAAGTTACATTGGGTGACTTTTCTTTTCTTAACATTTGTCTGGAAGGTAGAAATGGATTCGCTGATATCATTGCACGCAGGGCTTTTTATGGCCTCAAAGTCTAACTATAATGATGTATATGGAAACTAGGAGGCCTCCTTACTCCCTCGCATTTAAAAATTACCCCATTACTCTTCTGGCACTATAAATGTCATCTATTTTTATCCCAAAGTCGGTTGGTTTACAAATTTTGATGTTGCGGTTGAACCGCAACGGCCCGTGATTTCCTTCGTATACTAGTTCGTGAGCTGGCAGCGAATTTGAACACACCCGCCGAAGTTTCGTCACAGCCGGACGAAGGTATTCTCTTGTTTACAGGCAAACAGTGCCAACTCTCACGTACTTACACCTTGTTTGATCACTTATTTATGACATTTGACACAAGTGTGATGAAAATTCCCATCAGTTTCCCTAATCTCTCCGTGGGTTCAAAAAATTTGGTGTCATTATCAAAACCTGTATCTCTAAAGATATTTTGAAGAGCTATCAGACCGATATCATAAGATATTTCTCATCGGAAGAAGAATAAAAAGTCATACCGCATTTCAGTAAAAATGCAAGCATAGTATTTCTTAGGAGGTTATGCAAATATTTATTCATCTCCAACAACAAACACCGCTTCCAGGCGCAGATAGCATACGTCTATGCTACCAAGGCACGATGCTGTTATAGTAACTAGTTTCTGTTTCTCAGACGTGAAGTCTCCAGACTAAAAAGTGACCCGACGTCAAATATATTGTGCTCTAGATTCTGACGGAGATTCGATGATGTTGGCGACTTGATGGTAGACACGCTAATCCAGGGCGTATCACTTTAAGGCTAAAAGCGAACCATTCAACAACAATTGATCCGGCTAATCTGCGTGGGATATCGACGGTTCAAGAGCTAGCACTAATTGGCTATCTTCTCAATTTTCAACAAGCCTGCCCAGTGTTTCCCTGAACGCTTATATACCCGGCGTTCGAGCTATCTCAATCACTGTCGCTGACTTCGGACCAACTCCACATCATCGTTTCTGATCACTCTTAAAGGAGCACTGTAAGTATTCTTTAACCTTCTTTCGCACGCCCTCATGTCAAGGAAACGATAACATTTAATCGCTATTCTTGGAGTATTAATATACATTTACAGGTTTTCATTAGAGTGAAATCGTTATTCTGTGGTTGCGCGACTTGCTCACCGTACAAGTCATTTTCCTCTTCGAAATTGGACTAGTTTCTGAGAACACTACCTTGTCTAAAGAAAGCCAAAACTCCCAGTATTTCCTGACTCTTAAAGATATCAGACTCTGAAATATCAGTTCCAGCTATTTTGTTTTAAACCATTTAGACAAAAGCGTTTAAAACGATCAAGTAAAAGATTTATATCACATGGAAACTCGTATATAAACTGACTCGGACAAGACCTTTGATTTCATCACCTTCAGGAAGAATCGTGAGTACTTTTGCTTTCATTACAGAATGCGCATCAGTCATATTATTGTCAGTATCTGCGAACATAAGTTGAAAATAGCTCATTTTTTTATCAGACAATGTTCATCCGGTGACCTGTTTCTATTTTTTTTTCCTGTTCATTGAGACTATTGGGTTGGATATTTTCTGTGCCAGTCGTTAACGGCCGCGATAAAAAGATCCGTTGATAGTCCTATCCTGCTATCTTTGCTCTCTGTTTTCTATTTTAATCGTAGGCAGTAACCGTGAAAAGTTCATTAATCTTAACTAAAACTTTTGTCGCAAGGAAACATCCAGCTTGACTTGCCTAGGTCATTCAGCAAATTTGTATTATCTCGCGTCTTATAGAGCTAATCCGCTGTAATACCATTTCCCTATGATACCCTATGAAAAAAAACCGCCAAACAATAACTTATATTGGGATAAAAAAAAATAAATTTAAAACTTACGATTCCCATTGCGCTAAGGGGGGGCTCAAATCGTCGGAATTATTAAAAGTGAAACTTCAATAGAGCTGTATTGTACTTAAAACTTATTTCTCAAACTGCGTGTGTTATCTACAAGTACAGACTGTAAGTCAGCCAATCAGGTTAACGATACAGAGAGTTTCAGTTTTCTTGTAGATTTTCCGTGTAAATCTGCATGCATCTGCAAATTTATGAAATATCTAGTTTTCTCGAGTTTTGAAGGAGAAAAGTGCTTAAAAACAACGTCAGTTGTGACGAACATCTAAAACGAGCTTCGATGCGGAACTTCTTCCGGTCGTTGTGATTAGTTAAATTCAAGTACTAATGCTCCAAATATACTATTAGATATACATGATATTGAACTCGCCATGACCAGGCAATTTTATGGCCATATTTTGTAATATCTATAAAAAAATCTCATTTTCCAATCAATGAATTAAAAGAATTGTTTTCCGAATTCCTCAAAGCTAAAAAATATTTCTTGGCAATTTCGCTTTTTTTTTTAGCTTGCAAAGTGACTAGCTATTAACTAGTGCTTTTGAAAAAGCGACTGATTAATTGGTAAACTAAGACAATTACAACTTCTTAACCAATGAAAAAAGTGCTGATGTTGCCCGTTTTGCGTCATTTTCTGGACGCACAAAATTACTCAATCGTAAAAAAAAATACAATCTATATTGATATATTAGTGAGGAAAAATATTTAAAGGTGATGATAAAACAAGACGTAGCAATAACGGCCAAAGACGAAGACGACTAAAGACAGTGGCAAACTGGAAAAGTTTAAGGTAAATTTTCCAAAATGTAGAAGTCGCAGCGTGGCTGTAAAAAAGATTTACCCCTGTCGCGATCAATTTACAATATCAAGCGAGCTTTAAGGACAAATTCTCTGAGTTTTTATTCCGATCTCAGCCGACTTCCCTATTGTAGTTTAACCAAGATATTTGCCCCTGGGATTAGAAAAAGGTAAATAAGTCCAAGAAACTTAACGACTAACATTCATGGAAACCAGGTTCTTAACGCACGTGCGCTGATCAGTCACGGTCTCATAAGAGGCTTTTTGCCGCAGGTTTCACAAACTTCGTTGATAATTTAAATTGGCCACCGTAAGAGTTTCGAGCATTGGCCGTTCGTCAGGGTGAATTAAGACATAAATTATTCCTGATATATAGGACTATGTTTTTGTATAAGAGTATTTTTTGTGTGCATCTCATTCTTACGCGAAAAAAAAAATGTTGAAGTCGCCAGTAATGATGTTTCTGAAGAATCCAGAAAGAAGAATATTGACACTGCGTACCAAGTTTTGCTAGATTTCAAATTTAACGTTTAAAAGGCTACCCATTTTGGATTCCGGAGTCTTCGCTTGAACGAGTGTGACGGAATCTTTATCTGTCGTCTTCGCTTTCTTTTTAACTCTATGAGGCCCACTGAAAAAATTGATTAAAGCTGCGTTAGGGCTATGAACCGCTCTCGCGAGACAAAGCGGAACGGCGGTCAGTTATTTCATGAAAATGAAAAAAAAAAACAAAAAAAAACAATCAAAGACCGCCCATGGTTTTGTTGAGTAAATTAGCCCATTTTTCTCTATTACGAACCTTTTTAGCTAATGAGCTTATGGGATGACTTATGGAATTGCCTTTGAAAGAATTTCGTTTGAAAGGTGCGACTATTTTAGCCAAAAGCTCCGGGACGTGACAGCCTTACTTGCGACTCTAGCGAAAGATTTCACGTCATGGCCAACTGCTGAGGAATTAATATTTCTCGCGAGCACCTTTGATTAGGGATAAATAATGAGAACAAGACATTTTCGCTCAGGCTGAGTATATTGTTAGCAGGGCAACAGAAAAATCACCTAAGAGGAAGATTTGAGTATATTTCTTTTGCTTTTTGTCTTGTCTCGCTACGGTGTTAAATTTTGGAATGAAAAGTTATTTTTTTCCGACCTGCACTGCCTCGGAATATAAATGCTTATTGTACCGTGAAAAAATTTAAGCATATCATATTGTCAGTCACCACGTGTCGTGTAGGTCGATGTTACTGGATTTTTCTTTTCCTGCACAGACTTTACAGCTCCCTAGGCGTTTCAGTTTCCCTTTATCTTATTATCTTTCCGAAACCCTCGGCTAAGTGAAACATATTAGCTAATCGGTTTATGAATTACCGAAAAATAAGTCCCTTAACAGTTTTAGACGCTATCAGAGACCGGTTGGCAAACTTTCAAGCAGAATTTGTCTAACGACCACTGCGCCTAGGAGTTTGGTAGGCAAGCTTCCATATCCAGGCGATACAACCGATTGGCGTTAACCCACTTACGATGTCGTTAGAAGAAAAAATAACTCTAGGAAAGAAAATCACACTTTCTTTACAATTAAGCGCAGTTATGGAGGAGAAAGCCCCCTGCCAATCTCTTTCCTTTCTTCAATCCCCCTCCCCCCAACTTCTCTACCCGACTTCGTAAATCGTTATCGGGGATTTCATTATCCGTTCAATTTTGGCCAAGAGGAGCAGAATAACTCCCAAGTTAACCGACGATAATTTTGCTTAAGCAACTGAATTTGGAGATCTATCTGACGTCATAAAGGCTGATAGTATTTTCATCGTCACGTCCGAAAATAACCGATCTAAGAAATCTCTCTACATACTTGTTTAACTGAGCGGTTTTCCGCACTTAAGATAACTCCGATACAGTATGAAAAGTCTAATAAAATCGTTGTGCATTAATTACCAAGTAAAACAACGTCAGGAAGTGGAGTTGATTAATCAAAATTAATGATTTTAAAAATGGACGTCACGGGTTCATTTTAGACGCAAAACGTGCGTGAATTTGAAGTATTACCTGCGCGCAAATATTCCATGGTTGATAAAAGAGTGCCCCGCTCTATAATCGTCATCTGTTAAATAAATATCGCTACTTTAGAGTCCATTGTTTACACTTTCGGCAACTTAAGAATGTAATATTATTAACAGCCAGGAGTATCACAAGTTCAATTAGCTAGATCATTTTTCTCGCGGGCGCTTTCAGCTCCCCTTAAGTGAAAGTTGCAAAAATGCCGCTATTTCGCCGAACAATAACAATGTCACAGCATCACGCCTTCCTAAAGAAAACTTTGCGGGAGAAGTGCTAACGATTATTTTCCCAACATAAGCACTCCAGACTGAAAATAGTTCTTTGATGACCTTTTAGAGTGAATTTTTTATCTTCCTTTGCGGAAAATTCTTCGCTAAATTACCGATTTCTCACACGCTTCACGCGCACCGCTAACTGTGTACCCTTTCAACACCATTTATTGCAAATTTTTTTTCACAGTGGGCGTGATGTGGCCAAAGGCTGAATTTCCGGGGCAGAGTTAGCATCTATTGCTGACTGAGCAAGCGGGAAACTTTTCAATTCTCTTCCTCTTGAAGCAAGCGCAATCACGACCAGAGGAAGACAAATCATCGTAAAATCTGTTGTCGGCTTTCTTTCTCTTGTTATGAAGAATATGCGTATAGCTTAATTCTACAGTAACCTCATTATTTGAGGCTAGTTTGTCGAGATCTCTGAAAAGTGAAAAACGATTAACAGTTGCACCGACCCAAGATGACCGCGTATTGCCAAAATAATTAACACTGCGATAGAAGTAGCCGCGAACCAATCAAAAATTGTGTTATTTAATTTTGGAAAAGGGAAGATTTTTAAGTGCAGCGGGCGCGCTGGTATACACTCAGTTAAGACCAGTCATCAGTCGGCAAAGTGTCCGGCGACCTCAGGGACATAGGAGAAAAAGGCGCTTTCGTCAAGGGCACAGTAGGAACTCGGAATTGTTTATTGTTATTACTGAGTATAAAGAAAAACTGACAGATTGACCGCTTTTATCAAAACAGCGTTATCTTTGGAACTGAGCGGAACCTTCTAAAAAAGCCCGTTGGAATGGCATCTCTGTTGGTAAAAATCTTGTGTGTGGTTTGCATGTATGGCTTCGGGCCACTCAACAGCAATTTTGTGCATGGAGCAACGGACTCGTCCTTAGCTTGGGACATTCGAATCCGTGAGACGCTGAACAAGCTTCAAACCAGACCATGTTGGGGCCGTTCGAGAGGATCTCAGTGCGATGACTCCATGATTGTCGGTATGGATACGCGCAAAATGAGACTGTTTATTGCACAAGGCCAGAAAAAGTCCAGCCTAAGAGTTGTACTACCAGACAGAAGACAGCGGCGTCTGACTTCACGTTCCCACCGGAATGACTCCTACGACGCGGTCTTTGTGCTTGATCCGTATCCCGACACAAACTTCGGCCATGTTGTGTTCATTTTTCTGGTGGACTTTGATGTGAATCAGACTGTTTGTCGCAACATGAATGGTGTTCCTGTTAATACTGGTGAGTCAGAGGGTGTTTATGCGTGACTTGGCGCGTGTATCACCATAGGTTAGCGCTATGAGCAAATTGACGTTTACTGTTTACGTATCGTGTCAGTCGCGGGCCTTGGTGAAAAGATTTAAATAAAGAATCTTAAGATTGTTGTTGCGTTATAACTACCGCCTATGAAACAAGAGCACTTCTTGTGACTAACGGATGTTATATTGTAACGCCGCATAAGTTTGTTTTGTATGGAAAATTTATCATATCAGTCAAAACAAGGCCATTTTAAAGTGGGGCGTTATGATGGTCCAATATTTCGTTCTTATAATGGCTCTATTCCTAGTCATGTTATTTTTTTCTTGTCATAAATGGTATAAATTTTCAATTCTGAGTTTTCCATTTTTAGGACGGGAAGAATGCATCAGGAGAGCAGAAAAGGTACACTGCAAAAACCGTATTGCCCACAGACAAGTTAAGTGTGAAATCAATTTTATACCGCTGGTATATTCTGTGAACGACGGAAAACGTAAACAGCTTCTCCATTGCCATGGAAGTCTAAGTACGCGCCAATTTGCACGCTGTGGAAAACGTGATGATCAGAACGAACTTTCACCGCCTTGCAGTGGCAATTCTGCGCATAGATGTTCGATTGGAAACCGTCCCAAATCTCAGGATTTTTGCTTTCATACCACTTGTGACCATGCCGTGTTGGTGTCCGGTGGCTGGAATCCGGACACGAACCACCCACGATATCGCCAAAATCTTCATCAAATGTGGAAACTGCTACGCTCCGAAATGCATTACAAGCCGGAAAAAATAGTCACTTTCTTTGGCCAGGGTCAGAAAAGTGAACGTGAGTATAGGAGATTTGTTTGTACTTCGTTAAGAAAGTTTATTGTGCGCCAACAGATTATAACGGCGGCATTGCTCTTCGATCGCAATTGGAAAGGCACTAATTCATTTGGCAGTCGGCAAAGTGATTTATTAAAGCTATTCAGTGAATGTAGCTTGAATCGCTTTATTATTGAAGATCATTCTTTAAGGATATTCTTAATGAGATTTACGATTTCTGCAAGTAAATTTCTAGTCTTTACGAGTTGGTGGAATTACGTGCGATCTATATGTTATCCAACCTTGTAATCTTTGTGGGAAGGCTATTTGATCAGCTAGCCAAAGATTCGTTAATGGAGTTTCCATCTTTGCTTGCGGAGAAAAACTCTCTATCTGACCGTCTAAGTGCAGGGGATTTATTTTGCCAACTGTGTTTTCAGCCCAGCGGGATGCTGTTGTAAGCGGTTCGGTTTAAACCCTTAATGTGATAAATTGTAAATAGCCGATGTCGCGGAGTAATTAATTTTGAAACCGATACCTTTCACGAAACAATATTCATAACTCAACGAGCGGTTTCTTCACTGCAGCCAGACTGACAAAAACAATTTCGTTTATTAGAATAAGAAAATGCTTCATTTAAGACGCTTTTAATTGATTAAAAACTTACCTGAGAGGCATTGCCTCTTTTTTCATCTTCACCGCGGTTCTCACCACTGAGTTTTACAAATAAATTGTAGTCTCTCTGTGAGTTTGTAGAATCTTTCTGTCGAACCGGCGAAAAATTGCGAAACTAAATAACTTCACACATCTCTACAATCAATTCATTAAGCCTTAAACTGTTCGCTTTGTGTGAATTGATCAATCTTTCTTAAGAATCAGTTTTCCAACTCCAGACATCGATTATACTGAGAAAGAACAGCGGCAACGAAGCTGTAGAACTGACACTGTCACTACTGAGAAATCAATAACTCTTCACTGATCACAACTTCGATGATAGAGACAAAGACACTGAAAGTTTAATTTTCGTCGTTGTAAACGAAGGTACAGAACAAAACACAAACCGATGGGTGGCATTTTTAATAAAGCCTCGATAACAATGAAGTGGAATTATGTGCTCATGAAAAATACGATGTTCTAATGAAAAGTAGAAATTAAAATACCGTACCAGGCGCTTCACAGAGGTGAAATCTTTTGAAGCAAAAGTAAAATCATGTTGCGCATTCTAACAATGAGAATTTCCTTTGCACTTCGCCGACATACAATTGAAGCCGCGCTGAAATGCATCTGTTAAAGAGGTTTTCAATTTGGAGTGATACGTTTACGCTGAAACCCTAAAAGATCTCTAAGCGCGTTTAGAACTTTCTAGGCTCTAATTCCTCCGGTCGAACTACTAAAGCTGCAAATAACGTCACGTGAACACACCGAATATGGAAAATTTCAAGCGTTGCATTCTTTCGTTTTGCGTGTAGAATTTTTAGAATTGTAAGTGTTTGCCTTGAGTCAACAGAACGCTTGTTATATTATTTCATCATCGATTGACCCCGAAAATAAACACTTGACTCAAAACAACGCAAAATTAATCCTGTGCTCACGTCCAATACGACTTTTTAATTTCGGCGAGGTCTTGTCACATACAAAATGAAGAACGATTCGCCGAGGTGATTACGTGTTAATTAGAATTTCACGTAGTCGAAATCTATGGCTACCTCACGTATTTAGCGGAAGCTCTTCGTCATCGCAGTTGATTAGAATTCTGACCCATTCAAAAACATGGGTCGAAAAATTCGCACTGACAATTAATTAGGAAGTAAATTGAGGAATCGAAAGGATCACCCTTAAAAGCCAGAGGCGAGCTTCCACAAAGGTTTTACATCTCTGATGCTTCAACACTGCTAAAAGTGACTAGCACGTGATTTTCCTTACGATTTTAATGCATTATCCAGCAAATAGGCAATAAAAATAGATATAATTATTACCTCAAGAGCAGTCTCTAGAAATGTAAAACAGATGGACATTTGACAATTGAAACTCAGATCTTGAGACTAACAGCGTTGAAAGGAGTTGCATCATAGCTTTTGCATCTAAAAAAAATTGCATCTAGATGATTTAAGTTTCCCCTTTACCGTCAGCCGCTGATGGTAAATAGGAAACTTTAAGCGGCTTTAATATTTTTTTCATCCCAAGACATCTTTGTTCCGTTTTCACTCTTGTCTCTTAACTGTTTGTCCCTTTTAAAGTGCTATTTCAACTGTAGACGTTTTAATTAAGTTTCTGCCCTACGATTTTGAAACGGAGGAATTTTAAGCAAGATAATGTGACAGAAATTCACAGCATGCAGGCTGTGAATATGGCCGACTAAATCTATCATGTTCACTCGACTTAATAAGCTGCATAATTCTTTTGAGTGATTTTGCATTTTTTTACTATTTTACACAAATTGCTTAATCATAGGATTACTATATTTATAATAGTTTTAAGTCTCGTTTTATGCTCAACTCGCTATTGGAGCTTAGTGAAATATGTGGCCAGCTCTGAAAATTCAACTTGGGTTTTTTTCTCAGCATAAATACGATGTATTTCGTCATGTCAAAGCCGTCGAATTGCACCATCACTCAAAACGACCCTTAACAATCTGTTCGTCGCAGTAGCTCGTAACTGAAGTTTCAAGACACGACTTAAAAAATCTTGTCGTTACACGGGAAGCTGAAATTACTAGCATTCTATTCTTCTAAGTAACTCACTGATTCTCTAGCAAACGAAAAACTCTTAACGTTTCTTCGAAGTTTCTTAATTAACGTTTTCTATTTTCAGTTAACGATAGACAAAGAGACAACTCTTTCTTCGCAAGAAATCCAACAGGGGTCAAAGAGTACATCAAGAAGCTTTGTGGATCTCGTAATTGTGCAGATTCCATCACACTCTATCTCACTGGGCCGTCGACTAGCGATGGCGCTCTTCTGTTCCAAGACAACGGGGACGGCATCACCGATGATTCTGAGCTATACACGCCAAAACAACTTCTAGAAGACGTAAAAAACTGCACTGCAACAAGACTCTTTATCGTGGCTGATTACAGCTATTCTGGTGCCATGATTAACAGAATTACCAGCAGAATGCGCCGACATCCTGATCAATTTAAGAATTTGGTGGCTACTTCTTCTGGCTCTTGGGATGAATACTCGTGGAAGAGTGAGTTTACTGATGCGTTTGTGAGACACAATAAAGAAGGAAGGAGAACGAAATGCGTGGCAGATGTTTTCGAGGTAAGTGCTGCCTTTTCATTTACATTTATGTATTTCACAAGCAAGCTTTTGATCGATTGGGGCGGGCGTGTGCTTCTTGAACACGCCGCGTGCGCGCGAGGATGACACGCTCAGAACTTGTCCTCTGCAATGTCATGATTTACCGTTTAAAACCACTGGACTGGATCAAGAAAGGGAATATCAGTTATTTTCGCAAAGTAAAAAAATATGGGTTGATTTATAGGTTTATTATCATTATCTCAATCACTGGTTTGAGCACAATATCCTGTCTTTTCGCTAGGCAATATTTATTTTTAAAGTTGGCTTTTAAATGCAAAAAAATTCTTCGCATGCTTCAGTGAAACTCTCTGACGTTTTGATAAATTATTTCCTTTCAATGTTATTCTTAGCTCGGAAATTCTGCTCTGTATATTTGAAAGCAATTTATTTTAGGCAAGCCATTTGCAAAATTACTAAATTAGATTCTATTCTACGTATTCTGTGGAGCGTATCGCCCGCTTTCTTCTTTCGGTTGAACTAAAAAAAAAAAGACTTGGACTCCTGAAAGTCTAGACTAAATTTGGTACCTGTATGACAAGTAGGGTAGTTACCTTTAACGACGTCTGGCTCGTCTGATTGTTAACTTTTTTCGCAGACGGTCCAAGATTGATGACTCTTGTGTCTCTTTAAATAATCTCAGCTTCTTTACCACAAGTTCGCTTATGCTGTTAGTTACACATGTACATATATGCTGAAGTATTCTTTGGCTGAATAAATTTTGTTCCTTAAAAAAAAAAAATAACAGCTGTCTCTTTGCCTTGGTAAACAGGAAATCAAACAAGAATTTCACACGAAAGGCGCGTTGTCCACTCCACTTAAGACGCCAAGAGATGGGGGTAGATCCAACACCACTTACACCACGCTAAGTGGAAGAAGATGCAATGAAACGCGGCTTACAGCGAAATTTTCCAGACCTTGCCAACTGATACCGATCGATAAATTGCTACAAAAGCCAGCCCCGAATGGTAATAATTGAACGTTTATGGCTCTTAAAATAGCTGTAAATATGATAGACGATGTAAAACCTCTCATGATAAAATAAGAGATGGCGTAGGTGGATAAGATAGATTTTTGGGATGCTTACATATTTATTACCAATCTTTAAACAAAAAAGGATCGATTTGAGAGTTTCCTTCTTACAATTAAGTGTCAGGTGTACTTGCATAAAATGCTTCACTAGTTGGAAAAAAAAAACCCCAGAAAAACAGCAGTTAGAATGTATTTTCTTTCTGTCAAAATATTTCGCCCGGTCGAGCGAATATCGTTGATTAAGCCCTATATATTGATCACGCAAAGTAGGTTTTGATAAGTGTCTGGTATAGTCACACTAAAATGTTTTAATGTACAAAGTAAAAAGAGTTTAATTTTTTTTTAAATCTTTAGCTAAGGTAAAGTAGATCGACGAAAGCTAGTAGTATAGGTATGCATTAAGAGGAGAGGTAAAACTAAGCTATCCAGATAGAAAATTCATCCCGAAACAAAGTAATGCTGTGAAACCTTTTCTGCAGGACACAGTACAGGTATATGTCTTCTGTGTTGGAGTCATCATTAGTTCGCAATTTTACGGTGTAAAATGCCTAAGTATGCGGTTTGTAGGCCCGCAAGGAATGTAATTTATGTATCTTAGAATAGCGGTTATTTGTTTTTAACTCAGTGACGATTTATATTGAGCTGCTACGATAAAAAGGACAAATATTGGTGATTAGGTATTGTCAGAAACAAGGATATTTTGCTCGTACTTCTGCCCTAAGGCGGAAAAATGTTACTCAACCATGAAAAACGTGCGCAATTTGCGACGTTTTCTTCTAAGCTACACAAACAATATGAGTAGATTCGGCAGGTAAGATGAAGACAGACGCATATTTGGACTTGAAGATACAGGGCGTCTTCCCTTGGGGAAAGGGCCTTGAATATTCTCGATATAGAACAGTACAACTATTTTTCATCTTGACGAAAACAACTTGACGGTGTTGGCGACTGCGTCATAAGTTAATAGTCTAAATATCTCTGTAAATAACAGGAACTTTTACATTGTTTGAGAGTGTTACTCTAGAGAGCCACTCGAAGCTTCTCAGACGCTGCTCTAAAATGGCTCGGAGCAGCCAGTCTCCTTTCGTCAGTCATGTGAAGAGTAAAATGGCGAACTGCCATAAAAACTAGATACGAATGAAACGTATCGTATATAAACATACCCAGTGTTACCCTAGTCTAGTTCAATTAGCCGGACTTATATTAAACAGAAATTCGTCTTTTCAAGAAATTCATTACAGTGCTAACCAAATGCTTAGGTTATAGCGAGAAGGGGTAAGGTTTTCTCTTTCTCATAGAAAAGACATTAGTCCTTAGCAAAGAAGCCCTACTTGAGATGTCTATAAAACGATACTTATGTTACGACAAACGGTCTGAGTTACCGGAAGGTTCTCTTATCATAATCTTCAAGAGTTCGCTGAAGTAATATAACATGTAAAACACAAGAAAACGGCTTCTGCGGAATAGCAGTTAATTTTAACGGAGCAGTTTACTCCTTCCTTATCGCATTTCGCTTTAGATTAAAGTAGAATTTAAAACTGTACTTTAAGCAGTGTAGAATACTAGGATACTAGAGATTGTAAGCGATGTAAACAATGTAAATATATGACTAAACAAAAAACGTTAGAGTTTATTTAAGTTTCCTACTTCTTGAGTTCCCAAACTTCTCATTTCTAACCAATATTCTTTATAGGCCGGTTGTCCGTCTACTTTAGTCGCACCGTCTTTCGTGACCATATTGTTCTTTTTCTGAAGCTTTTTAAGTTGTACTTAAAGCTGGTGATTGTAGATGACTTTGCGTGATGGGTTGCGAAGGAGGACCAGCCAGAAATGAGTCTGATACAATAAACACTCCTAACTGTCCAATAATATTTCCTTGTACAATCGTTTAACCGTTTTGAAAACACGTATTGCACGGAATTGTACTAAGTGGAAACTGTCGAGAACTTTGTACTACTCTTGAAAGAAAGAAATGTCAAAACTAGTCCGTCAATCCACCCCATAGCAGAAGAGAGATTAACCTCTCTCGCTAAATGACCCGTAGGTTATTCAGGCTCGGCGATCGACTGACCTACGTGGTAACAATTTTTGTACATAAACTGAAGCTGAGGGAACGCTCGGTCCTCATATCACGAGTTGGTGAATTGGTCTCGGATCAGGCCAGCCATAGTTCGAAATCCATTCGAGATTAAACAGTTTTGGTTGTCAAAAAAGAAAAACAAAACAAAACAAAACAAAACATCAGATATCACGATTAGGTTCAATTGTCTTGTGAGTGTCTAGTTTGCAAAACATTTTGGTTGGTCCAGATGAATAGAGACACGTACGACTAGAAGACCTATTTTCAAGTTGCGCAAAACTCACAGATGTGCGGTAAGATTTTGTACAAAGAATGAAGATAGGGTGTAAAATATACAGAGAACGTTAATATGGATTTTGTGTATCGATATTCCTCTGTACTAGTTAAAGCTTGCATGACTTTCGTAAAACTTTGATACAGTAAAGAGGTTGGCCCTCATCTGAAGCTGCAGTGAGCGTTTTGCGCATTTAACATACTCCTTTTTTGACATGAATTCCTAAATCTATCAAAGATGATTAATTTTTTTTCGAGGGTAGGGTAAAGGGATTCGAAACTCTAATCTTTCCAATTCGTGCACGTGGATACTCAGAAAATTAACTTCTTTGGTCAGCGTAGGAAACCGGAGTCTTTAATAAGACGATGTAAAAGATGTTCTAACTTGCGAAGGTCGCAATGTCGAAAAAAGATCCTGTGTGGAGCAAGAGAGATGGAAAAGTATTGAGCTCGCTTGTCAAATGGAGGAAAATTACTTAGACATAGATCATAACTCCCATCCTTCATCACAACAAGTCAGCCTTGAAGAATCTAAAAAGTTTAATTTGTCCACAACAACAAGTGAGAATCAAGTCTTTCTCTAAACTTTGAGAAACGCCTCTAAGAAATGACAAACTGCTCAGAATGCCCAATTTTCGTAGCTTCATGATCAGGATTGATTAATGCTTCTAGCCTCGATGTTACTGAAAAAAATTCATGACAGGAGTCACCTCCTCTGACGCCAAAATTCAACAACCCACATACTACGTCAACTAAATCTTGGCGATATGAAAAATTTTTCAAATTCTCGTTACCGATCAGGTCACATATCTCGAATTTTCTCTATGCGGCATGAGCTGAAGTGTGCTAGTGCGCTTTTTAAAAACTAAACTGCGGTTTTGGATCGCACCAAATCAATTTGGGTGTCGGAAAATCTTAAATTTAACACTAATCACCTTAAATGCGAGCATATAGAAGCACAAGGAGGATTCATTTGATTTGGATTTATTTCTGTGAGTTAAAATGCCGAGAAAAATAAATATCACATAACGATTGATCAGGAAATTCTCGTTCGTCTTCCATGTTAATTACAAGTACTTCACACTTAATTTGATATTTTCGTATAGACTCACTTTAACCGCAGTAAGTTTCCGCAGAACAAATAGAGTTATAGACTGAGAGAGAGCGATAGAAAAAACTCAAAGTGATGCCTTTCATTGCTGTAAACAGGCGGTTTTGGCTGAGTTGACGATGGTTTATATGTTACCCTATAGGTCTCGCCGTTAACTAGTAGGATGAAATCATGTCGGAAACGCGCTCTTTCGTTTCCCGCCGTTTTTCACTTCATCGTGTTCTTGCTTAATCAAAGTGGATTGCTGTCAGAGCGTAGCTTAAAGTGTTTGATGAGATACTAAGTAGGAGAAGCGAAATTCATGAAAAAAAAAAAACAAAATCGGACGTGCTTTCCTTAAAACAGCTGACAAAAAACTGCGACAAATGTAAAACATGTAATTCAATTATCTGTATGAATGTCTAGTTATGTCGAGTTGCGGGTTTCCGAAAGACCGCCATCGGTTAGTATAACATACCTCCCTCATCATTCCCTCCGAAATTGGTAAACAAAAGAAATAAACACACGTCCACATTCATTGAAAGACGTCAATTATGGTAATTAAGTTTATTTTATTTATACTTACAAAATAAACTGTTTCCGCGGCGTTGTGATCAATTGTCAACAAGCCGCCTCGCGCGTGCTTTGTGTAAATATAGCAGCTATTTTGGAAATAATTTAAGGTAAATCAAATGAGTTATGAAAGGATGCGGTTACTTTTAAGAAAAGAGACGAAATTCGCAAACCGCCAAAGATTAAGGTTAATTAATTAATAATTACATTATACCCGGTTGTTCTTTTATTAGCTTAGATTCTCCGGAAATCAGCGTCGGCTTCAAGCATAGTGAGGCAATGCTGTTTCTGCTATTTTTATCCTGCTCCCCAAAATGGCGAGTCAATTTGTCTATTTTCTCACAACGATTTTTTAGAGAAAGACAGAGTGATTTATTGGTTTACAAGCAATAACAAGTGCAAAGTCATGTGAACATGCTTAAGAACTTGTTACAAAAAGGAATTTTGTTATGTGTTTCTTTTTTTCTGTGCTTCCAAGACAACGTTGTTACAGTTTAGCCTCAAATCCGTAATTAAAACCTCAGTACGTGTCTGTATTTAACTATGACCTGCTGGCTGAGAGGTACATTTATATGCTGATAACTTGTTCAAGATGGTTCAACAAGATTCTCAAGATGGCAGAAGAGCTTTAAACTTTGTGGTTGAGACCTAATAGTGTGATCAATCATGACCACATTTGCATGGTCTTGAGTTAGTCTTAACTTAATCATGACTCGGTAAATTATGGTCAAGAATTGGACAATTCATCTTCGTCAAAAACCTAATTATTGTCTAATTTTGACAGACTACATACGTTTTGCATATATCCACTTAAATAATTGTAATATGCACGCATTTTCTTGTGCAGATCCTGCTAACGATGCAGTAGTTTGCTAAACGGTCAGCAGTTTTTAGGGATATGAAATAAAACAACAAGGGGAAACCGCTCTTCTAACTCAAAACAAGACAACTGTTTCGGAAAACGGGAAAGTAGCCAGAGAAATTGGTATTTCATTGACTGCTCAGATTGTATGGCATGAACAAAACAGCAACAAACATGAGTGGGGAGAGGAGGGAAAGAAAATGTAGTCTTTCTCATTTGACGCTGTAGTGTAATTTCCCCAATCACCATGCGCACTTCCACTTTTATCTACTTTGCTTTACAAAGATTATTAAGTCACCGGATGCTCTCAAGGATCGAGAAGGACAATCTTGCAAGGGTGCAATTTCTCACTAGCAGAATTACTGTATTAGTTTAGACGACTTTAAGTGAAAAGAAGCCCTATATGAGAAATTCCCTTTTTCAGCTCAAACATAGCTTAAATCAGGTCTTTTTTTAATTCTGTTGCGAGAATGCCTGCTGTCGAACTCAGGGGCGATGTACTGGTTTTAAATTTTTGTTGGGAAACGTTTTCCAAGCCTACTTCTACCGTTTCCTATACCTGTTCTTTCGCATGTGCTTTTAATGCACAACTGGGCTGAGTAGGATTAGTCTATAAAAGCAAGCGAAAGTTTTTCAAAGCTTCAAGAAACGTGCTTTTTAGGGGAGAATTTTTAGCCATCAGTTGTAATTAAAAGACAAACTGTAATGACATACTTAGATTTGGTAGTGGGCGGGTGAGAAATTAGTACGGGTTGGTTTCTTTCCAAAAGACGTGACTTTCCAAGGCGTAGGTTTTGAGTATAGAAAACACACGAGGCAGTTAATTTCCGGTCATTTAACAACTGATTACATGAGAAAAGGTTTGAAATATTTTGCCTTAATTGTTGTAGCCCAATTTCAAATTCTGAGCTGGTTATGCAATATTTGATTTCGTTCGAACGTGCAAAAATTTGCCATTCAGAAATTCCAAGTTTTATACCTGTCAAGACCAAGTTAATTAAGGAATTCATGAGATAAGAATTTCCGCTCTGAATTTTCTGGAGTTAAGGCAAGTTTGTTTTGCACTTGATTTATTACAAAATTTTGAAAAATCTTCTTTGTTACTAGAAGAGAAATGAGCAATTGAATTGTTTTGTTGTTTGGAGTGGAAAAGGAATCAAAGTTTTATTTACTGATCCGCGGTTGTAAAAGATTACTTGGATTATCGTGGTTAATTCTGCTATGTGTTTACGAAAACAAGAAAACCAATTCATCACACCCGACTGTAAAATGTCTTACATTTATTAGCCTTTCGAGGAGCTTCGAGTTGAATTTTTTATTTTCGTTCGAATCAACCTCTGCCCGACAGCCTTTAAAGGAGAGAGAAGTGAACCAGATCGGTGGGGTTTTAATCCAATAAAATATTCGAGGGAATTAACGGAATACTGTTCTAAAAACGCTGATGTAATCTTTCCGCCTTCATCGGAACTAGATGCATTTAATGCATCTTCTTAAAGAAGTTTACAAGTCTCTATCATCCCTATCTCTCGGTATTAGCGTGTTAACTCTTTTCACTTCGAGCGCTAAAATCGAAATTCCCCTCAGCTTCCAAGACATTTCTACGTAAATAAGTTGCAAGATTTTAAGAGGCCTGCCTCGTTAACAAAGATTATTTCACGGAAAGTGCGCACGGAGGATTTTTTATCCCCGAGTTCGGATGTATCAAAAAAACGAACGAGCGAGTTTTTCGTTGCATTGCAACGAAAAAAATTGTCTATTGACTTACTTAGAGAAAAGTTTTCTCGTCGGTTCCCCTCTTCCCTCTAACATGCGGACTTAAGGTCGTGTTAGTATAGAAACTCGTATGGGAACGGAAATGAAATTTTGTCGTATCTTGAGGGCTTGACTGAAAGGATTTACTTTTGACAACCCGTGGAAGAGTATTCTCAATCCAGTTGAATTCACTGTCTGGAAAATGACAATTTTTTTTACAGGGTAAGATCCTCTTCAAAATTTGTATAAACACTTTCCTCAGAGAGAAAAATACTTGGTTTGATTGGATTCCTGAAAGAGGAGTCGATAGATTGCACGTGGCAAAATAATCCATAAGGTTTATCATTGTAGACTGCACACGAAACACGAAATAATGGGGCTCAAAATGTAGATTACAACTCTGATTCAAAACATGCATTTAGTTGCAGATGGCAATTTATTCATGTTAGAGTACAGTCATTGGCAATGATTGCACGGAGTTTGAAGTCACCAAAACGCTGCTCATTTTTCTTGCAACTGGGTTAAGTCATTATTCTCATTTATTCACTTGGAATCTGAAATAAAAAGCATGAAAAAAAACCTCACAATATAATTCTATTTATAGTTTACAGAAAAAAATGTTATGGGAGTTACAGATTTCTTAAAGGAGATGATTCCTCTAAATCAGTATGTTGTTGGTAAACGTTTGCTTGTTAGCTACTGAACTATAACATGCAAAACCCAATTATCGGATAAATTTAAAAAGCTTCATTGTTTCGTATGTCATATGCATGTTCACCACTTCTTGAAATATCATGTCAAATTTGTTGGGTGAAAGTAAAATTTTTGGGTTTGCAAGTCTCGGAAGATGGCTTCGAAGAAAGTCTTCACTAAGTAAATAACTTTGACAGTACCTGATCTGCAGCCATGAAGTTCAACCCTCATTGATATGTGACCGTGCCAAGCTATTGGGCGGAAACGAATGTACTGTGCCTTGATCAGGGGATTCAGATAATGGGAAACAACAGTGTCTCGGTCGTTGTTTCCACGAAATTCCTTTGTAGTTTTAAATAATAAGAAAAAAAAATGAAAACCAGGCTTAAAATTTGCCATGTGGAATTATCAAAGTGAAACATATTTCAAGTATCGACAAGTGAATTTTGCGTCAGGAATGTTTTACTGAGTTCTTGCAACGAATGAATTTTACTCTGGTGTTTAAGCACACGAGGAAATTATAGCAGTCTAATTCTTTCGCTTTGTGTTGATTCATTTTCTGGCGGGTAACATCTCATCTCCTTCCTTCCTTTCGTTAGTTCTTATGTATGGCTATACAAGGAAACATCCACCGAGAATAACGTCTTTAAAGTTGTATAGACTTCTGAGGCCATATAGAGCCTACAACTCTGATGAAATATAGGTCAAGACTTACCTTATTTTTTAACTGGCCTTTTTCTTTGTAGAAGTGAAAGTGTAACCCGTCACCGCTGTACTGCAGCGCGTATTTTGTTACCCACTGGTTGTATGCGTTCCTTCCTTGCGTCGCAACTCGTGTCACCGTGTTGCCGTTACAACCTAAATTAATCTGGAGCCACTGTTTGATATCATTTTTTCTAGCTGACCAAGCTCCTTGTTTGTTCCCAGCAGCCTGGAAGAAGAGTCTTCCCTGGATGGCAGCATGATTTGCATCCCACTGAGACGAGGAGGTGATTTGCCAGTCAGGGATTTGATGGATTTGCATTCCGAGAGCTCTGCTGCATGCTATAGGTATCAAAATTGCGAGATGCATATGATAACATTGAGCTCATTTATTGCAGAATGACACGATTTTAATTTTTTTTCAAAATATGCTCTTTGGACTAAATGAGACCGTTGTCCAGTAATCTCTAAAACTGAAGCACTTTTAAGAAGCGTTTAGTACCGATTGTTTTCGTTTGACATTTTAAATCCTTTGGAGCATCTAATTTCTCCTTATTATTTTACACTTGAATCAAATGTAAAACTCACGAGAATAAAGGACATGAATACAAACTAAGGAAGCTTTTGATTTTTAACAAATTCATCTCTAAATGATTAGAAAGGAGTACAGGGAATATGCATATTGATGTCAGGGCGTAACGAATTAAACTACATGTAAATTATATCACCTGCACACCCATAAATTTCTACTCTCATGGATATATGGCGATGCCAAGCCATAGGTTGAAACTGAATATAACGAGCTGTGATTGGTGGTTTTAACTCGTGATAAACAGCTGTGTCTCTGTCAACGTTTCCATTAAATTCCTACAAAGAGTAAGCGACCGTGTGAGGGATTATAATTTGATGACGTTTTGGCAAACGGCTGTCGTTGCATTTGAACCAAAACTTTTAAACAGTTCTTAAAAATCCATTGTTATGGCACTTTTTATAATTAAAGATTTGTTGAAGCCAGAGTAGAGAAAAAAATGGAGGGCGGAAGCGAAGACATCGGCAGCGAATGATGAAGAGATACCCCTATGAGGGTACTTTTATGCTGAAAAGCTAATTTCTCTTAATTTGATAACGAGACGATTCAAAAGGAAAGGCGTGAGAGTTACAACTTTAGTTTAAGGAAGTTACTGAAGTTTGAACTTCAAGGAAGCATTTGATATATTCCAATAATACAATGAACGAGTTGCCAGTAACCGGATCCTTGTGTTTGCACACAGGTTTCTGGGATTGCCACGTGGCAAACTTTGCAACTCACTTGGAGGATGTGTGGCGAAGGTTGTTCCGACGTCAAAAAAACAATTTTAGAGATTTATTGCTTTTTCGCCTCTCCCTTATCAGAAATGGATTTGGGTAATACTGATACAAGGAAAGCGCAAGTTTTTGTTGAAAAACCACGAAATATGTAATAAAATTTACCGATTAACTTGTCTCCATGTGCAAGGTTTGTAATGAAATTGACATCACGTAATGGTCTTGAAATTCAGAAAAAACTAACTATAAATCGCTAACAAAAAAGCCTTTTTAGGTTTTTGGGACGTGTGCTAAGTCTACTTCTAGCTTTTTCGTGGCCTGGCAATACAAAAGAGCGCTACAAAAGCTATCTCGAGGTACCTTAAAGTGATCAAACACCCGCACTGCTTTGTTGTGATCAATGTGGACGAATCGGCGCGGATGATCGGCTCAAAACTGAACCTTTTCTTCTGTGACGAGGAGTAATACAAATTGGTCTCTTAAAGAGCGATACACAGCTGATAATATGTCCACAGTTTCTGCCGGAGTTCCCGTGATCTTTCTTTCCTGACAAGATCCTCCAAGGAGTTCGAGAAGAGAAGTTCCCGCTCAAAGACCTTTGGATTTTTTTCAATCAAACTACCACTTGACCTCATGTTTTTTATCACTTATTTCATCCTTTCAGAGAGGAACAGCTCCGTAAAAACAATTTCCATCTTCCCTGACAACGACTTCTCTCCTTTCAGGAGGTATATTTTCAAACGTCATAGTTTTTTTTTCATCTAATACGCTAACAGGTCTATGAAAACAGGCAGTACAGATATAAATACAACTGAAAAGACTTAAAATGAGTTGTTTCCTAGCGACTTATGGCTATTTTTTGCAATATTTCGAGACCATTATGCGATGACGATTTCACAATAGACCTTACGCACGCAGGGAGAAAAGTTAATCGGTATATTTTACAACATATTTCAAGGTAATTCTGAAAAAAAAACTTACACTTCCCTCGTATTAACGTTATCTCTATCATCTTTGATAAAACTGCGGCGAAAAAGCCATAATCTCTCGCCAGAATCGTTTTTTGGACATCCAAACAACCTTTCGCCTTAAATTCCTCTCTTGCGAGTTGCAAGGTTTGCACCGTGGCGATCCCAGAAATCTGTGCGCAAACGCAAGGATCCCATTACTGGCAACTCATTGTAATTGCATCATGGCGTTGAGCTCTAAGGAATGATTTGCATTCAAGGGTGGGATACATGGAAAATATCAAAACGGAAAGAAAACTTCTGAGATATCGGACCAGCTAATACTCTTAGAGCTCGATATTTCTCAAAGAGGGAGTGTCAGAAATATCACTTGGATATGAAAGAAGACTGCCAACACTGATAAATTGGAAGACACGAAAAAATATCGCTGCTTAAATTCTTGAGAGTTCACACTGACGTGTTTATTTTTTATCCCTATTCATTCTTACCTTATTTGTATTGTGTCCTCGCTCTCTGTAGTACTGGAACTGTTCTCCATCTTTGCTGTAGTGCAACATATATTTTGATACCCACTGGTCGACGCCATTTCTTCCTTGTGTCGCTACAAATGTTATCTTATAAATAGTATGGAGTTGGACTTGAAGCCATTGGTTGGCATCATTTTTACGAGCTGACCAGGCTCCCCGTTTATTTCCAGCTGCCTGATAGAAGAGTCTGGCCTGGTTTGCAGCATGATTTGCGTCCCACTGAGACGAGGCACTTATTCGACTGTCTGAGATTGCACGGTTCTCCATACCGAGTGCGCCATGACAGTCCTTACACCCTAAAAGATTATTTCGATCAATTGAAAGAAAATTGCGCTCATTTTCAAAGAATTTACCATTAAAGCCTCCAACTACTCGAGTACTTCGTTTCATGCCATGATATGGAAAATACAGAGAATCAGAATATAGACAAAAGTAATTGCATCTTGGATGGTATAACACCCAACCTTCATATCGTACCCTCGCCAAAATTTATTAAATCAGCATTGAACACTTTATTCACTTTGGTTACCTCCACAGCCGTAAATTTCCACTCTCATAGATATGTGTCCGTGCCAGGCTGTAGGCAGAAATCGGATAAACCGCGCAGAGACTGGGGAGCTGAGAAGGTGCGAAACGATAGTGTCTCGGTCGGTGTTTCCAGCAAACACCTAAATCGATAAAGGGCATGTCGTCATTTGAAGAATAAGATCTCATAGATGCAATAAAGACAAAAAGGAGTTGAAAGAGCTCTGAAAAAAACAAATTCTTCTCATCCATGCTTTAAAATTTTCAGTAAACAAATTGTTTTGAGCATATCGTGTTCTGATCTTCAAACATGTGTACTTCAGGGAACATTGAATGCGATTGGAGAGTTAAATGGTAGACTTTTAGTCGAAGCAGTAACTCGTAGTCAATGAGAGTAATCTTATTTTCCTTCTATCTACCTTGTAGTCAGGCTGCCCATGTTCTCTGTAGTGCAGGAAGTGTAGTTCGTTGCTGCCATGCTGCAGCATGTATCTTGTAACCCACTGGTTGTATCCATTCCTTCCTTGTGTTGCAACATGTGACACTCTGGTGTACTGGCAACCAAGATCAACTTGAAGCCATTGATTGACATTGTTTGCACGTGCTGACCACGCGCCTTGTTTTGCTCCACGTTGCTTAAAATTCAGCCTGCCTTGGATGGCGGCATGATTGGGATCCCACTCTGAGGAGGCACTGATTTGTCCATTGGAGATTCGTCCATCTTCCATGCCCAAAGGTTTATTACATACTAATAATTGGGAATGAAATATGAATTTTTGATAAAATGGTGGATTGAACCAAATAAAGCAAGATGTTTGACATATCGTGTTGAATTGTCATCATAAAATTGAATTGAAAATTAATAATGATAGAAAAGATAAACGCGATCAATAAAAATGGTAAAATTACCGGGTGATGGATATTTGCTCAAAATTTAATAGGAACATCGAATTGGAGCTCTCGATGAGGTTTTTCTTTTATGTTTCAAATACTTTTAAATCGCTGCAAAATATGACTTTTGCAACATTTCCTTACTGTTATCTGATTCGCTTCAGGTTGTATGTACATCAAGAGTTACATTCCTTTTCTTTGAGGAGTAACGTTGCTGAGCCTTCGACATTGGGAGTTTTAGAAAGTACGACTGTTTGGTCACCCAAAACGGAAATACACGGGCTTCAATTTTCCAGTTTGGCCGCATTAATTAAAAAGCTATTCTTGTCAAAATTTATCGAGTGTTACCTCAGAAGAATAAATGTAGAACATTTATTAAAATATCGTCAGTACAACTACGAGTTATTACCTTTACATCCATAAAGTTCAACCCTCATGGAAATGTGTCTGTGCCAAGATTTTGGTAGAAAACGTACGTAATGTGCTCTGATTGGGGGATTTAGATGATGAGTGACAACTGTGTCCCGATCCGTGTTTCCTACAAATACCTACACGCAGTTCATAGTTAATGCTTAGAAATGTGGTTGGGAATTTCCGCGAATATGATGTGCAATAGATCAAGCTCTGAAGCTTTCCACCCACTCAATACCAGGTAGCTACCAGTGCCTACTCTGTCTGCCCTAACAGAATATCGATTCTTAATACGTTTTTTACTTCGCTATTTTCTTGTGGAAGTTGGAATAAATTTGATCGTCTTAGTTAGCTTCTTGCTTTAATTCTGTCAGCATTAAACTAACAATTTCAACACCGAAAAACTGTTTTAGTCAACACCTACGTCGTAATTATCGCAGCTAAAATTATATAAAATGTATAACAGCTAATAAGGAAGTCGAAATTTATGATGTGATGTCAAAATAATCACTAAAACGTCATGTGGGTGACGCCTGAGGTTACAATGATTAACTTTGCATTATAGTTCATTTTAAGTAAAACTTTGGACTCACCCTGTAGGAAGCTTTTCCTTCTTCCCGATAAAATTGGAAGTGTGCTTGATCATTACTGTATTGAAGCATGTATTTGGTAACCCACTGATCTGCTCCATTTCTTCCTTGTGTTGCAATTCGCGTCACCTTGTTATACTTGTTAATGAGATCAATTTGGAGCCATTGGTTAAGGTCATTGGTGCGAGCTGACCAACCTCCCTGTTTGGGTCCATTTTTCTTGTAGTTCAGTCTTCCCTGAATGGCGGCGTGATTACTATCCCATTGAGATGAGGCAGTGATCTGGCTGTTCTCGATGTTGCCATTTTCTATGCCAAAGGATTTATCGCATTTTGAAACCTCTGCAAATGAATTAATGGAAACAAATTGTGTTTTGTGACTCGAAAGAATGTGTTAAAGAGTGTACAGGATTAGAATGGTCTATACCTCTGGAAAAGTTGAGAAATTATGACGCTAATCTGAAATTTCAAAAAAACAGATACACTTTAATAAATCTTTCATTTTCAAACATCTCCTTGATTGTTGCGAAGAAAAACTTTGCAATTTCCTCGTTGAAGTAACCTCTAACCTTAAAATAACTCCAACTTTCTGAGATGTACTATAGTAGGTTTTCCTACCAATAAACTGAATCTTTGATCTTTCGTTACGAGTACACAGCTTGCGTTCAGCGTGTTCAGTTAGAATATTGAAGTTTTGACACTATTGACACTCATGTTTGTCGACAGTGTACAATACTTTTTCCCTACCAGGCGTTATGCTGCTTCCCAGGACTACAGCACCAGAAAGAAACAAGATCGTTCCAAACATTAGCATTTTCATCTGCAGGCCATAAATCCCTATGAGAAAATTGTTAAACTGTTGTTTATTCCTATAACTCATGAGAGTGGAAGCTCCAGAGCTATTGTTCGATGCAATCAAAGCGCTGACACGGGAATAAGATTTTCCGTTTGAATTCATCGGAAATGCCTTTAAAAATTTTCAATAATGAAAGAGCAAATATTGTGTAAATCATCTCGATTGATGCAAAAACATGCGTAGGTTAAGAGATTGAACATTGATTAATGGATCAAACTGAGAAACTAAAGTTACAATACGGTTTCGCAATGTTCACGTATAAAACGAGAAAATTAACTTCGGAAGATGTTAGCGTACAGCTTGAGATGATATAAATTGACTGAACATTGAATCGCCACACCTGTTTTCCTTATTCCTAGATAAGTCAGCGCTACTCTTAGACTGAGTCGGTTTCTCTTATTGACCAAAAGGACTTACTAGCACCAGCAGTGAGCAAAGTGCTTCTTGGAGTACCCGAATTATGGAAGGGAGACCTGTTGACCATCTAAGAAATAATTTTTGGTGGACTGTAATGTAAAATTAAAAATACGAAACTCACCAATTATACGTGAGGCAGCAAGTTCTTCAACGAAAGTACAAGAAGAAATTTCCATTTGAAAATTTATCTCGAATGTTATTTATTCCCTTTGGACCAAACAATGAAGCCTATTTCTCTGTGGTGACGATTGCTTCCTTGTTTAGTTTTGTAAAAAGAAAAACCGTCGCTACTTTTCTTTTGTATGCAGTAATGATTTGGTGTCGATAAATACTTCGAAGTCGGTTCTGGAGGGAGGATTATTAAAAATTTGTTGATTAGTTGCGCTCACGGCTAAAATCATAATTGTTCCTAAGAATGCTTCAATGTTCACCGCAAAAATCTCACGGGTTTTCCAAAGCCGAGAAATTTTTTGTTCGCGTCGATGGAAAAAAGGACAGTGGGATGACAATAAAGATTGTAATATTAACCGAAACAAAGAAATTGAAAAAAAACCCTGACAAAGTGGTGCTAATGATAGAATTATCAGATATCATTACAATCAGGGTTATTACGTAATCTTTGGAAGCGAGGTAGGCTATCGTTGTTTGCAGCCACTGAGATCTTAACCACTGATTTACTCGGCGAAACCAAGTCATGAAAATGCAGAGAAATCTGCTGATGTGGAACAAATGCGAGAAATCAACCTCTAAAATCAAAAAGACCAAGAAATTATGACCTATCAGCTGTACCATATTTACAGTGCACGTGATAATTTAAGTTGCGAAACGAAAAAACACGAAACAAAACGAAACGATTTGTTGACGTGAGAAACCATCTCATCATCTCCCTGGCTAATTCTCATGTTCAACAAGTGAACAGGTTAGTAACTTGTGACTGCCAACAGTTAGTCGCAAAGGACCCAACAAGAAACTGCACGGACTTTTCTCTTGTTCAGAAGTGATTAGCGAGTACTATTCAATTCCGATTAGGCAAAGAGACAAAGTCGTGTGTTGAAAGGTTGATTTCAGGCTAAATTTATTATTCCTGTGTGGTACATTTGTACTAAAACAATTATTCACCTCTATGGCACAGCTCGGCGAATATCCACAGCTGTTTACTTCCCCTCCGGTGAATAATTATTAATTACTATTATCATATTAACGAGTGTAGTCTGAAATGCCGCTTCTTGTCTGAAGCAATAGAAATGCAACAGGTTAAATAGTATGATTCTTGATAAAGAGATATACTGTCACCATTGAAATTAGTTGAAACAGAAAGATCAAAATCGAACATATTGCCGCAGATTGTTCGGAACAGGATATCTTAGTGATCTGGAATGTCGCTTCTTGTCTGAACAATTGAAATGCAGTGGTTAAATCGTAAGATTATTGATAAAGAAATATACCGTCACGATTGAAATTATTTAAAACAGAAGGGTAAAGATCGAACATATTGCCTCGGATTGTCACGAGCCTCTAAACAGGATAGACTAGTGATCATATGACATAGCAAAATCACCTGCATATGATATATTTCCGATTCAATCAACTTCCCCATGTTTCTCTTAAAAATAACAACAACAACAACTTTTTGTGGCTGGAAATGGGGAGGCGGTTGACAAGGTGCTCAATCAATATTTTATCCCCGTGGACCCCTAAAAGCCTAGGGGATGCATAGAATAGATGAAGAGAAGGGAGTTTGCCTTCTTTCAGGCCATCGTGGACATTCTTGCGTAAAGATGAGCAAGTTAGGCTTCCTCTCAGACTGGAGGGAGTGGGCCTCCGCTAAACTTACTCTAGGCGGTAGAGATTGGAGGGAGTTTGGCCTCTGAAAATCGAGTCTATGGGGGCAAAAGTGTGACGAGAAGAGCACTTAATCCTCATTCCCATGATTCTCATTATGTTAGCTTGGAGAATTTGGTATCGAATCAATTAGTAATCCCATAATTAATATTTTTCTTTATTCTCATAACTGGTCTGTATGATATTGTATAGAAATAGTAAGGAGAAGTTGTCTTAGTCACTCACTTGGTCATCGACTCGTGTGTGGTACGAGAGAACTCCAGTACAAAGAAGTTATCGGTGTAATATTTACAATAAGCAGATGTTTATGCTCTTACACCTATAATAATGTGCATGGAAAAATAACACTCTTCTAACCAGCTGAAAACGACTTCATTTATCATGTGACACGAGTGCAAAGTTGTAACACGAGTGCATATTACAAAGAGCGCGCACGCTGTCAAAATTTCATCTCTCTTGACTTTCTGTGGCGCATTTTTCCTGTAAATTTCTCAAAGACTACAAAAACACGCGCGAGTATACAGCGTCACAACTGTTATTACAAACTCATCATCAGCATCATCTATCGATCACGCACGTCAAATCTTAACTAGACTAGGCGAAGGGGAGAAGGTCACGTTGAAAAGGCCAAAAATAAATGAAGTGTTATCAGCTCTCTGATGTTTGATCTGCTACTCTGAAACTCCACGAGGCTTTTGCATCGAAGGATCCGAGGGCGGAAAAATTGGAAAATTTTGTCGCTACTATCATGGTATGCCATGGTTTCCGAAACAGAAATAAAATACGGGAGTTAGAGAGCAAGCGAACTATAAAGAATACGCGAGGAGCAAGGTTTATCGACCACACTTCCGCCCAGCTCTTTACGTCTAAACAGTTTTTTTTCTTATCCTCATCAATTTAATAATCTATAAAAACACGATTGAATGGTAGTTTTGGTGCTAGTCTTTATTCTTGTGAGAAACCAGGTTACTGAAACTGTACCATATATGCTTTAAGCTCGCTAACACTTTACATACAAAGTTGCTTACTTTCGAGTTCACTTTTTGTCGACGACTTTTGCAAGGCAGTATCTCCATAGAAAATTGAAGTACCAGTATATACTTTCTAACTGCTTTCAATAATGTTTCTTATCAGTTCTCCTTCGCACTTCCGCTCCGGGTTATCACAGGGTTTAGTCGGTTTGAGTATAAATTACGGCGGCAGCTATTACCGGCTGCACGATTTTTTACGAGGGGATGGTTTCATTTACTTATAACTCTGTAGCAATTTAATTTAATTCTTGTACGGTAGCCCGACAGCTTTAACAGTATAGTCGTATAAAGTACTACGTATTCAATGAACAGGAATCTTGCAGGTGAACTGCATGTTTTTTTAGTTCACCAAATGTCTTCCGACTTTTCATAACTTATCAATGAACGTAGCGAGTTGTATTACGTAGCTTCGTCTTACCCTTCGTTCTAAACGCTCTTTCACCAAAGCGGATTCGCACTTCAATGACTTATTCAGCTTACTGAATTGCTCGAAAATTTTACAAATCCACTCCTTCCATTTTTTTGTTTATCACCGGAAATTTTTCTAGTTGAAAGACCATTAAATTCTACCTTTTTTTGTACACAATGGATGTTGTTGTCATGCTGAAACTACGCCACTCCAGTGTTTTGTTTAATAAAATCAGAGGTATTTTATTAAGGCATTATATTCATGTTCCATGGATCAAGTCAAAAATACAACGATTGATACCATTTTTTATCTTTATAAATTCACTTTATTTACTTTCTTAAGTAAAGGGTGAAAATGTTGGATTTGAAGGCACCGAGACTTGATGGAATCATCCCCAGTTTAGGTGTGACCTGTAATAAATAAGAAAAATAATCTAACCTAAAATCGGAAAATAATCAATGTTTTCTTCATTGGACATTTCTGGAATTATAGAAGTGATGGTTGAACATCAAGATTATTCTATTTGACTTGATAAGGGAAAATAATTTTATTTGATTTGGTGTCGAAATTTTGTTTGTATCCGCAAACTTGGGGACGCGTTTCTCTACGTGATATACTGTTCAAAAGCAACGGTACAGAGAAATTAACCATTCTTATAGTTAATCGTCTCATTGTTTGATTTGACAAAAATGTAAAAATAGTAAAAGAGGAACAAAGTATGCACATGATTCTTTTTGCAAGAGATAATGACGATGAAGACTGAATCGTTTAAGATGCTATTGTAAATAGTACGAGACTTTTTAAGGATTGTGTAAGGGGGGACGCAAGTGAAATGTTTTCGCCGAGTCAGTAACAGAAAATATACAGCAGTGGAACCATTATTCTGAAAAGTTGTTTGGTTCCCTTACCTGATTTGCAGCCATAGAGTTCAACCCTCATGGATATATGACCGTGCCATGCTCTTGGGCGAAAGCGGAAGTACCGTGCTTCGATTGGCGTATGCAATGGATGACTAACAACAGTATCGCGGTTGGAGTTTCCAGTAAATACCTAAAACGCAGGAAAAGCCCTTGTAATAGTAAAAAACTGATGTTTTAAAATAAAAATATGATCTGTTTGGTATTGCTAGATGTAATGGTAATCTGATAGTTCCCCAAGGGTGTGCTTGTAGAATATAGAGCTTGTATTGTATTTCTTTCCGTTTAATGGACCAGGCCTCACCTTGATTTGTGATCGTCCTTGCTCCCTGTAGTACTCGAAATGTGCATCGTTATTGCTGTATTGCAGCATGTATTTTGTAACCCACTGGTTGAATGCATTTCTGCCTTGTGTCGCAACACGTGTCACTATGTTGTCTCCACAACCCAAGTCAATCTGGAGCCACTGGTTAATATTATTTGCTCTAGCTGACCAGGCCCCTCGCTTACGTCCAGCTGCTTGGAAGAAGAGTCTTCCCTGTATGGCAGCATGATTTGAATCCCACTGCGATGAGGAGGTGATTTGCCAGTTAGAGATTCCACGATCTTCCATGCCGAGAGCGTGATTGCATACTGAAGATTTAAAAAGTTCATCATTAAAATACACACTTAGTTATCTAAATGCGCCAAAGTATTTGTATAGAATAATGATTTCAGTTGAAGATTTTTAGTAAAGAAAGGACATCTCTCAATCTAGTCATATTTTGCGTTGTGAATAACAAGCCTGCAACCAAAATTTCACTCGTGGGTCTTGTTTTGAATTTAAAGAGAGCACTTCATTTATTTCCCTGAAGATTAAATAGTATTATCCCTTGAAAACTTGCTTAGTATAGATATCTAGAATTATTTTTCAAGCGTGATTACCTTCACACCCATAGATTTCCATTCTCATAGATATATAGCGATGCCAAGCAACAGGCCGAAAACGGATGTAACGTGCCGTGATTGATGAATTTAACTTGTGATAAACAACAGTGTCGCGGTCAGTGTTTCCACTTAATTCCTGCAAAGGTAATATTATTATGCAATTTTAAAAGTATTCACTCATTTTTTGAACAATGAGGAATATCAAAATATGGAGAATTTTTTTTTTACGAGTTTTTGCATAACCATAACTTTTGAGTTGAGTAAATTAGCGATATGACTCAGTAAAACCAAGAGATCCTAATGATCCTTTGGTGAAACATATTGCTGTGAAGAGAAAGGAAGTTTCAATTTCGGAAAAGGTAGAAAAGTTCAAATAATTTTCGTTGGGAAAAGGAATGTTCCATCGGCATCGAGTGCAAATCTATCGAAAACAGGGGTAAGAAATCAATTAGTTTTTTTTTATTTTTGATAACCGAGACAATAGATGCTTTATTACACCCATTTTGAAATCACATGGTGGTCCCTGTAATCTGATTGGCTCTAATTGGTGCGATTTATTCCCGAATCGCACCATTTTTCGCTTTAAATTACATCTTTTTCCCAGCTAATGAGGTGGCTACACTAAAAACAAAACAACCAATCAGATTTCAAGGCTTGTTTAAAGTAACCAATCTAATTGCAGGAAAATGAAAGATAGAGTATCATGTGGCAATTTTTTGCAACTTTAGTTTCCAAAACTCTTATTTTTTCCCCAAGAAATGGATGAATTTAATTTCAAACCGGCTCAGTACTGCACCAACTAAATATTTGAACTGACCAAGTCCTGTATTTGAGCGATTTCAAAATGGATGTAATAAAGTGGTAATTGAATCTTGTGTCGTGCAATTTTGGTCTGAAATTATACTTCAGATTTTAGCCCAAACTGCACTCCACTCAGTTCAATCACATTTCTAAATCACCATAAAAGAGGCAACAATGCCTCTATTGTTTAATGAAATTATGAATTCTTACCTTGTTCTTACTTCCTTGGTGTTCACTGTAGTACTGGTAGCGAACTCCATCGTCGCTGTGCTGCAACATGTATTTTGTTACCCACTGGTCAGCACCATTTCTTCCTTGCGTGGCTACATATGTTATCTTAAAAATGCCAGGGAGTTGAACTTGTAACCATTGGTTGGCGTCATTTGCACGAGCTGACCAGGCTCCCTGTTTTTTTCCAGCTGCCTGATAAAAGAGTCTGGCCTGGTTTGCAGCATGATTTGCGTCCCACTGTGACGAGGCACTTATTTGACTGTTTGAAATTGCACGGTTTTCCATACCGAGGGCGCCGAGACAATATTGGCATCCTAAAAGATTTAGTCGATCCAAATAAAAAGATTTGGCTAATTGATATTGTTGAGCTATAAATCGAGTATAGAGGAAACCCGTTTTGTTTACCACTTCTAGTATAGACTATAATACACTTAGAGTACAGTATGAGCGACTTCTTGGGTTGTTTAACTTAAAATGATGAGTAACAATTAATTTAATCAGTTTTGCTGGTTTTCTCTCCTAATAATAATAATGATAATAATAATAATAATATTTAATATTTACATAGCGCAAATAAACATACAGGAGGATGTGATCAAACGCGGTATACTACCTAATTCATAGGTAGTATACCTCACGATTTTTCTTTTGAGGTACTTTCGAAATGGCCTCATAAAGACCCCCAGATATAAGAATTTACGTAATTACCTCCACATCCGTACAGTTCCACTCTCATCGATATGTGCCCATACCAGGCCAGTGGTCGGATACGGAGAAAACGAGCCTCGATTGGCGAACTCAGTAGGTGAGAAACAATCGTGTCTCGGTTTTTGTTTCCAGAAAATACCTAGATGAATGAAGAAACTGTCATTCGAAGTACGAAATTCTAAGTTAATCAGTAACGATAAGAAATAATTAATTTCTTCTAATTTTCAAGTTTTGACCAAAACTTGTAACGTCAAAGCATTGTAAAGTCATTATTCATACAAGAAGGAAATAATCTTGGAAGGGTAAAGTTGTGATCATTTATTTTACCTTATAGTTTGGATGCCCATGTTCTCTGTAGTACTGAAAGTGTATACCATCGTTGCTATACTGCAACATGTATCTTGTAACCCACTGGTTGAATTTATTCCTTCCCTGTGTTGCAACACGTGTCACTAAGGTGTGATGGCAACCAAGATCAACTTGAAGCCATTGATTGACATTGTTTGCACGTGCTGACCATGCACCTTGTTTTGCTCCACGTTGCTTAAAATTCAGCCTGCCTTGGATGGCGGCATGATTGGGATCCCACTCTGACGAGGCACTGATCTGTCCGTTAGCTATGCGTCCATCTTCCATGCCCAGAGGTTTTTCACAAACTGAAAAGTAGTAAATTGAATGCTGAGGCTTTCCTTAATGGCAAATTGAAGTGTATTTATTTTAAGTAGGGTATATCTCTTTAAAGGTAGTATATGCAATTATTGAAAGTGATTTTTCGGAGAGGCAACAGTATTTCTTCAAATGTCTCGGCATGCATATTAATTTTTACCTCGTAGTTTAAAAGGTGGAATTGTTATTTCCAGCACACCTAAAATTAAAGTGATTCTCTGTTTTTTTTCCACTGATTTTGAAGTTGACAAAAGACGACAACTCAGTCATTCAGCATTGAGCTACTTTCCTATAACAGGCTCCCAACTTCATTACTAAAGTGCTCTTATTTTGTCAGCCAAAGAAATGCTTAAAGAACGATCTAAACAATGAATTTTCGTGTTAGTCGATCTTTTGAAGGTTCTGAAAGCAGGTTATCATGGTACTAAGATTTGATCATTACGATTAAGAAAATTTCATCGTCAAATACCTTTGCAGCCGTAAAGTTCCACCCGCATGGAAACGTGTTTATGCCAAGCTGTTGGCAGAAAGCGGATGTAGCCTGCGTCTATTGGTGGATTTAAGTGATGAGCAACAACAGTGTTCGGATCTGTGTTTCCGGCGAATTCCTGCAAATGACAGGTAATATGTAGCATATAAACAAATCAAGCTGCCTGACGACAGTTGCTTCATCACGAGTCAAAAGCAATCCATAATAGAATTGCTTCTGCCTATTTAAGTTTGCAATTACGTAAAAGGTTCACCGTTTTCTATGAAAAAAAAAAATGAAGTAATTTAAAATGCAATTCTTCACTAAAGTTTTCTTGACAAAATTTCTAACCAGCGGTCGTTTTAAGTATTTTATGGTTCCAATGATATGTTTATGCTGGTGCGAGTTTCTTTGAAAAAGTTTGACCCACCATGTATGAAGCTTTTCCTTCTCCCCGATAATATTGGAAATGTATTCCATCATCGCTGAACTGTAGCATGTATTTCGTCACCCACTGGTTATACGCATTTCTTCCTTGTGTTGCAACTCGTGTCACCACGTTAAACTTGTTAATGAGATCAATTTGGAGCCATTGGTTGAGATCATTGGTGCGAGCTGACCAACCTCCCCGTTTGGGTCCATTTTTCTTGTAGTTCAGTCTTCCCTGAATGGCGGCGTGGTTACCATCCCACTGAGATGAGGCAGTGATCTGGCTGTTCTTAATGTTGCTATTTTCCATTCCAAGCGGTTTCAGGCATTTTGCGATCGCTACATCTGTGTTGATACAACATAGTTCGTTTAAGGGAGAATTATAACCACTCAGTTTTCACAACGCAAGTAATTGCCTTTTGTTTAATCGCTCAGATAATTTTAGAGAAGCGCGCTGTGATTGGTCGAGGATTACCTTGTCGTTTGCTAGAATCAACGTTATGAGTTAATGCTATGACTATAGCACAATAATGGCCGGGGCGCGACTGTTGATATTGCGTCAGTTAACGGTTGTTAAGTGTATCAGTTATTCACTTATATTTTCCTCAGTTACATATTTGGCTTTTGATGCTATCCTTACCAAGCATCTCGCTGTTTTCCGCGACATCATAACAGAACAGAAAGAGAGCTACCGCGAGAAACTCGATCTGCAAGCAATAAATGACAAGAATGTTCAGGCTGTTTTTTTTATTATTTCATTATTCTTTAAATCAATAATACCTGTTTAGTTTGCTAAAAGGTTCATGGGAAAGTTCGGCAGCGTTAAAAAATAACTTTCCTTCCAGAGCAGTTAAGGACTCTGTGATTAAGATCGCAAAACTTAAAATAAATAAATCCCACTCTGATACAGCGAGCACGATTTGATCGAAAGTTAAATAAGGATTCTAGCGCCGGGAAATGCAATAGTCTCAAGTCGCTACACCTTTTATCCTAACGACCTTTATTTGGTTACGCGACATTTAACTCATGCAAAGGTAACTACACTCTTATTCTTGCAGAACTGCGGTTACCGCTCTTTGAGTTTATAGGAGAAGTATTTGTAGTGGACAGAAAAATCTGTGGTTATTACTCCGCGCAGAAAGGAAAATCTAAACAACTCGCTCACGCTAATATATTGTGGATTCTTGTTGCATTGAAATAGAGGATCTGAAAAAACTCACCGATTTCGTGAAGGACGACATATTCTCCTGCTAAAGACGAGGACATTTCTCACTGCAACTCCATGTCGGACGCTATTTATCCTCGGTAAAAACGAATGATTTGTTAGTTCCTTTCTATTAATTTAAAAAATATATAAAGGTAATTGTCAGGCTTTTGTTTCTTGACGAATGGAGTCGATAATTTTCGTTTTGTTTGCAGATGCTGTCTAGAGGTAATTGCATACTTTAATGACAGTTCTCACGAAAGAGACCTACAATACTGCTGATTAAGAGCTTCGAGTAAGAGGAAATTTTGGCAAGTCCACGTTGTATTTGCTTTGGTTACAAACCATTAAACAAAGGCAGGCTGTTTTATGCCGAAATAAAAGAAAACTACACAAGAGGATTACGTAACTTATCATTGCCCTGACAAGTGTAAGTTTTTTTGAAAACAAAAATATGTCTCGCGGTATTTGATTCAAAGCTGTTTCATAATCCAACCACTCTGAAGACTCAAAAGGTGTGGAAACAATCAAAAGAATTACATAATATGCAAGGCGGTGTCCACTTCGTTTGAAAGTTAATGGTGTCCAACTGATGAGATGACAACAAGCGAAGTAATGCCCCTGTCAATTGCAGAATAAATATTATAAAAACAGTGGCGGGAGGGATAATCCTTTTCCTCATGTGTTTTAGGACAGCGGAGACATACCGTGAAAGAAACCTGCCTGTTTATAAACTCCCTTTTTGTTTGGTTCGACAGATAAACTCGTTCCGTCTCAATGTGGCTTGTGCTATCAACATTTCCTGATTGGTTTTCAATTCCAAACGTAGCACCATGAAAACATCAAGAGCCATCGACAACACTGCAGTCAGACTAAATAGTATAAACACGATATTTACAGCGATTCTTTTCCTGTTTTCCGCCATTTTGTCGAGTACGTAACCTGGCCTGGCAGAACGAGGGTTAGCAGAGGTCAAATTTCATATAAAGGCTCTGCCAAGTTACCTCAGGGGGTACCAGAGACCATATAAATGGGGCCTAAGGTTTCCAAGAAATTGTTGGATGTTTCTGCGAGCATATGATGTTCTAATAGACAGGAGGGTAAATATGTTTGCGGACCAACAGATTTGACCTTTGAAAACCTCGTGGATGGCAGATTTTATTTATAAAAAATTGTGCCCGCCTGAGGATTTTAAATACCGAGGATCTTGCAAAGTGAGCACTGTTTAAAAAAAAACTCTAAGTGCTGGTCAGTTACAGAAAAGCAAAATATCTAAAGACACTCACAAACAAACTGTATATATCGAAACTACAAGTCATCGAAAATAGCTTCTGGTCGACGGACTACGCCAAAAAGTACAGTGGATATGTTCGGTTTGCATACCTCTATTTATCACCCTCATCGAGCAAAAGCCATTACGGAGAGATCGATGGAACAATTAAGAGAAAAAAAAATGCTTGTAGGTTTATAACCAAAAGGTTATGAAGGTGACAGAGGAGGAGTCCGTAATATTTACATAGCGTAATGATGTTAACACCGTCTACTTAGGTCGATAAAAAATTGTCACACTGGCAGATCAGATTTGATATCATCCGACTCTATGATGAAGAGCATTTTGATCGAATTTCGAGAAACATACTTAGATTAATTCATCACAGCAATACAGAGATCTTCCTAAAGGTAAACTGACGCAAAAATAAAAAGAAAAAAATTTCAAGGTATGTTGAGGGAAAACCTTTGTAGATCATTTGCATTCGCTTATCTCTGATTGGGTTCACAAACTTTTCTCGTATTCTTCCACAATTCCGCTTGAGTTCTGAAGCCATGTGTTCTTTGTAAGATATACGGCTGACTGACTAATATGACATTTTGCCCTATTGAACTACTACATTTACTGCTCTCTTTTAATTGAAATTGTATTAACTATTTAATCCTGGTAAAATAACTTTTTTTGGTTTTTGTTTTTGAGGCTTAACCACCCGTTAGGGGGGTAATAAAATTTGAGAATAAGATAAACTTCTATTCTTTAATTTCGTCAAATTTAGAAGTTTCCTTGGATTTTAAATGGCAATTGAAGAGGGTCCCCGATAGGTTTTTCGGGATCCGGGATTGGGCTTATTTGAAGGACGGGATCCGAGAATTTGAAGTAAGAAGGGAGCGGGATGCGGGATTGTCACGGTTAACGGGACACGGGAATCGGTAATTTTAAAAACGAGAAGACGAAGAGGAAAATGAGATATTAGAGTACGATTCCCCAGCAGTGATGAAGAGTCGGATGAATCATTTCCGGACGACGAGATCGCATATGATGATGGTTACTCTATCTTTGGAAAGAGAGACTCATTTTCTCCCGTTTCGGAAGAAGTATTCACTTTAACAGCAGAATTGTGTTCAGTTGATTTTTCTTTATTTCCCTTTTTATGGAAGCAATGGGATTATTCTCACCTTGTTTTGTTTTATGCGCTAATTTACATTGTTATTCGTTTCTTTGATATTGACCTGTCTTTACTAATATGTTTTTCCGAGATCGAAGTTTAACGGAAGGAAGTCGTTACGGTGACTAGCGTACGCTATTCGTGCAAAACTTTGAAAACTTCTAAAATGAACGATATCGATGGGTGAAAAAAGATAAACGTACGCCTTACAATGAGCAAAGGACTCCAACGGGTCAATGCTGGATGAGAAAATCATCACCTACCGAAAATACTCTTTTAAGTTGAGGGAACGGAATAAAACAAAAAATATATGAACGAGATCGGGATTGGCAAGTATAAACCGTCGGGATTACGGGATTGAGAAAAAACTTTAAGTCAGGATCGCGGGATTAAAGAACCCTATCGGGGACTCTCGTTAAAACTGCCATTTTGGACCTGTGATCTTGGACATCTTTAAGTGTATACGTTAGGTGCCAAAGCAACAGGACTGAAGGTTGCACATCCGAAACAATTTGAAATTCAATCGAACGTGGGTTTAAATGTTCTCAAGCACTGCTAACCACAATTGCTTTTATATTGGAAACGTTATGGGCAAAACAATATACCCTGATTTAAACCCACACATATACGCATTTTGTTTGTTTATTTTCCTATTTGTTTGAATAATACAAGGAATAATGTGGTGAAGGCAGAAAATCAGGAGAATCTAAGCAATCATGTTCACCAAGCGTTTCGTAAGGTAAATTTAGCTCTTAAAAGAATTTCCCACCAAAATTGTATCAGATAATCTGTTTTTAAGGATTAATAAACACCGAAGCGGTGAGAATACCAACAACAAAGAAAAATAATTGTTAGCATCACGTAGATATACACAGATTGCAAAAGAAGCAGTTCGAAAATTTAAGCCGTTTATTTTCAACATCTGAGAGTTGAGCCGTAGCGTTGAATCTTTCAATGATGACAACCTTTAGTATACAGGATGCAATTTTTCAATCAATATTTTGTATTAAGTCATTAAGAACTAACATCATAAATCTTTAGAGGCTAGTTTTTCCCTGAGGGACATTTGTGCAAATTAAGAGTCACGTAACGCATCAGTGCTTCTGCTCAACAGCTGCGTTTTTTGTTTTTGGAGTGCGTCTGAAATAAACTTTTTAAAAACAGCTAAACCATGGGGCTATAACTCCTGTTTCTTTGTGACTTAAAGGTTATCTAGTAATTCGGAAGAGCAGAAGAGTCTTGCGTGGGTTGTTGATAGAGCTTGACTATGCATAATTTAAAATCTTACCATAAGCAAATGCTTTATAATAACTATTCATCCATGAAGATAAACCTTCGAGAATTTGCCTCGCTCTATCCCAACCTGTCACTCTTAAGCTCAGTTGGCAAGAGCGCCTAACCTTCTTTACTTCAATGGTGGCGAAGAGGAAATAATGTTGTTTCTCACTCAAGAAACTTCACGATGAAATTGTTGTCCAAAATTGTTAGCCGCAATAAAAAACCTTTTATGACCTTCATTTGGCAAATTGATAGTTTCTTGCGTAATCTCAGAAAACAGTGTGCGTGACAATTGAAATTCGGCTGTTCGTATCGCGTGAATGTCTGAGCCTACTTTGTCTGGAAGAGTTCGCAGAGATTAGAGGTTCAGTTTTGCATTTATTTTGCTGAATCGTTCCAAACAAACAGTCTACCACCATGTTCTGAGATTTTGCGACAATAGAAATAACAACTGTTTATTCTCTCTGATAAATTGTGACAATCTTTGGCTGTGTACAACACTTCAGCATCTCCATCAATATCTCAACTTGATGAAAATTAAACCCCGACAATCGAATCAGTTTTTACAAGCTTTCGGCATAAATAATCGAAAATATTCTTGAAATATTATTCAGACATATATTACAACCATAAACCTCTTTCTTTCTTGTGGATAAGATAAATCTCTATTTCAAAAATATAGAAGAAAAAAATGGAAATTTTGGTATGTAGTGAAACGATTTAAAGTTTATCGCGTAGCATCCGTGCACGTTGGTTTCCCGTTTTCTCTCCACCCATTGAGCTCTTAACCTTCGAATATTTTGGAAGAAATAAAATTTTGATCTAATAACTTTGAAGGTTTAAAGAATAAAGTTGCATGGGGGCAAATTACGTGAGTTACAACATTACATTATCCACCAAGTCAACCATGTCCGGAGGGCCCATTTTTTCATGTTTCTTATAATGAATGAAATCATTGTTAAGTCATTGTCTTTAAAAAAAAATTAAGAAAGGAAAAAAAGAAACAAAACAAAACACAAATTCAATGGTATCTCCACTTGAATGAATAACTTTACACAACAAGCTTGACATCGAAGATAGAAACATTTACAGAATGACATTGTTGTAAATGAAAACTCAAAAAGTCGGCGGGACGTCTGACTCTAACCACCTCATTATGGTGTTTGGTTTTCAAACTCTCTCAAGATCTAAAGCAATCCAAGTGCTATTGCTGACGTGAATTATTTTTCTTTAAAATTGTCACATGCGGAAATTTTTTTAGAAACCCTGGTATTATTATAATCATAGAGAGCTAACTGATAGGGCTTGTCCTAGCCGAAATAGATCTGTTTTCTTCTAGGTATTGCAAACTATTGAAAGTAACCTCTATTTAGGGTAGAAGCACGTATTCAGAGCAAATGAAGCATATTACAGCTGTATATTGCAGCTGTATCTTAGCGAGAGACTGTTCGTAGCTGAAAAAAATAGTTTTAAAAGTAAAACAGTTTTAATATTTACAACATATACTAAAAATAGTTTTCAGTTTCAATGGGAAATATTTTCACAGTTCAGTATTATGTGTCTCGTAATTACGCTCTCAACCCGTAATTGTTTTGATTGGTTTTCGTCTTTTAAAAGCGGCCATTAAAAGAGTCTGTGATGCAGAACCATGTGAGTGGAATTTCAATGGTCAGTTTTTCCCTCCTCCTATTGATTTATTCGGAAACCCTTTCATGATGTCATAAAGACAGAAATGCGGAAAAGTCTGATGTGACGTACAGGCTCCATTGCCCGGACTAAGGGAAAGAGTTCATACGAACCATATTGATTTACTGAGCGTGAGACATGGCAGTTCTCTATCTCCAGCTTTCTTTCGCAATTTTTACTTTAACTACAGTTGTTGGTGGATATAGAAGTAAGAATGAACAATATTTTACTGTTGGTCGGGAAATTGAGGATGCAAAGTCATACGATTTCATACGAGGTGAGTAACTGATGTTTTTCTCCGTAATGAGTCTTTCGCCCTCAGGAACAAAATCTAAATTTTTTATTCATCCCTTCTTGGTTTTCAATTACAAATTGTGCTCTTGATTCTGATCAATAAATAGGGCCACTGAGCCTGGTCTAAGCTTAGGGATATTTCGATTGAGACAAAAGGAGATCAAGTTCAAGCTGGGTGATGTTGGAAATATTTATCTTTGAAGTGAGCTGTCACAGGCTGTGGCTCGCCTACTTAGGTCTATGGGTGTGTAAGAGATTTGTAAGTTATCGGGAGCAATTTTAAAGCAGAATGTAGAACTTTTCAAATCTTCTATATGTCGGCAGACAAGTTAAAACAACGGCCTTCATTATTTGTCAGACTTTTCTGGCCAGATCAAAGCGAGTTAAATTAATCAGGCATTAAATACAAACAAATATCGGTCCCTAGCAAACTTTTTGAAAGTCATATGTAAACATCTAAAATTTTCACTTGTTGCAGCAAATTATCAATGAATCCTAATGAATTTTCATCTTCGATTAAAACACTTCTGTCAGGAGGCTGTTCTCTATTTACGATGGGCAATAATAAGGGGAGGTACTACAAACATTGATTGGATTTGTTCTATTCGAACAACCAAATATTTACCAATAATCGCAAAGAATTGCTTCATCTAAAAGAGAGTTAATGAAAGTTTCTCCTATTTCAGTTTATCTGGCATTCGGCTAGAATTTCGAAAGTGAAATATTTTTATTTGGCTGAATTATCATCATGACGTCACAATACTCCAAACAAATAAGCTATGGCGGATTAGAGTAGAGTCCGTTTTCATCCAAAACAGTGTTGACTCACACTCAATTACGTCAAAAGTTTAAGGCGCTTTAGTAGTTTTAGTAGTGTATGGTGGGTATCGCGTCTGCTTTAGTTTAACTTAGAAGAATTTCACGCTGGTCGCCGTAACTAAATGCAACAGTTTCATGAATAATACCTGCTGCATATAATTTCCTTAAAAAAAAAACACGACTAAAAATATCAATATTTGGTTCATATATTATTCAACCTATTTTAAAAGTGCAATAGGAAAATCGGTGCAAATGCCCTATAATATAAGAAAAACATCTATAACACGATACAAGAAAAAAGTGACATTAAAAAATTAACCGTAATGTTAAAACGATTTAACCAAACAGACTGTCGGCGGACCTTATTCATAATACTGTCCTGTTCTAGATGATTGCAGATAGATTGTCGACCACAAATATAACCCATCTCTAATCGACTTGAGAGTAGGTAAAGTGTAACAGGAATAAACTAGAGACATGATGATAGCACATATCACCAGTGGTATTTATTCAACCTATTTTAAAAGTGTAACAGGAAAATCTAAATAAAATGTTGTGCATTTGCTTTAAATGTTGCATTAAGTGGTAAAGAGTTGACGTAACTGCCGAAAAAAAGGATGCAAGTGGGAACGTAAATTGTCTTCGAAACTTTCCGCTTTCCACCATTTTGGATTGGACCTTGACGTCATGGGGTTGCCACTTTCGTCTTGATACCTGACCTCCTGTGGTTTTGAGCCTCTGAGAGGCTTTTCATGATGGAATTGGAAATCAAATGGCTTTTCATTTAGAATGATAACTCGGTAGAAAAATTAAAATATACAGTATATAAATTTTTTTCTTTCATATCACCAAGTCCCCACTGTAACACTCGCATTCAAATTTAATGTTAAGTGAGGGGCTCTAATTACAACATGGGATGTGCCTGTTAAAATAACTAACACGTTATATTGCACTTTGTGTCGTTAGATTGCCATATTAAACAATTCGTCAAAATGATACCCCATCAAATAATCGACTTATATGATTAATTGCAGATGAACGCTCCAGATACGGCTATTATGATGAATATGAAAGTCTAATAGGCGAGGGTATGTAATTTCCTCTCAAATCATTCCGTTATTGAACATTCTGAGTCTCTTTTATCCAACCAAACCGTTAAGAGAGATATACCGTCGTTCGCTCGACGGTACGGTGAGTAACTAAACACTATTCTGTACGGATGGAACGAAAAAATTGGAATTCAATTTTAGCGATAGAAATACAATCGAAGGAGGGAGGGGAGGGGGGAGATGGCTCAAAGGGAGCCTTGGAAGCTGTCAAAGGGGAGCAAGGATGACGCAGTCGTGAGAGCACATGTGGCTTAAGTTTGTTGTTGGTTCTCGTCCATGCTCCGAGGGTTTTTCTTCAGGTGCTCCGTTTATTCTCCCTCCACAAAAACAAGAAGAACCACCTCGTGGAATGTCCACTTTTAAATCCCCTTTTTATAATTTGTATTCCTTTTGATCAGATAATCTAGCGTTCTTACTTTTTGCAGCTAAAAGGTCCAGATACGTTGATGAAGCGGAAGCTCTCATAGCTGCGGGTATGTAAGCAATTCTTATCTGTCCGTGCTGGAACATGTTTGCTCCTTTTACAAAATACCTAAATTTAAATGATATTAAAGAAGCCATATATGACACAAATAAAAAGTAGTACTGCGTATAGGTAAATGAATTTGATCTAAAGCAGTGCCTGTCCTCTTTATTACGATGAAACTACAGGGTAGGAAAACCTAGGTACGCGGCCACTCGCTTGCCATAGGTTGATTTCGAGATATTTTTCTTCTGGAGCGGTATCAAGAGAACGGATTTTGACGCTAATGATGAGGATAAATAAGCCTAGCTTACATAAGACCACTATCAAACGAGATACCTATCTATAAAATCCCCAAGATAAATTCACAGTGCCTGGTTTTGCTGTAGTGAATCCAGGGATAAGATAGGTCTCTATATGATAGAACTAAGCGCTGATAATAATAGTGATGACAACCGAAAAGCATTACAGAGCAAAATTTTGGAAAATGTGTCTAGTACAAAGATCCGTTCAAGTTGCAGGAAAAACCTTATCTAAACGTCTCAATGAAATAACTATAACAAAGCCCATTATCATAAAGCCTGCCTAAAAAAACGTTTTGGTTCTATGTATCACAAGTTAATGTCTTCCTTAATCTCAAGGGGAGAAACATTAGTATTTTGTTAATGACCGATCGCCGCCGGTGCGATGCACATCTCTCTTGATTGGTCTACCTCACGGTCACAACATCTTAAAAAATTCAACTTGAATTTGAACTTCAGCTTTTTTAAGCTGGAAGTTTTTCTCCTTGCCAAAATTTTTCGATCGTAGACCAAGTTCGATACTTCTTAGGCTATCCTTGATTCTTTGTGTTCTTCGGTCAATTAAATGTTTTCCCTCGCGCGTCGGAGAGAGTGACTCGCATTACTGAATCTTTATGCATCTCCTTCAAATCATTTATGTTTTCTAATTACAGATGAAGACGAAATTGAAGAGCTTTCTTGTTTAGAAAACCCGTGTAGGTACGGGGGAACATGCGTCGTCACTTCCTGTGGCAGTTACGAGTGCAAATGCCGGCCGGGTTTCTCAGGAAAGCATTGTGACTGCGGTAAGCTACATTATTACTTTGTAATGTGGTCTGTTTTGCAAATCTATGGTTGAAATGAAAGAGGTTTAAGTATGATTAAAAAATAAAAAATTTTTATTTAGCCCATATGAATTCAGAAAATTTTTCCCTGGAGTAAGCCCTACTCCCACCCCCCTGATGAGATTGAACAGACAACTTGTAGAAATCATTCATACCACTGAGGACAAGGGCACAGTGTTCCTATTACAATTTATCATAGCTATAAATTAAATTAAAACTGACGTGAGCACCTGACCTAGTTAATAATTAGAGCGTGTTCCATTTCAGCCCGATGAAGGCACTCTAAGAATGAAACTTTTGCTAATTTTGGGAATTTATGTGAATATTTGTTAAATGTCCAATTTTAACTCAAAGTTCTGTTTGTGAAAGTACGTTCGATTGTGTTTTCACATTTGGGAACCAGGGTGGGGACAGTGGGGAAAGCGTTTGCCTTCCACCACAGTTGGCCAAGGTCAATTCTTTGGAGTCACATTGAAGTTGAGGTTAAGTTTTATTGGCTTTTTCTCTCCCTTGCCACGTTGTTATCCAATATACCTTCCTTCACAAAAACCAATAGTCTAACTTCTAAGCAATTCGGCTTTGATACAACTAACAAAAAGCCACCTACACCTTTCCTCTCCTCCCCTCCCCACTAACGTGTAAGCTCAATTTCATGATTGCATGTTTCATTCATACAATGGCTCATCGTTTTCTAAAATTATGTCATTCTGTTCTATTTTTCAGTTGTCAAAGAGTGCGATTTTGACAAAAATCCGTGTCGCCACAATGCAACCTGTATTGACATGGGTTCAGACTATATCTGCAAATGTCCATCGGGTATCAAAGGAAGACATTGTGAGATTGGTGAGCTAAGACAAAAAGCATTAATTAATTTCATGTTAAAATCCAATTACGTCACGAGATTGAATATTGCACCACCAAAACTAGGGAATAACCGCTACATATTCGCGAAAGTTCACACCCGCCAAGAACGTTGGGAGAAAAAAAAGAGAGCGTGGTGACACAGGAGGGGTGGGGGAAGCTGAATCACGTTCACAAAAAGTATATTAATAAAAAGAAATCAAAAAATCAAAATTCCTCCCTTTGTATTCTTTTCGTATTCACGCGCAGCGCACATGATTTCGCAAATTAGCAAATCACGTCAAAGAACTCTAACCTTGACATTGGAAAACTGACGTGGACATTTTCGCCTACTTTTGTTTGTTCCGCGGAGTTTTAGTTAGTTTTTTTGAGCTTTCGTTCGCGGAAATTTGTTTCCCCTCTGTTTGGAATTTTATGGAGTTGCAGAGTTTTTTACTTTAGCCAAATGTTGTGGTTCATTTAACGAGTTTAATTGATTAATTAATTAATTAATAATAATTCATAATTAATTAATAATAATATTTCATTCGGAGTTTGGACTCTAGCCTCTTTTTTGGCTCAATCCATTCCCCACAACAGTTGACAGCTACCCCAACATGAGTTACATGTTTTAAGGTGGTTAAGAGAATTATTTGCTTTGTAAAATTTTTTTTAATCTCTCTTTAGACATCGATGAATGTGATGCCTTGGCGTGTTCCAACGAAGCTACTTGCATCAACACTGTCGGAAGTTACATGTGCAAGTGTAGACCTGGATTTAAAGGAAAGACGTGCTGTTCAGGTAATTTAGCAGTGTCTTATTATTATAGAGAAATAGGAACTTGGAAGAAGAAAGATACTGAATTTATTTTTCACGTATAGAAAGAAAAATAAAAACCAGGGAGATGGACTGTACCCACGAAGACGAAAACACGCGTGTGGCTTGAAACGGAAGCTTTGTCGCGAAATTTATGACTCTTCTCCAAATACAAAATTTGCTCATCATTCCAGGCACAATTTTTAAATTAGGCCTTTGAATGCCAATAGAATATGTTCTCTCAATCTTTCTGATTCATTGTGTAATCAGAAGGCACTGATATGGTTGAAGTTTACAATCCACACAATCAAGTTTACTCGCTCCTAACCTGCTTTCCCGAAAAAAAAAACCCATTCCTTTTATACCTTCACAAAAATTTTATACCCCTCTGTCGTTTCAGATATCAACGAATGTGAGTCGTCAGACGGCGATCCTTGTGAAAATGGGGGAACTTGTGAGAACACTTATGGCAGCTTTTGGTGTGCATGTCCCAGTGGGTTTGTTGGAAAACGTTGCGAACGCGGTAAGTCCAGATCAGCGATATTCTTTTTGAAATAGGAATTTCAAAGCGTAAATGCTCCATGTAGCATACAGTCTATTTTATCCAAACTGGTAGCCGATATTGAATATCTATGATGAAGTGGAAATGTATCCATCAGTCTTTTCGTCTCTCTTTTCCTTGCAAGCTGAAGCCATAGAAAAGGTGTTAGAGGCACATAGCAGGGGTTCGTAGGGTTGGACAAGATACCCTGGGAACTAGGGTGATTGTCGATAGAAAGAGAGGACATTGTCCAAATATTACGAACTGGGAATTTGAACTACGTAACAACGGACAACCTGAATTCGTTCATATTTCAATTTTCGGCTGCCACTTTGGAAATTGATATATTGGCTAAGAATAACTACGCTCTTGCGTATCTTACATCCTTATTCCAGCGCCTTCGATGACAGCTTTGGTATCATTTTCTAATGCGCTTCATACAACATCAAACATTACTGGTAACTAACCGCTCTCTGCTTTGCAGATCGTAATGAATGTGTTGATTGGCCATGTGAGAATGGTGGAAAGTGTATCAATACCAGAGGAAGCTATGAGTGCTCTTGCCCAGAAACTTATCAGGGAGAGCATTGCGAGCGAGGTAACCGCCCAGCTGTTAACATTGAATAACAAAACTTTATATTCCTAACATGCAACCCTATCAAGATCCACTTCTATGCTAAATTAGTTTCTTCCATACACGACGCATCGTGAACCTTCTTGCTCATTGTTTAACTGGGATGCGATCAATTTTACTTTGACTGCGTTACTGCCTAAAAATTTGCTTTGGAATGTTGCTGGCTCGACAGCTTTCCGCAAATGTGACACAGATGCCTCAAGAAACATTTCCATAATGCCCCGAATAGATAACAGGCTAGATAAAAAATTTTCCGCGGCTAAGACGTTCATAATGAATAATTCTTGAGATATTTTCAAAAATTTATACAGATGTAGATGAGTGTCTCACAAACAACCCTTGCAAGAATGGAGCAACATGTACCAATTTACCCGGAGACTACAAGTGTGATTGTCCAAAGGGATGGGAAGGGAAAAATTGCGACCAAGGTGAGTTTGCTTTTCTCCATTCTCGTACCCCTCCGGTTTGATAAAAGGTATCTTCCTGGTTCTATCGGTTATGTCCATATGTACGCATGTGCATTACTGCTCCACCTATATGGAGTTCTCAACCGTAAGCAGGTTTTTATCTAGCATTTCGTGAGGCGTTCCCAGTATTTTGCTGCTACCCAAGTGCGTTCCTGATTGGAGAGAGGCACTGTGACAGTTTATTTTCGAGTCTAAGAACTCAGCACGTTGACTCTAGCCGAGGCTCTCACCTCATCACACATTTTATTTAGGCGTGGAACCTAAGTATATAATTTGTAGCTGGAATGGAGAGAGCGTAATTCCACAGAAATACTAAGCTACTTGAAGAACGGCCGTTGTAGATAGATATCTAAAATACTGATCGGTGTTAAGGCTCAGTAGTCTCCGATAAAATTGCTAAGGTATCATATCAGGAATCCGTTGCTGTCTTTGACCCGGCGCATTCAGTATGATCGCTGTAGACAACTGCATTTCTCCTTTTTTTTTTTTTTTTTAATCAAACAGCTATTTATAATCGACATAAATGGGTAATCTTATCCTTATTGTGATGGATCATAAACTATAGTGACATGGACGTACAAATGGCTAAATTTGAGAGCTCTAGACTATAATCAAATCAGTCAGTCTTGCCCATTCATACCTGACTGAATTCATCTTCGATTCACAGATGTTAACGAATGTACTTCCACTCCATGTAAAAATGGCGGTACATGCGTCAACCTACACGGCAGCTTCGAATGTCTCTGTACATACCAACATTCTGGTGTTCTTTGCGAACAAGGTAAGATCGATTATTTGCGAGGTGTTGATGAAAAAGGAGAGCCTGAGCCAGTGGAGACTCGAGTTCTCAGGCCTCTGTAATTGAAGGAGAAGAAATCCTAAGGAAAACACCCTTCAATCCAGTACGGTTCTATGGCAGCTCCAAACTTCGTATCCTTTCATTTAATACCTTTCCCCGTTTGAATTCACCCATTGCTGTTCTTCTTATGCACAAAAAGAATGTTACGAAATCTTCAATCGCATGAAGTTTCTAGGCTGTCAGGACACACTCGTATAACGTGATCCAGGCAAAAGCTTCAGCGTTTACCCTTCTTTGCCTTTACACAGCATGCAATGCAGCCCTCGGCATGGAGAGCGGCGCCATCCTGGATGAACAGATCATTGCTTCTTCAGAATATGATGGAAATCATGCTGCTAAGCAAGGCAGGTTGAACTTCCTAGCGGTCCCAGGTAAAGCAGGAAGCTGGTCATCTCGCACAAATGACGCCAATCAATGGATACAAGTAAAACTTCCCAGCAACACAAAAATATCTCGTTTATCGACGCAAGGAAGAAATGCATTCAATCAGTGGGTTACAAAATACCAGCTAATGTACAGTGAAGATGGACTCAACTTCCATTATTATCATGAGCGAGGGCAGAGCTCACCTAAGGTACAAATCTTTGATAAAGAGATTGAGTTCCGTCAACACACACGAGAAATCCTTTTGGAAAATATTTGTTACGTTAAACAAGTGATTTGCCGTTATTAACTCCATTCACGTCTGCTAGGAATTTCAAGGCAACAGTGACAGTGAAACTATTGTATATCACGAGTTGAACCCGCCTATTGAAGCACGCTATGTTAGACTTCGTCCTACAGCCTGGCACAACCACATATCCTTGCGAATGGAACTGTACGGATGCGAAGGTATTCTTAAATAAGTTTCCTCATTACATGCCTTTGACGAAATGCGTTTATTAGGTTTCTAATTTTAAAACTGATCAGAGTTTCCATTTCAAAAACCCTTGACTCTTTGTACTTTTTATTTAAATTTTTACAGTTTGTGTTCAAGCACTTGGAATGGAGAGCGGGGATATCGTAGATGCCCAGATCACTGCTTCTTCAGAATTTAATGGAAATCATGCTGCTACGCAAGGCAGGTTGAACTTCCTAGCCGTCCCAGGTAAAGCAGGAAGCTGGTCAGCTCGCACAAACGACGTCAATCAATGGCTACAAATAAAACTTCCCGGATACACAAAGATAACCCGGTTTGCGACGCAGGGAAGAAATGCATTCAATCAGTGGGTAACACAATACAAGTTGGAGTACAGCGAGGACGGTGTAACTTTTCACTATTACCATGAACCAGGCCAGAGTGCACCTAAGGTACTATGCTATGACATGCGTACATTGTTACAAAATGAAAAAAACCCTTTTAGAACGACGTACAAGAATCAATAATAGACGCAACGCGGAGGCAACTGGGGGTTCGTTCCCAACGCGCACGCACTCGAAATGACTACTTAAATGTGAACAAAGCAAGATTTTCCCGAATTATTTTGTTCTCTCAAAAAGAAAAGAAAATTGACTTGCCAAAAGATGTACCCCTGAAACTTTCCGAACCGAAAGTGGGTATTGATTTTGACATTTGGAGATTATTTACTGAGGATATTTCTTATATAATAATTGTCTAAACTGTGTTAGAGCTTATTTCTGATTCGTTTCCATTTCCAATAATTATATTCTTGCAAGGGCATGTAAGCACACGACCTCTTTCTTAGTTAAGAGGGTGTCTCTCACAAATCCCATCCAATAACCTCTGGTGAGGGCTAAACTCAAAGAGAGGAGAACAAAAGAAAATGTGATTGGAGGTCGTCTTGGCAATAACATTTTGCGACCAGTGCAGAGAGTTGATATTTGTATCTTAGGTGTTAATCGATTTACTTGCTCGATTCTTTCTTTATTCAAAGATATTTCATGGAAACACGGATAGTAACACTATTGTGACCCATGAATTGCTTCCTCCCATCCAAGCACTGTACATCAGGCTTCGTCCTACAACTTGGTTCAATCATATATCAATGAGGATGGAGATCTACGGATGTCCAGGTAATGTTTTGATCACGCATAGAGGCTCTACTCTCTATATATTTTCCATTCATGAGGAACTTTAACTTAAACAGAGTGAAATTCTTTTAAGTTATTTCATTTAATTTTTAGCATTAATCAGTGTTCTTATTACAAAGCTCTCGCCTCTTTTTATTTTGAATAATTACAGCATGCACAAAACCACTTGGTATGGAGAGCGGTGCCATCTTGGATGCACAGATTACTGCTTCTTCAGAATTTAATGGAAATCATGCTGCTACGCAAGGCAGGTTGAACTTCCTAGCCGTCCCAGGTAAAGCAGGAAGCTGGTCAGCTCGCACAAACGACGTCAATCAATGGATACAAATAAAGTTTCCCGGATACACAAAGATAACTCAGTTCGCCACACAGGGAAGAAATGCATTCAATCAGTGGGTAACGCAGTACAAGTTAGAGTACAGCGAGGATGGTGTGACTTTTCATTATTACCATGAACCGGGCCAGAGTGCACCTAAGGTATTAGGGCTTGTTTATTACGTCATAGAAAAATGCACAAAATCACTTTAGAGCGGTGTATAAAAGTTATGAGAGGTGCGAGTCTGGGAAGGCGCTTAAGAAGTCCTATTGAGCCTGGAACGAGTCTCTGTCAAGCCTCGTCCTTGCGCCGTAGTACTCGTGGAGGCTACTAAATTGTATAAACAGCGAAACTCTATCAACCCAGTTTTTATTAGTCTACCAAAACGTTTAAAAATCGAAATAAACTTGTTATTCTTTGAAACAAAAATTTGCCAGTGATTTCGATCACTGTAAATGATCTAGTGGAAATATTTTGGAAATCCTTTTTATCCTGTTTCCATCTCGCTTTCCATTTCTTGCAAATAGGTTAAAACACGGCACCAATGTCTTAAGAAGGTGATCGTTTGCAACTCCTCTAGAATAAAACCATTTTTATCCTCAGCCGCCATCGCACTAAGAGTGGAGAGAAGAAAGGAAAATATCGACTCGGGAACAATTATTCTTTGAGCTAATATCATAAAAAATGAACGGCAGTCAAAACAGATCATTGATTGCTAACCTCGATATTTGCCTTTGTTTTAGGAATTTGTTGGTAATACAGACAGTAACACTATTGTGACCCATGAGTTGTTTCCTCCCATCCAAGCACACTATATAAGGCTTCGTCCTTCTACGTGGGTTAATCATATATCATTGAGAATGGAAGTCTACGGATGTCGAGGTAATGTTGTGACCACGATTAAAAGTATTGCTTGTTGCGTCTCATTTATGAAAGACTTTTTTATCTAACTGCAAAATTGGAAAAAAACCTTTAAATTTCTATGCTCACTTCCTTTAGGTTGTTACTCAGAGTCGTCATATCATAAAAACCTTTTCTCATTTCATTTTAAATCACGACAGCATGCGTTCAAGCACTTGGTATGGAAAACGGTGACATCAAAGATGCTCAGATAACCGCTTCTTCAGAATTTGATGGAAATCATGCTGCTACGCAAGGCAGGTTGAACTTCCTAGCCGTCCCAGGTAAAGCAGGAAGCTGGTCAGCTCGCACAAATGACGTCAATCAATGGATACAAGTTAAACTTCCCGGATACACAAAGATAACCAGGTTTGCAACGCAAGGAAGAAATGCATTCAATCAGTGGGTAAAGCAGTACAAGTTAGAGTACAGCGAGGACGGTGTGTCTTTTCATTATTACCATGAACCGGGCCAGAGTGCAGCTAAGGTACTAAGACGTTTACAACGTTATAATAATACAAACAACCTCTTCGGCGACGCACTAAAATTGGTAATACACATTCTGGGAGCCACACGGAGGCAACAAGGGGCTTCTTTAAAGTGTTTTTCCAAAGTGTTAGTCCTCGTGATGTCTACTTAAATGTAAACAAAGCGAGATTCTACCGAATCTATAAGTCCTTTCAAAAAACACAAACTTACAAACTAACGTTTTCAAACGGATATGCCCCTTAAAATGGGCAGTAATTTGGCATTTTGAGACTATTTCCTGAGTATATAACTTGTGTAATAATGGTTATCTTTACTGTGTTGGAACTTATCCCTGATTCGTTTCCTTCTTCAGTAATCATATTCTTGTAAGGGTATGTAAGCACGGTACCTCTTTCTTAATTAAGAGGATGATCTTTGATAAATCCCATGTACCAACCCCTAGTGGGGACGAAACTTAAAGAGAGGAGAACCAAAAAAATGCGATTGGAGATAGTCTTCGTAATAACATCTTGCGACCAGGCAGGGAGCTGATATTTGTATTTTAGGTGTTAATCGATTTACTTGCTCCATTTTTTCTTTGTTCATAGATATTTCATGGAAACACGGATAGTAACACTATTGTGACCCATGAATTGCTTCCTCCCATCCAAGCACTTTACATCAGGCTTCGTCCTACTGCTTGGTTCAATCATATATCAATGAGAATGGAGATCTACGGATGTCCAGGTAAAATTTTGATCACGCATAGAGGCTCTACTCCATATATATTTTCCATTCATGAGGAACTCTACCGTAACAGTGTGAAATTATTTTAAGTTCTTTTCTTTATTTTTTAGCCTTTATTAGTGTTCTTACAACAAAGCTCTCGTCTCTTTTTATTTTTAATTATTACAGCATGCGCTAAACCACTTGGTATGGAGAGCGGCGCCATCTTGGATGCACAGATTACTGCATCTTCAGAATTTAATGGAAATCATGCTGCTACGCAAGGCAGGTTGAACTTCCTAGCGGTCCCAGGTAAAGCAGGAAGCTGGTCATCTCGCACAAATGACGTCAATCAATGGATACAAGTAAAACTTCCCGGATACACAAGGATAACCAGGTTTGCGACACAAGGAAGAAATGCATTTAACCAATGGGTAACGCAGTACAAGTTAGAGTACAGCGAGGACGGTGTGACTTTTCATTATTACCATGAACTAGGCCAGAGTGGAGCTAAGGTACTATGACATGTTTACAACGTTATAAAAGTGCAAACAACCTTTACAGCGACGCGCAAAAATTGATAATATAGGCTTTAGAAGCCACACGAAGGCAACAAGGGGCATTCCTGAAGCGTTTTCCCAACACGTCAGTCCTCGTGATGTCTATTTAAATGCGAACAAGGGCAGATTTTACCGAATCTCTCTGTCCTTTAACAAAACACAACCTTACAAACTAAAGTTTTGAAACGGATATACCCCTTAAAAGTAAGCAGTGATTTTAACATTTTAAGATTATTTACTGGGCATATAACTTGTATTATAATACTCTTAACCGTGTTGGAACTTATCTTAGACATGTTTTCATCTCCAGTAATCATATTCTTTCAAGGACATGAAAGCACGCGACCACTTTCTTAATGAAAAGATTATTTTTCATAAATCCCATGCAACAAACCCAGGTGGGGGACTAAACTAAAGGAGAAGAGAACAAAAGAAAATGTGATTGGAAGTAGTCTTGGTAATAACATTTTGCGACCAGTGCAGAGAGTTGATGTTTGCGTCTTAGGTGTAAATCGATTTACTTGCTCCATTTTTTCTTTATTCATAGATATTTCATGGAAACACGGATAGTAACACTATTGTGACCCATGAATTGCTTCCTCCCATCCAAGCACTTTACATCAGGCTTCGTCCTACTGCTTGGTTCAATCATATATCAATGAGGATGGAGATCTACGGATGTCCAGGTAACGTTTTGATCACGCATAGAGGCTCTACTCTATTTATATTTTCCATTTATAAGGAGTTTTAACTAAACCGAGTGAAATTCTTAAGTTATTTTCTTTAATTTTAAGCATTAATGAGTGATCTTATCACAAAGCTCTCGTCTCTTTTTATTTTCAATATTACAGCGTGCACAAAACCACTTGGTATGGAGAGCGGCAGCATTTTGGATGCACAGATTACTGCATCCTCAGAATTTAATGGAAATCATGCTGCTACGCAAGGCAGGTTGAACTTCCTAGCCGTCCCAGGTAAAGCAGGAAGCTGGTCAGCACGCACAAATGACATCAATCAATGGATACAAGTAAAACTTCCCGGATACACAAAGATAACTCAGTTCGCCACACAGGGAAGAAATGCATTCAACCAGTGGGTAACGAAGTACAAGTTAGAGTACAGCGAGGACGGTGTGACGTTTCATTATTACCATGAACCAGGCCAGAGTGTAGCTAAGGTACTATGATATGCTTACAACGTTATAAAAATACAAACAACCTTTACAGTGACGCACTAAAACTGATAATATACACTCTAGAAGCCACGCGGAGGCAACGAGAAGCTTCTTTAAAGCATTTTCCTTACACGTAAGTCATCGTGATGACTACTTAAATGTGAACAAAGCGAGATTTTAATGAATTTATTTGTCCTTTCAAAAAAAATAAAACTTACAAACTAAAGTTTTCAAACGGATATACCCCTTAAAAGTGGGCAGTGATTATGACATTAAGAGATTATTAACTGAGCATATAACTTGTATAATAATATTCTTAACTGTGTTGGAACTTATCTGTGATTCGTTTCCATCTTCAGTAATCATATTCTTGCAAGGGCATTTAAGCACGCGACTTTTTTCTTAATTAAGAGAGTTGTCTTTCATTAATCCCATGCAACAACCCCAGGTGGGAGACTAAACTCAAAGAGAGGAGAACAAAAGAAAATGTGATTGGAGATAATCTTGGCAATAACCTTTTGCGACCAGTGCAGAGAGCTGATATTTGTATCTTAGGTGTTAATCGATTTAGTTGCTCAATTCTTTCTTTATTCATAGATCTTTCATGGAAACACGGATAGTAACACTATTGTGACCCATGAATTGCTTCCTCCCATCCAAGCACTGTACATCAGGCTTCGTCCTACTGCTTGGTTCAATCATATATCAATGAGGATGGAGATCTACGGATGTCCAGGTAATGTTTTGATCACGCATAGAGGCTCTACTCTATATATATTTTCCATTCATGAGGAACTTTAACTTAAACAGAGTGAAATTCTCAAGTTATTTTCTTTAGTTTTTAGCATTAATCAGTGTTCTTATTACAAAGCTCTCGTTTCTTTTCGTTTTGAATTATTACAGCGTGCGCTAAACCACTTGGTATGGAGAGCGGCGCCATCTTGGATGCACAGATTACTGCATCCTCAGAATTTAATGGAAATCATGCTGCTAAGCAAGGCAGGTTGAACTTCCTAGCCGTCCCAGGTAAAGCAGGAAGCTGGTCAGCTCGCACAAACGACGTCAATCAATGGATAGAAGTAAAACTTCCCGGATACAAAGGATAACCAGGTTTGCAACGCAAGGAAGAAATGCATTCAACCAGTGGGTAACGAAGTACAAGTTAGAGTACAGCGAGGACGGTGTAACTTTTCATTATTACCATGAACCAGGCCAGAGTGCTGCTAAGGTACTATTACATGCTTACAAGGTTATAAAAATACAAACAACCTTTACAACGACGCGCAAAAATTGATAATATAGGCTCTAGAAGCCATATGGAGGCAACAAGGGGCTTTCCAGAAGCGTTTTCCCAACGCGTCAGTCATCGTGATAACTACTTAAATGCGAACAAGGGCAGATTTTTTACTGAATCTCTTGTCCTTTAACATAACACAACCTTACAAAGTAACGTTTTGAAACGGATATACCCCTTAAAAGTAAGCAGTGATTTTAACATTTTAAGATTATTTACTGGGCATATAACTTGTATTGTAATACCCTTAACTGTGTTGGAACTTATCTTAGACATGTTTTCATCTCCAGTAATCATATTCTTTCAAGGGCATGTAGGCACGCGACCACTTTCTTAATTAAAAGATTATTTTCATAAATCTCACGCAACAGCCCCAGGTGGGGGCTAGACTCAAAGAGAGGTGAACAAAAAAAGGTGCGACTGGAGATTGTCTTGGTAATAACATTTTGCGACCAGTGCTGAGCGTTGATATTTGCATCTTAGGTGTTAATCGATTTACTTGCTCCATTTTTTCTTTATTCATAGATATTTCATGGAAACACGGATAGTAACACTATTGTGACCCATGAATTGCTTCCTCCCATCCAAGCACTTTACATCCGGCTTCGTCCTACTGCTTGGTTCAATCATATATCAATGAGGATGGAGATCTACGGATGTCCAGGTAATATTTTGATCACGCACAAAGGTTTAACTCCTTATATATTTTCTATTTATGAGGAGCTTTTATTAAACAGAGTGAAATTCTAAAGTTATTTTCTTTAATTTTTAGCATTAATCAGTGTTCTTATTACAAAGCTTTCGTCTCTTTTTATTTTGAATTATTACAGCATGCGCTAAACCACTTGGTATGGAGAGTGGCGCCATCTTGGATGCACAGATTACTGCATCCTCAGAATTTAATGGAAATCATGCTGCTACGCAAGGCAGGTTGAACTTCCTAGCCGTCCCAGGTAAAGCAGGAAGCTGGTCATCTCGCACAAATGACGTCAATCAATGGATACAAGTAAAACTTCCCGGATACACAAAGATAACTCAGTTCGCCACACAGGGAAGAAATGCATTCAACCAGTGGGTAACGAAGTACAAGTTAGAGTACAGCGAGGACGGTGTGACGTTTCATTATTACCATGAACCAGGCCAGAGTGCAGCTAAGGTACTTTGACACGGTTACAACGTTAAAAAAGTATAAACAACCTTTACCGCGATGCCCTAAAATTGATAATATACGCTCTAGAAGCCATGTGGAGGCAGCGAGGGTCTTCTTAAAATTGTTTTTCCCGACGCGTCAGTCTTCGCGATGTCTACTTAAATTTGAACAAATCAAAATTTTACTGAATTTATTTGTCCTTTCAAAAAAAAAAAACTTACGAACTAACGTATTGAAACGGATATACCCCTTAAAAGTGGGCAGTGATTTTGACAATTTGGAGATTGTTTACTGAGGATATAACATGTATCATAATAGTCTTACCTGTGTTGGAACTTATCTGAATTCGTTTCCATCTTCAGTAATCATATTCTTGAAAGGCATTTAGGCACGCGACTTCTTTCTTAATTAACAGGGTTATTTTTTATTTATCCCATGCAACAACCCCTGGTGGGGACTAAACTCAAAGAGAGGAGAACAAAAGAAAATGTGATTGGAGATAATCTTGGAAATAACATTTTGCGACCAGTGCAGAGAGTTGATATTTGTGTTTTAGGTGTTAATGGATTAACTCGCTGGATTTTTTCTTTATTCAAAGATATTTCATGGAAACACGGATAGTAACACTATTGTGACCCATGAATTGCTTCCTCCCATCCAAGCACTATACATCAGGCTTCGTCCTACTGCTTGGTTCAATCATATATCGATGAGGATGGAGATCTACGGATGTCCAGGTAATATTTTGATCACACATAGAGGCTCTACTCTATAAATTTTCCACTTAGAAGGCGATTTAACTAAACAAATTGAAATTCTTAAGTTATTTTTTTTCACTTTTAACGTAAATCAGTGTTCTTATTACAAAGCTCTCGTCTCCTTTTATTTTGAATTATTACAGCATGCGCTAAACCACTTGGTATGGAGAGTGGCGCCATCTTGGATGCACAGATTACTGCTTCTTCAGAATTTAATGGAAATCATGCTGCTAAGCAAGGCAGGTTGAACTTCCTAGCGGTCCCAGGTAAAGCAGGAAGTTGGTCAGCTCGCACAAATGACGTCAATCAATGGATACAAGTAAAACTTCCCGGATACACAAGGATAACCAGGTTTGCGACGCAAGGAAGAAATGCATTCAACCAGTGGGTAACGCAGTACAAGTTAGAGTACAGCGAGGACGGTGTGACGTTTCATTATTACCATGAACCAGGCCAGAGCGCAGCTAAGGTACTAGGACATATTTACCAGGTTATAAAAATACAAACAAACTTTACAGCGACGCACCAAAATTGATAATATAGGCTCTAGAAGCCATGCGGAGGCAACTAGGAGCTTCCTTAAAGCATTTTCCCAACGCGTCAGTCCTCGTGATGTCTACTTAAATGTGAACAAAGCGAAATTTTATCGAATCATGTGTCCTTTCAAAAGACACAAACTTACTAACTAACGTTTTGAAACGGATATACCCCTTAAAAGTGAACAGTAATCTTGATATTTGCAGATTATTTACTGAGAATATTTCTTATATGATAATTATCTTAACTGTGTTAGAGCTTATTTCCGATTCGTTTCCATTCCTAGTAGTTATATTCTTGCAAGGGCATGTGAGCACGCGACCTCTTTCTTAATTTAGAGGGTGATTTTGCATAAATCCCATGCAACAACCTCAGGTGGGGGCTAAACTCAAAGAGAGGAGAACAAAAGAAATGTTATTGGAGATAATCTTGGTAATAACATTTTGCGAGCAGTGAAGAGAGTTGATATTTTCGTCTTAGGTGTTAATCGATTAACTCGCTAGATTTTTTCTTTATTTAAAGATATTTCGTGGAAACAGGGATAGTAACACCATTGTGACCCATGAATTGCTTCCTCCCATCCAAGCACTGTACATCAGGCTTCGTCCTACTTCTTGGTTCAATCATATATCAATGAGGATGGAGATCTTTGGATGTCCAGGTAAAATTTTGATCACGCATAGAGGCTCTACTCTCAATATATTTTCCATTTAGGAGGCGCTTTAACTAAATAGAGTGAAATTCTTAAGATATTTTCTTTAATTTTCAGTAGAAATCATTGTTCTTATTACAAAGCTTTGGTCTTCTTTTATTTTAAATTATTACAGCATGCGCTAAACCACTTGGTATGGAGAGTGGCGCCATCTTGGATGCACAGATTACTGCATCCTCAGAATTTAATGGAAATCATGCTGCTACGCAAGGCAGGTTGAACTTCTTAGCCGTCCTAGGTAAAGCAGGAAGCTGGTCATCTCGCACAAATGACGTCAATCAATGGATACAAGTAAAACTTCCCGGATATACAAAGATAACCCGGTTCGCGACGCAAGGAAGAAATGCATTCAACCAGTGGGTAACGAAGTACAAGTTAGAGTACAGCGAGGACGGTGTGACGTTTCATTATTACCATGAACCAGGCCAGAGTGCAGCTAAGGTACTATTACATGTTTACAAGGTTATAAAAATACAAACAACCTTTCAAGCGACGCACCAAAATTCATAATACACGCTCTAGAAGCCACGCGGAGGCAACGAGGGGCATCTTTAAAGTGTTTACCAAACGCGTCAGTCCTTGTGATGTCTACTTAAATGTGAACAATGGCAGTTTTTACTGAATCCCTCTGTCCCTTAACAAAACACAAACTTACAAAGTAACGTTTTGAAACGGATATACCACCTAAAAGTAAGCAGTAATTTTGACACTTGGAGATTATTTCCTGAGTACCTAACTTGTATAATAATAATTATAATAATAATAATAATAATCTTAACTGTGTTGGAACTTATCTCTGATTCGTTTCCAACTTCAGTAATCATATTCTTGCAAGGACATGTAAGTACGCGACCTCTTCCTTAATTAAGAGGGTGATCTTTCATAAATCCCATGCAACAACCTCTGGTGAGGGCTAAACTCAAAGAGAGGTGAACAAAAGAAAATGTAATTGGAGATTGTCCTGGTAATAACATTTTGCAGCCAGTGCAAAGAGTTGATATTTATGTCTTAGGTGTTTATCGATTTACTTCCTCGATTTTTTCTCTATTTATAGATATTTCATGGAAACACGGATAGTAACACTATTGTGACCCATGAATTGCTTCCTCCCATCCAAGCACTGTACATCAGGCTTCGTCCTACTGCTTGGTTCAATCATATATCAATGAGGATGGAGATCTACGGATGTCCAGGTAATATTTTGATCACGCACAAAGGTTTAACTCCTTATATATTTTCTATTCATGAGGAGCTTTTATTAAACAGAGTGAAATTCTAAAGTTATTTTCTTTAACTTTCAGCGTAAATCAGTGTTCTTATTACAAAGCTCTCGTCTCTTTTTACTTTGAATTATTACAGCATGCGCTAAACCACTTGGTATGGAGAGTGGCGCCATCTTGGATTCACAGATTACTGCATCCTCAGAATTTAATGGAAATCATGCTGCTACGCAAGGCAGGTTGAACTTCCTAGCCGTCCCAGGTAAAGCAGGAAGCTGGTCAGCTCGCACAAATGACGTCAATCAATGGATACAAGTAAAACTTCCCGGATACACAAAGATAACTCAGTTCGCCACACAGGGAAGAAATGCATTCAACCAGTGGGTAACGAAGTACAAGTTAGAGTACAGCGAGGACGGTGTGACGTTTCATTATTACCATGAACCAGGCCAGAGTGCAGCTAAGGTACTTTGACACGGTTACAACGTTAAAAAAGTATAAACAACCTTTACCGCGATGCCCTAAAATTGATAATATACGCTCTAGAAGCCATGTGGAGGCAGCGAGGGGCTTCTGTAAAGCGTTTTCCCGACGCGTCAGTCTTCGCGATGTCTACTTAAATTTGAACAAATCAAAATTTTACCGAATCCCTCTGTCCTTTCACAAAACAAACTTACTAACTAAAGTTTAGAAACGGATATACCCCTTAAAAGTTGGCAGGGATTTTGACAATTGGAGATTGTTTACTGAGGATATAACATGTATCATAATAGTCTTACCTGTGTTGGAACTTATCTCCTATTCGTCTACTTAAATTTGAACAAATCAAAATTTTACCGAATCCCTCTGTCCTTTCACAAAACAAACTTACTAACTAACGTTTAGAAACGGATATACCCCTTAAAAGTTGGCAGGGATTTTGACAATTGGAGATTGTTTACTGAGGATATAACATGTATCATATTAGTCTTACCTGTGTTGGAACTTATCTCCTATTCGTTTCCATCTTCAGTAATCATATTCTTGGAAAGGCATGTAGGCACGCGACCGCTTTCTTAATTAACAGGGTTATTTTTTATTAATCCCATGCAACAACCCCTGGTGGGGACTAAACTCAAAGAGAGGAGAACAAAAGAAAATGTGATTGGAGATAATCTTGGTAATAACATTTTGCGACCAGTGCAGAGAGTTGATATTTGTGTTTTAGGTGTTAATGGATTAACTCGCTGGATTTTTTCTTTATTCAAAGATATTTCATGGAAACACGGATAGTAACACTATTGTGACCCATGAATTGCTTCCTCCCATCCAAGCACTGTACATCAGGCTTCGTCCTACTGCTTGGTTCAATCATATATCGATGAGGATGGAGATCTACGGATGTCCAGGTAATATTTTGATCACGCATAGAGGCTCTACTCTCTATAAATTTTCCATTAAGAAGGAGATTTAACTAAACAGATTGAAATTCTTAAGTTATTTTCTTTAACTTTCAGCGTAAATCAGTGTTCTTATTACAAAGCTTTCGTCTCTTTTTATTTTGAATTATTACAGCATGCGCTAAACCACTTGGTATGGAGAGTGGCGCTATCTTGGATGCACAGATTACTGCATCCTCAGAATTTAATGGAAATCATGCTGCTACGCAAGGCAGGTTGAACTTCCTAGCGGTCCCAGGTAAAGCAGGAAGCTGGTCAGCTCGCACAAATGACGTCAATCAATGGATACAAGTAAAACTTCCCGGATACACAAAAATAACCCGGTTTGCGACGCAAGGAAGAAATGCATTCAACCAGTGGGTAACGAAGTACAAGTTAGAGTACAGCGAGGACGGTGTGACTTTTCATTATTACCATGAAGCAGGCCAGAGCGCAGCTAAGGTACTATGACATTCTTACAACGTCATAAAAATACAGACAACCTTTAGATCGACTCACTAAAATCAATAACATGCACTCTAGAAGCCACGCGGAGGTAACGAGAGGCTTCTTTAAAGCGTTTTACTAACGCGTCAGTCCTCATGATGTCTACTGAAATGTGAACAAAGTAAGATTCTACTGAATCTATGTGTCCTTTCAAAAAACACAAACTTACTAAGAGAGGAGAACAAAAGAAAATGTTATTGGAGATAATCTTGGTAATAACATTTTGCGACCGGTGAAGAGAGTTGATATTTTCGTCTAAGGTGTTAATCGATTAACTCGCTGGATTTTTTCTTTATTTAAAGATATTTCGTGGAAACACGGATAGTAACACTATTGTGACCCATGAATTGCTTCCTCCCATCCAAGCACTGTACATCAGGCTTCGTCCTACTTCTTGGTTCAATCATATATCAATGAGGATGGAGATCTACGGATGTCCAGGTAAAATTTTGATCACGCATAGGGGCCTTACTCTCAATATATTTTCCATATAGGAGGAGCTTTAACTAAATAGAGTGAAATTCTTAAGATATTTTTTAAATTTTCAACATAAATGGGTGTTCTTATTACAAAGCTTTCGTCTCCATTTATTTTGAATTATTACAGCATGCACTAAACCACTTGGTATGGAGAGTGGCGCCATCTTGGATGCGCAGATTACTGCATCCTCAGAATTTGATGGAAATCATGCTGCTACGCAAGGCAGGTTGAACTTCCTAGCGGTCCCAGGCAAAGCAGGAAGCTGGTCAGCTCGCACAAATGACGCCAATCAATGGATACAAGTAAAACTTCCCGGATATACAAAGATAACCCGGTTTGCGACGCAAGGAAGAAATGCATTCAACCAGTGGGTAACGAAGTACAAGTTAGAGTACAGCGAGGACGGTGTGACGTTTCATTATTACCATGAACCAGGCCAGAGTGTAGCTAAGGTACTATAACATGTTTACAAACTTTACAGCAGCGACTTACTAAATCAATAATATGCGCTCTAGAAGCCACGCGGAGGCAACGAGAGGCTTCTTTAAAGCGTTTTACTAACGCGTCAGTCCTCGTGATGTCTACTTAAATGTGAACAAAGCGAGATTTTACCGAATCCCTCTGTCCTTTCAAAAAACACAAACTTACAAAGTAACGTTTTGAGACGGATATACCGCTTAAAAGTTGGCAGGGATTTTGACATTTGCAGATTATTTACTGAGAATATTTCTTATATGATAATTATCTTAACTGTGTTAGAGCTTATTTCCGATTCGTTTCCATTCCTAGTAGTTATATTCTTGCAAGGGCATGTGAGCACGCGACCTATTTCTTAATTAAGAGGGTGATCTTTCACAAATCCCATCCAACAACCCCTGGTGAGGACTAAACTCAAAGAGAGGAGAACAAAAGAAAATGTGATTGGAGATAATCTTGGTAATAACATTTTGCGACCAGTGCAGAGAGTTGATATTTTTGTTTTAGGTGTTAATGGATTAACTCGCTGGATTTTTTCTTTATTCAAAGATATTTCATGGAAACACGGATAGTAACACTATTGTGACCCATGAATTGCTTCCTCCCATCCAAGTACTCTACATTAGGCTTCGTCCTACTGCTTGGTTCAATCATATATCAATGAGAATGGAGCTCTACGGTTGTGAAGGTACTTCAAGTTAAACCTTGTAACTCTAGTAATCTTTTTATCACTTGTACATTGTATACAGTAATTTTCAATTGAGTGACGTACGGAATTAAGAATTGCTCGGGTTTTTGCTTCCATGAAACGTCGCTGGTTGATTACTCCTGAAAACTTGTACGCTTACTCTGTTGATCAGATTTAAAACTGAAAAACCAATCGCGACCTACTTGCTCGTATCTTCCTGCGTTTGAAGCAGTTTGCTTGTTTTATTTTTAGTTCTCATAAGTTAATGGCTATGCCAAACTTAGCTCTGAGTGGCTGTTGCAATTAATTCGGTTTTAGATTTTCGTCACTCAGTTAAAAACTGTTTCGACCACTAAGATCAGTAACTCATTTACCCGAATTGGAAAAGCAAATTATAATGCTATAACATGACAAAGGCCGCAGCTAAAGCCATCTAATGAGAAAGTCTGTTCATCCCCTTGTCTGTTGGTTGAAGATAGCGTTAGTAGTAATGAAAAGTTACATTTTGAACGGTGCTTAAAATCGCTGCTATAAATCGAAGATGATCAAGTGAGACATCCTGCATGGGCCAGTTTTGCAGAGAAGACATGAAGACTGTGGTTCATCCATGCTTCCTTGTCAAAAGGATTATCTTCCCGCGCTAATAAACCTAATTTCGGTCGCCATGGAGTTTGGAGAAACTTAAAAAACTTTTGTTAATTGCCTTATTTTGTTTTATTCACAGCTTAAAAGCTCTTCATTTGGACGCTGACACAGACAATCTGCTCTGACAGCAGCCCCGTACTTGTCACCATATTTTTATGTATTAATTTCTACTCGCATCGATGGCAATGTATTTCATGGCAGCAATACAGTTTCTTAATAAAATGATGCTTTACCCCAGCATCTCATTTTTCACAGTTTTCTTGCAACTTTCATGAACGTGTCAGTTGTGTGGGAGGCGGACAAGATAATGATTCATAGCGTCATTTGTCAAGTGAAGTGTGTCAGAGGAGCCAAATCACTTACATTGGGCTCAAAGTTCCCAAAGCGCAAAATTATTGCAACTGTCAAGATAGAACTCCGTGAACATGCAACTATTGAAAAACCACACAACGATTAGACACATAAAAGACTGAGGATTTCTGTATCGGTGGAACGGAGGTTTAGAGTGCCGTCTAGGAAACACAGGAAGTTATTGCCTCCAAGGTAGAAAGGAGGTCGTACCAATCCTGCCATATGATTTTTCTGAATAGATGCTCAGTCATACTCATATTTTGTAAATGTTCGGATACGACGAGAAGGTGAAGCCTGATGGTTGAAGAAGTAATGCACTTGTCCTATTTTCAAGCCTTTTGCCAACAGAATTTATGCCTAGGATTTTTTCTCGGTTTTTCCGGCTTCATTACCTTCACTTCCCTTCGTACTAAGCGTACCTTAAGCTAATTCAAATTTGCGAAGAGAGTTTTATCGTCTATTTGCATAAATCGGCCATGAAAGCCCTTTTGGATTGTCATCAGTTCAGACGAAAATAAGGTTATGATAGTTTTTATTTATTTATTTAATTTTCAAGTAATTATTTTCGTGAGAAAGATCGATAAACTTAGCTCGCCGTCTGGTCACTGGAGTGTTTTATGTGAGGATTTCGAGCTGGGCTATGGCCAAGGTAACCATCTATTGCATTCAAAGTTAAGATTGACCGAGAAGCCATGCGAGTTCTTCATGTAAATTATGAAGTTTTACTTCATACGCTGTCGTTGTTTGGGCAATATCATGACATCTTAGGCAAAATAAAGCTTCACCCTTTGTGCCGTGACATCAGCATACACAATCTGCACACTTTTATCTGTAAAATTCCCTAAGTACTCATATGATGTACTGCCATATGACGAAATATTTTCAGGCCCTATTTTCACTACTACTTAAGTAGTGTTCATTACTGCGAAGATCGCTTTCACATTCATTTATAAGGAGGCTTTGTTTAACGATTAAGATATTCTTAAGCTTGCGACTTTTTTGCATAGTTGTTTCTTGTGATATTCGATTCAGCCGTGAATGTATAAGGAGAAATTAGATTGTAGTCGCTCTTAGGGCGTTAATGGGTAAATGTCTTCATCTCTATGGTAAAATAAAGATACCAATGAAACGGCCCGTTATTCCTGGGATCGTTTGCGACGCCGTCAATTTCGCTTCACAAGCGAAGTCAGATCGCTTAAATGCCAATTTGGGGCACTCCAGTAATAAACATATAATGACAAACTCTTAGACGAAATCGAAATAAAAACCTTTCCGAGTTAACACCTTTCGATTAAAATTTAAATTGGCGTTAGTTTTGGGCTACTTGAGCTTTTAAAAAAGAAGTACCTTCTTAACAACTAATTTGCAATTGTATCTTTCTGTGTTGCTTAGCGCCGGGTTGAAGTATTATCAACAGGAGTATGTTGATCGAATCAAAGTGCACGTGCATCGCGAAGAAATTTAGCTTGTGAGCCCAACTTTCCAGCTTCACACTAATTCTTGAAGATATGTATTTTTTTTTGCCATGGAACAAACAAGACTAGCTCAAAATGAAAACTTTCCAAGGATATTTCGTAAAACTTCAACTACTAACTATTTACATCATTCTATAGTTCACTGCTTAAGTGGCTGTCTCTACGATGTGCGCCACCATAATTGCCATAACCAGCAGATGAAATGACAATGAAACTGAACTAGTTCTAAATACTTTAGGTTTGCTCACAGACGAACAAAATAAAGGAATCGTACGTGTTAATCCTTAGCTATCCTACATTCTTACACGTTCTCATTGAAACACTCGACTAATTTTTCCTCTCTATTATTCCAGTTTCTAATCATAGATTTAATCAGGGAAACTATTATATTGTATTTAAAACAAAAGAAGTTTTAATTCAATGTTTATCGGGACATGAACCGTGTAAAACTCTACATTGAGGCAAGCAAAGCGGAAAAAGTCGCAGAGGTTATTCAGAATATTAACGACGAGTGTTAACAGTCAACAAGTTTGTCTGGTATTGCTGTTTATCTTTTGGATTTAAGATGAACTTGAAACAAGGAATACTACTCTATGTAATCTTCCCACTTTTGGCATTCTCAGCAAATGGAATTGAAGGTAGGATAAAATGAAAATATTGCTGATTATTAGGGCCGAAGCTAACATGGGGCAAGACGGGGCAATTGCCTTTTGACTTTTCTAAAGAAAAATTCCACGGAATTCGTGCCTTCGGCCTTCGGCGCCCGAAAGTTGCCTCGTCTTGTCCTGAAGTCTGGCTACGGGCCTGATTATTTATTTCCTCCTTGACATCTCTCAACAATGGACTCATTGCGCTGCAGACGAAGTCTGCATAATTACCTTCACATTTACAAAAAATGTGCTAATATGCAAGAAATCTCTTAAAAACTTCACACGAATACTGGTCTTCGAAAACACTTAATTCTCTACTGGAATCCTAGACGAGATCAATGATAGGCTGATAGCTCTTCTTTTTCGTTTCCTTCGTGGCCAAAATTAGCTGTAATCTACCACTCATTCATCAAGTTTGCGCTACTTTAATGCCGAGAAAGACAATACATTTCTGACTCATAGAGAGCACTCCTTAGTTCTCAATATTATCAGCGGAGGGCATGGTAAAAAATATCGAAGAATATGCACTCCAATTTTGAAGCAATACAGTAAATTGCTACCTTTTTTACTTGAAATGTTGACTTTATTAGGGTTCGCTTTAAATTGATAATGATAGTAGACTTCTTTCTTTCTTTCCTCAGTCCCCTGTCACCCTTCCCTCCACCGTCCCTCCTTCTTTAACTTCCCTTTACCTACACGTCCTCTATAACCTTAAGAAATTTTAATTTTAAATGACTCATTGGTCAAATATATGAGAAACAAGAGAGGGGGCTTTTCAATTGGCAGCTATGGCGTAAGTCTCAAGTAATAGTATGTTCTGCTTGACCCGGAAAATTCTGTTCAGTGACGTTTTAATCCGCCTTTAATCAACATGTTTTAAATATATGCTCGATATTTCTATAGCTTAATAAGAGAGCTTCGTTTCCTTCCGCAAACTCGGTCCAAAATATTTTTTAGCCGATAAACACTGAACTTTTCCAAATACCTTCGAGGATAGTAAAGCTATTAAATGGCCATTGCAGAAGCGTTCTTGGACTGATAGCTAATTAACAAAGTAAAGAGATTTTAAAGTGCACAAACCGTTAACTGTACTTATAACTTAAGGGTTCTCTGACGCAACTTATCCAAATTCCATAATTAACATGTTGTGTTTCAGTAAATAAAAAAGATTAACGATTGACTGATTTATTTGAACGTAAGCGCTCGAATGAGAATTTTTTCCTGTTCTGAACAAAATAAGGTCACTGTAATTTTAGAGGTCATTAAACGTAAAACCGCGGCATAGAGTATTAGCACCTGAGCCTTGGAGGCAAGTCTTTTTTTCCGCTTTTAAATAATAGCCATGAGGTGGGAGAGAGAGCCAGAGGAAAGGACACTTTTGTTTCTTTTTTCAGGCACTTTTGTAACACAAAGGGGCACTTCTGTAACGTGACAGGCACTTTTGTAACTGTGCAGGGCACATTATTATTTCATACATACTGAGCGAATGACTGAAAATACATCGTTCGTCCATTCGTAAACATGAACGATAGTACTTCACAGAGGAGGGCAACAAGCGTACGGCTTTCAGTAAGAAAAAATTTCAGTACTTATGAAATAAAAACATTACACCATGGAAAATGCTTGAACGATTTTTATTCACTTGTTGCCATGCATAAAAAAACTCACTCGTTCTCTGCGCTCACTCGTTCGTTTTTTGATGCATAGCAACTCGTGAATAAAAATCTTTCAATGCCAATTGTATCCCTCAGTGGTGCGTTTTCCTTTCCTTCATCGCTTTACGAGTACGTTTCGACAACTACCCGTCGTGCACACGTCATCCACGTGCACCGACACTAGAAAAATAAAGCAAGGACGCGGAGAATGGGCCAGAGTTACAACAGATTGCAGAAAAAGTAATCCTTTGTCACCTCTGTCCTCCATATGTGAGGGATAATTTGTACTTTGAAAGTTCTAAGTGCGCTTTGTAGTTAACGTTTGATTCTTTTGTTAGTTCTAAGCGCGCTCTGTAGTTTACGTTTGATTGTTTTGTTGGTTTTAAGCGCGCTTTGTCGTAAGTGTTTAATTGTTCTGTTAGTTCAAAGTGCGCTCCGTTGTTTACGTTTGTTTGTTTTGTTAGGCCTAAGCGTGCCCTGTAGTTTATGCTTGATTGTTTTGTTAGGTCTAAGCGCGCTCTGTAGTTTATGTTTGACCGTCTTGTTAGGTCAAAGTGCACTCTGTAGTTTACGTTTGATTGTTTTGTTAGGTCTAAGCGCGCTCTGTAGTTTATGTTTGATCGTCTTGTTAGGTCAAAGTGCACTCTGTAGTTTACGTTTGATTGTTTTGTTAGGTTTAAGCGCGCTCTGTATTTTATGTTTGACTGTCTTGTTAGGTCAAAGTGCACTCATTAGTTTATGTTTGACTGTCTTGTTAGGTCAAAGTGCACTCTGTAGCTTAAGTTTGATTGTTTTGTGAGGACTAAGCGCGCTCTGTAATTTACGTTTGATTGTCTTGTTAGTGATAGGGGCGTTCTGTAATTTATGTTTGATTGTCTTGTTAGGTCTAAGCGCGCTCAGTAGTTTTTACGTTTGATTATTTTGTTAGTTCTAAGCGCGCTCTGTAGTTTGTTTGACTGTCTTGATAGGTCTAAGCGCGCTTTGTAGTTTACATTGGATTGTTTTTTTAGTTCTAAGCGCGCTCTGCAGTTTATGTTTCACTGTCTTGTTAGGTCTTAGCGCGCTCTGTAATTTACGTTTGATTATTTTTTTAGTTCTAAGCGCGCTCTGTAGTTTATGTTTGACTGTCTTGTTAGGTCAAAGTGCGCTTTGTAGTTTACGTTTGATTTTTTTGTTGGGTCCAAGCGCGCTCTGTCGTTTATGTTTGATTGTCTTCTCAGTTCTCAGCGCGCTCTGTAGTTTATGTTTGATTGTTTAATTAGTTCTAAGCGCGCTTTGTAGTTTATGTTTGATTGATTTGTTAGTTCTAGGCACACTCTGTAGTTTACGTTTGATTGTTTCACTAGGTCTAAGCGCACTCAGTAGTTTACGTTTGATTGTTTTGTCAGTTTTTAAGCGCGCTCTATAGTTTACGTTTGATTGTTTCGTTAGTTCTTAGCGCGCTCAGAAGTTTACGTTTGGTTGTTTTGTTAGGTCTAAGCGTGAATAGAAACGAATTTTTTATTCTTTCATGAACACTATTTATGGAAGCTAGAAAACGCAACTGAGTAACCCAAATCTTTCGGCTGATGCCAGGTCAAGTCAGAGCGTCGGTCTACAAATAGCATAAAAAAGTACTGAGCTTAGTCAAATACAAAAACATACGTTGAGCTTTCTTGTGAAAGGGGGTGTTTTTTTTTTGTATTTAAATAGCAATTCCTATCAACAGAGTAACACGTGTCTCCAAAGATTGTTATATTTTCGATCAGTTGCAGGACATTTTGATGGCCGAATTGCATTTCCAATCTACCTTTTTTTTTCTTTTCTAAGTGAAGCAGAACTTGCCTTGCCTTAAAAGTCAATTGGGTGAATCAAGAACTTCACAAAACCTTTTATAGCATCAGGGTTATAAAGAACTGTTTAACTGAAAAGACTTCGACACAATTTCAAAGTTTGCCTTGTGAAAGGAAAAACATGCATCCTTCTCAATCAAATATAACGATTCTGAGCAATTCATCTAATAAGTGACTTCAACACAAATTAAAGATGTGTTGTGGCTTACTGATTTTCCTTTTTTTTTTTCCTTTATTTCTGGATGAAAAAATCCGGTCTTGAAGAACATACGCAGTTCGAAGATGAAAGCTGTTATTTAGGTCTTGTTCTTCACCAAATCATTTGATGTTTCATTAAAAAAGGTGCGCTTCTCTCACTGACGGAACATCTTGCTAAACAGGCACTTCCGTAACTTTGCATTCTTCATATACCAACCCCTACATGAAAGCTATTTTTTAATATAAAGATTTAACTCAAGATTCACTCAAAACTGTTTCACATATCAGTATGGTAATTAATTCGTTCTTTCTGTTTCTATACTAAGGTCATCTTGTCGTTTACTATCCTTTAAATGGAGAATTTAAAGCCAGAGAAATTGACAATAAGCAGCCAGCTGGAGTTTTAGGGCAGGTGGAGCTCACAACTGGACCCCATGGAGAAACCAATGGATCCTACCAGTTTTCAGGCAACCCAAACAGTTTCATAGAGTTCCCAAATGACGGAGGACTAGACACCCTACACTCTATAACGCTGATGTGCTGGGTTCAGCCCGGTGGTCGAGACGGACCGCTCTTTAACTACAAGAACTCCGGAGCTTGGGGAGTCCATATTTGGATAGTTAACGGCAAGTTCTTTAACAGGATCACCAAATACCCAAATCATGCGTTTTTCGATGCCATATTGACTGATCAGGTACTTCCAGTGGGACAGTGGGCCCATGTTGCGGCAACTTATGATCACATCACTGGAGTCAACTCTTTGTACGTCAATGGCCATTTGTCTAAAACAGAATACATCGGCACGACGGAGAGGATATCAACGAACGACGGGCAGGTTCGAATGGGCGTTAAGATTGGCGACTCCAGATACTTTAATGGCAAAATAGCTCAGTTGAAAGTTTATGACGATGCGTTAGATGAAGTCGATATAAAAGCTGCCATGAATGAAGGTAAGGTGCAGTTAAAAGAAAGTCACATATATTTCACGACATATTTCGTCCACTAAGTTTTTGATTAAAATATCTCTTACCTTCAAGTGATTTGAAGAGGAGGAGGGGTCAGTAAAGGTTAGCTTCATTCTGCCGGGTTCAGCATACAGAAACCAAATTTTTAGAAGTACATTAACATAGATTAAGACAGAGGGTAAGTTTCTAGCTCGGTAAAGAAATGGAAGAAGGTTTTTTTTTATCTTGTCACGAGCGAGGGACAAAGAAAAAATTCTGAGTCCCCATGAGAAATAAAACCTCATACCTTCGGATTCCGCACTCCGATGCTTTACCACTGAGCCACATAGACTCTACGGTGAGCAAGGCTTATTACTAAGTTCATATTGTGACACGCGTCCTGTATACCGTTAGAATCAACAATGTCAACAGCGTCATGTTTGTAAATCGACAAAGAAAGATGGTAACTTTTGAGCTCGGTAAAGAAATGGACAAGGATGTTTTTCACCTTGTCACGAGGGTGGAACAAAGAAAAATGATCCTAGCAGTATGTCCTACCACTGTGCACGGAGGTTTGGACTGTGGTTTCGGTTAGGAATTCCTTCCTTGCTAGAAAATGTGAGAATTTCTTGTTACAGAAGGGACCAAATAATTTTACTGCTACAACACGTGCTATGCGAAATCTCTCCTCTACCGGTTTGCGGGAAACAAGTATCAGTCTTCTTAGCAGGTGGATACTAATGTATCTCAGTTCTCTTACTGTTAAGACTATTGGCTCTCTTATTGCCAAAATAAGATTCAATTCTCTTACCTTTAAAACCACCGGTTTTTCATCTTTTATCGAAAAAAAAAACATAAATAGGGATTTGATATCAGTGATTGGTTTATATGACCTTTACTGAATCCATGTTAGCATAGCAAGCACATTTCTTTAAATCCTGTCCATAAAGAACTCGATTCTCACCCAAAACCATTTCACAGAACTAGTATGGTTATTAACTCGTGCTTCCTGTTGGTGTACTTAGGTGATCTTATCGCTTACTATCCTCTAAACGAGGAATTTAAAGCAAGAGAAATTGACGATAAGCAACCGGCTGGAGTTTTAGGGCAGGTGGAGCTCACAACCGGACCCCATGGAGAAACCAATGGATCCTACCAGTTTTCAGGCAACCCAAACAGTTTCATAGAGTTCCCAAATGACGGAGGACTGGACACCCTACACTCTATAACGCTGATGTGCTGGGTTCAGCCCGGTGGTCGAGACGGACCGCTCTTTAACTACAAGAACTCCGGTGCTTGGGGAGTCCATATTTGGATAGTTAACGGCAAGTTCTTTAACAGGATCACCAAATACCCAAATCATGCGTTTTTCGATGCCATATTGACTGATCAGGCACTTCCAGTGGGACAGTGGGCCCATGTTGCGGCAACTTATGATCACATCACTGGAGTCAACTCTTTGTACGTCAATGGCCATTTGTCTAAAACAAAATACATCGGCAAAACTGACAGGATATCGACCAACGACGGGCAAGTACGAATGGGCGTTAAGATTGGCGACTCCAGATACTTTAATGGCAAAATAGCTCAAATGAAAGTTTTTGACGTTGCTCTAGATGAGGCCGACATACAAGCTGCCATGAATGAAGGTAACGCACTTCAAAAGAAACATGCCTTTTTTAATTTGATGAAAAGTTTCGTCCACTAGCTTCCTGATTCAAATATTCAAGTTATTGTAGCGAAGTTGGGGTTTATGGAGGTCAGGGTCATTCTGCGACATTTTCCATATTTAAATATAATTTATTTTTATAGGACTACTAGCTTTCCAGTAACTGCCAAAAACAAATTCGATTCTGTTGCTCTTACGACCACTAACTCTTAATCTATTGCCAAAAAAGTATGATTCTTTTACCCCTAAAAATACTGGCTCTTCCCCTTTGCTAAAATGTAAAGAAATTTACCATGAGTGATTGTTTTAAAGGAACTCTACTGATTCTAAAATAACCCTGGAAAGTAGTTTGTTTCAGTCCTGTCACATTCCCTCAAAACTGTTCCGCATATCAGTACAGCAATTAATTCCTTTTTTGCTTTCGTGTTTTGAGGTCATCTTATCGCTTACTATCCTCTAAACGAGGAATTTAAAGCAAGAGAATTTGACAATAAGCAGCCAGCTGGAGTTTTAGGGCAGGTGGAGCTCACAACTGGACCCCATGGAGAAACCAATGGATCCTACCAGTTTTCAGGCAACCCAAACAGTTTCATAGAGTTCCCAAATGACGGAGGACTGGACACCCTGCACTCTATAACCCTGATGTGCTGGGTTCAGCCCGGTGGTCGAGACGGACCGCTCTTTAACTACAAGAACTCCGGTGCTTGGGGAGTCCATATTTGGATAGTTAACGGCAAGTTCTTTAACAGGATCACCAAATACCCAAATCATGCGTTTTTCGATGCCATATTGACTGATCAGGTACTTCCAGTGGGACAGTGGGCCCATGTTGCGGCAACTTATGATCACATCACTGGAGTCAACTCTTTGTACGTCAATGGCCATTTGTCTAAAACAAAATACATCGGCAAAACTGACAGAATATCAACGAACGACGGGCAAGTTCGAATGGGCGTTAAGATTGGCGACTCCAGACACTTCAATGGCAAAATAGCTCAGATGAAAGTTTATGACGTTGCTCTAAATGAAGTCGACATTAAAGCTGCGATGAATGAAGGTAACGCGCAGTTTAAGAAATATGTCTTCTATACTTCAAGACACATGTCGTTTGCTAACTTTTCGATGTAAACATATCTCACCCTCAAGTAATTTAAGGTCCATGATCTAAGTTCGTCTAATACCTAAATACGTTTATCATTCCACTACTTGATTCTTCTGTGAAACGATGTCTTGGGAAATACTCCGCGGTTTCTTCACTTGACAGTATATCAAATTAACAATGGGAATATGGACGGAAAGAGAAGAGAGCAAAGCGAAAATGGATACTCCGTGGTAAATGACTTTTCAAAAGAAGATCTCTTAAAAAGAAAAGACTAAAATTCCACTTCCAAGAACCCAGAATGGTAATTGATCTAAAAATTTGGACGCAAACATAATTTGTCGTCCCACATGAGAGGTTTTGTAGTTAACTCCAATTTACTTGGTGGCTCTTTAAGGTTTAGATCCCTGTTCAAGAGATCCCTGTGTCAACAATGGCACATGCGTGGATAATGGTGACAACACTTTTAAATGCATGTGCCCTCCCGGTGTCACTGGTGATCGCTGCCAAGTCCGTAAGAAAAATGGTAAGTACACTTTGCTACGTTGTTTGTTTGTTTGTTTGTTTTTTTCTAGTTATTCTTGAAAAAATACTGTTTAAGATAGGTGGTGACTCGATATCATCACATTTTAAGGGCTGGTTTTTTTTTTTATTTATTGATGAGTGTCTGGACGAACTCTTTAGAAGAAAAGACTAGAATGTCCACTTTACAGATGCTGAAACCCTGTCTTTATATAATAATTTGGATGGAGAAAAAATATGTCGTCGCAAATAAGAGATTTAATCTGCAGTCTTCTTCAGGATGTTTAAATTTAGATAATGGCGTGTTTACTCTTATCATACGTTTTTAAGGTGTGTACCCCTGCTTAGACTATCCCTATGCCAATATTATATATCGACAATATAATGTAAAATTGACAGGAATGTGCACTTCAATTTTTTGCGTTTCATTAGTAAATTCGGTGTCTCTGTTTATGACCAATCATTTTTCACCACTACATGTCCCTGAATTTCAGTGAAAGCGCCTCCAGGAGCTCGATATTCACTCAAAACCGTTCCACGTATCAGTATGGTGATTGATTCGTTCTTCCTATTTGTAAACTAAGGTCATCTTATTGCCTGCTATCCTCTAAATGGGGTATTTAAGGCAAGACAAACTGACAATAAGCAGCCAGCTGGAGTTTTAGGGCAGGTGGAGCTCACAACTGTTCTACGCGCTACTTCAACTATTCCATTACAACCAACTGTGCGATTACAGCTCTACAGAATGATTAGTGATAAATAAAGCAGCTAATGCACCAATCATGTTTGAGAAAATTGTAATGGCTATGATTAGTGTTTTAAGTTGCAGTCTTCTTCACGATGTTTAAATCGATTAATGTGATTAATGTTAACTTTTATCATACGTTTTTAAGGTTTGGACCCCTGCTTAGACTATACCTGTGCCAATATTATGGATCGACAATATACTGGAAAACTGACGGGAATGTGTACTTCAGTTTTCTGCGGTTCATTTAGTAAATTCGGTTTCTTAGTTTACGATCAATCTTTTTTCACCACCACAAGTTTCTAAATTTCAATGAAAGCGTCTCCAGCAGCTCAAGATTCACTTAAAAACGTTCCACATATCATGGTGGTAATTAATTCGTTCTTTCTGTTTGTACACTAAGATGATCTTATTGCTTACTATCCTCTAAATGGGGAATTTGAGGCAAGAGAAATTGACAATAAGCAGCCAGCTGGAGTTTTAGGGCAGGTGGAGCTCACAACTGGACCCCATGGAGAAACCAATGGATCCTACCAGTTTTCAGGCAACCCAAACAGTTTCATAGAGTTCCCAAATGACGGATGACTAGACACCCTGCATTCTATAACCCTGATGTGCTGGGTTCAGCCCGGTGGTCGAGACGGACCGCTCTTTAATTACAAGAACTCCGGAGCTTGGGGAGTCCATATTTGGATTGTTAACGGCAGGTTCTTCAACAGGATCACCAAATACCCAAATCATGCGTTTTTCGATGCCATATTGACTGATCAGGTACTTCCAGTGGGACAGTGGGCCCATGTTGCGGCAACTTATGATCACATCACTGGAGTCAACTCTTTGTACGTCAATGGCCATTTGTCTAAAACAAAATACATCGGCAAAACTGACAGGATATCAACGAACGACGGGCAGGTTCGAATGGGCGTTAAGATTGGCGACTCCAGATACTTTAATGGCAAAATAGCTCAAATGAAAGTTTTTGACGTTGCTCTAGATGAGGCCGACATTAAAGCTGCGATGAATGAAGGTAACGCGCAGTTTAAGAAATATATCTCTTGATATGAACGTTTAGATAGAAACAAATTTTTCCGTCGCACATGAAGGGTTTTGCAGTTTACTACAGAAAGTTTTACTTTCGTGGATGACCTTTTCACTTTTATTATTATTTCTAAGGTTTAGACCCCTGTTCAGAATATCCCTGTGCCAACGATGGCACTTGCGTTGATAAAGGAAACAATACCTTCGAATGCATATGTCCTCCCGGTGTCACTGGTGATCGCTGCCAAGTCCGTAAGTACCAAAGTAAGTGGGCTTGTTAAAGTTTGTTTGTTTGTTTTTTTTTTTAGTTTTTTTCGAAAGAATAATGTTTTAGATAGGTGGTGACTGGATATCATCATATTTTAAGATAAAGTCGACATTAAAGCTGCCATGAATGAAGGTAACGCGAAATTTAAGAAATATGTCTTTTATATTTCATGACATGTGCCGTCTGCTAACTCTTCGATTCTTACATCTCTTACCCTCAAGTTATTTAAGGCCTATGATCTAAGTTCGTCAACTAACTAAATACGTTTATTATTGCACTAATTCAAATGCTAAATGATGTAATGGGAAATACACCGCATAACCTTGTTTTAACAGTTTGTAAAATTAACAATGGGAAAATGAACGGACAAAGAAGAATGTTTAGTTTCGTGGGTGGCCTTTTAACTTTTATCCTTATTTCTAAGGTTTAGACCCCTGTTCAGAATATCCCTGTGCCAACGATGGCACTTGCGTTGATAATGGAAACAATACCTTCAAATGCATATGTCCTCCCGGTGTCACTGGTGATCGCTGCCAAGTGCATACCTACCAAAGTAAGTACACTTGTTTTGTTTTTTTCTTAGGTTTTCTACAAAGAATAATGTTTTAGATAGGTAGTGATTTGATATCATCATATTTTAAGGGCCGGTGTCTTTTAGATATTGATGATTGTCCAGACGAACTCTTTAGAAGAAAATACTAGATTTCTACTTCAAAGATGCTGAAACCCTGTCTTAACATAAAAATTTAGACGCAGATTAAATACTTCGTCGCACATCAGAGGTTTAATTCGTAGTCTACTTCAGGATTTTTTAATTTCGTTGATGGCCTGTTAACTTTTATCCTTCGCTATTAAGGTTTGGACCCTTGCTTAGATTATCCCTGTGGCAATATCATACATTGTAGATCGACAATATACTGTAAAATTTACGGGATTGTACACTTCAATTTTTGCGCTTAATTTAGGAAATTTGATCTCTGTTTACAACCAATCCTTTTTCACTACTACAAATCCCTAAATTTCAGTGAAAGCGCTCTCAGGAGCTCAAGATTCACTCAAAACCGTTCCACATATCAGTACGGTAATTAATTGGTTCTTTCTGTTTGTACTAAGGTGATCTTATCGCTTACCATCCTCTCAATGGGGAATTTAAGGCAAGAGAAATTGATGAGTGCCCAGACAAACTCTTTAAAAGGAAAAACTAAAGATTCCTCTTTCGAGAAACCCGAACCCTCCTTTCATATGAACAATTTGATAGAAACAAAACTTTTCATCTCACATGAAGGGTTTTGCAGTTTACCACAGAAGTGTTTACTTTCATCGGTGGCCTTTTAACTTTTATCCTTATTTCTAAGGTTTAGATCCCTGTTCAGAATATCCCTGTGCCAACGATGGCACATGCCTGGATAATGGAGACAACACCTTCAAATGCATATGTCCTCCCGGTGTCTCTGGTGATCGCTGTCAAGTCCGTGAGTATTTCATTTTATAAGCTTATCTGTTTTGTTTTGTTTTTAGTTTTTTTCTTTTCAAAAGATCCAGCTAAAGAGCTTTGTCTATCAGATATTGAGAGGTGTCTGGGCCATTTCTATGGAAGAGAAGACTCAGAATTCCATTCCCTAGAAGCTCAAACTCTCTATTGGGCGGCTTGACCTGGTGCTTAGGGCGCTGGACTTGTAATCTGGTGGTCCCAGCTTCAAGTCTTCTGCCCTGCCACTTACTGGATTACTTTTCGGTCGTCCCGAGTTCAACTCCTCGGCTGCGTTGTGTAAATAGCCAACTGGTCTGCCTCCTGCCAATTGGGATTTTCAAACGTTTTATGTTTGTAGTGTAACATTAACTCTGAAAAGCCCCAGGGACGAACCAATAAAGAATGTACACCGCACATCAAGGGTTTTGAAATTTACTAGAGAAACGTTTACTTTCATCGGTGGCCTTTTAACTTTTATCCTTATTTCTAAGGTTTAGACCCCTGTTCAGAATATCCCTGTGCCAACAATGGCACATGCGTGGATAATGGAAACAATATCTTCAAATGCATGTGTCCTCCCGGTGTCACTGGTGATCGCTGTCAAGTCCGTAAGTATTCCACCTGTTTAATTTTTTTGTTTTGTTTTTTTTTAGTTTTTCTTGAAAGAATAATGTTTAGATAGCTGGTGATGTATGATTATGATTTGGACGCAGATGAAATATTTCGTCGCGCATTAGAAGTTTAATTTGCAGTCTTCTCCAGGATGTTTAAATTTCGAAGATATCTTGTTGACTTTTATCATACGTTTTCAAGGTTGGGACCCCTGTTTAGACTATCCCTGTGCCAACAATGGCACATGCGTGAATAACAGAGACAATACCTTCAAATGCATATGTCCTTCCGGTGTCCCTGGTGATCGCTGTCAAGACCGTGAGTATTTTCCTTATTATAAATTCCACGCAGAAATAGTATTTGTAGCGTGACTGCGTTATCGTTTATCTGTTTTTCAAGAAAACACCTCTGGAAAGTTCTTAAACCTTCTGTTATTTTATTTGCCTGTTTTTTGACTGCAATTATCGTCTGCCTTTGCCACTGTTTTCGCTGAATGTCATGGCCTTTCCGTGCACGTGCAAGCCAGTTGGTACACAGCACTCTTTCGAGTTTCTTTACTTGGTGTCGGGCTCAAGTGTGTAGGTCTGGCTGAAAAGATATTTGCACGCGGCAAGTTGTCCAATACACCCAAACCGATACGATTCGTGAAAAGCAGTTTGCGAATCGTTCTACCGGAAGTCGATTCGCGGTTAATCGAAAATCTGATAAACCATCCCTCATTAGATGGAAACGCATACCGGAAGTCAATTTGCAAGACACTTGGAAAATATTTCGCAAGTAACTGTCAAGGGTTGTTGAAAATGTTGTCGAATCGACTCCATTCGACTTGTCTTAGTTTAAGTCGACTCGTCATACCACAAGTCGATTTGCAAGACACTTAGAAAATATTCCGCAAGTAACTACCAAGGGTCGTTGAAAATGTTGTCGAATCGACTCGAGTCAAACGACTCGTCTCAGTTACTTGTAACCATATTTTCATGCATTAATTTCTACTCGCATCGACAAACAATAAATTAATTGCAATTTTATTTCATGGTAACAGCACAGTTCTTAATGAAACGATGCTTCACCCCAGCATCTCATTTGTCACAGTTTTCTTGCAACTTTCATGAACGTTTCGATTGTGTGGGACACGGACAAGGTAATGCGTTAATCGATTCATAGCGTCATTTGTCAAGTGAAGTGTGTCAGAGGAGCCAAATCACTTGCATTGGGCTTTAAGTCCCCAAAGCGCAAAATTATTGTAACTGTCAGAATCGGCAATAAAAGCCCTTTTGGAATGTCGTCAGTTAAGATGATAATAAGGTTATGATAGGTTTTATTTATTTATTTAATTTTCAAGTAGTTATTTTTGTGAGAAAGATCGATAAACTTAGCTCGCCGTTAGGCGTAAGCAGCCGTAGAATATTTTGGTTACTGGAGGGTTTTCTGTGAGAATTTCGAGCTGGGCTATGGCCAGGGTGACCATCTATTGCTTTCAAAGTTAAGATCGACTGAGAGGCCATGCGAGTTCTTCATGTAAATTATGAAGTTTTACTTCATTCGCTGTCGTTGTTTGGGCAATATGATGACATCTTAGGCAAAATGAAGCTTCACCCTTTGTGCCGTGACATCAGCATACACAATCACCACACTTTTATCTGTAAAATTCTCCAAGTACTCATATGGTGTACTGAATTTTTTTAGGCCTTATTTTCACTACTGCTTAAGTAGTGTTCATTACTACGAAGATCGCTTTCCCTTTCATTTATGAGGAGGCTTTGTTTAACAATTAAGATATTCGTAAGTCTGCGACTTTTCCTCACTTTGGTTGACTGATTCTTGTGATATTTGATTCAGCTGTGAGAGTATAAGGAGAAATTAGATTGTAGTCGCTCTGGGTAAATGGCTTCATCTCTGTGGTAAATTAAAGAGAACAACAAAACTGCTCGTTATTCCTGGGATCGTTTGCGACGCCGTCAATTTTCGCTTCACAAGCGAAGTCAGATCGCTTAAAAGCCAATTTGGTGCACTCCAGTAATAAATATATAATAACAAAATCTTAGGCGAAATCGAAATAAAAACCCTTCTGAGTTAAAACCTTTCGATTGAACTCTAAATCGGCGTTAATTTTGAGCTCCTTGAGCTTTTAAAAAAGAAGCACCTCATTTACATCTAATTTGCAATTGCAATCTTTCTATGTTGCTTAGCGCCGGGTTGAAGTATTATCAACAGGAGTATGTTGATCGAATCAAAGAGCACGTACATCGCGAAGAAATTTAGCTTGTGAGCCTAACTTTCTAGTTTCACACTTATTCTTGAAGATGTGTATTTTTTTTTGCCATTGAACGAAAAAGACTAGCTCAAAATGAAAACTTTCCAAGGATATTTCGTAAAACTTCAACCACTAACTATTTACATCTGTAGTTAACTGCTTAAGTGGCTTTCTCTACGATGTGCACTACATAATTGCCGTAATCAGCCGATGAAATAACGATGAAACTGAACTAGTTCTAAACACGTTAGGTTTGCTCACAGAGGAACAAAATAAAGGAATCGTACGTGTTAATCCTTCATTTTAACACACTCTCATTAAAACGCTCGACTAACTTTTCCTCTCTATTATTCCAGTTTCTAATCACACATTTGATCAGGGAGACTATTATGTTGTATTTAAAACAAAACAAGTTTAAATCCAATGTTTATCGGGACATGAACCGTGTAAAACTCTACATTGAGGCGAACAATGCGGAAAAAGTCTATTCAGAATATTAACGACGAGTGTAAACAATAACAAGTTTGTCTGGTATTGCTGTTTAGTTTACCTTTTGGCTTCAAGATGAACTTGAAACTAGGAATACTACTCTCTGTAATCTTCCCACTTTTGGCATTCTCAGCAAATGGAATTGAATTCGAAGGTAATATAAAATGAAAGTATTGCTGATTATCAGGGCTGTGGCTAGCATGAGGCAAGACGAGGCAATTGCCTCGTCTTGATTTTGGCCCAAGATTGACTCCGTTTGTGAAGAAAAATTCCACGCAATTCGTGCCTTCGACCTTCGGCGCTCGAAACTTGCCTCGTCTTGTTCTGAAGTCTGGCTACGGCCCTGATAATTTGTCTCCTCCTTGACATCTCTCAGCAATGGACTCATTGCGCCGTAGACGAAGTCTACAAAATTACCTTCACATTTACGAAAAATGTGCTAATATGCGAGAAATCTCTTAAAACTTCACAAGAATACTGGTCTTCGAAAACGCTTAATTCTCGACTGGAATCCTAGTCGCGATCAATGATAGGCTGATAGCTCTTCTTTTTCATTTCCTTCGTGGCCGAAATCAGCTGTAATCTACCGCTCATTCATCAAGTTGCGCTACTTGAATGCCAAGGAAGACAATACATTTCTGATTCATAGAGAGCACTCCTTAGTTCTCAATATTATCAGCGGAGGGCATGGTAAAAAATATCGAAGAATGTGCACTCCAATTTTGAAACAATACAGTAACTTGTCATCTTTTTTTACTTGAAATGTTGAATTTATTAGGGTTCGCTTTGAGGTTCCTCCTTCTTTAACTTCCCTTCACCTACACGTCCTCCATAACCTTAAGAAATGTTAATTTTGAATGACTTATTAGTCAAATATTTTTATTTACTGTGAGGAACAAAAGACACGGCTTTTCAATTGGCAGCTATGGCTTAAGTCTCAAGCAATAGAATGTTCTACTTGACACGGAAAATTCGTTTCAGTGACGTTTTGTTCCGCTTTTAATTAACATGTTTTTATATATATGCTTAATAAGAGAGCTTCGTTTCGTTCCGCAAACTTGGCCCTCAAAATATTTGTCAGCCAATAAACACTGAAGTTTTCCAAATGGCTTCGGGGATAGTAAGGTTATAAAATGGCCCTTGCAGAAGCGTTCTTGGACTGATGGCTAATTAACATAGCAAAAAGGTAATAAAGTGCGCAAGCCGTTAACTGTAATTATAACTAAGGGTTCTCTGACGCGACTTATCTTGATTCTATAGCACTTTATGCTTTTTCCCCCTATCCAGCTTGCTAAGTAACTAAAATACTGGGCTGCATCTCCCGGGCTCGTTTACTGGGCACATAAAAATCAAACAAACACATTGATCTGGAGTAAAAATGGCTGAGGGCAAAGGCCCAAAGCCGGTTTAATCATTAATCAAAACTGAATCAATTATTACCCAAAATATTTGAATCTGGAAAAAATAGCTTGCCCAGTAAAGGTGAGGGCTGAAAAAAAAACGCTAACAAAATCAACTATTAACTTGAGCTAAAACAAAGACATGTGGCTGGAATAAGGGGAGGAGGTGGGGTACAAACAAACGTGTCACTTGTGAAGAAATCTGAAGTGAATGACTCTGTGAATTCTGTCACGAGTATTAGACTCCACAAAAGGTGGGGGGTCAATACATTGCAATACTCGCACCCCTTAACCAGGCCTGTCACGCATCTTGCATTGTCATGCAACGCTCTCTACACGTGACTAACATATATCAGCAAATTATCACAATAATAGAACATTAATAATCGGGGAAAACAAGCATAAAAATCCTATTCGCGAGCAAATATTTTCTTTGTGTTTCAGTAAATACAAAAGATTAACGATTGGCTAAGTTATTTGAACGTAAGTGCTAGAATGAGAATTTGTTCCTGTTCTAAACAAAAGAAGGTCACTGCAATTTTCAAGGTCATTAAACGCAAAACGGCGGCATAGAGTATTTAGCACCTGAGCCTTGGAGGCAAGTCTTTTCTTCTGTCGTTTATTACTTTGTAGATTTGCTAAAAACAGGAAATAGGGCTTTAGTGCGGAACAAAACATTCATTAGTCTATAATTTGACCGTTTATTAACATTATCGCACAGTTCACAATGATGAAACTGTAACAGGCGGGGAGATTTTAAAGTCACATGTCGCGTGCTTGTTGACGTACAAGTTCTCAGGTTAATTAAGGCCTGGGTCACCTTGCCTTTAAACCATATTTTTCACAAAATTGAGAATAACTTAGCTATTTTGCGAGGGATTTTTCTCATACTTGGCAGAAATGTGTATCACTATCATCTCTCTCGGACTGAATTGTGGTAGCGTAATATGATACTCTCAACAGCCAAAAACAGTTAATTTAGGCGCCAAATTCGTCGGTTGCTTTCTTGAGCAAATTCCCACCACTAAACATAAGGCAAATGAAAATGCAGTTATCGCTATGAATATTTGAGACGTTTTTCATTGTTTTCCCACTTGGAATGGCTGCCAAAAAAAAGAGAGATGTGCTAGGCAGATTAAATCAAGTTTTGTCTCTGCGAAGCTGCTTCCTCTATCATGGTTTTCGCCCGAAAACATCTTAGCCTTTACCTGGTTCCAACCGCTGTCAATGAAAGTAATCCTACAGGTTCCTATTTATTTGGAAAAAAGACAAATTAAAACTGTTTAAGAGGTGGGAATTTTGAAAACTCGCAGTCACGTATTCAACTTAGTGTCCGCCATTTTGACGCGCGAGTGTTCAGAAGCAATTAAACTTACCTAACAACTGCTTTGGGGGATTACTTTTGTAAATAAATTCATCTGCTTCCAAAGCATATTCAAAAGCCTAAATTTTGATAGACACCATAAGTATACACATCATGATATGATAGAGGATTTATCAAGCTAAATTTAATTTCAAAATTGAATGGTATATCCACAATGAAACTTTTTTCTATGCATTTGTTACAAAACATAGTACTTTTTTCTATGCATAAGTTACAAACATTGTAAAACGCTATTGAGCTCTAGAAATGAGCGCTATATTATAAATTCATGTTGCATTGTATTTGCAGCGAAGTCAATGAGCATGTTGAGAGCGGTGTTTAGAGGTCTTCGTAGGTTCAAAAGGGTTCTCTTTGGCTTTAAGATAGCGATATCATGCCATTTTTTGAGGAAATGAAGATAGCAAAGAAAATGTTATTACCTTCTTCTGATGTCTTCCTCTAAATTGTCGGATTCACCAGCGAAGATGGGAAAAACCAATGCAAAGCCGACACTTCAAAATGGCGGATGCCGTTCACGAACTACGCGATCTTGATTCCAAGTAACTATAGTTACTCGCGCAGTCCACGCGAATTCCGCGAACCTTAGTGGGGGGGCACTGGAGGCGAAAATCATTTTTGACCCAGGCCTTAATTAACCTGAGTTGCCGTGTGTAACAACTTTTGCAGACCGTGGATGACGGGAAACCCTGGCTCTCTCATTTGAAAAGAAATATCAAAAGCCCCATAAAATTCATTAACTGCGCCATATTTCCAGAAAAGAAGACTGGAAAATGTTTTTTCCACTTTCCACCATCAAGAAATTCCACGAAGAAGTACTATTTGTAGCGTGACTGCGTGATTGTTTATCTGTTTTTTCAAGGAAACACTTCAAGAAAGTTCTTAAACCTTCTGTTATTTTATTTGCCTATTTTTTGACTGCAATTATCGTCTGCATTTGCCATTGTTTTCGCTGAATGTAATGACCTTTGCGTGCACGTGCAAGCCACTTGGTACACAGCTCTCTTTCGAGTTTCTTTGCTTGATGTCGAACCCAGGTGTGTAGGTCTCGCTGAAAAGATATCTGCACGCTGCATGTTGTCCAATACACCCAAACCGCTACGATTCGTCAAAGGCAGTTTGCGAATCGTTCTGCCGGAAGTCGATTCGTGGTTAATCGAAAATCTGATAAACTATCCCTCATTAGATGGAAACGCATACCGGAAGTCAATTTGCAAGACACTTCGAAAATATTCCGCAAGTAACTACCAAGGGTCGTTGAAAATGTTGTCGAATCGACTCGATTCGACTCGAGTCGAACTACTCGTCTCAGTTGATGTCGACCCGTCATGCCGGAAGTTGATTTGCAAGACACTTAGAAAATATTCCGCGAGACGAACCTCAACATCGCCAAGCTCGGGAAATAAATATAACAAACTCTCTGTTTCACAGACAAAAGCGTCGTCGCCATCCAGCCTATTCCGCTTCCCACCGACAAATTCTTCTTTATCTCCGCAGGCATACTTCTTAACAACCGATGTGAGACCAAATAAGTTTAAAAAGCTCTTTCCTACAAAATGAAGGACTGTGAAAATACGAAAAAACCAACACGATCTTCGTAAAAGCCAGCCATATTGCTGTCAGGTCGCACGTCTCCAAAGTTGTCGTTTTCAAAAAAAAAAACCACTTAGAAACGAGGTAATCACATGCCGAATCCGTGCGAATCGTGTCGATTCGTCAACATTGAATACTCTAATTTAACGCTTAAGTATGTATTGTCTTCTTTTGCGAATCGACCTCCGGAGAGACGATCGACTTTACAAATGACGAGTCGTGTCGACCCGTACGAATCGTGTCGATTCGTCAACAGTTAATGCCCTTGTTTAACGCTTTAGGAAGGAAGAAGGTTAAATTTAATATTTATAATATTCTGACAATGGACTTCCGGCCGTTTCACGATTTAAGAACGTGGAAGGTTATGTTGTCATTTTCTCTTTTCATGCTACTTATTTTCACTCATTGCTCACGCCCCTTGACTTCCGGTACGTTAACACACGATTCGACCTCCGCTGTGTGGATTTGTCAACGACCGTAGACGAATCGTAGCGGTTTGGGTGTATTGAACATGTATGATTTTGCTGGAATTCTTTTGTCTGGAGAAAGAAACCAAAAGAGTAACTAAAAGATACCTTTTTTTCAGCCTGCAGCCCTCCTGGAGAGTCCATTAATGCTGCTAGTGGTCACATTTCCAGCCTCAATTTTCCCAACAACTATGACGCAAACAGGATTTGTACCTGGAATATCACGGTACCCGGTGGGAAAATCATCAAACTGACCTTCTTGAATTTTACCCTGGTAGCAGGTGAAAACGATGACTGTGCTGGAGCGGCAGCAAATAGTGCCCGAGTCTTCATTACAAACGTTGCCTCTCATGGAGGAAATCCTAATGATTTGAAGATCTGTGGTCAAAAGCTTCCCCCTCCTGTGTACTCTGAGGGAAATTTCATTCAAGTGAGATTTGAATCTCGCACCGGCCCTGTAAACAAAGGGTTCAATGCAACCTTTGAGGCGATAGATGGAGATTCACGTAAGAGCTTTAATTTTCTTCTATGGTAGTTTATTAACCGGAAGTATAGAAGTATATTGAGCATGTACCCCTATTAAACTGAGCGGGAATTTTTTCGAGTGATCATGCAAATAATAAAGTAAGTAATCTTTGAACAGCTATAGGCTGTAGAAAAAAAAAATGCATATAGTCAAGCCTTTTACTCCAACGCAAGCTGCTATATTTCACAATCGTTATATTGATTAAAGTAGGAAACCGCCAACATACGGAAAAGGAGTTGTAGGCGGTATTTGAAATCATTCAGTTGACCACAGTGGATTGTAAACCTCGTCAAAATTAGAACAGTTTCGGAGAAAATGAAGCTTCGTTAAGATTTTTCATTTAGTAAATTAAGTTTTTACAGTAAATAAGATGCATTTTACTAAAGCTGGCAGTCTTTTTTCAGTGTGCCCAACAGATGTGATCCTCGATGAAACATCAGGTTCTTTCTCCTCTCCCTTTCATCCAAGAAACTATCCATTCAACCAGACATGTAGCTGGAAGATTAAAGGGAAGCAAGGATACCATGTTGAGCTCTCATTACCAGACTATAATATTCAACGTTGTGGTGGCATTGCTTGCTCGTGTGATTATATGGAAGTCCAGAATAGCTTCAGTGATCAAGTGCCGCCTGGAAAACTATGTGGTACACCAAGGTTTATTCCTGTCATATTTTATTCACTGCACGAAAGCCTGAGGGTGGTGTTTGTGTCCGATGATACAAGCATGGATTTCGACGGATTTGAGGCAACTTACAGACTGTTGAACCACAGTCCTCCAAGTAAGTAGAGAGAACAACTTCGTGGGATCTAAGGGTTCGCTGAGAGAAGATGTTACATGCAATAAATTCACCCATACAAGAAATGATAAGGAGCTTAGTTAATAAGAGTGGGGGCTCTCTCTGTTATCAACTCAGGGTGAATGCGAACATCTGTGATGTATAGTGTAAGCGGTAACGTACTGGGAAGCCATGTTAACCTAAAAAATAAAGGTGGTAAGTTTCCAAAAAAAACTGTGGTGCTGCGTCGGTCGGAGAGTATAACAAGATAATTTGGTGAGTTGATAATGTGATGAGTTTCAAATATTCATATTCTTGCCTTGGGGCTACGTCCTTATAAATACCATATTGGAATGTATCAGCCTAAGGAGTATAGTTTTGAGCCGTTTTGGTCTGTATAGATTTTGACCATTGGTCGAATCAACAGTTATGTGATAAGCATTTTGACTAGATGTTATTTATCACCTATTGGAGAACAGAGGCATAAATGACTTCACCATTTACAACAATTTGCTTCGTCATGGTATCTGAAACAATTAGATTCCACGTTGCTGTCCGTCTGTTCAGGAAGAGATACCCGATGATGTCACACTGAGTTCATCAGTGACACTTGGCAGCGCCTCGCGTACCACTTTTTTGTTCTTACCACATTTTGACGGCATCTGTTAAAGAAACCATATATCTATCACCAATCCATGTTTATTCTGGCCTGTTCCAATCGTTCTAGTTAGTAAAACAGAGCGAAATAGCCAAGGGCACGATAGTAGCGGCGTAATGAAAAAGAGAATGGGGTTTGGGTCTGGTCGGGAAATGAAGAAGTTGATTTTACAACATGACCCACCCCTCCCTCGTTTTTTCAGTCCTCTGCTACTCTCGCGCTGTTCAATATGGCACTGCGTTTTATCAACTGAACGCTCGGAACAGCCTATGCTTATTCTCTCACACTCACATGCTCCTTTTTCATTGTTTACAGTTTGTCCCAGGGAAGCAATTCCTCTCTCAGGCAGCGGGAAAATAAGCAGCACAAACTACCCAAAGAGTAGCTACACTGCATCCAGAGATTGTACCTGGAACATTACCGCGCCAGCTGAAAAAATTGTAAAGTTTACGTTTACTGATTTTGTCTTAAGTGAGTGTTCAGACAGTCATTGTTCGGATTCTTGTTCTTATGTGGAGCTTTATGATGGTGGGTCAACAAGTTCGCCTTTGCTGGGGCGATTTTGCCAGGGGTCGTCTTGGAATGAGACTCAGTTGTCGAGTGGAAACCAAATGTTTGTGATGTTCCATTCTGGACAAACAGTTGATCGTGGATTTGAAGCGAAATATGAATCCACAACGACCGGTGGTGAGTACCCTGTGAAGTTTATTCTGAATATCCTCTTTTATAATCATCAAACATTTTTCTTGCGCGAGTCTGGTCTTGATGCGTTACGCTACCAACTATGCCCCAACTTGCATGTCATTTCATACTTCTATATTTTTAAGAGACAGACAGACTTTCGCCGCTCACCACGATCACGCTGAGTTACCCTCGCCTTCTTCTGAAAGAAAACGTATTTAACACTTCTCTTTCACGAGGGTCTCAATGGGGTTAACCGTTAGCCGTAAAACGGCCAAAAACTTTACACGTTAGACGTAGAAATTGACAGATTTTTTAAAAGAAGAGTAGACATAAAATTCCATTCCCTAAAAGCTGAAACTCTCTATTGGGGCGACGTGTCTGAGTGCTTAGGGCGCTGGACTTGTAATCTGGTAGTCTCGGACTCAAGTCCTCCGCCCTGCTACTCACTCGATTGGTTTTCGGTTGCCCCGAGTATAACCCCTCGGCTGCGCTGAGTAAATAGCCAACTGGTCTTTTTTAATTCCAGTTGGGGTCTTCAAGCACTTTATACTTGTAGTGTAACATTCACTCTGAAAAGCCCCGCGTGGACGAGCCAATAAAGTATGTGTGTATGTATGTATGTATGTATGTATTTATGTATATGAGTACTTTTGCAGTTTACGCCAGAAATTTATACCTTCGTCGGAGGTCATTATCCTTTTATTACATATTTTTTTAAGGTGTAGACCCCTGTTCAGAATATCCCTGTGCCAACGATAGCACATGCGTGGATAATGAAGACAGTACCTTTAAATGCATATGTCCTCCCGGTGTCACCGGTGATCGCTGCCAAGTCGGTGAGTATTTCACTTGTTCAAGTTTGAAATTCCACTTCCGAGAATCTTACTCTTTTTTGATGTGAGAATTTTGACGTAGGCAAAGTGTTTCGTCACGCATGAGAGGTTTCGTAATCTACTCCGGTATGTTTCAATTCCATTTGCTACCTTTTAACTTTTATCCTTATTTCTAAGGTTTAGACCCCTGTTCAGAATATCCCTGTGCCAGCAATAGCACTTGCGTGGATAATGGAAACAATACCTTCAAATGCATATGTCCTCCCGGTGTCACTGGCGATCTCTGCCAAGTCGGTGAGTATTTCACTTGTTCAAGTTTGTTTGTTTGTTTTTTCTTAAGGAATATATTTTCGATAAATGGCGATTCCCGCTCATCATATTCCTTGCCGATATAATGAGAAATTTGTTCTTGTGTGAATGGCTTAAATTTGTCTTTCAGATATTGATGAGTGTCGGGAGAACAAGGACCACTGTCAAGATATCTGTGAGAATACTATGGGGAGTTACTACTGCTCTTGCTCAGATCCAGAGTTAAGCGTTGCACGAGACAAGCGCCATTGTATTGGTGAGAAATAATCTAATGGAGCAATTTTCCATATAGTTTGAATAAAAGGTTGTTAACATGTTGTTTGATCATTTGGCAGAAACAGTGAATGATGAGCACTTTACAGGATGGCCTCGAAGTAACAGTCTATGGCGATCGGCTTTCTGATCTTTAAATTTTGGTGTTCTTCTTGCCAAATACGGGTTTATCATAATTAACATCCCTGTCAGATTTTAAACGAAAGTTGTTCGTATATTTCAAAGTACAAGTTTTTCCTTCGTCTAGAGCCTTGAGCAATTGCGCAGATTACACGACTATAACATGACGGCGACGTGACCGTGAGGGAAATGGCAATAAAAATCATTTTGGGAGAGGGTGAGGGAAGTAATCAAAAAGTCTCGTCTTTTTTAAGCACGGAGACTATTTATCATTGGTGACCTATTCTTGAGCATTTTTGTTCTGTAAATCAACTATCCTTCGCAGCTACTTAATGTCGCAGTCAGATTTTGACAATACAGGTTTCTATTTTTGTATTCTGTATGTTGCCCTTAAGCGTTTAGCCATATTGGCATCTTACCTCTACAGAGTCTTACAATGAAATCTGATATTTTATTTCAACAGCCGCGGGAGTGGAAGTAGACTGTGGCCAAGACGAAATGACTATTACTCTACCCAAGTCTCTCCTCTTGGGTCTTGACCGTGAACACCTGAGACTAATAGACGCGAACTGCACAGCCACTGAAAACAAGACTCACTTTTTCCTTCATACCGAAACTGGAAAGTGTGGTACCATTTTGAAGCATAATAAGGATTACGTTATATACAGCAACATGGTGTCCGAAATACCTTTAGAAGAGAACAAGATTGTGACACGCTTGCGCCAGGCTATGATCCCCTTCCACTGCTTTTACTCCAATTGGGGTGCGGTGTCCTCCATTGGAATCAGGCCATCAGGCAAGAAGATCGTTTTTTCTTCCAGGGGATTTGGAAAGTTTACTCTCAGTTTGGATTTGTTCCGAAGTTCTCAGTAAGACAAATCTATACAATCATGAATATGGTCTATTCCATTTCCTACTATGCAAATTGTATATTATCGCACTTGACTGGGTCATTTTCTAGATATGAGGTCGAACACAAAGCCTTTCTTGAGGAAATAGTTGTATTTGTGTGGGAAAAAGATAACTTTATGTTAGAGGCATGACACTGTGTGACTGTTGTTTCGAAAAAAAAGATAAGATTTTGATTCCGATGTAATGCGTTTTCGATCTTAACCAACATAATTTTTGCAATTGCGCAGTTCCTTCAAGGAAATTTGCGAGTGCTGAAAAGATTGTCGAAATTAATTTTTAGCTCCAAAAGAAGTCTATCAAATTACGATTTTCAAATTATTGCGCGTAGCTTATTCAAAATTTAAAATGATACAATTACTGAAAATTTAAGGGTTGTCGTCTCTTGATTTGCCCTTATAATCACCACAAAGCCAAGATGTTAGAAAGATGCTGATGAGTGCGATCCGATTTTTCGACTGACACTTTTGAAACCAAAATGTGCTTAAAAGGATTTTAATAATGATACAAAGTGGCGACCGAGAGGACGTTTTAACACCAGAAAGGCCCATTTCGGTAACATGGATTTTAGCATAAAATTATTACTAACTTTTCTGAGTTTGTACACCGCTTTTCTTCAAGAAAATTACTTGTTCATGTCGAATAGACGCAAGCCTCAAGAAGTAAGGTCTAATTGTATTTCAACTCTTTCCTTCCATCAGATTCATTGCTCCCTTCTCTCAGGATGACTTCCCTGTTGAATTCACAATCCGTGAACGAGTGTACTTTGAAACCCGTGTCGACAGCGAGGACTCAACATTGTCAATCTTAGCCCTGAACTGCTATGCCACTCCCTATCAGGACAGGAATTCTCAGCCCAGATATGATATTATTAAAGACGGGTAGGTAACTCTCATTACGTTTTTTGCTCCATGACTTAAACGAGGTGTTCAAGTTTTGCCTCAAAAAAATCCAATGCCAATTGAAAGTTGAAGGCGAGGGAATAACAAATTTTTCATGTCATGAAAACTTGAGGATAAGGAGAATAACTGTTTTCTTGTAACCTCGAGGGTTTTCTTATGCAACTACTCTTTTTTAACCATGTTTTTCTTTAGAAATATTCGGTGTTTAGCCAGGCATATTAAAAAATTTTGTGAAAAAGAAAAAAGTTGACATTGGCAAAAAAATATATTGTTCTGGGCAAAGATATAAATGCAAAATGTCTGACGGTGTTCTGTTTGGTATATTGTTACACTTTAAAACATTCCTTGGAGGTTTAGTTTTATCACACATCGTGGACATAAATAATATACCAAGCAGGACGCCGTTAGCCATTTTGCATTTTTATCTTTGCTGAAGAAGGCAACAGTAGTAGCCGAAACGTCCAGAACAATATATTTTTTAGCCAGTATCAACATTTTTGATTCTTTTTACCAAAATATTTTTCTTTCTTTCTTCCAAATCAACTTCAATAGTTTCGTTGAAGAGCCAAAATATTCCCATCTCATTTTATTAAATAAAGTATTCATTGATTGATTGAAACTAATTACAGGGCATGCATCTCTCCAATCACTCGAGCTTTTATCCCAAGAGACAGTCAAAACTACGGTGGCCTCTGACTACCATTATAAATGAAAGAAAAAAAAGTGGATATTTCTGTTTAAGTTATAACAAAGGATCCAAAGTTACCTTTGTGAACTTTGGATGCGTAGCTCTAACTTTGGATTCGTGGTTTTAAGGTTGGATTCTTAGCTACAACTTTAACACCACTATTCACTCAGTTACAAGTCACGGAACCAAAACCTCACCTCACCAGTAATTAATAAATAAATACGTTAAAAGTTTGTCTAGCAAGGGTGATTCGTGAGAGTGTTTTTGATAAACTTGTAACCGACAAACTTTACAGAACTGCTCTTATTTTCTCACTTTCTGCAGGTGCTCGGTCGACAATGATGACACACTTCAATTCCATGACAGTCCCGACAACCAGTCTCAGCGCTGGAGCCTGGAGGCCTTCCAATACGTCGGGAGGGACACGTTTGTGTTTTTCCATTGCGAGGTCCAAATTTGTGACGCCGCAGATCCTGCCTCAAGATGTGCTCAAGGCTGCGTACAGCGAAGACGACGAAGCGAGGGGGTTCTTCATGACAACCCGGGTAACAAATACGCTCTGGCTCAAGGTCCTATCGCACTGAACCGCGAGAAAAGAGAGGCGGAAGCGGTTGCATTGGATGAGAGTAAGCCCAAAGTCAATACAGGCAAGTAATTGAAGTAAATGTATTAAAATATTTGGCAATGCTAACAGCAAGATGCAGAAATATCTGAACGGATGTTCAAGACATATCTTAATTCCAGACAAAAAAATTACTTGGTAGATGGTTTTGACTCAGGAGTGAGAATCGATACCGCTGTAGCCTGATCATCAGTCCGCCCTGAAAACGAAAGCCGTCAGTAAAAATGGAGGACTTTTCAACAATGTGAATGAAAGTGATAGGATTCTCTTTTGCTTAGGGAGTCGAAACTTGACTCATTGCCAAGCACAACCTTCTATTGCAGGGCCACTCTCACACTTATGATCAGACCACACAAGCAGCAGAAAATGATTCTACCGCAGTCTCAGTATAAACAAACAAGTGCTACACTAAAATGTATTCAAAGAATGACTTGAGTGAGATGACTTGGTAACTTAACTTCATTCCCAACGTCACTATTCCATAACCTAGCAACTCCTCATAAACGACTAGTTTATCGCATCTACAGACCTACTGGACGACCAAACCAAGGGCACATATCGGAACTGACCGACCAAAACTTGCGAACGCGGTTTCAACCCCTTGGCTGGTAGAAAAAACAAACCACGCAACAAAGGATTAATTAGTTTCGTAGTATCAACTTAATAACATTGCCACGTTTCACAGGTGTATCTCACCATGTTTCAGGTCCCTCCTCGGATGATATGACATGATTAAACTAAGCTCGATTTTCTTACTTTTCCTTTATCAGGTTTCAACGTGCCTGTTGTTTCCTCGTTGGGTGTGTTCATTGGATTTTGCATTGTGGGAATGGCATGGCTCAAGATAACTTCGGATAGAAAGAGAGTCGCAAAGCAGTTCATACCGCTTTACGAGGACCTGCAAAAGTGATAACTTCATAGAAGATTTTCTGACCACTTTTGCTGAGCGTAGATGTTTAAAAAAGTCTTAACGCAATTCTGGATATCGTGTTCAATGATATCTAAATCGGAGATCACATCCTCATTGCTGTTTGACTACAATGTCTTAGAAAAGTTACGTTTTCAACTGTCGATATCGCATAATCAAGTGCACGTCTTCAACTGAATTTTCCATTCACCAGGCCGTTTGTTAACAATTAAATTTGCAATTTTTCGCTTCTTTTAATGTTTAATCTGAGCATAATCGTGATTAACTATTTTTGTAACAAAATCAAAAAACATTTTTTACATGCTAAAGCTTGGACTGACGATCTTTAAGTCGTCGTTACTTTAAAACGTCATTTACAACGGCTTATTTTCAATTCAATGCACTTTTCCCACCTTCTTGAACCCTCAGTCAGTCTGATTATAGCCCCCAGTGGCTATCATCTCTCGTTGGTATATCTGATTTAGGAGCTGGTTTGATAGATTTGCCGTCCTACATGAATGATTAGTTATCTTCTGGCATCAGTAAGTTGAAGCATTTTGGTAGTCTTGAAAAATAAAAAATAAAAAATCCACGTGCTAATAGACTCATGTCATTTATACTTTCCAATGCCATTTTCGTGAGACCGTTCGTTAGTGGTCGCCTCGTTAGCTCAGTGGTTAGAGCACTGGTCTTGTAAACCAGGGGTCGAGAGTTCAAATCTCTCACGGGGCTGGGCATGATTCCTTTTATACTTCTGTCACATCAATAATTATAGTGAGGTCAAAAATGACCCTCTGATGTTTTGGGTCCAGAATTGTGTCATATCTTGCCATGAAGGCAAGGTAGTCATATCAATCGTCTGGGGCCCTTGTTTGCATAGGGGTTTTTAACTTATTTCGTGGTTACGTATAATCTGAATGATCAAACCGTGAAAAAACAGCTGAATTTTGCAATTACTAATCAAGCAATAAAATGCTCCTCTCATTACCCCCTTCGAATCTCTTTATTCACGAAATATACTCTTAAGCGTTCATTTTTTAAAATTATCCAGATTTCTTTATCGGACGACAAGAAGCTGAACGGTTCATTTACCTAAAGAAGAACCTTTTGGGCTCAACTGTAAAATACCTTGCTATTACGTACATGTCTGTGGTATTGCCATCAGTGACTATGTATACTCTAAATAATTTTTAACTGTGTGACATTAAACATGAGAGGCACCTCTCCGTAGATGAAGTTTTACATCAATCCTGTCTTGCTGAAGATTCAATGTATAAACATACAATAACCTGCATTTGGCGTGGAAATCCCGCGCAAGTGTTCGGAGGTAGATGCCAAAGAGTTTGAATAGCCAATCAGAGCGCGCCTTCAACTCTGTACACTGTTTTAGCATATACTAATTCTGATTATCATATGCAGCTTCAGATGTTCTAAAGGCTTGGCTTGTAAAGGCAAGGATTCATTACAAGAAAATTTGGTTTTATCAACGTCATCGAGTTGATAACGTAAATTAGCCACCGTAAAGAGTTGATAAAGCTGACTTTTCGAACTTTAGTCCTTCATAGCCGATGGTCGGCACGAGTGTTCGTCAGAGCGAATACTTTGAAGGGAACTTTTCAGTGATCAATGTTTTTTCTTCTGAGGTTAAAGTTGGACTGTAAATTCTGAACAATTTTTGCATTACCCTTTCCTCCAATTATACCTCCCTCCCTTACCGTACATCCAATCACTTTTGTGTAGAGACCATTTCCTGGAAACGAGTGTTCGTCAGAGCGAATGCTTTGAGGGGAACTTTTCAGTGATCAATGTTTTTTCTTCTGAGGTTAAAGTTGGACTGTAAATTCTGAACAATTTTTGCATTACCCTTTCCTCCAATTATACCTCCCTCCCTTACCGTACATCCAATCACTTTTGTGTAGAGACCATTTCCTGGAAATGGAGAACATACCAATTGATCTCGACAAGACGACGTGCAAAGAGACTTGCTGTACTCGCTTGGCTGCCGTCGATAGTCATATTACCGCCCTATTTCTTAGCCTTAGGCTAACATAGATATTGGGTGGTTTGAAAATTCTTATTTACTTTTTGAGGGTTTTTTTTAGGGGATCTGCTTTAATAGTGATAACCTATTTTTACCTAATGATGTACCTTGAAATACGAAAACTAAAAATGAAACTGGTCCACACTGTTCGCACTGTATCTGTTGTAAAGCAGAAAGCTAAAATTGCTAAGACAACTGGTTTTATAACAGGAATGATATTTTTATCGTTTCTTCTACCCACTGCGATAGAAATTTTGGGAAAATTCTTCGCAATTTTTCAGAAAAGTTCGGTTTTCCGACTGACTGAGACAATCATGCAGCTTAATTCTCTCGCAAATCCCTTGATCTATTATTACAGAGATCGCCGGTTCAGAAATGCTATTTTTGAAATGCTACGACTAAAAAAATCAGAGGAAAACCTGTCAGCTGCTGGCGCGGAGCCCCGATCTGTTGAGGAAATCAATCCTGAAAGACAGAGAAGAGTTGCCATGAATGAATTACCACCACAAAATAACCAAATTAAACCAACAAGAACATGAAGGTGTTCATTTATGATGAGTGCACAATTTGGATTTGTTGACTGCTGCCAGCAGAAACAAATGACATTTTAATACTCCAAACAACAGCATCGCGTTGGTCACAACGACACAATTTGTCGAAAGGACTTCGGCAGAAATTTGGCAAAGAAGTGAAGTATACAATTAAGATTCATGTTTTTAAGAGTGAATTGTTATTTTCAATTTTTGGGTAAGGAACTGAGAACAAACAGTCATATGCCCGACAATTTTCCTTTCTTTTTATTCCTTAATAGAAGTTAGCAGTTACGCAAATGTCTAATACTTATCTAGTCGGGCCACTCTTGAAAATCATATAAGGTCCTTAATTACAGTACATTGATAACTTCATGATAACATCAAAAACTTATAAAATAGGAAAGGTTGAGAACAGCTTGGTTTGAGAAAAATATAAAGAAGACTTTTATTAGCGTCATTAACTACTCAAGAGATGTTAGTTAAGGAATAATCTCCTGTATGTCACGAATTTCTCTCTCAAAATACTTAACCGTGTTTTTTTTTCGTTGCTCTCCGAGAAAGCTTGGTATTTCATTCCATAGTCTAGCAACGATTCTTCAAGGCACTCTTTCTACCACAAGGTTTGACGATTCCATATCGAAATAATAAGAAGTAGCCATATAAAAGTGTGTATGGCAAGAAAGGAAATCATATGTTTTCGCAAATAAACTACCTAGGTTCATTGGCGCTAAGGCGGTGTTAACATCAGCATTAATTCAGATAAATTTTATGATACAGAAGTTGTGGAGGTAGAAGTTTCTGTAGCAGTGATGTTTTGTTTGGACAAGACATACAGACCTGAAACCAAACAGACAATCCTTTGGTAATAGGGTTTGTCGATAACTTTGTCTAAACGTCCGTTGCCTCACGGAACCGATTTCGTTGTGAACATGATCTTTTTAGGCGAAGTGCAGTGTGGAATCAAACGTGTGAATTTTGCCGTAGCTAGCTCAGCAGTAGTTCACATGTCCAAGGTGATCTTCATTTGAGAGGGGTTGTTAAGAGCGGTCGAATTTATATGGATTCATGATTGTATGATTGTTTTTATCATTAATTTGTTTTTTCCTTGAAGATTTTAAGAAACAGTTTTTGTAGGGCGCAGCAGACAACTGGAGGTTATGGTGTTTATCATTACTATATGCATCAGCATAATTATTATGATTGCTATTATTTTTTTAGATATACGCACTATTTTGTCTTCTTGTTACCTTTTCAAATGATGGGCAAAGATGAAGAGATAACATATCCATGGATAACGATAAGAATTTGTTCTCGTTTTATTATGAAAAAAATGTCCATGATTTGAACAGAAAAGCTTTCCTTTGAGTTCAGTTTGCCTTCCCCCATTGAAAGAAATTGATGTCCTTTTCGAAGTCTTTGATTTCCGATTTTGACACCATCTCATACTGAACACAGTGATTCTGCTTCTCATTTGTGTGTGGGCGATTTTTTACCCTTCAATACAGACAGAAATGTCTTTTTAAGCGACAAGCCTATGTGTTTGGTTTCCATTGCCTAATTGAAATCGTGAGGTTGGTTTACAGACAGCCTTTCACAACAATTATTCAGCACTATAATGATCCTTCTTAATGGACTTAGTTTATAATCCCTTGCCTTCATGGATTAGCTGAGGTATCGACCAATTTTGAATCTTCCTTTATGTCATGTTTTGTATGTTATTTCTATCTTTTATAGCATCATTTCCTATTGAACCTGGATTTGGGCGGGACACCTGCTGCCAAAGTAAATATTAACTATTTTTGTTATGTACTGCTTTCTACATAGTTTGGCGGTTTTACGGCTATCGGTTAACCCCATTGAGACCCTCGTAAACGTGAGACACAGGCTTTATCAAACTAAATGGTAATTTGAGTCTCAAGGTTTACTTATATATGGCTGAAGACGCCCCATGATAGGAACACCGTGAAGTAATATACCATCAGTTAGTCTAAGGCCCAAACCACTCTAAACTGTTTTTAAAAGAATCCACTTTAGGCTTGGCCAAAAGGAAGCAAAATATTTTTACTCACTGAAGCATTTTTCGTTTTGCTCTCTCCTGTTTACATCATTATAGCCTTCACAAACCATACTCCCCCAAGGAAAGCCTTTTCCGCTTATTTAAACGATAGCAATGAAAATCAGATCGACCGCGAGCCAGCTAGCGAACTGAAAAGAGGCGCAAATTGCTGTTTGTCTTGACCAATGGGAAACCAAGTCTTTGACGAGCATCAGTGGCAACGGGACCCTATTGATGGACTTACCTATCGAATTAGAATGGCGTGTCATGAAAGTTAATAGCTCAATATGAAGGGACATCGAATGAATAACAATGTTGGTCGACTAAACATTGTTTGCATCTGCTCCAGGAGAGAGAAGAAGCATCACGTTGATGCACATGGCCATACGCTGAACTAAGTGAAGTGGACAAGAGGTGGTTCTTCGTCAGCTCAGCAGAAAAAGCAAAAATTAAAGCTTACCAGTCAATCGGCAAATCTTTGTTGAAAAAAAGAAAACCCAAAACAAAACAAAACAAAAACCGTATTATCAATACCACTGCTAGAGATGACATGGCCCTGATATGTCACTAAAAAATTTAGCTAGCATTGGTAACTGGTATTGGGAGAACATTCTTCTATAGGATATGACTGTTTTTAAAGCTTGTATAATAAAATATTATCGCACTCAGTGGTCAACGCAATATTTATAAACTTGAGCGATAAAACCTCAGAGTCAGCATTTTCAGGCGTTCTATATTAACAAGAAGGCGCGTTATGCGCCGATCGATTCAAAGCTTCTACATCCCCCTGGGGACAACCCACGGGCATTTGGCTGTTGTAGGTACCCCGTGGATGGGGGATTGGAGCCTTTCCTGGGTGGGGTGGGGAATTTGAACCAACGGAGTACACAAGGAGTTTAAAAGTAAAGAGTTCGCTTTCGTATGCAAATGAGTCAGAGTGAAATTATGACATCGTAGAATGATCTTAACAGCAAAACCAAACAGCGCCACCGAAATATTTACTGAATTCCACAACATTTCTTGATCACACTAAGAGTTGTTTTATAAAAAAAATTGCGATCAGGTGGGGCATTTAAACGCAATTTCCTCCCGGGTTAGGGGGGGGGAGGGGGAATTCTTACGAATCAATCTTTAAAATTTCGAATGCCCGAATTGACCGACGCAACGTTTTTATAATTTATTAAAGAGGTAAAAATAAGACACATGATAGGAAAGTAGTATCAAACAAGTTTATTACTTTTCCTATCAATATAATTCATCAAAAGTTACTAGTTATCTGGCTGCAATTAGCATCATTACTCGGTGAGAGATTTGTCAATTATTCGGACGCCTCGAACCGTTGGCAGAGCCATTATTATTTGATTTCTTTTTTTATTTCCTCAGTTCTGTTTGTTGTTCCTTTTTTTTGTTTGTTTTTTTTTCTTTGTTTTGTTTTGTTTTTGTTTTTCTTTGTTTACTCTTAATGGAGTATTTAAGGCAAGAGAAACTGACAATAAGCAGCCAGCTGGAGTTTTAGGGCAGCTGGAGCTCACAACTGGTCCAGGCGCTACTTCAACTATTCCATTGCAGCCAACTGTGAAATTATAGCTCTAAAGAATGATTAGAGAAAAATAAAGCAGCTAATGCACCAATTATGTTTGAGAAAATTGTAATGGCTATGATTAATGTTTTAATTTGCCGTCTTCTTCACGATGTTTAAATTTTGGTGATGGCCTGTTAACTTTTATCATACGTTTTTTAAGGTTTAGACCCCTGCTTAGACTATACCTGTGCCAATATTATGGATCGACAATATACTGGAAAACTGACGGGAATGTGTACTTCAGTTTTCTGCGGTTCATTTAGTAAATTCGGTTTCTTAGTTTACGATCAATCTTTTTTCACCACCACTGTCTCCAGCAGGTCAAGATTTACTCAAAACCGTTCCACATATCAGTATGATAATTAAGTCGTTCTTTCTGTTTGTGCACTAAGATGATCTTATTGCTTGCTATCCTCTAAATGGGGAATTTGAGGCAAGAGAAATTGACAATAAGCAGCCAGCTGGAGTTTTAGGGCAGGTGGAGCTCACAACTGGACCCCATGGAGAAACCAATGGATCCTACCAGTTTTCAGGAAACCCAAACAGTTTTATAGAGTTCCCAAATGACGGAGGACTGGACACCCTACACTCTATAACGCTGATGTGCTGGGTTCAGCCCGGTGGTCGAGACGGACCGCTCTTTAACTACAAGAACTCCGGAGCTTGGGGAGTCCATATTTGGATAGTTAACGGCAAGTTCTTTAACAGGATCACCAAATACCCAAATCATGCGTTTTTCGATGCCATATTGACTGATCAGGCACTTCCAGTGGGACAGTGGGCCCATGTTGCGGCAACTTATGATCACATCACTGGAGTCAACTCTTTGTACGTCAATGGCCATTTGTCTAAAACAGAATACATCGGCAAAACTGACAGGATATCAACCAACGACGGGCAAGTTCGAATGGGCGTTAAGATTAGCGACTCCAGATACTTTAATGGCAAAATAGCTCAAATGAAAGTTTTTGAAGTTGCTCTAGATGAAGCCGACATTAAAGCTGCGATGAATGAAGGTAACAGGCAGTTTAAGAAATATATCTCTTGATATGAACGTTTAGATAGAAACAAATTTTTCCGTCGCACATGAAGGGTTTTGCAGTTTACTACAATAATTTTTAGTCTCGTGGGTGGCCTTTTTACTTTTATTATTATTTCTAAGGTTTAGACCCCTGTTCAAAATATCCCTGTGCCAACAATGGCACATGCGTGGATAATGGGAACACTACCTTCAAATGCATATGTCCTCCCGGTGTCACTGGTGATCGCTGCCAAGTGCATACCTACCAAAGTAAATACACTTGTTTAAGTTTGCTTGTTTTTTTTTCTTAGGTTTTCTAGAAAGAATAATGTTTTAGATAAGTAATGACTTGATATCATCATATTTTAAGGGCAGGTGTCTTTTAGATATTGATGAGTGTCCAGACGAACTCTTTAGAAGAAAATACTAGATTTCTACTTCAAAGATGCTGAAACCCTGTCTTAATATAAAAATTTAGACGCAGATGAAATATTTCGCCGCACATCTGAGGTTTAATTTGTGGTCTACTTCAGGAGTTTTGAATTTCGTTGATGGTCTGCTAACTTTTACCCCACGCTATTAAGATTTGGACCCTTGCTTAGACTATCCCTGTGGCAATATTATACATTGTAGATCGACAATATACTGTAAAATTTACGGGAGTGTACACTTCAATTTTTGCGGTTAATTTAGTAAATTTGATGTCTCTGTTTAAAACCAATCCTTTTTAACTGCTACAAGTCCCTAAACTTCAGTGAAAGCGCCCTCAAGAACTCAAGAATCAGTACGGTAATTAATTGGTTCTTTCTGTTTGTACACTAAGGTGATCTAATCGCTTACTATCCTCTAAATGGGGAATTTAAGGCAAGAGAAATTGATGAGTGCCTGGAAAAACTCTTTAAAAGGAAAAACTAAGGATTCCTCTTTCGAGAAGCCCGAACCCTCCTTTGATATGAACAATTTGATAGAAACAAAACTTTTCGTCTCACATGAAGGGTTTTGCAGTTTACTACAGAAGTGTTTACTTTCATCGGTGGCCTTTTAACTTTTATCCTTATTTCTAAGGTTTAGATCCCTGTTCAGAATATCCCTGTGCCAACAATGGCACATGCGTGAATAATGGAGACAATACCTTCAAATGCATATGTCCTTCCGGTGTCCCTGGTGATCGCTGTCAAGACAGTGAGTATTTTCCTTATTATAAATTCCACGCAGAAATAGTATTTGTAGCGTGACTGCGTTATCGTTTATCTGTTTTTCAAGGAAACACCTCTAGAAAGTTCTTAAATCTTCTGTTATTTTATTTGCCTGTTTTTTTACTGCAATTATCGTCTGCATTTGCCACTGTTTTCGCTGAATGTCATGGCCTTTGCGTGTACGTGCGAGCCAGTTGATACACAGCACTCTTTCGAGTTTCTTTACCTGGTGTCGGACTCAGGTGTGTAGGTCTGGCTGAAAAGACATTTGCACGCAGCAAGTTGTCCAATACACCCAAACCGATACGATTCGTGAAAGACAGTTTGCGAATCGTTCTACCGGAAGTCGATTCGCGGTTAATCGAAAATCTGATAAACCATCTCTCATTAGATGGAAACGCATACCGGAAGTCAATTTGCAAGACACTTAGAAAATATTTCGCAAGTAACTGTCAAGGGTTGTTGAAACTGTTTTCGAATCGACTCCATTCGACTCGACTCCATTCGACTTGTCTTAGTTATAGTCGACCCGTCATACCACAAGTCGATTTGCTAGACACTTAGAAAATATTCCGCAAGAAGCTACTAGATGGCGTTGAAGATGTTGTCTATCGACTCCATTCGACTCGAATCGAACGACTCGTCTCAGTTTAAGTCGACCCGTCATACCACAAGTCGATTTGCAAGACACCGCAAGTAACTACCAAGGGTCGTTGAAAATTTTATCGAATCGACTCGAGTCGAACGACTCGTCTCGGTTACTTGTAACCATATTTTCATGCATTAATTTCTACTCGCATCGACAAGCAATAAATTAATTGCAATGTTATTTCATGGTAGCAATACAGTTTCTTAATGAAATGCTTTACCCCAGCATTTCATTTGTCACAGTTTTCTTGCAACTTTCATGAACGTTTCAATTGTGAGTGACACGGACAAGGTAATGCTTTAATCGATTCATAGAGTCATTTGTCAAGTGAAGTGCGTCAGAGGAGCCAAATCACTTGCATTGGGCTTAAAGTTCCCAAAGCGCAAAATTATTGTAACTGTCAGGATCGGCAATAAAAGCCCTTTTGGATTGTCGTCAGTTAAGATGATAATAAGGTTATGATAGGTTTTATTTATTTATTTAATTTTCAAGTAGTTATTTTTGTGAGAAAGATCGATAAACTGAGCTCGCCGTTTGGCGTAAGCAGTCAGAGAATATTTTGGTTACTGGAGGGTTTTCTGTGAGAATTTCGAGCTGAGCTATGGCCAGGGTGACCATCTATTACTTTCAAAGTTAAGATCGACCGAGAAGCCATGCGAGTTCTTCATGTAAATTATGAAGTTTTACTTCATACGCTGTCGTTGTTTGGGCGATATGATGACATCTTAGGCAAAATGAAGCTTCACCCTTTGTGCCGTGACATCAGCATACACAATCTCCACAGTTTTATCTGTAAAATTCTCCAAGTACTCATATGGTGTACTGAATTTTTTTAGGCCTTATTTTCACTACTGCTTAAGTAGTGTTCATTACTGCGAAGATCGCTTTCCCTTTCATTTATAAGGAGGCTTTGTTTAACAATTAAGATACTCGTAAGTCTGAGACTTTTCCTCACTTTGGTTAACTGATTCTTGTGATATTTGATTCAGCCGTGACTGTGTATGGAGAAATTAGATTATAGTCGCTCTTGGGGCGTTAATGGGTAAATGGCTTCATCTCTGTGGTAAATTAAAGAGACCAATAAAACTGCTCGTTATTCCTGGGATCGTTTGCGACGCCGTCAATTTTCGCTTCACAAGCGTAGTCAGATCGCTTAAAAGCCAATTTGGTGCACTCCAGTAATAAACATATAATAACAAACTCTTAGGCGAAATCGAAATAAAAACCCTTCTGAGTTAAAACCTTTCGATTGAACTCTAAATCGGCGATAATTTTGAGCTCCTTGAGCTTTTAAAAAAAAAGCACCTTATTTACATCTAATTTGCAATTGTATCTTTCTATGTTGTTTAGCGCCGGGTTGAAGTGTTATCAACAGGAGTATGTTGATCGAATCAAAGAGCACGTACATCGCGAAGAAATTTTGCTTGTGAGCCCAACCTTCTAGTTTCATGGAACGCAAAAGACTAGCTCAAAATGAAGACTTTCCAAAGATATTTCGTAAAACTTCAACTACTAACTATTTACATCTATAGTTCACTGCTTAAGTGGCTTTCTCTACGATGTGCACTACATAATTGCCGTAACCAGCCGATGAAATGATGATGAAACTGAACTAGCTCTAAATACTTCGGGTTTGCTCACAGAGGAACAAAATAAAGCAACCGTACGCGTTAATCCTTCTTTTTTGCACGCTCTCATTGAAACGCTAGACTAACTTTTCCTCTTTATTATTCCCGTTTCTAATAATATATTTCATCAGGGAAACTATTATATTGTATTTAAAACAAAAGACGTTTTAATCCAATGTCTATCAAGACATGAACCGTGTCAAACTCTACATTAAGGCGAACAAAGCGTGGGAGAGGTTATTGAGACTATTAACGACGAGTGTTAACAGTAAACAAGTTTGTCTGGTATTGCTGTTTACCTTTTGGCTTCAAGATGAACTTGAAACAAGGAATACTACTCTCTGTAATCTTCCTACTTTTGGCATTCTCAGCAAATGGAATTGAATTCGAAGGTAATATAAAATGAAAGTATTGCTGATTATCAGGGCCGTAGCTAACATGAGGCAAGGCGAGACAATTGCCTCGTCTTGATTTTGGTCCAAGATTGACTTTTCTGAAGAAAAATTTTACGGAATTCGTGCCTTCGACATTCGGCGCTCGAAACTTGCCTCGTCTTGTTCTGAAGTCTGGCTATGGCCCTGATTATTTATTTCCTCCTTGACATCTCCCAACAATGGACTCATTGCGCCGCAGACGAAGTCTGCAAAATTACCTTCACATTTACCAAAAATGTGCTAATGAGCAAGAAATCTCGTAAAAACTTTACCAGAATACTGGTCTTCCAAAACACTTCATTCTCGACTGGGATCAATGACTGGCTGATAGCTCTTCTTTTCATTTCGTTCGTGGCCAAAATCAGCTGTAATCTACCGCTCATTCATCAAGTTTGCGCTACTTGCATGCTAAGGAAGACAATACATTTCTGATTCATAGAAAGCACTACTTACTTCTCAACATTATCACCGGAGGGCATGGTAAAAAATATCAAAGAGTGTGTACTCCAATTTTGAAACAATACAGCAACATAGCCCCCTTTTTTACTTGAAATGTTGAATTTATTAGGGTTCGCTTTGAATTGATAACGATGGTAGACTTGATCTTTCTTTCTTTCTTCAGTCCCCCATCACCCTTCTTCTCTAACTTCCCTTCACCTACACGTCCTCTATAACCTTAAGAAATGTTAATTTTGAATGACTCATTAGTCAAATATTTTTATTTTCGGTGAGAAAAAAAAGACACGGCTTTTCAATCGGCAGCTATGGCGTAAGTCTCAAGCAATAGAATGTTCTGCTTGACCCGAAAAATTCTGTTCAGTGACGTTTTGATCCGCTGTTAATCAACATGTTTTTATATATATGCTGGATATTTCTATCGCTTAATAAGAGAGCTTAGTTTCGTTCCACAAACTCGGTCCTCAAAATGGTTGTGAGCCAGTAAACACTGAAGTTTTTTCGGGGATAGTAAAGTTACAAAAATGGCCCTTGCAGAAGCGTTCTTGGACTGATGGCTAATTAACATAGCAAAAAGATAATAAAGTGCGCAAGCCATTAACTGTACTTATAACTAAGGGTTCTCTGACGCGACTTATCTTGATTCTATAATATTTTGTGTTTC